CTTATTTATGTCACACCGATAATTTACAAGGCTAAGCAAGACCATCCAGCAAAACCAAACCATCCAGCTCAGAGAACAAAACTGAACCAAAAAAATCCACCCAAGACACCAATTTTCTCTGTCATACCATGCCTGATAAATCTGCTCATTTCTAGGGAAGATTGGGCTGTAGCAAAAGATCGGAATATTTCTGTAGGTGTAATTTTCATAGGTCAGAGTAAAGCTTTTGATTAGGTCTCTCATTCATGTCTCAAATCAAAACCGGAAAGCTTTGGAATCCATTATGCAACCATATACTATAACAGGAGACAAAAGTTAAAGGAAAGTGTAGCTTTCTCATCTTGGGAACCCTTAAAAAGTGGAGTTCGCCAAGGCACAATCGTTGGTCCTCTTCCCTTTTTACTTCATGTAAATGGATAACCAACACCTGCAAAGACATCCGTTCTACTGTTCACCGATGACACAATGACTTGGAGACCCATACAAAGTATGTCAGATAGAATAGGATTACAGGATGATCTTAGCTCATTGGTGGCATGGATGAACGGATGGCCACTAGAAGCGAATTTTAAAAGTGTGGTGATGCACTTAAATAACTGTGATGATTTGCATCACTGCACATTACGTGCACTTGTGCTACTCAAAGGAATGCGCTACAGAGATTTAGGAGTCATAATAAGCAAAGGTCTCAAAACTACGAGTAACAGTTAGGGTGCTGCTGCAAAAGGTTAGAGGGTATAATGGGTTGTTTCTAGATCTTTTCAGTATTTGAATGAAGAAATATTTAAATTGTTATACTTGACTTTCATGATACCGCATTCGGAATATGTGATTCAAGCAGCAAGTCTTTGTTTCAAGTGTGAAGCGGATATGCTGGAACGAGTCGAACGACGAGGTGCTAAGATGACACAAGCTCTCTCTAGCCTATCTTATGAAGACGGACTGAGACACCTCAACGTATTTACACTATCTCATCGTAGTTTTCCTAAGGATACCCTGTGTTCACAGCTAATGACTTCACAAGTTCCACTATCATGGGATTCGCAAGCAGAAAAGCGGATATTTACATTACTGTCTATGTTTAAACGAACACCACCTCTTTATATATATATATATATATATATATATATATATATATATATTCTATCACTTCTTAGGTAGTGGTAACCTGGTAATCCACACAGGCATTGGTAGCATTCTCTTCCAAGACCTAACTATCCGAAAACCCACTAACCTGGGATTTTCTTCAATATTTTTTCGACGGGTTCCTAGTTCAGCTAGTACCGACGTCTTTTCTATTCTGTCATCTAGAGACATATCAGATCTTACTGGAATGTCGGTACTACTGTGACAATGAGTTTTACTAGACAGAAGATCACGTTGCCTCTGCGACACTAGTATTATCTTAAGGCGTCTATATGATCGGGGTTTAACACTTTCATCGGTCCTCTTGCCTATTCTTATCAGTTTTTTTACTTGAACGCCATTAGTCTTGCTTGGCAAGATGCTACGGATAAGTTCTCTGATTTTAAGATCATGATCGTTTGGTTCTTGCAAATTACTTTTAGTAATATTCAACGAGATCAAATTTTTCTCAGCCACGCCTGGGTGAAGTCCTGTCTTACTAACAGTTTTTGATAGTGCATTTCGTGACTCAGAATGAGAGTTCGCCAATAACATACCAACCAAGTGTGTGTCGTTTATAGATTTCATTCACTTCTTTTTATTAGTATTGCCGTCCATTTTTATCACTCAGGACAACCACGCCAGGATTATTTGGAACGGTGTCAGATTTATCCGGGTCCTTAATTTCTACCCATGTCAATATCAAGTGGCACTTCACTCCTGTTTAATTTCAACGGAGATTTTACTTTTCTGTCAATCACGGTCGGCCGTTTATCTCGTCCCGTAAAAGCACGCACTGTACTGACACATTATCCACTGTCAGTACTCGTGTTACCAACGCAACCACCATCTTCCTTCTTACAGGCCAAAGCTAAGTGGTTCACTGCCTTCTGAATCAGTAATATCTTATTCGTACAGCAAAACATACAAAGCCAATGTAAGTTAGGTTTCGAGCACCTTTTGTATTTGGTGGGACTTAGATGGGTTCACATCTTACGGAACCACTTTGTAAACTCATCACAATGCATCACTTCCTCCATGGAGAATAAGAATTCGGGTGTCCTCATTTATATGTACTGCGAATTATTGTAATCAGATTGAGAATTTTTAAAACACAATATGAACACAAGTGTCAGGGTAAATGAGAAAGAAGGTACCACAAAATTTCAAACGTTAACCGAAGTATCTCAAGTTAAGGTAGATCAAGAATGCTTTTCGATGAAACAAGTACAAAAAAGTAAATATAATCACAACAAGTACTAAATCACGGCCCTTTTTATAACGTGTTTCGTAACCGCAGATACAGAGACTACCCGCTGACCAGGAATAATCAAAACAAGATGAAAATATAAGAATACTCATAATTGAGTAAGCGTCTTTAGGTCAGAGGCGTAATAAGAGCTTTAATGGATAACCATTTGATTGAAATGATGTTCATATCCATATTATAGTGAGGTAGTTATATTCTTGGACTCATCTGGGAGTCAGAAAACTGCTAACCAACTAAATTTAGCTGTTACGAATACAAAGCAATAAGCACGAGCAGTTGTGTTTCATAACAACACTTTCTCGTCGATTAAGAGGCTGCTCAATTATAATAAACAGAACCCCAAGGCGTGATGGCAGACATAACATATCTTGTTCTTCTTTTCGAACTCGTTAAGGACAAAACGAAAATTATAGCACGCAGTTTTAGGAGCTAAGAACAATCAAGTTCTTCGTGGTAAGCAGGCCCTTCCGTTGCGTATGCAATTCTTAGAAGCGGTGTTCAGACTTTCAACCTACTCATTCAAGTTGTTACTTTGGTTTCTTAACGAATTATAAAAGAGTACATCCACTCGCAAAACGAGATTATATTGCCACATTCTTAAATAGGTTTAACTATACGCTCTAGTTCATGTACAAATTTCCATGTTACTCCTTATACTTTCAATACGAATTGGATCTCTCTTCAGAATAACAAGTACTAGGTGACTTTAAAGGTAAACGAAGTCTGAAATAATGGAGATGTGCTATTTTATACAAGTGCAAGATAGTTTAGTTAACTATTTAACATGAATTATATCACGGACTACTCTAACAAATTTGTGATGTTGCCACCTAATCTATGTAACTCTCAACAAGTGTGTCTACGCAAGATACTCATTGTCCGTTGACTGGATACTATCGGCAACAGCCTACTGTGGGAGAAAACAAACCATCTTCCACCTGTAGAGGAAATTAGGAAAAGATGTTGGAAGTGGATAGGACATACTCTGCAGAAATTACCTAACTGCATCACGAGGTAAACACTCACTTCGAATCCTGAAGGGGAATGCATAAAAGAAAATAGAGCACACTGCGTTGACAGTGGATACCAAAAGGATGGGTAGCAACTAGATAGTGTGTTGGTGGGTGGCCCATATTCCTTCACGAGGAAAAGGAGTGTGCCCCCGTACACCAGCACTTCTACAGAACCACATGAGTTGCTAGGTTCATATGCCGCGGGTTCGTGGCCTTAACACTTGTAACCACGTTGCTGACTTATGTATGCACGAAATCAGAAGCATATGTCAGCTAGTTTATAAAATGTCAGGGTGTATGTGTCGCACTTCAGTTCGGGAGGAACGTATTGATAATGTTGTTATTTCGTGAACGTAATCAGTGGGATTCCCGAGTTAATGGAGTGCCAAGTCAACCCCTAACTGGAGCAAATAACTTAACTCTTTACTCGATACCTTCTGCGAGTCGGAAGCGAGCCTGTGTGACTTCGAAAAAGCGGCTTGTACTCTGATGTGCGACACTTGCGATTACACATTATAATCTTATCTTGGTTATGAACACTTACATAGTGTTGGTTAGAAGTATGGGTAAACCATATGCTTGCTCGCAACCGTACACAGACTAGAACCAGAACAATATGTAACGTCTAACTTTTAACCTCCGTTCGCTTGCGAAGGTAAGCACAAAGTGGTATATGAGTAAGTTATTGCTTCTAATTGGCATTTGGCTTCATACTGGAACATCCATTTGATTGAATAATCCCTCTACTAAGATTGGTGGTAGGTCTCACGTCAAAGTTATACATCAAAAACACACCAAATGATGCGCCATCACCGGTGGGCTAGGAGATACTCGTCACATCAATGATGTGCAATAAGGGGGTTATGGAAGTTCGAAAGCCATTTTTAGAGGATGGGAATTATATATGAATATAATAAGCCTAATGAGTAATCCTTTGTTATTTGTTTACTTGCCTCAATTCGGACACTCGACCTGCTATGCAAAGTTGTGTGGGCCTAAATGAGCACAATTATGTACGTTAATATTTATATATCCTCTCATTGGTTGCAAACACAGACAATCAGTAATTTACCCACAATCGTCTGATATTTATAAATATATGTGCATTTTTTTGACACACACATTTTTCCGTGTGGTTACAGGATTTTACAAATTATTAGCAATACGCTATCAATACAAATGCTGTTCTGGCTTTTCAATATTCTCGAGTAAATTCACAGTACCACTAAGAGAATCGGCCTGCTTACAATACTCAGTTAATGGGACATCATTTATTGCAGTCAAATAGCGAGGAATTAGTTGCTATGAGCTAGGTTAAATTGAGAATCTTGTGTACCAATGATCGCCGATCTTGAATGGGTTCGACGAACAACATAATAATTGTAGACCTAATAAATACTTCAAGACAATTCGGTCAGACCTTGGTATAACTTGAATGAATTCACGATCCTCAGATTTTACATAGTGAGAGCACTTCAGTGCATTTTCAATTATCAATAGTTAATAAAATACAAAACATGAGTATAAATCTCATTTAATTAGGATTCATAGTCATTTTTATACAATAGTATTTGCGTAGGAAAGATCGAATAGGCATCGTTTCATACAAAAAATATGTTTGTAAGAATATACAACTATACAGAGAACTAAATTAGTTCTTTTTATCTTTCAAATTCTGTACACAATTCCAAAGTTTACACGCCAAGTGAAGAATATTATCACCCCGTTTGGCTGAAACAAGCATTACTTGGTCTATACTTTCCGGTGTATCCTTAATCATAGAAACCGAACAAGCAGCTTTATGCAATATATGGTGTAATTTTCTAAAAAGTATGACATTTTCATCTGTATTATCAACATTCGATTCACTTGAATCTATTTTATTTGGAAAAATTAAATCTAATTTGCTGCCTAATATAAAACAGTTATCCTGATTGCAGAGATTCCTATCATAAGTTGTCACTTCATAATAAAGCATAGATAATTGATCAGTTAGTTCATTCTCAATTTCGTCCAACTGACTTACACCATGATTACACCACAATGTTCCATAATCAATGACATAAACTAGTATGGAACAATCAGCGACTAGACTTAAAAATTCAATTCCTAAGCCTTTATTATATTCAGCTGCACCATGAATAAGACCTGGAAGATCAGCAACTGAAAATTAGAAATAGAAATCAACATATCAGTAATAACATTATTCGTAAGAATCAAATAAATAGATTAGAATATCAGTTGAAACTGGCTTATCCTTAATAAATGAAAATCAAATTTATGATATACGGGGAAAATCTCTCTAGAACTAGCTAAATGGACAACATAGTATAATTTACTAAAGGATAATTCTAAGACGGATTTCCTGAAGTCCAACCAGCTAGATGTGGTCTTTGGAGTAATCTAAGGCTAGATTGAAATTGAAACAATTGAGAGTTGAACGCTGACTTGCCTGGCATGAAATTAAGTTGGAAGAAAGCTATGCTGCACCCTAAAAAAGTAGCATGAGCCCATCAAGTTACAGACTTCTGGTTATAGTCGTTTCAGTAGATATGAACAACTTCGTTAAGGTTCGTGTTACTAACATAATCAATGGTTCGAGAAGTTGGATGTGGTTCAGAATTGGTCATAACGCAGACGTATCCGCTTTTTAAATCATGAGTTTCAAAATAACTTCACATGTTTTACTCTGTGAATTCGCTTCTCCTTTTCGAATCACACTCTTTATTATCTCGAACCCTGTACCATCCGCCTCAAACGCCATCACGTTATCTACTTAGCTACTGAATCCAGATTGCCGCTAGTTTGTGCAATGGGGTGAAGTTTAATTCACTTTTGTATTGATTGTTTGAATCTACCCATTGACGTTTAGGACTGTAATTGATCGATCTCTTATTTTCATATGTGCATCATGTGAGGATTGCATTGATAGTGTTCTAAGTCACAAGCACCATAAACAGAGATGGTTGGTGGCTAGCAGTGGGATCTAGAACGGGTGTTTCGTCCTATTTAGGACTTGTCAGGTGGATGTACTTGCATCCCGGAGTTAATGTTCACTCCAAAACTCGAATATCATAGGGGTGATTCAAACAACAAATACAAATGGGTTGAAACACATTTATCTTAGAGTTCACCTAAAGAGAAAATGAAAGTCATTTCAATTCTGGCTGGTTTGTTCTTAGTAATTTTAGTCACACTAAAAACATTATTGAAGACAAAAATCTAAAGTAGAAAACGTAATAAATCGCATAAAATAAATAAATATGTACAACTTACTAGCTATAGAATGAGTTCGACTTGGTATATCAGGATTATGATTATCATCTACTGAATCAGTTAAAGTGGGATTATAATTCTCTGGAAAATGTAACATCCCAATATGTGGTTGTAGGGTAGTAAATGGATATGGTGCAACTTTGGGTCTAGCTCTTGTTAAACTTCTTAATAATGTAGATTTTCCTGCATTAGGACACCCTACAAAGCCTAAATCTGCTAGTTTTGACATTCGTAGAATGAATTCACACAACTGACCTTTACCACCATATTCAGCAATACGTAATGGAGCATTTTTACGACTAGGTAACTTTAATGAATCTGTCGCTAATGTTGCATGTGTCATAAATGTATTGCCTTTACCACCAGCACCACCACGTGCAGCTAGAAATATATCACCATCTGCGTTTAACGTTTTAACTAGGTTAATGGATTGATTATTATTATTATTTGATATTTGATTTGGACTTTCAACAGAGTTTTTATGAACAGAAAAAATTTGTGTACCTAACGGAACCTGATGAATGAACACAGATATAAAAAAACACATTTAAACTATATGAAACAGTTAAACAAGACAATAAGTTTCACAAAATAGTTAGCTTTAGTGAAGATTTACCTAGACAATCGAATTTTTTATCTGTATATTTTTCTAGGGGAGAAAGATATTGTAGATAATGTAGTTGTTCAGTTTTACACATTTTTAAAATAGTACAGTTGATACCTTTTAAAAAGATAGAATTCATCATTTTTTTAAATTTCACTAATTTAGCTCACTTATCAGGTGCTGATCCTTGTACTTGACTTAGAGTTACATTCTAAATATAAGGAGTGGTGATAATTCCCTGGTTTGTTACACTGAAGTAGGTGTAGTGATTTTTGAACTAGCAGATGAAAATCGAATCCTTTAACATTATATATATATATATATATATATATATATATATATATATATATATATATATATATATATATATGGGACTACAACTGTAAATATTTCAATAACTTGATATGTGAACACACTAATATTACTAATATATTTTGTTAAAACTCATATCATATACTCCTCCTAGTAATCTTCACCCTCTCATTATACACTATTTGAATTGATTGGGAAGAATAATTATTTTCACATTAATAATAACAGAATAATATCATTAAAAAAATGATTGATACGCGTACATATTTACCTGTAGATATACATGATCAGCATTTGCTCCATGACAATCATCAATTGAACCGTTCACACCATTATCACCTTGTACAACTGTGGGTATATTTGATAAATCAGATATATTTTTATTAGCTAAAAAAAAATTAAATTAAAATAAGAATCGACTTGTACGAATATTCTGGAGACAATTATAAATAATACTGAATCATTTGTTTCAAAGAATCTGTATGACTTCATATATTAGTTTATTAAATGTTAAATCAGTACACATATAAACACATACAGAGAGGTTCACCTCACTATTCATTCCAATGAGGAATGGATGATAAATTGGAAAAAAGTTCCACAATCAAATGTCAATTAATTGGACATTAATAATAATAATAATAATAATAATAATAATAATAATAATAATATGTTTAGTATAATACGAAATTTTCAGTATATAATTTTTCAGTACGAGGATTATTGTTATTGCTAACATTCAAACAAAATAATGGTCACACGAATTATCAAGTTCTTATTTATGACATTCGTATCATGAGCACATAGTAACAAATGAAAGATGTCAAAATAAACAAAAAATTGGGCATATTTTTATGTAAGTCTACACATAAAATATAACACTAATCACTTATTAACACCATTATTAAGCTTTCCTATCCAATGACATTACTAACATAAACTGTAATTCAAAACTTCTGCCAATCTAGTAGAAGACGATGTTAATCAACCTAAGGAAATTTGAAGGGTATCGGTTATTTAAGGAAGCTTGTTAAAAGTCGATTATTTCTCTAGTGTTATACCATCGAACATTGATAAAATTCTAGGATAAATACAATTATGTTTTTATCTAAATGGGTGAGAAGTATATGGGTGGAAACTGTGACGAATCTTACTTTAAGAAATTACTAAACCCTACATTCAGTATGGTGATGTAATTCCGCCTAGTAAAACTGTACCATTCACACATATCTTCTAACTTCTTATTGATCATATCCCAGTCATAATTTAGAGGTACAGTCATATACATCGAATGGTTCAAAGTTTAATTTTTTAACACACAGTTTGCCAAATTTATAGATACAACAATATAGTGAATCCCAACGGCTTAATCGATCATTTGCTTTTCTCTTCAGTACACTATCGGTTTGTAAAACTTCTTCTAGCTACGTGCGCTCGACATACGACCAGCCACTATAACTCTATTGTGCGGTGATGAGACTTGAAGAACTACTGGAAGCATCAACAGCTGTTCGCGCAAAGTACTCCGGATCCATTAGACAGAGATCATCAGCAATAATCCTTTGTGGCAGAGAATAAACCAGATTCCAGCTGAGGAGAAAATTATGGAAAGACGCAGGAGGTGGATAGAATATGTATTGTGAACATCAATAAACCGCATCCCAAAACAAGCTCTAACTTCGAGTCCTCAAAGCAAAAGCAAAAGAGGTAGGCATCAAAAAGAATAAATAATATTGAATAACAACTAGAAAAGAGAGCCACAACAGAGTTGGTTGGAGATTTTTGGTCGGTGCCCTAAGCCACGAAAAGGGTAACATGCTTAAATAAGAAAAGCAATATATTAATTCCTCACCTTTGAAAATTACATGAGCACCGTTTCCACCGTCTCCACCACTAGGACCACTATGTGGATTACAAAAGACACGTCGGAACGCAATACAACCATTACCGCCATTACCTGCTTTCACGACAACTCGTTTACTGCATACAAAAGGTCGGAGCTATAAATTGTACAGTAGTAAGAAATACACTATAAATAAAACCAGTCAGTAATAAGCAACCTATAGCCTGGGAAATATGTGCATCGGCTTAAGTGTCACGTAACATAATCGTATGTAGATGAAATTACTAAGATAAATATCAAAGTAATAAAAGTAGCAGTGATAGTGAAAAATCCGCATAACAAAAAGTGTAAAATAATTCTAAAAATCGAGATTTAGGGGATAAGTGAATGTATTGGCGTAATCAACATCATTTTTGAGCCATATCACTCAACGTCTCCAACGACTAAGCATGACAATACCACTGATCACAACCAGGAAAACGATAGTTACCAATATAACCAAGATTATTAAGATGAAATGGTATATATCCTGACAGCCGTCATATACAAACGGAACTCCCATCTGAGCACCCTACTATAACCCCTACCCTTCTAGGTTTCCGTGCAAGTTTTGTGATATTTTTTAAGTAAGGGACGTAAGGTAAACGATAAGCACCATATTGGACATTTTCTGAAGCTACTAAAGGTGTTAACCATCATTTACATGATAACTAAACGTTTTGTGGCATGAACATCTAACATCAAATTTAGTCCAATTCGGTCTCATGTTAAATGAAGCCAATTCCAATTAGGGTAATCTCTTTAGAATGATAAATCCGTCAACTATGTAAGTTTGACATATTACAAAGAGCATGTTCAGAATTCAGGCAAGTACTATACATAGACCAGTAATCATGTATGCATCTAAAACTGGTTAAAATATTATCTATCTAAGTCAAAGTTTGGTTGGGAGAGCGAAGATGTTAAGAAGGGAATCGGTGATGACTGTAGTGACAATTAGTGCAAGCTTATACTAAATTTTGATTTGCGCAAAGCTGCAAAAAAATGGTCTTAATTATTTACCATGCAACCAGTGAGTCCCGATTATATGCCTAAAGAGATTTTCTTTTGATCTAGACATACTACATGTTTATCCAAAAATCTCTAACTAGAACCAAAACGCATATTCATCCCAAATTCGGACAACCTATTAACATTACATGTTCGTAAAAGGAAATTTCAAGTCAGATGCATTAATAAAATCTTAAGTCAATGGTATCAAGTATTACTTTCTATGTAAATTAAAATAGTAAGCATAGGTTAACAGTAAATTTCTCAAAGTTGCAAAACATTATGATAATTTAGGCTTTTTACATGCACTTCTGCAAGTTTTCCGTGATTTTTGTTACTCAATTTACGTTGGGTATCAATTGGGTTTTGGAGACTGTTTAACAAACTGACTTCAGTGATATTCACAAGAGAATCCTAATTATTCAGACACCAGAATGATAAACGATTGTCCAGTTTGAAGGAATCATTCATAATTTCTTTGGCATAACTAAAAATTTATTCTGACCAGTTATTTCTTAATGCCACCGTTGAAAACATTTGGAAATAAACGACCAAGTTTCGCTACTTCGTCTTGTTTCAGATTTGTCACAATGTTGTCAATTTCATCAAAACTGGAGGGTAGGTAACTGTCTACGCCACTATAATGTTACGGTAGGTTTCAAAGCAATGATGAAATAGTCACAAATCAGTTGAACTGTTTGTCGATTTCCCAGCTTCACGTGCTGAAGTTATTTGTTAGCCGATATTTTTGGTCAATCCCATAAGCCACTTGAATTTTCAAATCTAAAGGTCCAAAACCGTCAGTTACTACTGGTTAGCACTAAAACGTCACATTAGGATTTATCATAATTTAGATAGTATCTATGAGAAAATTACGTGCTTCTAACCCCACTAACTTTAAACTAACGTTCTTTGGATGTGGGACCACAGAAAGCAAGTTCGTTAGGGAGTATAGGAGAGGGAATTCTCATTAGTAAGTCAACATACTAGATTTTGGCGTATGTGAGGGAAAAACATGAACAATCGTTTGTAATGGCGCAAGTGATTCCATTCTTCGTCTCCCTCCAAATTCTGAGCTTCTGGATCATTCACAACCTTTCTGTGTTTATTTAATTAATTCATATTCTGTTGAATCTTATTTCCGATGCTTAATCTTTTCAGTCACCAATTCTACCGTTCCTGCTCCTAATATTCTGAGATCTAACCTGACAATTTCATCCCAATGTGAAAATAGAGTATGACAAATTGAACCGATCTACGCACGCACCAGCTGCTACATCGCGACTGACTGCAAACATGCTCTTAAACTCTCGGAAATGTAAAACTCATTGAAGATTACGTCTAAAAAGTTTGAGCTTCGTTAAAAATTTCGGAAAACCAATATTGTAGCTCACTAATGTTGAAAATTTCTGAAAACATTTATGCCAACTGATCTTATTCCCGTATATGAAAACAAGAAATTGAAAATCACAGGATCACATATTTATGGATTAATTTCATAGGAAAAAGAAGAACCATCCCCGTCACAGGGGCTACAGGCTAAAAGATAGCTTATATCGAGCAAAAATTAACTTTATTTTCTGGAGATAACCTGGCTTTCAAACCTTTGAGAACAAATAGATTGAAATTTTGTTTTAATATCAGCACCTGTTTCGAAAATAATCACTTACAAATTATACATGGTTAAGGCCTAAATGAAAAAATCTAAATTTTAAAAGCTGAGATAGGTAGTTACTCCACTGAATATGACTTTATCTGATAACTTTTGCCACAATGATTTATCTAATAAGAGAAAAATTCTTACCGTATGTCCAGGAGCTCTTTTCTTCGAACTTATAGGGCCGAATGAATTACTATAATTGAACCAAGTGAAAATCTGTGAGACTAGTTGACGACGACGAAATAATAATCCTGTAGTCATGATTGTACACAGTTCCATGAGAAAGAATAGTCCAACATGGGCACTAAGAGAAAATAAAGGTTTAAAAACTTCAAATAAAGACATTCGGTTAACATGGTAACAAATATGTGATCCTTTGACATATATGTATACATGCTTTATAAAAAGATAAATCCTCGAAATTGACATATGTACATGCAATGAAAACCATTTGAACTAAATGTCTGAATTATGTATAAACGCAGAACAGAAAAAAGCAAGTAGAAAGCTATGATTGCAACATATATGCTGTGATAATGCAACTTATAATTCGTCTGAACACCGAACACTCATGTTTTGAAACTGTTAGAAACTTGTTAGCTGAAATAAGGGCACCATATAGTTGTCGAGCTGGAAATGCAAAAACACATTGACAACAATACATCCAGGACCAATGCTGAGACTGATCAGAAAACTTATCTGAACTAATCTAAAGATTTTGAATCATCTGCAACAGTTTCTATACAGAAAGTACCTATATCTATTCCTTTAACAAATGCTTTTTATTTGGTTTACTTCCCTGGTGAGTGATACATCAGGATAGACACCGAAGTTCATTTTGTAGAAACTGGGTATTCTTGTCTTTAGACTCTGATCACAACTTAATTCATGAAGCATCTGAATGCGATTTGTTACAAAAGTCCTAATCAGTGATAATGTAAGTTTCATCTGGATGACAATTCGATCCCTACATTCATGGGAAGGAAATCAACAGCCAGAGAGAAATAATCAATCTAATAAAAGACCAAAACGTGAATTATTGATGTGAATTATTTATTCAGAATTTCTTTACATCCACTGGCTCATTAAATCGCACTAATTGTTTATACACTTCAATATCTTTGAAGTGATCTTCTGAAATAAATAACGGTACACCTTTGGCCATAATACTTGCCATTGTAATGGTCGGCTCGATGTATTTGACATCTTCAGCAGTGAACTCCAATTTCTTGGTATTGAGAAGTATTCCTTTCAGACAAGCAGTAAACTTTTTGTTTTCCTTGTCATAATATAATTCCGTAACATGACTAGAAGTCAAAAGATGCAGCAAGAGCGGAGTAGAAAGGGAGAACAACAGGCCGCTAAAAAGAGCGACACAAAATACCTTCGGGTCAGGGATTTGAAAAAATAAAATAGGTTGTAAAAAGAGAACGACAGAACTGGAAAGCACTGAAAATGTCTTAGCGCCTAAGACAAGTCTACGGTGTGGGCTTTCGTAAATTAAATATTGGTTGTTGGTTCCCACTATGGAACGATCACCTTCAGAATTTATTTTTCTCCATGTCATAAGTATATAAGGCTTTCCAGTGAAGTTAACGCCACTGAAACTACAACATCTACTGGGATTGAATAACCTCAGAAAACAGAAGCGCATTATTCAAAAACACGCGGTTGTATGTTTTAATCCTGATACCGAACATCTCTAAGGAACGATATTATAAATTATTTAATCAATTTTCGTTCCCATCGTGATGCTAAGAGATGCTTATTGATCATGGTACAGTTGTTCTGACTTGTACTTCCGCAACCTGTTAATGTTAATATATGCTTTTATCGATTGAGAGTAGCCAGTATCTCGGGAATCCAATTCTACTGATTGATATGTAGAACAATCCAGGTTGAACGTGAACGGCTTGGGGTGACCTCGGCTAAGCTGATAAGTAACACCATTCCCGTCCAGAGCGATTAAACAGCAATTATTCGACATGGATTCTCAATCTAGTGATCTACAAGTCAGCTTTCCACCACAAGTCCTCTGTTTGTTTTAAGTCGCTCTAGTCACTATCAGTGATTCCGTATCCTTGTCATGGGACGCGATACTCATTGCTGACATCGAGTGCGTCAATCGTATGCTGTAAGGATTATCCCACTCTACTCGTCTCGGATTCACTCATATCCTGGTTCCAGGCGACTTCAATGATTCTAAAGTCACTTTCGCGGAACATAAGTATATTGGGGATGAAAACTCTACTGAAGGTCTGTTCTTCAACCTCATTGAGGATTTGGGATTATACAAAAATGTGAAGTCGGCTACTCGTTGGAGGAACAGTCAAACACCGTCGCGCTTAGACTGTGTATTTACAAACGAATAATTCCTAATTGACAAACTCCCAATCCTAGCTCCGCTGGGGAGAAGTGATCACATCATCATAGCCTTTAGGTCTATCGACATCGCACTAACAACAGGCGCTGGAATTGAAAACGGTTGAATGTATCAGCTTTACAGGACAACCTACAACAGGTGAATTGGGAAGCTCACCCTCAACTTGATATGGATGCTCAGTGGGATTTCTTACTGCACACACTCTTGTGTGCTACAAATCAGTCAGTTTTTCAAACGGTCCCCAAAATATACAAGCAACCTACAGTCATCAAGGACCGCACTCTTCGTTTGCTAAGCCTCAAAAGGCATTGTTAGGCGGAATACAATCGAACTGATAAAAACAGCGCGTACAAGCAATACAAACATACAAGCAACATATGCGCAAAGGCAGTAAGATAAGATAAACTTCAGTATCAAATAAAGCTTATCGATAAATTGTCTCCAATCCCAAAAGCTTATTCCGTTATGCAGCCGCTCTTAGAAAAGCCAAAACTTAAGTTTCCCGACTTCCATGTCTTAATGGCCCGACTAACAACGACAGTGATGCCACTTCCCGTCTGGCTGAACAATACGATAGGATATTTCAGCCGACCCACACCAATTATATTGATGAAAGCTTTATCTGCAACTCCACAGGACATTCCGAAGTGAACCTGAGCTCTGACTCAATGTACTGGAAACTGCAACACCTAAAAACGACACTTCTCCTGGTTCGGATATGGTTCATTCTGCTATACTGAGGGAAGCAGCTTCAATCCTGGCAAAACCGCTTAGCGTGATGTTCTCACACTCGCTAAGCCAAGGCAAACTAGCGGAAATTTAGAAACTGGCTCACATCACACCAATTTTTGAAGGAGGTCGACGCAGCGAACCTTCAAGTTACCGACGGCTCGCTCTTCTCTCTATACCCTCAAAAATTCTGGAGTCACTGATATGCGACGGTATACAAGACTATTTATTATTCTTAAACATTTTTTCACCCCAACAGCATGGTTTCAGGAAGGATCATTCATGTGTAACCAACCTGCTGACTGCAGTGGACAAATGGACAAGCATCAATGATCGCAAGCGGAAGGTTGACGTCATTTACCTTGACTTCTCGAAAGCTTTTGATAGGGTCAACCATATATGTCTTATCAATAAGCTCAAACGATTGGGTATTAAATCACCTCTAATTGACTGACTCACTTCATATTTAAAAAGTTGACATTTTATGGTCAGGGTTAATTTCGCTTTCTCTTAGACTATGGAATGTCCTGGTGGGGTCCCCCACGTCTCAGTACTAGGCCCTCTACTTTCCTTGATTTATATGGACGATCTTCCACAACTGGTATCTTTTGACTTATTATATTTTGCTGATAATGTGAAACCTTAGAGAGAGATACGCAGCCAAGAGGATGATTCGGCACTTCAGGAGGATTTGACTCGATTTCAAAGTTGGACGGATGATAATGGACTTATTTTTAACACTTGAAAGTATAAAGTATTTCATCTAAGACATGTTCCAGACTGCAGGTACAACATAGGAAACTTATCTAGAAGTATCCCAAGTTGGAAAAGATTTAGGAATCCTGGTACCATACGATTTGAAGTCTTCTTCTAACTGTGACAAAAATGCCTTCCGAGCAAACCTTGTACTAGTAACATTGAAGCGCATTTCCGGCCAGTTTGACAGAAGGACTTTCCACATAATATTCAGCAGTTTCATTCTCTCCCAATTAGAGTACGGAAAGGTAGTATTTCCTCCCTCACTCCAAAAGGATAAGCACACCCTGGAGCGTATCCAACAGTAAGCCACGAAATCAGTTGGGGGACTCAAATTCAAACCTTGTGAAGAGCACCCCCATTCATTAAATCTGTGCCCATTAGAGTACAGGAGTCTCAGACGTGACTTTATAATGACTTACAGTATCCTTAACATTTCTGGACATCCCTTTAAACACCTATTTAAATTTAGTTCTAACACAAACCCAAGGGGTAACACCCAGAAACCAAAGATGAGACACAGCAGAATGGATTGTAGACACAACTTCTACTATTTAAGAGTAGTCGAATGCTGGTACTCGCTGCCAGCTGAGCCAGTCCGAGAGGCTTCCCAGGAGTCCTTTATGAAGAATCTTGACCTATTCTTAAGGACTAAGGATAACATCATATTATGGTTAGTCATTTTCTTTTTTTCCTCTCCTATCGTTAATATACCAAGGTCCCTGCCTGGAGGTATCGGTAATCCACTGTTACTAAACACAGAAGACTGTTAAGCGGAAGCTTCTTCTATTGTGTCCACAACCATTTGAACCATTTGAATAGTAATAAGAGCTCAAATACGTTAAGTAGGTTCTATTTATGTTGTTAAAGCCAATATGAGGGTTAACACAGTTAACCTTCCAAAGAAAGTAAAAGACAATATATCCTTTACTGATTCTGTCAAATGCTCGCGTATAAGTTGAATTTCAACCCAAATCATAATAGGTTAGTAGGAAGCAATCGAAACAGTGATAAAATGTGAAGATCAAATCAGAAAGAAACGGGATAATATATCACGTCGTAAATCGAGGCAAATATTAGTGAAACACTTGCTGAATACAGTAAATAGGAGCAATTTGCCATAAGTCAATATTGATGTCGACAGCTTTTGCTTACGGAAAATCAGGTTTACATTCTGTCAAATTCCTGCCCTCCGAGAACATGAGTATGAAGTCACTCTCAGAGATCAAAAATCGAAATATTTGTCATTTTCATGTTGGTATTTGAAGCTGCTTTCTCTTACCCATTCTTCCAGTGACGACAGATATTTTGGGTCTCATTTTTGGTTTTATGCATTTTATGCCCTCAATAGCTTTACATTTACTTAAAGGATCAATGCAAAAAGAATTTCTTCAGGACCGTAATTGGACATAAGAATAAAGAACAATCTAAGAAGACCCCTTGTGATTCCCAGATATCGAAACCTCCAATACAGGACTCTTCATATTGCAAATTAATTTCATGCGAAGAAAACAAGCCAATGATGTCAGTTCAAGATACCCTAGTGAATAAGATGATGGCTCTGTACTGAAAACCTTGGAGAGTTCATTTAGTACCATTACAGACGCTCAAGCAAGCACTCACTGTTTTTTGTTCCAGATAAAGAATCTGATTACCAGCTTTATTGGACTTTGTGAATAAATTGGTCTTTTGATACAGTTGGAAATTGTTTGGTCCTGCTGAATTCTGCTCATTTAACATCCGTAACTAAAGTGTGGCTGACAAAAATTAGATTATCAATGTATGTACGTAACCAATGTATATTGATTTCATTCATTCAGCCGAAATTAACTAAAGCCATATTGAAAAGATTACCCTAGAAAAAATTTTCGCTGTTAAAACATTCCACACGTCTACTCTACTGACAGACTACAAACCCAAGGAAGGCTAAAATAATATAGCTTTGGGAGACAGTGCTCCTGAGCTACAACGTCAATACCAAGTGTCAGTATCACCGGTCAATCTGATACCCTCTCTCGGTCGGTTGAAGTTCAACACCATGGACCTGAGTATATGATCACACCCTCAGTAACAGTGGAGCCAGAAATGCGGAGTGCAGTGGCAGATGCCATTCCAAACACTCTGATGTCATCAGATGAAGTCAGAGGAGGAACTCCTCGAAACCCAGTCCTACAATAAGTTAAAAAGTTCCACCTAAAAAAGTGTTCATAGAAGACCAACTCCACACGGCTTCAGTAGTTTTCCGGACTCAGTCTATCTCTATCAATCATCCACAACTGCCTTCTGACTACCGAACACTATAATTCCCAAAAAGCTTCAACTAGCTGTACTTGAAATGTTGCACGAAGTTATATATACTGGCGGCATTAAGACATCCAAGTGAAGCAGACGTTTTTTTCGAGTACCAAGTGCGCATTAGCGACAAAAGTACCGCGGAGTGCAGAGCTGCACTGTTGGCCAATACCACAGTCACCATAGTAGCGTATACCCTTGGACTTTTTGGTTTATTCCTTGTACAAATCTATCTTTTGGTAATTGATACATACGGCAAACGGTCAGTAACACAACTGCAAGCTGCGCAGCCAGAAAACTGTGTCAATCACTCAGTCGTTTCGATTTTTCAGAAATACTAGTCATCAACAATGGGACTTAGTTTGCACCTGCAATATTCTTAGAATTTTTTTCGATAGAACTGAATCAATCATGTCCAGATAGTATTCAAGGGGTTACATGAAGTAACCACGCTATACCATTCCGACAAATTGTTCTCGCGACCATAACTTTTGACATTCTCTCTGTGTTGAACGTTGATTGTGAATTTTCTCAGTTATCTTATGTCCAACTTCGAGGATAGTGTGGTTAGAACCAATATCATTACGAGAGCCTGCTTTAAATTACCATGGCAAACATTCTACATGTATAGTTGGTAGAATAGCGCAAAAGAAATGAAGTGTATTTTACATGGTGTCAATTGGCCCAGAAGTTTGAGTGAATCACGTTATCCAACCAAAAGCACCTTTGAAATTCAAACACCTGAAACATATAGGCCAGCTTGTTCAGGCAAAAGAGATACCATTTTTAATTACCTAGAAGGTGGACAAATCATTAGTATAGATCAGTCACGCAGTTGCAGGTTAACCTTACCACCAGATCCTGCGAGTAATCTTAAAGGGAAGGTGTTATCAGGATGTAGATTGGATTAAATATTGTTTCAGGCCAATGCGCTATTTCCTAAACCATCAGCACTAGCGGTTACTGATCTATGCAGACGACACAAAGAACTGGAGTTCCATCAAAGCTGAAAAGAATTCACTTGAGCTTCAGAAGACCCAACAACACTAAGAAAATGTACATAGGCTGTGGGCTAAAACAACCTATCGAAACGATACGTCATGAGCATTCTGCCTCACTCGACTCAAAGCATTTACATTCTCCATAGAGGACCTTCGCCTATTGCCTCCCCAGAGCGTGATCTCGGGCTCGCAGCCACAGAGGAACTAGAACCTAATTCAGATCACACAGAGGTTTCAGTCAAGACAAACGCGACCCGGTACTTTATGCGTAAAATCTTGGTGCGATAAACCTAGAATTGTTTCTAACACTTTTTAAAACATACTATATCGTTATGTCCTCTCCCTTCAAGTGATACAAAACTCTCGGACCAACTACAGAAACAGAAAACCAAGTGGGTGATAGAGTTCACGAGGATGGACACTAACATCTGGGATTATTCTCGCTGAGTCACATGAAAACAATGGGTGATCCAATAATTGAATACAACTAATTAAGTACACCAAATCACACTCACGCGAGCGCATTATTGGAACGTCATCATCATGCCCGTCTAGACAACCCTCAAAAGGTTACACATGAACGAACGAACTCCCAGACACGCTCTCATTTTTCCCTATTACGAGTCCCATTCATATGAACTTACCTACCAGCCGAAGTGACCACAGCACCCTAGTGGATAGCTTTAAGAGGAGACTTGGAAAACATGTTCTGACCTATGGATTACCTTTCTCCTCTTGTACCAGCTGTCTGATGCATGTATCATCAATTACCTCAGTTATCACTACTGCACAACCAGCAAATACTGTCAATCACTCTTATTGTCACATTCGTTCTCCTCCGTCTATTTACACATCATCAATCACTTAAATTATTCACTTATTCTTGAAGCATTCATCTTCTCTTAGCACTCGTATTATTCCATTATTATTTTCACCATGCAATCAGACAATCACCTGCCTGGTAATATGACAGCTGATGTTATCCTTACTGCTCTGAGACAAGTGTACTCATTCAACAACAAGATATACAAATCCACAAATAACTGGTACAGTGACTCGAAAGACCAAATATTTGGAACTGTACTTAAACAACACAAAGCGAGAGCAAATAAATCCATCAATTTATACGAACTCGTGACAAAGTTATTGGATATTGGAAATCTAGTAGAAGGTAAGGTCACTAGTATAAAGCGCCCAGGGTGCACCTCGTTTAATTTACTGTCTACAGTCATAGACCATTTGATTCATCGTAAGTCGTAGGTGTATCATACTATTCAATTATGTTCCATCAAATACGGTATGTTCACAAAGCCGAATAATATGGTCTTGATATTCAGTGTTTTAAGTTAAATGTATCCATGGATCAACATATTGCATAAAGATATATTTGGGACAACGAGTTTTTATTATTACAGCTATAGCACTAATTAATAACATTATAATTATTAATACTCGGTCCCTGATGCTGCAATCGGCATGTCGATTATACCGAGACCAGTATCGTAGCATGGGGTTTAATTTGTATTCTTGAGTAATTATCATTGTATACAAAATAAATTTGTCATCCGTGTACTGTGTTGTGTTATTTTCTACATTCATCAATTTTTGAATGTGTTTCTTCATACTTATATCTTATACCACCAAGAATTTCGTCTGTTCTCATACGGCGTATTCGAGTTTCATAGTTTGTAATCCTTTAACTAAATATTTCCGGATTAAAATTATAAATTTTAAGTGTACACCAGCCGTTTTCCGATTATTTCCTCTATTTATCTATATTTCATATAACTAGATTAGTCGGTACGGGTACTTTGTTATATATCCATTTTGAAAATTAGAACAACATATATCCATTTGACTTTTAAACAGTGTATACGTTTGATAGGGACAGGATTCGAAAATATGACAGTAGGCCCATAGGCATTTCGTTGTAAAAATTAACTCAGAAAAGATCAAATCAATACAATTAACAACATCGTTATGTTTCATTATCCTTCATTACCAAGCTTTTGGGTGTGGTGCCATACTTGATAAATTTGCAGGTTTCTCACTGATTACCTTATCTTAATTTATAGTTGGAATCACAGCATATGGTTGAGTTTTCACGCAAGTTTATCTAAGTAATGTACACTATTAGCAATAGTTTGAATTTTTCATGGAATACACGGGTCAACACGGTACTTTTTTTTAGTAACAGCTCTCAAAACTTAAACACTGTTGTTAGTTACACGAGGTTCTCTCTTTAATCTGGTTACGAACTTTGCCTGGCTGTTTTAAACTTTACATTGTTTACAATTATCACATTTTGTGCACATGCTCTTTAAATTATCTACTTTCTCATTTCCATTCACAGGTTCTGGATTTATTGGAAAAAATTTCTGTCGCTAATTTCAAACTTAATCCAATTTCAACCAAACCTGTTCACATTTTGGGGGGATATCTACTAACTTGCATTAAAATATGCAGAATTTCTCGCATACAATATGGATGGGTGACGTATGTTTTGTCCGGTTTTTATTCATTTTCCTTTTCTAGCTGGAACCTTACATGGATGAAATGTTTATTAAACGAGCCTTTGAAACATCGGGTGAAAATATAGTAAGTGTAAAAGTTATCCGAAACAAGGCAACTGGGCAAACTCTTGGTTATGGTTTCATAGAGTTTGCTAACTCAACATCCGCGAGAGACGCAATGCTTAAGTTGAATGGCAAGCTCATCCCTGGAGCCCCGGTAAGTTTTATTAGAATGAATCGTTCACTCAATCTTAGTTTTAAACTGAATGAAAATTTGCATACGTATTTACAAATCGTTTTAGATTTCATGAGGCTGTATATTGGAATATTTCGTAGACCACTGTTAGCATTCAGTTAGTAGAAATTTTACTATAAACTGAATCATGACAATTAAACTGTCTAAATGTCAAATTACACTTTATTCTGATCATTATCGTGATTCATGTTTGAATATTTGGGTTTCATAACGTCTTCCTCATAATCCTTTCTATCTTATCACATTTAAGGTACTGTACTGTGAGTAAAAAGACTTAAGCAAATAGCACTGGTTTTCATTAAGAACTATTAGTTCATTAAACATAACTCAAGAAAAGATTGTACTCATATTTATTAATAAATCAATTTTCTGCTCTATATACACGAGAAATCCATCATTCTGATTAATACTTGAAGTAGTTAATAGATTATTCCCCCATGGTGATCAATCATATATACTATACGCATGCGAAATTGTACGTTTTTGACTGGATTTTTTCACCAAGCACCTTGTATTATCTCTTTTCAATATGATTTTATGAGGTCGTTATCTACTTCGATGTCGTTTAAGGATAAGAAATAGTGACTCTATACTAACACTTATGAAGTTGAACAACCGTAGGGTATGCTAAGATAGCTCCTCAACCAAGTTCCCATGCAAATATGCTGCGGGTCGTCATTCATTTTTGTAATTTCAACCGTGGATTCTAATTTGGTTTTATTTCGTTGGTTTTTGCGTGATCTAATGAGTGGATGATATTGATCTAATAGGGTCGTCATAGGATGCGATATGGATGAACGACCGAAAGTAATTCATTTATGTTTCCAGCTTCAGCACTGCACTTGTCATCATATTAGTTGCTGTTTATAATACAAATGTCCCTGGAGATCTGAATAAAGCGAAACTATTAATTTTTCATCTTCGCTATCCGGGATTTGAAGGGGTAGACGCTTTTTATCTCCAGGTTTCATACTGATCTGGTGCATTGTTTTGCTAATGTTATACTTAAGGCTCGTTTTAATTCACCTGACCTATAGACCGACTGTTTCACTCAAGTAGCATCACGCACAGCATTGCACTACTTCAAGCTATTTAGGAACGACTATCATTTTATGTAAAAAAATCCGAATGGATCAACGAAATATCATGAGATGTATCAAGTTCTTATAATAAATTGTTTATTTATTAGACCAAAATAAAAAGGATGAATGCATATAGTATGCTAAGTTAGACTTCAAGTTGCTCTTAACAACCACTAAGTTCCAATATTATTGGAACTACTACTCATTGGTTGTAGTATATCGATGGACATTTGTCCTTACTTTCATGGCGTATTTTCATAAACCTGTCACATCTAATCCTTCTGGCTAATCTTAACGGCAGATAATAGTTATTTGAAGAATTTCTAGAATGTTTGTAAAGTTTATGTTTTATCTTTACTACATATAAATTATTGCACTAACGGGCACCACAATAGAGAAATGATAGAGTTTGGAGAAATAAAGGGAGGAATGGGAGTACAATGAAAATAATAAAATGGAGATCGATAAATAAACAAAAATGTATATGAGATGTCGTTCAGTCAAAAATACAACTAAGAAATTTTATTAGAGTCAGCATAATTTGTATTAAAGTGATTTATTTACATCACCTTTAAAAGTCACAATATGATTGTTATCTTATTAGAGTTGTTGTGTTTCACTAGGATGATGGATTATTGAATTTGAAGCTAGCTTTTATCATAGATTGGTATCAGTTAGGGAACCATTAAAAACCTGGTAGCATTTAACAATCTGAGATTTTTCAGCAATGCTGGCCAACTACTTCACTCGGTTTGAACTGTCAGCCTTTAGTCCTAGCGCTGACTGCGTTAAGTTTGGGACATGGTCTACGATAATATACTTGTTACCTACTGACTTCAGTCTTGTCGGGTGTGACGGATATCACGTTGCAATTAATAGTTATAATCACGCACTATCTTACGTTTATTTAAATTGCAAATGTGAACCACTGTATCCCTACACATTGCTGGTCTAAAATTATTGTACTCCTGATAACACTTGAAAGCTATGGACTTTATCCGATATAAGTCAATAAGAATTTCCGAACTACGACGGTACAACTGCCCAGTCCTTCCTAGTTCTCACTTGATCTGGGTTTAAATATCACTCTGTAGTGAAAATTAACTTCATGTTGTATCCCGCTTTTTATGGATAAAAACATTTAAAATTTATTTGATTACTTTGATGTTTTTTATAGACCAGAAGATTTAAACTTAATCACGCTAGTTACGGGAAAGATAGCACTTCTAGGTATGGATCTGTTGAATAATATTAATCCTTTTAGTAATGAATGTTCGTTATTTGTTGGTGAACTAACAGAAGATGTTGATGATCTTGCTTTATTCAATGCTTTTAAAAAATACCCAACATGCCGCTCAGCTAAAGGTAACTATCACTGTATAAGTGTGTTCTTATTAATCATTATAATTAATAGTTGTGATGACAAATGGCAAATCTCGTGGATACGGTTTTGTTCGTTTCCTCACTGAATCTGATATGGATAAAGCGTTGATTGAAATGCAGAATTATTGTGGTTTGGGCTATAAACCTATTCGAGTGAGTCTTGCTATTCCGAAGCGTTATAATGCAGATGGAAGTTTGGTTGTTACTACAACAGCATCTGAGACGAGTTCAGTGGTTCCAAGTGGTAAGTAATTAAAACTTATCAAACACAGTTTGTCATTAACAGTTATAAGTGTTTTTAATCCGATAAAGTTTATTAACCCTTTATACGTAATCAGATTAGTTTTTATCCTTTACTAAACTACTTCTTTATGCATCACTAGTCTTCTAATAAATCACCAAACCGCTGAAGAAAATCCGACTCAGTCAAAGTACTCACATTTAATTAACGTGTGTGTGCTTCATTCCTTGCTTATGATCTCTTCGTTTCATTCATCCCTTAGCTTATGTTTTCTTGACAAAGGTTTCAATTTGAGCGAAAAACAATTCTCCAAATGATGTTGCATAATAACTCGAAGTCAATTGAACCAAATCATAACTCTCTTCAATTACACAATAGGAGTCATTTTCTTTTATTTAAGGCCGAAGGAAGTAAATGGATAGTTCATTTTAAACTTCCCAAAATTTTGTATCACATATTTATTTTTTGCCGACGTGCCTCCAAATGTCCTGGTACAGCTGGGGTTGAGGAGAGTTCGCTCTCCCTGTTTAAATACTCTCATATAGTCACTGCGATAGAAGTTCTACCCTCTACCTTCTCGTGACGGGCATGTTGTTTACAGAATCGAGTGGACGAAAAGCAAATGTCCGGCGCTTTAACCGGGTTAGTGGGTACGGAGGGTCCATTTAGTAGAGTTGGAAAATCCTGATTCCAAACCAATAATGCACATGGGCTCCAGGATCCCGAGGGGACAAATGGCATGTGGATCTATTCTTAGTCACCGGTTACCGTGGGACTGCAACTCCTAAATTTGCCCCACTGACTTACGGATCAGATCTCTAGGTCAAATACTTGGGTTGTAGTCTCCTAAGAAAATCACCTGCTTCGGTTTGGGCGCCTGAGCATTATACCACAACACAAAAGTTCGATTATTTGTGTGGAGCATATTTATATTGGTCCCCCTCCGTACCAGTCTTGATGTGTTGAAATAAGTAATTAATAATAAAAACAAGACATCAGGAGTTCTAACTTTCATTTCTCGTATTACTCTTCAACCCCTTAGATTATTTTTGGAAATAAAAAAAAACAGATACATAGATCTAGGATGTGACTCCAGGGGTAACAATTTATACAACATATGCCCTAAATAGGATAAAGAATTTTGGGGGGTTTTCATTGATTATAAACAATCATAGTATGAACAAATAAAATCCAATTTGATAACTTCTTGGTTGATTTGAGAAATGATGATCAACTGATTGCTATTTTGCTTAGTTTTTTTAACTTAGACCTTCCTTTACAACTCATTAAAGTAACTAAGATTGCTTAAACTGAGTGAACTTATAGTCCCACGTAAATAATTGGTCGTTACTGAGAATTTTATGTTTACCTAACAAATTTTTAAAATAAGACTTCCACATATAATACTTGTCAACAATTTAAGATTTTAGAACGTTAAACCACTCGAAAATATGGATAAATCAGATGTATTATTATTTATTATTATTTGAACACATAGATATTGTTACAAGGAGGCACCAAATACATATTCGCCACACAAATATCATTTGATTTGTGTGGGGACTGGGATACTGCCCGGGTGCCCAAACCGAAGCAGGCGGTTTTCTTAGGGGGCCACACCCAGAGCCTTCTACCTGAAGGTCTGATCCACAAGGCAGTGGAGCATCGTAAGGAGATGCAGTCCCATGGTAGCCGGTGACCAACGATTGGTTCATACGCCATTTGTTCCCTCAGTATACTGGAGCCCATGTGCACCATTGGTTTGGAGTCGGGGTTTTCCAACTCCCCCCTAGATGGACTCTCCATGTTCACCAATGCGGTTAAAGCGTCGGACATTCGCTTTTCGTCCTCTCAATTTTGTAAACAACAGTAATGCCACAAGAAGGCAGTGAGTAGGACTTCCCTGGCAGAGGCTATATACGCGTGGCCATGTGAGAGCATTTCGAGATGGTGGGCGGACTCTTACCACTCTCGGCCGTACCAGGGCATTTGGGGTTGGGAAGAGCTTGACTCTAGTCCGACTTTGTAAGGAGACATAATGGATGTAGTATAGATAAGAGCTGGGTGCTTCGGTGTCCAACGTAAATGAAATACCACTGCTGTCATTGTTTCTTTACTTATTCAGTGAAACGGGAACGAAATTGTATTTTGGTCCAAAGCACATTCCGGGGTGCGTGGTCTATCGCTGCGTACTTTGGTATCTTGGTCATGTCAGATGAGTCGTGGTACAAATCAGACGTAGCTATTTTTCTCAAGTTTATTTTTTCATTAGGTGTAGTGAAATCTCAATTTCGTACTATGTTTTATAAGGATTATTCATTTTAATCATGACTTCACTGATCGCTACAATTTTTTAGGTATGCCCGATCCATTCACTGCTGCAGTTGCGGCTGCTGTAACGGGGAATTCTGCAGCTCAAGCAGAATATTACCAAGCTTATCAACAATACTATCAACAGTACTATGCTTCTCAATATGCAGCCCAGTTTTATTCCAGTGAATCATCTACAAATGGTGACTTAGCTAATTCTGGAATAACATCGATTGCCGGTGGTGGTACGCTTGTAGGCGATGCTACAGTTCAACAGCATGCATTCGTCGATGCTGCTGCCTCACATTTATATGCTAGAGCACTTCAGCAAGGCACCGGCTCACAAGAATATGCCCCAGGTATTACAATATCAACATCCCGTAAATTAGTCATTTATTTTTGTGTGAAACTATAACCTAGCAAAGATTCACTGTAGTTCAGGGCTTACTTTACTTTTAGTATTTAATTTTAATGCAGTAGGGGTTCGCTTTGTGTGGTCGGAATCAGTGTTTGTAATCCTCTCAGTAATCACATTTTACTATCTAGTTAATGATTTTGAATTTCTTTGCTTACTTCATTCACAGTATTATTATCATTATGTTACCGTCTGTAGCTCAATAAATCTAAGAATCACTGTTTCTCAGTAAATCGTTGAAACAAATAGAAATCGAGTTTTTATCTAACAAGATTTTATTTGCTTCTAGTTACCGTATTTTCCAAGTAAATTATCTCAGCACTGGCTGCTCGCATTGATGACAAATCCTCATTCTGTACCATCGGGACACAGGCGCTTCAAGATCCTAAAAAACCGGATGACTTATTTTAATTAAAGTTACTATGAAAATATACTCGATGGCATCCCTTTTTTGTCTAATTTATCAAGACTTTTAATTGAATAATCAATGATTGTTTATTTCTTAAGAAAAACAGCATCCCTTCGGTTTGGATTCCTTTAAAATATCAATTCACACGTGCAACGTCAGTTCAAAATAGTAAATCAGTGGAATTTACTGCATAGTTACAAAATTCTGACATGCTATCACGATTAGATTTTTCTTATAACAATTTGTGTTTATGTTTTGCTTTATTTTAAGTTCTTCCCTTTTTAAACTGATTCATATAGCCAAATATTTGTGTATTGTTAATTCATCAGCTGTACTACTATATATATGTATACTTTTCATCCATCAATTTCATTTATTCTGCGCGTTTAGTCTATAATTCCGATTGGTATTAATAATTCTAGTTTATAGGTTTTCATCTTGTTAATTTTACTGTATGCACTGCTAATACACGATCTGTATTGACTTAAATCAATACAAATATCATAAATATATTTGTTTTAACCCAATGAGTAGAAAGATTGTACTGTATCTGACGTTTCGCGACTTAGTATAAGCCATTTCGTCAGTGTAAACCAAGGACTGATTATGGTAATCATACTTGTGATATTGACATACTCAAACGAACTGTAATTTTGATTGTACGAAAAATATTCTACATTGTTTCCTTTGTACTATATAAATTTGTGTTAACTTTATTTCGGTTACTGATTTACTCTGAAGAGGTGGCTTATATCAGGTCACGAAACGTCAGGAATACAATTTTTCTACTCATTGAGATGTAACAAAACAGAAATTAAACATTTTTTTATTAACTTTTTACCCAATGATCAATTTATTTAAAATTATCAAATCTAACCTTGGCGTTAATACTTGCAATCCAGATATGTTGCATGTTCCCAGATTTTCCATGATCGACCAATTGATGATTATTTTGTTTCTTGATAGATAATCTTGTTCTATTGGTAACTTATATTTTATGAAAACAGCTTTAATGTTTCTTAGGTATTTATTTAATCAAATGTTAAATCGAATGATCATTTATTGGAATAATGTCCATATATGGTTTGCCTTATTAACTAATCACTTAATAATCAACAGTATTCATTCACATTCTTAGTTATGATACTGACTTTACATTTGAAATCGATTGGTATCACAGTTGACGGTTTATTTATCAAAGTCAATTTTTCATCCACTTGTACTGTTGTTTTCTGTATAAATATCTATATCCTACTTTATTGAGTTATTCTAAGATATATGCTTTCTCAAACCACTATATTTTTTATGAATTGGATATTATTAAAAATGTTAATAATTAAACTGTGAGTGTTATCCTATTTTTGTTTCCTTCTTTATGTTGTTGAAATAGAAAAATTGTATTTCTCTTTCTAACGAAGTGCTATATCTAATTGGTTTGGTTTTCAAAATCATGACGTTTTTGTTCATCTCTCATCCCTACCTATTACCATTTTTTTTGTAATGCTCTTGAATCTTGGGATTATCTGGACGTTACAAATTTTTTGTCGAGTAGTCGGACTATGATATATTACCAATCTTTCTAATCCCTTAGATCGATTTGTAAATGCGTGAAGGACCATTAAGGGTTTGTAAAACAGCAGTAAAATCAATAGTTGGGAATATGTTACGTTATGTTCTACACTAGTATAAAACACGCCTTTTTTTAAGGACAATGGATATTCAAATGTTTGTTGTCTTTTAATTATTACTGTTAATGTTATTATTTTCTGTTTTCTCATCTTATTTCATGATGTTCTCTAATTTCTGTGTTATGATTCATGGTTCCTGTTTGTATATTGACACAAAGGTTGATTCAAACGTATGTCATAAATGGTAACATGAAGTGTTACTGTAAGATACCTACGGTAGTGTGATATGTATCATATAATCTGTATGAGAAAAGAGAAGTACAAATTATAAATTGATCCAATAGTGTTGATATAAAGTGTTATTGTTAACTCTTCATTTCACTCATTACTTTGTATACAAATAATTTCATACAAACCGGTTTTTTCTTTCTCTTGACATTTGTTCTTCATAAACAATAGATTATTATTTTAAATGTTATGGGGTATTGGTCACTTGACTACAGTTAAAATCATCGTATACTGACTTATCTAATATACATAGTTGTAGGCCTTATTATACTCCTTTATCAAAAAATATGAAATAACGCTTTAAGTAATAATTATTCAAGAATGTTTTTGTTTTTTAAATTACTATAATTTAATTAACCAGTTATGACATAGCTCAAAATCTTTTGCAATGTCTTAGGTGCATCCACTCTTTGTGTCCTCGCAAATTCTAATCTTCTGAATTCTTTATGTCCCTTTCTTTCTCTTTCCAAATTTATTTCACTGTATTATACTCCTTGAATAACATCTTCAAACTTTAATATTTCTGATTACTGCTTATACTTTTACTAACTCTACCACTATGGGATTTGGATCGACAACTGCATCTCTGTGCTAATATGCTATGGCAACTCGAACTAATGTATGTACGTACGAAGTTCTACGTTATTACTGACTGACTGAACCAGTCGATCACATTCACTATAGCATATCAATTTTTAATTAGATTTTTTTGGCATTAGCAAAGAAGAATGTTTGAAACGTAAATTTTTATTACTTTAAATTAATCATTACTAGTTTATAATGTTTAATTTTCTTTTAATTTATTATTTAGAACCACATGTTTTATCATCAGCTTGTGATCGTCCACGACATGTAGATGATTTAGATGAAGTGTTCAATTTTTTAGAAGCATCACGATGGCATGTCACTGATCCATCATTGGGATTATTTATTAAAATAAGACCATAACTATTTATTCACCTTTATTATTCTTGTTTTTAGTAAAGTACGTTGTATTCTTATAAGTTTGAACAAAGTATATTGAGTTTCTTTTTTTTAACAAAAGGAAAGTATTTGGATTATATGATGTAAATACATTTCATGTATACGTACGTTTTTATTTTTGTTTCATATAAGTATCTAATTATTAATTTGATGTATTCTTTTGTAAAACGATAATCTAGGATTTTCAATAAAATATTTTCCCAGTTTTATAATTAGAAGTATTCGTAGTTAAATAAGAATATGTTGGAATTATTTTTCTTACAAATTATGATATAGATAAATAGATCTAAATCCCAGTAATAAATCTTCTAGATGTTCAAGTACAAACTAATTTGTTCGGATCATAGATGTAAGGCAAGTGGTGTTTTGTTTCTAATTATGTAGTTCAAAAATATCTTAGTTGGTGTGTTATGAATTATTAATCCTGTCTATATTAATCATGTTGAGTTACACTCTGTCTTGTAGTCTCTGAGTACCTCAAGGAGGTGACTAGAATAGCAAGCTAACGATATAATTCACAATAACAAATTAAACCTAGGAGATATAAAAGCATGTAAACTTGTCGGGATTCATCTTGGAAGGTGAAATATCTTTACGTTAATATCACTAGTGTGTTATGCTCGTCAGATCGCTGTTTGAACTATAGTCATCCAGTGTGTTTTGTGTTTAGAGGATATCTTTGTCTGAGGAGTCATCCTCAGAAACTTGGACAACTAGCCTACTGTATTGTGGTGATGCTCATGTGTCAAGTCCTAGAATAAGTTTTGCACCAATGTTTTGATTAGCTATCAACAACCATAATCTCGAAACTACAGTAGTCATCACTTATTAGTACAAGTATTTTCATTCTCCACGAAGAATTAATTGCATCGTATGAATCTTGGATAACATTCGTTCCGGCACCTCGTTGGTCCACACTCGAGAATGTGAAGATAGTGTGCTGTTAGGGAAACTAGATTCTCTCAAAATGCTGAAGTCGTAAGATTTGCCTAGGACATTTTTAATCAATAGTAGCTTTCATGACGCATTTTAATTTGACCTGAAGCTTAGCGATCCACCCAAATGTGTCTGAAAGTTGGGGCCTGAGTAAATGCGTATGGTGGGGGTTGTAGTTAATTTACGTGACACCCACTTAGAATGCTATGTGGCTATTCTCATGGTATAGCGGGTGCAGGAAGCATTTTGAAGAATTTTCGTGTGGTTTTAATTTCACGCCTAAAAGTTCATGATATTCGTGTTATTTACCCTACACTGCTCTACAATAAACATATCTCTGAATAACGCTTTATTTCGAATTAGTTATAGACTAAGAGTGGTAAATATGGTCGTTTACAGACGTCTTTTGAGTTTTTAAGACAATTAAGGGGGCTTTAAAGCTATATTTTGTGTAGTTAAGCTTATGCAATATATATTTTAAGTGAAATTATCCATCAGTCATTACATTTGGAAACTCTTAGTCTATACATCGCGTAGAATGCTTGGGGTTGCGTGTGGCTTTTTAACCGACTGAAAAGCTACATAAGGGGATCGGTGCAAAGCTGAGACCATGTCAAATCTGCTTCCCTGACCTTTGTTCAAACGGGGATTCTGCATTTCAAGTGCTTGAGGTTTCTAAACGTGTATTAGTTTAAATGCGTTCGTACTATTTGCATAACTGGGTTGCCTGTTTAAGTCTAGAAATTTGAAAAAGTTTTAACTTACTTTAGGTGTGTTATCCATTTTAGTGCAGACATTTCATTTATTTTCGGGTAATTGTCCATTTGAGGGCTGTCGTTTTGTCTGCTCTGTCGGAGAGCGTTTTATATTTCAAAAATACCTTAATATCAGTAACTATAATAAAATGCAATTGTAGAGCCTGGTTGATTACTTTGGCAGGAAAATATCTAGCTCTGTTGGTCAAGCCCCTAGTTCCCGAGATATTTCTTACGAACAATTTAGACGTCCGATGCTGAACAAATTCTTGCTTCAGGGTGATATCTTAGGGAAATTTATTCAATTTCAACGCTTGAGGTAAGCGTAGTTATGCTGGTTTGTAGACTACGCACACTCACCATATAGAAGTGGCGAAAGTACATTGTTAAGAACGAATCTTAGGCTCAAAGATAAGAAATCAGTTTCTTCATAATGTCCAAAACCAGGCTTCCTCATGATATCGGTCCGAATTATTAATTAAATATATGTTGTCACGTACTTTATATGGGAACTAGAATATCCCCTATGAAAATGTTTCACCGTCTGCCAATAGCGATCATGCTCTTTTATCGTTTGCGTGTAGGGCATATGATTAGGTTAGACCTCAACCGAATGTATGGAGGAGAAACACAAATGCTATTTGCAGCTATAACAATGAACTTGTCAACGAATACTAGCTCATCAACTGAAGATGCACTATTCATAATAAAACAACACTTAGTTACGTCCCTGTTTATCCCAGGCTTATTGCCACGCAGATCTAATAACTCCCATCATAGGTAACCAAATAGATCGTAAACATATAAGGCGTAGGTAAGAGCGTTGAAGCATGTTTATCTCTACAGGCTTTGAACAATGACCCTGGTTAAAATACGTCTTTAACGCTGGCATGACCATAAGCGGTAAAGGTGGTGACAGTCATGCTTGAATAGAAAGAAGTGATTCGCGCGTTTGTGAGCTGCTATGGTTTTCTACTACATATGAGTTTGGGCGTGTAAGATACTATGAAAAACATTTCTATACGATCACTAAAATTGTCGTGATTTATATTTTTTTCAGTTGAATAACCCTTTTTTGTGAAATGGTATTTCCCACCCATGGACAGTAATAGTAATAGAAGTAGTAAAACACGTTGTTCAAATAAGGTTTCTGCCAACCTAGGTGCTTTTTCCAGCAGCGGTTGCTCTAGCAAATATTCTACGACTGGGAAGAATTCGAACATAGCTTCAATGAGTTTCAATAAGTGAAGGTTAAATATTTTAAGTGCAGATAATGTATGCTCATTATATTTGTCTACTGAGTGTAGGAAATCGTAATGAGTAATTGAAGTATGAGTTTATTTTTTTTTAATGTACATTTTCCATCAAAAGAAAGTTAAAACGTTTTGACCTCATTATCGAACCATAAGAAAGCTCAGTCACATGCAGCTATGAAGATACAAGCATCTTGAATGTCAAGTCTCCGAGTTGCTACTTTATTAACGAATACCATTTTTTTATTAACATTCAACGTTCAGAGATGAACGTTCCAGCCTGAGTCATCGTGGTGCTGGAGTTTGGTATTATTCCATTTCCATCTAAGCACATACTAACAGCAATGTTTTCTATTTATTTCGTAGTTCGTTGCATGCGTTTGTTCAAATGTTGACGTCGTTCATAATAAGTGGTCATTGAGAAATGACGGTTGCCAGCAGACCATTCATAGATAATACATATATTGTTAAACCTAGCGCAGCGCCTTTATGCACCAAGGTGGACACCAGTTTCTAGGGCGATTATTTATGGGTAATTCGTCTTCTATGTACCCGACCATTAACAAATCGTTTGTTTTGCTTAGATAAGTGTTCGATGACTCAGTAATATATCTGTACAGTTCCATTACGGTCTTTCTGACAACCCTTAGTGAGGTTTTACAGCCCCATTAAAATAGTAATTGGTCAGTAATATAGTGAATTCTCTGTAGGAACCGTTTTTAGGAATGAGACGACTGGTCCATACTTTTGGTTTACACTAATGAGTGATATTTAGAGAGGTTACATAAATGAAACAAGGGTGTAACTCATCCGGTCTAATATGGCTTTTGTTATAAAATCTTTATAATTTAGGTAGTTCAAACTGACTTTGAAAAAGTGATAAAAAAAATTTAAAACCCTGTAGACTGTGATATTTTTTTAAAAAATCATTCATCCATTTTCTACTTTGGGTTTTCCTGTCAGAAAGCTAAAAATCAGGATGAGATAATTCAGGTTTCTAATTTTGTTTACCACGCCACTTGATGAACTCATGGATACAAGAAGACTCGACATAGTCAGCTTATTGTATAATTATCAGGATAAGATCAAATTTTTGTAGTGTTCAGAGTCAGGCAATTTGTTAGCCTGATGATTTTAAATATTGATCATTGGAATTAGCGCATGTATAACCAACTTCAAGGTCATCACTCCGAACACTTAGTCACTTCAGATGAGTAATGTGTTGACTCGTGGCCGCCTTTCACATTCATTTTCGAACTCTGACCAAGATGCTTTCGAAAGTAAATTTCATGTTTAACATCGCTGTGCATATACTTATACTTGTCAACCGTAGCATTTGTGTGGCGCCGTATGTTTTTTTGGCATGTTTTGTTCTATTCGTTAACTGGTCGACGAAAAAGCTAAAATAAAAACTGGTTATAACTCAATCATTATTTTAACCCATGCCATTGCCCCGGAGATCATGATTATTTTGTTTGGAGTCAAAGCAGTGATCGCTCTGTCATTAAGGTCTTACTATTATACCATATTGACGAAAAGATTGGCAAGGTTTGGATGTCGAACGTAAAATCACTTGAGCATTCTTGTAGCTAAGATAAAGTCGACTTTGGTTTACTTGCCGAAATCATACTCTAAAACAATTTCTTCATATACCGCGATATTCAGTGTGAGTTCATCTAAGTGGCTTTAAAATCTTGAAGATTTCACCATCAAACCGTTTAAAAATTTTATGTGACAGCTATAACATTTGTAGATCTTTGTGGTAGATGTGCTGTGCTCTTGATATTATAAATTCATTACCTCGGACCTTGCTCTTTGCATAATCTCTTTATATTTTGATTCTTAACTTGCAAATTGAATCCAATATTATGAATTTTGTTTACATTGCCAGACGTAGAGCAAAATACCATACTCTCAAACTCTTATGCAGCTATTTATGGCTTTTTCGTCTTAGCCGATAGACACGGATTTTGTTTAGTTTACCTTGGAAATGCGGATTCTGTTAATTATATAATTATGTAGGTTATCAGTTCTTATGGATGTTCTTCACTTTTGGATCTTTTATTTCCTTTGAATCACGATTTGCTATTTTTGCTTACTTGACCATTAGTCTGGTTTTCCCTTCCGTAGAATGAGTTTATCTGGTCACTTTTTTATCATAGACTTTTCTATAATAATTTGGAGGTTGGTTGTGATAGTTTTTCGACTTTTGATTTCTATACATAGGATTCCATCTCGTTCACTGCTGTTTCAATTTCGTGACGATTTAAGTTGTGTTCGTTCGGGTTCTGATCCAAAAAACCGGTTTCACTTCGGAATCAGCTCCCCAAGAATGGCTCATAAGTAGCAACTTCATTATAACCACATCCAAGTTCCTAGCTTGCCTAGTTTTCTATAAGCATTCCACCAAGTTTCACGAACAACCCTCTAGTGACCCTTGATAGAATTTCTACTAGTAATTGTGAAACAGTACCAATCTTATTATCTCTAGAAGTTTCTTTTAATAAAAACAAGCTGTCAGCTTCCTGAATCAAGAATAACTGCGAAACAGAGAAATACCAAGCCAGTAACAGTTTCTCGTACAATGTATCTTAGAGTTATCAGGTCGGTATATGCCCCGTGATAATATCCAGCAAAGCTGTCGCTCTCCATAGCAGTAAAATTAGTAATCATAGACTGAAAAACATAGAACCACAAAGTCAAAAGGTATATCAAATTGTTAGAAAAACTCAGAGATTTGCCTGAAACTTTATCAAAGGTCTATAAACGAAAAGTCCAAATTATAGACAAAAACCAAGAAAAACCGGACTTTACATTAGTTTATGTTCAAGATTGGTTATATGATTTCCTGTGTTGATTTATTTTGATTCTAAAAGGAGTAGGGTTATGTCTGTGGAAGTCTGGGTATGAATAGTTTAACCTACCGAAGTGTAGGCTTCGTATATTCAGTCTTCATTGCACAAATATGCTCTTTGAAACTGTAGAAATCCCGAACCGTTTATTACTTGTGATCTGTTTTCTTTACTCATTTTAATGAGTAATGTTATCACAGTGCCTTACAACTTAAGTCAATTCTTTTTGAGCGAAGTTTTACTATAATTCCACTGTCCAATTTGATATTTTTGTCTCCTACTACATTGTATTTTAGCCACAGGGTTATTCCACAAATTCGTTCGCTGATGAGTTTTCATGTTTTTTAGTCGTTTTGTTAAATTTCACGGGTATTACCATAAAAGGTTGGATCTAAAACGCATCGTTAAGAGCAGTTTTGCCGTATGTTTGTGAAACACGGCCTTTCCGATTTGAGGATGTCAGACAACTCTGTGTTTGAACATTGTTGTCTCCGAATGATTTTTACAACCAGGGTCAACACCAAGTTGGTGATCAGAGGTCCAGTAACGTGTGTTTGGGTACAGAGGCAATACCTCAATTGGCATCACCGTCTTGAAACACTGACTTCGGTGGCTTAGACATGTCCTATGAAAGTCGTCCCGGTAGACGTTACATCGCGCATTATTTGCCGACGCTGGTGGTGATTAGTGCACAACATAGTGTCGTGGTACGGAAGAACTGTATAGGACTGATTTTTGTGGATCCTCCACGACCGCCTGGTTGGGGTTCTAGCGATGGTGCAATACAATGGCTTGAGACGTTATCAAAAATGGCTCAGAATACAAGCCACTAGCAATCCCGCTGTGACTTTATTTTGGTTTCTTCATAAGAGAAATTGTTACTTCTTTAACTGAAATGGTTCCTTGTGGTTGTATTTTTCCTAACTGAACTGCTTTTCCCATTATTATTATCATTATTAATAATATCATTACTATTATTTCACGCACACTAATTCCTGTTCATTGTTGTTTTTCTTTTTATCATACGCATTTCACATTATCTGTCTTCACAATCTCATTTTTGTTGTGTGACGCATATATATTTGGTGTTCCCTTGTCTCAATGTTTGTATCCAAATCAATAAATTATTCAGGTATGGAGAAACTTACTGAGAAAGCCTTTTTTCCAACATTTGATGGTCTTAAAAATTCACGAAATACACTGTCCCATAACTTACGTTTTGGATGTTACAGTTTTCATTTTTAACCATTGACAGTCCGACTTACGAATATCTGAATAAACATAAGAACTAATTACGACTACGATTTGTCAGTGCTTACCCTATCTTCCTCGGAGTATTCAGTAGCTTATCACTCTCCACTTGTTTGTTTCTCCTTCACGTGTTCACTTTAAAATATCTCTTCAGTATCTTCCTGTGTGATCATTTAATCTGGTTCATTGTTGTCTATATTCACTAATGGAAATTAAATGTATTTGTTTTCGGAGTTTTTTCAGCTTAGCTGCTATTACATTGGAGGACTGCCACTTCAAACGTAGATATAACTTAGTCCTCTTATTTGTTTGCAAACTAGCATTTCTCTTATTTTCTGTCAGCTTAGACCAGATCAAAATAACTAAACATCAGTTTGGTGTCACAACCGTAAGAAATTTTTTACTAAAATCTCAGACAAATTTATATTTAAATCACTAAAGGTGCTTTTTTTTACTTCGTAGATGCAATTATTCGAGTTGGCACAGATTTTCAAGCTGACCTTCCGCTTTTCAATGGTGAACCATCTCCAAGCGTTTTCAATCAACCAGATCGGGGAGTTGCTTTATGGCTTCCTATACCTGGTAGTCTCCATAATCAGTTGGAGGAATTTTTAAATACAGCTACTGAAAAATATGGGTAAACTAACTAGTCTTAATATGTCTATTTATGTATGACAGTCAGTCAGCTACAACGTAGGACCAGGGACATATATGGATCGGTCCAAGTTGCCATGTGTATTAAATTGTTTTTTAGTTGACTTGGATCAAATTTTAACTCTGTCAAGTTGATTATTCCAAATGTCTACTATACACTGGCATTTTAGTACATATACGTATAAATGTCATGTGATTTAGCCATTTATAGACTCGTTTCATGATCATCTTGTGGTGTAGATTGATGAATATCTTATACCTCAGTTAATTTGATTTGTTGATTTGTTTTAAATAAAATCATGTTTCAAATAAACATTGATCAATGGAAAATTTAGTTTCGTGCCAAAAATGCCTTAGTTTTAACATTCTTGACAGTATCTCTATGCTTTCTACAATAAGTATGGATTTAGGACAAACAAAATAACCCACAAATGGTTACGTAAGTGGATTAAAACTCTTAAGAAGACCTGTTTTTTAGCAATTACTTTGATGAAATTAACCTCAACTTAAGGTTTGTGAATAAAAGTTAAATATCTAAGCTTAGTTAATACGTAACCTTATAAGCCACTAGTTTGTGTCTGATATCAGTTTAGCCTATTTTTAAATTTTCATAATCAGTATCAAATTACAAAACGTCTTCTTAAATCTTTTAATAGTTCATTTATTCCCTTAAAGTAGTTTTCATCACAAATGTACATTACGTGATGCACCAAAAATCATAATAATTTACACAATGATATGCACAAGTTAGCAAGTGATGTACTTAACAGAATTTCATATTCATATACATCTTTGTGGTGTACTATGCATCTACTGACCATCGTTAAATTTTATTTTTATATTTTATTTTATTTTAACATAAATATCGGTACAAGAAGGCACCAAATACATATGCGCCACACAGATCTCATTTGATATGTGTGAGGGCTGTGATACTGCCCGGGTGCCCAAATCGGGGGGGGGGCCACACCCCGAGCCTTCGACCTGAAGATCTGATCCACAAGGCAGTGGAGCATCGTGAGGAGATGCAGTCCCATGGTAGCCGGTGACCAACGATTGGTTTATACGCCATTTGTTCCCGCAGGATACTGGAGCCCATGTGCACCATTGGTTTGGGATCCGGTTATAGCGCCGGACATTCGCTTTTCGTCCTCTCATTTTCGTAAACAACACCCCCGCCACGAGAAGGCAGTGAGTAGGACTTCCCTGGCAGGGGCTGTATACGCGTGGCCATATGAGAGCATTTCGAGAAGGGGAGCGGACTCTCCCCACTCTCGGCCGTACCAGGGCATTTGGGGGCATCGTTAAATTTTACACTAAATTGAGTGAAATAAATCCTTAATATTCTGTTTCCAATCGTTTCTTTTTATTCATATTGATGCCTAATGAAAGCCATTTTAGTTAATGCTTTCAGACGACATCTAATAAAGCTTGTTAAATTTTTCTTGAACAAAAAACTATAAACTGTTAGGTTGTTGGAAGTAATTGCCACTCATCATCAAGGCGTATCTATAATCTTAGGAAATCTAATGGTCCTTGCTGGATTAGAAGTTGCAACATCCTGAGCTGCTCATTGTAAGACTTTATCAATGAGTTATTCGGCTAGTTTTGCAATCCATCACATATATAGATATTGCATATTATATTGAGTCATTTAGACTAATTTAATCAAAATAATTCGATCAGCATCAAATGACTAAACAAACAGGCTATTGTGGAGGATGCTAGATCTCCAGAACTCACTTGGTAAATATCTTATTTTTGTGATTCTATTTTGGAAATTCGAATTTCTTGTATTTGAGCCAAAAGCCCTCATTTTCACCCTCATATTGTATTTTCTACTTGGCAAGACCTTAAATGTCATTAGTTCGTTATCTCTATTTATATGCTATTTTGTGACGTTCCTCAAGAATATTTTTATGCTGTGTATATACACTTGAGTTGTGCTTCTTGTTGTTGTTTGTGCTCCTGGCTGCTTGTGCAATACACTTTCTGTCTTTTGAACCTGGACTTCTCATTCTATTTAGCAGGGCTGGGACGTATCAGAATAGTCAGCTTATTTGGTCACTGTATCGCTGAGTCTTCATTTCGTTCGCTGATTTAGTTGATCTCGTAATCTCTTTGAACATAGCAACTATTGATCACTATTCAGTGGTTGATTAATTGTAAAATTATTAACTGAATGAAATTCAACCTAATTCTATGCAAAAAATTATCATATAATCTTTATTTGTTTACATATTTATTTACATTAAAGTAAGAAATATTACTTTGTTTTATCAAGTTATTCAGAAGAACAAGCTCTTGCTTTACTTACATGGCATAAAACTGATTTTGATCATGCTTTAGCAGATTTATGCAATTTTAGTCCAATCAAATATGAATGGACAATATCTGAACGAAGAATATTTTTTATATCTGTTGACTATTATAATAAACAATTTCATCAAATAAAAAAACTTGTAAGTATCTATTTAATTTATAAACATCATTAAATGGGCTTTCTATCTACATTAATCAGTAATATATTTGTTAATATTTTAATAAATCATAAAATGTCTAACTTCAACTAATTCACGAAATTGCTCCACCGTACACCATTGTCTTCAGTGAGCTGATATCTCACAACAGACCTGGTTGAACCCCACTGGTCACGGCTTCTTACTAGAACTCCAGGATATGCCTCTTGAAGTCAGTCACTAATGAGCAGATGATTATTATCAGAAGGGGTTTTGTGGAGATTTTAGACATCAACACCGTTGGATGCCGGCCGACTCAGTGGTTTAATGGTTAAGCGCTCGCGCACGAGACTGATAGGTCCTGGATTCGTATCTCGTGGAGGGCGGGATCGTAGATATGCACTGCTGAGGAGTCTTTAGTGGCCCGTGATCTGACTCCAATTTGATCGTAATGATTGGTTGCTATCGTCTATCTTCGTATATAATCATTGACTTAAATCGCGTTAGTTAATAACGGAATTAAATAAGTCAAATAACGAGAATGGAGTTTTGAATGCATATATTTTGTATAATTGTTAATTAGACAAACGAACGGGAGAACGACGCGAAGAGAAGAAAGCGAAGCAAAATTGACGAGTGGTGGAGATGGCTGGTAAGCCAACGCCCTGTTAACCAAGAGTTAATCAATATTTATAAGCCCACAAAAATAAATTACAGACATGTGATGAGTAACGGGATAAGAAGTGTACATACGCCTACGCGCTCATACAAAGACAGTCAAGATATTGGTAAGCGAATAATTAACAAGGTCAGAATGTGACTCAAATAGAATGAATAGAATGGGCTGTCCGTAAGTTAGAATAATAAGGTATTTGGGCTTAACATAATGACAGACACTACAAGTCCCATACTAGAACGAAACGACCGTCCAATGCTTCCAGGTTTTGCATGATGGTCTTACTTCAATTGACTTATGATTTCAACTATTGAAATTACTAAAATCTCTACAAAACTCTTGATAATAACTCGTCTTTATTGATTATATCAAATCTGAATTGGTTTGTGGAGTAGAAAACAATAATATTACAAAGTATAAACAGATTCTATGTACTGAATGAATTTATAAATTTTTCTACAGGTTAATCTACCTGTAAATTGGTAAAGCAACGACATAAAAGTTCGTCCTTATAGTTTTAGATTATCTGTCTTCCCAAACCTTTAGGATTAGAATTCTCATCAAGAACTGATATCATGTATGATGCAGAAGTGGTTTATACCCATATGATTGAATGAGTTTTTCTTAAAAAAATGTAGGACGCTCTATCTAATTAATTTGTGCATAAAATATAGTCCCACTAATTTAACGTTTACTTGAGAACTGAGGGTTCAGAATTTTGATTTAGGCATAATATTGATTTGTCTGTTATACACAATCGACAGTGACTAAGTTGAGCGTTTGGTACGTTTGGCACCATCATTTTTACTCTGTGATAGGAACGTGTAGTTTTTCACAATCATTTTAAACGTTTTAAGCACCATACTGCTCACCATAAGCAACATTCGAATTTGGCGCAAACACCTAAATGTCACGTTTTCAGTTCTGATAGGCTCATCCCTATACTATATTTTTCCTCATAATTAATTGAAATTTTTAAATAAACGGAAGATACTCATTGAGATAGAAAACAAGAAAGAGTGGTTCAGTCAAAAGATATCCTTTCAGTGAAATAAAGTCTCACTTGTTTTTTTAACGGTAAAAAAACAGTATTTAGTTGGTTCTTTAAAACAGTTAACCAATGAAGTTTTTTTTCACATGACCTGACACTTAAGTGCTTTCTAACTGTAAAACCGTTTATCGTTATAATTAGGTAAGTGATTATTTTAAAGATTATAATGCACTACAAAGTGTTGTAGTACATATATTGTTAGTCAGGTAGGTTTTAAAAAACCATTTAGTGATTGGAGCACTTACATTTCAACCAGTAGGCCACAGGTTTGAACCTCATTTTGCTTACTTCAGTTTAGGCTGCTAGGAAGAGGTAGTATCACTATCATTGACGCAAACAAAAAGGCACAATGCTGAATGCATAAGCTTGTTCTTGATAAGCTACACCGACTCATGATTTAAATAGTGTGGCGCATATATATTTGGTGCCCCCTTGTACCAATATTTATGTGTTCAGATAAAAATAAAAATAAATGATTGAAATAGCTCTCTTAAATTTATTTAAATTATAAGTCTGTCTATATCATATTTAGTAAGAGTTTGAATTATCCCGTTTTTGATATTCAGGATAGAATATTGGCCAGTCTCTATTGGCACATGTGTATCTAGAACTTTACCTCTTGGTGCAATCATTTTGTCTTAAGTTCCTATAAAATAGGTGGTTTATGGCTAGTAATAGAATCCAGGATGCGTTCCGTCTTTTTCTGGACTCGTCATTTAAATGTACATGCATCCTAGTGTTGATGTTTACATCAAGGTTCCAACTCAGTACCTTTCGTATTAAACACCGTATAGGTTATCCACCTAGATGATGAGTGCAGATATCCACTAGCTTATACAATGGGTATAATGTTTATATCATTTTAATGAGGGCTTGAATACTACTGCCAACAACAATCCATCTATTTACATGATGTATGCATTGATTCATTCCTGTTATTCCGCTAATTATTTAATAATACAAACTTTACAATAATCACTTGACTATTTCTACTGTTGTCTCTCTCTCTCTCTCCCTTTAAAAGTTTCCTAATCGTACTGTCAATGAATTAATTCTATTCTATTATCTTAATAAACGCAATCAACAAACATTGCACGAAATGGGTTTATACGGACCTAAATGGTCTAGTTTGTATAGACGTGGTTATTTAATCCCAGGCATTTTACCACCACCGGATACTGTCCCTGTAAAGACACTGACCAGTAATCATAAAGTTAGTTGTGTGCTATTTTGTTGTTATCAATTATTCTAGTTTTCAACGTGTATTTGTATTGATTGCTTGGTTCTTCCCGTTTATGTGATGAACTGCAATTAATCCGCACCTTTCGGTTTATGTGCATCCTGTGAGAATTACCCCAATAATGTCATTAGGTTACAAGAATTATAAGCACAGTTGGATGGTGGCTAGCAGTCGAAACTAGGATTTACCTGCACCTCAGTGTTTTTGTTCACACTGAAACATTTCACATTAAACATCCACCGCGTTATCCACTTAGCTACTGAATCTAGACAGGCACTTGCTTATACAGTTTATTTTTGTTTGTTTTGCTTACATGTGTTGCATATTTTCATTGTTGTTACTTAAAAGGATAGAAATTTAAATATACCTATTAAGTCGGTTTGGGCACCCAGGCAGTATCCTAGCCCACACACAAATCAAGTGACTTGTGTGGCGCATATTTATTCGGTGCCCCCTTGTACCAATATTTATGTGTTCAAATAAACAAATATATAATAAATAATGAACAATTTATTCACAGAAGGAATCATTTTCAATAAATTTATTTTCAAAATGTATAATCCTATATATGTATATGATAAATTGCAGATCACTGAATAATTATATCAATATAGGGTATTTATCTGTTTATTTAAACACATAAATATTGGTACAAGGAGACACCACTTCATTCGATTTGTGTGAGGAGTAGGATACTGCCCGAGCGCTCAAACTGAAGCAGGTGTTGTTCTTAGAAGGCCACTATCCGAGCCTTAGACCTAAAGGTCCAATCCACAAGGCAGTGGAGCAACTTTAGGAGATACAGTTCCATGGTAACCGGTGACCAACAATTGGTTCATATACCTTTTGTTCCCTCGGGATCCTGGAGCCCAATATGAACCATTGGTTTATAATCAGGGTTTCCAAACATCCTTACATGAATCCTCCGTACCTACCAACCTGGTTAAAGCGCCAGGCATTCGCTTTTCATCCTCTCGGCTTTGTACACAACATTTCGTGAGAAGGCAGTGAGTAGGACTTTCCTGGCAGTAGCTGTATACACGTGGTTATATGAGTGCATTTCGAGAGAGAGAGAGAGAGCTGACTCTCCCTACCCTTGGCCATACTAGGGCATTTGGGGGTTATTTTAGTATTGATGTCAGCTTGTATCATGTACAATTCATACAAAATGTGTTACTTGAAGTTGAGTAGAAACATATGCACTTAGTAAGTGAAGATGAATAGAAACCGAAAAGCTGCTTGGATTTCAATATCTCATAGTTTTGTCGTATACTTTATTTTTAGTCAATGACATTATTGATTCATCTTAAATAAACTTGTTCAACCATTTATTTAAAATATGAGTACTTTTCACTGTCCTACAGTGAATCAAAATAATGCGAACAGTGTTGTTTCATATGTTGTATACCAACAGAGATTGGTCAGTTTCATACTTTAACCTCAATAATGTAAAACTACAAACGCTTGCAAATAAATTCATTTCCGTTGAATAATTAGTGTCTATCTGGACCTAGTAGCTAATCGGATAAACACATCGGAGTTTGAGTTTCCGGATGATCATCATCTCTGAAATTCAGATACATTCATCTGAAAAGTGAGAAATAGGACAAAATACGTTTCCACGACTATACTTCTAGCTGCAATCTAACTTTACTAAGCACACTTGTCAGTTGTCTTTTTCGTGTGGATTCTTTTCACTTTCAAAACACATACTTGAATATCAAGCTTTAAGGAATTTCTGAAGTCATATGTAACAACATTCAACAATTTAGACGGGTCACATTAATCACAGTTTGCTATTCTTAAGGTTGACCCCATTCTTCTTTTGTAAGGAGGCAGTATTGTTGTAGATGTTGATTATCTGAAGGAAACACCTTACTGTCGTCACACTCTTCTACACAGTTAAGAGTATAACTTCGACCTCAGGTTATGAGTTTGTTCCTTTCACTTTTACCTGTCTCTAACCGATTTACCTAGCATATTAGGACTGATCAGAAGTACTCTAACGAGGAGGTCAATCGATAGCAATCAGAAGTAACTTGAAGAACAAGCGCATCTCATTGGCTAAGAAATGGGTCAATTTCCTAAGGATTGAGTGGTATTTACGTGAATGAGTATGTGCACATTTGATTCGGTAGCCCAATGAACTTTCTAGCTCACTCTTATGTTCTTGCTCAAGTAGTCGATTGGGAGGTTAGCGCGTAGCACACCGTGTATCAATATCATACTCTGGACACCACCCCCCGTCATAACAGGGACCCAAAGAAACAGCTCTTACAGTCACCGTGGCTCGATTGGCCATCACAATATGCAAGCCTGACCACCATTTCGGAGCAGCAGCTATGATCAGGATTGTTTACATGATGTCTGGGCATAACATTAGGAAAGGTAACCGTCGTTACTTGGCACATTTGATCTACAGATAGTTAGTTACCTTTTGTTTTGAATATTTCATCTCAATAGGTAGGCGAATTCTTAGAATTTCGATCAAAAATTCAGTTGAATGAATTCGTCTCACATTTCTTTTCTATATATATTCATTCTACATAGAAATATACTATCGATTTAGATACGAATGATCCGGTCGATGCAGAAATCAAACGTTATTTTGATACTTTGCATGATTGTGTATTATTACCGGAATCGGAAGAATCAAATCAAGACACAGAACCTGGCGGTGGTGGTGGTGGTGGCACATCAAGTATGCAATCGGATTCCGAGGCAGAAGTGCGTACACCATCTTCTTCCGCAGTAGCGGCCAATATTGAAGGGAGTGAACAAATACTAGATTATGAACAGAATAAAGTAAGAAAAGATTCCAACGGACCTGGTCGTAGACGTCGAAAACAATATGGTGCTGGCGGTAAAACTCGATCTACCACTTCGGGATTTATTTTATCGCAATCATCATTAAATTTATTACCGGATGATTTTAATCCAACAAATCGTTTGTCTGTACGTAAACATGCACGTTTTGAAGAAGAGATTGCAGCTGTAACATCAGCCGCTATAACTTCTAGTAATAGTGGTCAATTACGTGAGAACAACAAAAAGTTAGTTGAAATACATACAGGCATTAATCCTGGTGTACGTAGTTCCAGAAGAGGTATATTGTTTGCTACCACACCACATACAATAAGGTATTATTTGATTAATATATAAACAAAGTAATAAAAAGTTTTTAGGTTTTCAATTCTTTTTTTTGCTCTTTTAATAGATTATTTCCTAACTGTTTGTAATAGACATACGAGATAACATGACTAGTGTAATAACAATAACAATTTGTTATTAAATTCGAAAAATTACAATATTTGTTTAAGAGTGTAGACTCATCATATGCTTAGGAAAATACGTTTTCGATTGGTTTATAATAAGGCAAAGGAGGAACAATGGGTAAATTGAACACATTTCACACCATTAAAAAAAGGTTATTCTCTTATTTTTATCACTGGTTCGCTTTACAAATACGCGTCTTTTTTTGTTAGTAACCCCTTTGCTAACGCCTTTATTACTATGAGTATTATGGATGTATAGTTATCAATATACTCTAATAATTTGGGATTAACTACAAAGTATGGCTACTTTTTAACATTTTATAATTAACCTAAGAATATTGATTTTATTCTATTATGTAACAGTAACCGAATAATGATAATCTGTGTTTTAATTTCTTGGAATTTAATTCTAAAATCCATCAATTGGTTTAGTGATGGTCATTGAGTAATCTTGATTAAATGTATTATGAATTCCAAACAAGTATTATACGCATTGATTTGTTTAAATTATAAAGACACTAAACAAAGGATATAGCTTAACAATTTGAGAATGTATTTAAGGAAATTTACAAAGGCTAATTCCAGCTGAAGAGGAAATTGGGAAAATATATGCTGGAGGTGGATAAGACATACATTGCGGAAATCATTAAATTGCATCATGAGGCGAGCACTAACTTGAAATCTTGAAGGGAAAATGAAAAGAGTAAAACCAAGGAATCGGAAGCAGTTGTCAAAAGAATGAATAGCAGCTGGGAAAGGATTACTCATGACAAAGTTCGATGGAGAATACTGACTACTGGCCTATGCTCCTCCACGAGGGGTAACAGGTGTAAGTAAGTAAGTAAGTGCAAAGGCTAATGCAACAAAATTTTACATTCATTTCTAAAACACAGTTTCCGACCTGTCGGACATTTGATTAGGAATATCAAGAGCTTCAATGTTCATCCAATGTTATTGTACAGTTAAATATTGCTAATTTTTTCATTTGGACACCTGCGATTAAGTCCGTGCAAAATCGATACACATCTATACTAAATCATAAGCTACTTATATCGGTCCATCGGTCTCTTAGATGAGAATATTATTCTATTAGTTTATTATTATAACGGTACTGGGTTCGGGTTCCAGATTGAATATCAGCATTCAGATACATCCAGCTGACGAGTCCTAAATAGGACGGAAAGCGCTTTCTGGATTCCATTGCCAGCCACCATCCATGTTTGCTTATAATGATAATAATAGTATTATTATTAACCCTTTGGCGCCCATCACGTATGTATTATCTTTCCATTTTCCATCTTTCAACTACGTTTCATAATTCTTTTGTTTTTGTTTTTTTTCCAAAAAAAAACCAATCTATCTACAGACCAACATTACCTCCTGGAGTGTATCATTCACATAAACAATTTCTTCGAGTATGTCATTACACAGCTGACCAATATAATCAAGAAATCGATCAGTTGAATAGTACATTACAGACATTATGTAAACAGGTCGATGATGGGAATGAGGTAAATGCATAAAATTGTTACTTCCTTATGATTACCTTGAATTTGTTAAGTGTTAGAAGTTATAGACTGTGATTAATATACACCGTCCTTTGCTAAGCTATTTTAGACGATCTTATCAAATGCGGTGAAAAATTGGCTTTAGTGTATTTAACTTAACAACACAGATCAATTTCATCTTTTGTTTTTCTATACTTTCAGTCTCTGATTTATCATTCACATGGTTGCACCAAAGATTCTAAGTGGGTTATGCCCAAACTTATGTTATTTTGATATGTTGAATATCATGTTGGAGTAAATATAATTCTGAACTATATAATCATAATAAATAGAATGTGTTCTAGACGGAGAGAAAAAGAATGTATACCACAAATTACATATTCATCATTCTGTTCAAAGACTTTTCACTATCTGGAAAGCAAACAGCTTAAATTTACGTGACAGCAAATCAGAGAGATCAGACAGAAATATGCCACATTCTTTTATATCGTAATTGAAGTTGGTGTGTATTTATATGTGTAGAGTTTAGCTGAATAGTGTAAGGAAATAGGATTTGACATTTCCAACAACCGGCTAATTTATTCCTTATTGTAAACTGAGTCATGGTCAACTAAATGTTTTAAACACTCTCAACTTAGGTGAATTAATTGTATCCTCATTGTATCTACTGGAATATATATTGCTTACATCTTATAATGTGTAATATATTCACAGCACTAATCTTTTGTTCCTTCATAAATCTAATGTGATTTCATTTGAATTCGTTTTATGTAGATACTTCCTTATTGATATGTCTAACTTTGTGTTTGATTTATTTAAAGCTTGCTCAACGAGAAACTCAACTCCTGAATGGTATCACTTCATTACGACCTCCTTCATTGCCTATTGTAAGTGGAAATTGTAACTTGATTTGTGAACATTCAAAAGAATGTGGTTAAAATCTATTATAAGCTCGATAATATAACAATTCACAGCATTAGCAGTCCAGTCTATTAATAATATATATAAACTACGACTAATAACTATTCTATAAGGATGAACAATACTAATGGCTTGTCTAGACTTCAATCAAATGAGACAAGATTCACATTAGTATGATCAGACATCCGAATCTCTGCCTTTCAGTTTATTAATTATTACATAAGTGGTTTATGGAGATTGTTGAAGTTCTTAGTTAACATCACAGACTGATCTTAATTAAATAACCATTGAATATCTAAAATTCTATCCCCAGTGGGGTCGCTTATGTTCACTTCTAAAGAGTCCCGCGCCGCGACGTAACAGCTGTCCAGTGCTTCCTGATTTTCAACGGTTGACTGAGTTCATTCCGTGATGTTAGCTGTAAAATCTCAGATTATCACATGATTTTTTACATCATTTACCTGTACTTTGTAGTAGTTGTTTTGGTATTTAGTTGTCAGAGTTTCGCCACCTAGGTAGTTAGCTTCATCAATCCTGAGCCTATAAAAAGTCTGTGTTCATTGATTATGTTACATGAAGGTCAGAAAAATTCGACAAGATACAAACATCTCGTAGTGTGTTTTTAATATTAGTTTTGATATATAGAACCAATCGTTCATGAACTTCTAAAGTCACACACTGCATCAAATGTAACTATGGAAACGAGTTGTAATAGACGGTCAGATTATTTTCTGAAGCAACGGTTAATATCCTCACTGATAATATCTGTTTCATCCTAACTACCTGTAAACATGGACGGTTACACGGAGATTTATATATGTATCATTCAGTAACTCAGTGGAATATATTACAACTGGGTTATTTTAAGTCACGATTGACCTAATTATCAATTTCTTCAATGATTATTTTCAACCAACTATCCAATATCTAACATGCTGAACCATGATGTCGAGTTATACAAAGCTTACTGACCATGTAATACTATACAATAATATTCGCTAGACAATATGTTATAACTGTGACCTGTGTGCCCTGTTAATGGATAAGTAATGACACCGCCAACTAGGGAGCAGTGGCTTATCGATCGGATCAATGATGCGTAAACCCATATGAGTTCTTATTGGTCCCGCTTCCTGTCTAACCCAGCCAGTTAAATCGAGAACACCATTCCGAGCCTCTGCGATATGAATCATATATTTCAAACATACTCGGTTTATATACCAATCAAGCAGACCACATCGTACCAATAAAATATGAAACAACATTTCTACAAGAATTAGCCAGATGTGACTGTGAATGAGGGAGGTAGTAATTAATATACTGGGTATAACTCAAGAATGCTAAAACGTATAATAATAGTTTATGGGTCAAAATAAAGCTTATAGTGAGACGATTATGAATAGCTTAGTTATTTAACAATTATACGATAAAAATATACGCTTAGTATTGGTCCATAAATAGATCTCCAAAGTTACTAATCATTATGTGCTTATCGGGATCCAACACAATATTAATTGAATTTTAACATATTTTGGTAATTCATAACTTAAACAGTGTAAATCATTAGTCATTGTAGATAATTATTGTATGTTAAGTGGTTAGAGGTAGTCAATAGGTAACAGTGCTTAGCCTAGTTTTCGTCTTAGTTGTCTCTTATCAGCGAGATGTATTTGAAATTTTGAAGAAACTGATGCTTTTATAAGATTCGAATACGGGTCACTGAGTTATTTAGACTTCAACGGACCTCTTGTTTGATTGTGTTATTTAAATATCTGAATCATTAAGTAATAACCAGTATTAATTCTGTCTAAACCAAGTCGGTTGAATTCGATCAGCGTTAAGAATTAAATAAATAATGACGCTGCCCCTAAATGTCCTGGTACGGCCGAGAATGGAGAGAGTCAGCTCTCTCTCTTGAGATGCTCTCACATGGCCACGTGCATACAACCACTGCCAGGGAAGTCTTATTCACTGCCTTCTCGCACCACGGGTGTTGCTTACGAAATTGAGAGGACAAAAAGCGAACGTCTGACGCTTTAACCGGGTTGGTGGATATGGAGAGTCCGCCTAGGGGAATTAGGAAAACCTGACTGAACCAATGGTACACATGGGTTCCAGTATCCTGAGAGAAGAAATGGCATATGAATTAAGCGTTGGTCACCAGGCTACCATGGTACTGCATCTCCTTACGATGCTCCACTGCCTTGTGGGTCAGACCTCTAGTTCGTAGGCCCCGGGTGTGGCCCCCTAAGCAAACCACCTGTTTCGGTTCAGGCACCCGGGCAGTATCCTACTCCTTACACACATCGAATGATTTGTGTGACGCATATGTATTTGATGCCTTTTTGTACCAATGTTTATGTGTTTAAATAAATAAATACTCAGTGTTAATGATTAATCAATTGTAAATAATTGGTTTGTTATAATCGTTACCTCTTAGTTAATTCTTTTGAAATCTATGTATATTTTATAGGATCCCTATTGGAGTCCAGTAGATATACAACTCGCTTGTCATGCTATCGGTAAATTAGGACGTGATTATGAAGGTATCGCTGAGTGTTTATTAAATAAAACTCCAAGTATGGTAGCCACATTAATAGAAACGCATGGACAACATTTGAATTTGAATCAATTAGCATCCATGGCTCCAATTATCATACTTTAATAATAATTTTTTACATACATTTGTGTAAATACGTCATTTATAAATAATAATAAAAAAGAACTAGTTGTCCAGTTTCTGTAAATGTTTACCGTGTTTTCTTCTTCTTCGTTGTTGTTGTTGTTGTCGTTGTTGTCATTCCAGATTCTTCTTCCTTTCTTTTCCCCAGTTATGCAATGATTATTGTATATTTTTCCCCTCAACTTAATACATTTTGTTTATTAATGTTGTTTCTCTGTGAATAGAATTCTCCTTCCACAGTTCCCCGCTGTTTTTTTCTCCTTTAGTTTCCATTCATATCATTCTATACAAATTGTTTCATCTTTTGATTTATGTTACTTGTTTTTAACACATACACTTACATATACATATATATACACACGTACATACATACATACATACATACATATATGCACACACATACGCATACATACATACATATATTCATTGTTGAGTCTGTTCTCTTAGTTTGCATTGTTCTATATTTGTTTTGGGTTTCTTTAAATAAGTTTTCAAAAAAAGGATAATTAGTTAGTGATAATTTCTTAGAAATTTTAAAGAATATTGTTATATAATTTTTTTGTAATACCAATTTGTAACAGTTGAGTTATTTATTTTCAGAAGGGGGTTTTATAAAGATTTTAGTAATTTAATAGTTGAATTCATAAAGCTAAACCACAATAGAAAACCTGGAAGTACTAGACGGTCGTTTTGTCTTAGTATGAGACTCTTTAACAGTGCGCATCCACAATCCCGCCTCGCGGTTTCAAGAGGTATTTTCTGGAGTTCTAGTGAGAATTCATGACCAGTGGAGTTCAACCAGATCTGTTGTGGGATAGTAACTTACTGAAGATAATGGTTGACAGTGGAGCAAATTTCATGGATTGGTTGAAGTTATTTATCTGTTGGTTTTATTTTCAATAGTTAAGATCATGAGTCAGTTGAAGCTAGACCACCATGGAAAACCTGGAAGCACTGAAAGGCCGTCTCGTCTTACTCTGGGACTCCTCAGCAGTGCGCATTCACGACCTCGCCCCCCTGCGAGATTCGAACCCTGGACCTACTGGTCTCGCGCGCGAGCACTTAACCACTAGACCACTGAGCCGGCATCCAACGGTGTTAATGTCTAACTTCAACTAATCCGCCTCTTCTGATTGGTTTTATTTATTTACTTATAGTGTGTAAATTGTGGTATAATAGAGCATCAAATTGAGACGTGATAGCATTCCATGAAGACACTAATTGTTAGATTGTGAACTATGTAAATAGTTGCATGATTATCCTCAATGGTAGAGGTGCGTTCATTAGTTTAGATTTTCTTTATATATCGTATCTTCAGTGCTTAGTCTTTTCTATTACCATTAATATTGATGCTATATTTACTACTTTTGAATTTTTTCTGATGCTTTCAGCTCACTGTACTAACTGGAATGTGATAACTTGAATCAACGTACACATGTATTAGGTTCTATGTTGAGTATGACTGATTTATCCATTCAGTCTGAGCATCGGTAACTAATCCACGATGTGGGAGCTGCCAGGATGACATTTGTAAGACACGTCCAAGCCACGAAGCAGGTGTTTCAAGTTTGTGAGACTACTTTGGATTATCGTCACTACACTTGAACACGCGATGTGGACCTTCTGTATTGCTAATATACTGTTGCTACTGGATGTCAGCGATCTTCGGAGACAGTGACTATCGAACACGCAATCACTGAAGATCCTCAACTTTGAAAATAGATGTTTTGTAAGAAAAGAACAAAATTGTTCTCACCAACGTATTGTAAACTCGATCATTTAGGTTCAAACGAATATAAGGATTGATTTTATCGATTGTACCTCCACCAAAACTCACTCAGCTACCCTGTACACCAACTTTTCGATTAATGATAACTCACCAAAAGCAGTGATTGCAAGTACAGGTTCCTATCAAGTCTTATGGAAATGCACTATTTCTAGAAGGTACAAAACACATGCCAAACATTCCTAACAATGTTATTCGCATATTTAAGGCCGAAGTCTTTCTCCGCGTAGCAGGTTCACACCATTAGTACTTATTTCAATCAGAGGTGTTTCCAGAATCTTATCAATGGCCAAGTTCAGGTGGAACGGAGCCTTAAAGACGTTAATAAACTTAGACAAATCTTTTAAATGACAAATCCAGATCTATCACCAAGTCTTTACTTAAGCCACCCTCCTCTGCGCCTAAACACTCGATCTGCACATCCACATTGGTTAACACTATTGAGATCGTCGACTTGATGTTAGGACTCCTTTGATTACATGCGTACTGCAGTCTGTTGGTGAGTAGCTGGAGATTACAAAAAGACATCGTTTCCCACACTAGTTCCTTATAACTGGTTGTGCGTTTTAGTGTGAAAGTATGTAGAAACATCAAATCAATTCCCCCTATGCTCTGCCCCACAGTGAAACACCGACGCTAGCGAAGTCGGATGCCGTTTCTACAGTGTCCCGGGTCAGCTCATATGGAATAAACATTGAACGGAGAGATGGAGAACGAAGTTGTCGGGCTTGGATATCTGTCCATGATGTACAGCATATAGTAGTACCAAAACTTTGCAAAGAAACAGCCAGAACTTTGTATTGTCCGTTTTGCATGAAAATCAAAACGCTGAAGGAGGCAAGCTTGGGTGCCAGGCGTGGCTTCAGAAAAGACATGCTAGATTTCGTACTCGATGATACCATTCATCAAACCGACCATCGAACGGACTGAAACGGCACAGGACATTCAACAGGGTTAGGCCGCTAAGTGAGTTGAAGAATAGGACTGGACACAAGATGAAAATATAGCCACACTTTCCTAATTCTCGGTCATGTCAAGGCAAATGACAAAATGTTTTGTCACTGGTAATTTCAATGAATACTTTAAGTTAGTAAAGTTTCCCCTAATCTATGAATTGGACGCTTTATGTTCACCCTCATAAGGAGATTTAAACCAACCATGATGTAACGTTTTAATTAAAGATGATAGCGTGTAAATATCTGGAGAATGGTGTGAAAGCCAATACGATTTAGTGTCGTGTCATCTAGCTTAGACTTTTGTCAGTTTTGAGAACTAGTGTTCATTGCATGATCATCAGCTTGTGTAATTTATACCAATGTTAGGCTAAGAATTTTTACAGATATCTGTTGACAAAGCACCGATCAGATCATTCGATTATTATAGAGAGTAATAGGTTAGTTTAAAGGTCTCTAATAATAGGTTCACTCCAAGCTCAACAGTCATCGATAACTAAATCAAAGTCATAATAAGTCAAAATTTCATGCAACGGAGTTAAGGCACAGAGATTCGCTGCACATCCTCACCTTGAAAGGAGAAGTTTTCAACAGCATAGAGCAGAGTTGCATAAATAATTTCGACTAATCATTCTTTTGAACACTAATTAGTAATATAGTAATCTCAACATCAAAGAAGCTAGCCTACTCTACTTTCAAATGACTGATATGATTAGTCAAAGAATTTCAATAAATACACTATGTAATCATACGTCAAAACAGGTAAGTAATTTATTATGGAAGCATCTGTTACTGATATACTAATATATTGAAAGTATGAAGACCTTGTAAGTTTTAATCAAATGAGAAAGAAGAGTATGTTTTCACCTCATAAATGATAAGTAGTATGTATCATCTTTTTATTTTAAATGATAAAAACCAATAGAAAAATTGACAATATTTCTAAATAATTGAAATTTGATGGATAGCGACTAGCAGTGGAATCCAGTTTGATGCACGTTTCGTCCCATCCGGGACTCGTCAGATGAATGTGCATGCATCTCAGAGTTGATGTCCACTCTTGGACTTGAACCCAGTGCCGTTCACTTCAATTTTATATTTACCCATTTTCCTAACTAATCATAACGAGTATTTAATTTAATGTACATCTCTAATCAGGATTATATTGTAAATTTATTTTAACAATCTACTCGAAGAATATGATAGTACAGTATACTTTCAGTACAAAAGTTATTTATAGTAGATTGATTATTTAAATAATACACTTACAAATATCTTTAATTAATTTATAAACTACCTTGGCGTTCGATTTATTCACTTCTCTAAATTACAAGTAATAGGCTTTAGATTAACATAACATTAGATAGATTGTAACTTTCCGGAAATTATTTACTCAATCAGGTTTTTAAACCGAGATAATTAAGAATATTTTTTACTCAGAATAAGGATTTCGAGGGGTAGTTGCATCTTTTATTTTATTTGAACACATAAATACCGATACAAGGGGGTACCAGATACATTTGATTTGTGTGAGGGCTGCGATACTGCCCGGGTGCCCAAACCGAAACAGGTGGTTTTTTTAGGGAGCCACACCCTGAGCCTTCGATTTGAAGGTTTGATCCACAAGAAAAGGGAGCAACGTTAGGATGTATAGTCCCATGGTAGCCGGTGATCAATAATTGGTTCATACGCCATTTGTTCCTTCAGGATGCTGGAGCCCATATTCATCATTGGTCTGGAACCAAGGTTTCCCAACTCCCCTAGGTGGACTCTCCATGTCCACCAACCTGCTTAAACAACCGGGCATTCGATTTCCGTCCTCTCACTTTCGTAAACAACACCGCGCCTCGCGAGAAGACCGTGAGTAAGACTTCCCTGACAGAGGCTATATACGCGTGGCCACTTGAGAGCATTTCGAGAAGGAGAGTGAACTCCTTACTCTCGGGCATTTGGTGGCTTCTTCAAAATCATACAACTATAACACATTACCCAGTTTTTGGGAAATACGAAAAGCTTAATATATTCTACTAACAAGTATTACATATAAACTCATAAATCAATTGTCTAATAGAATAGTAAATAATTGAGTAAAGCACAAAACACAAAAAGTTTACAATGAATGATTTATTTAAACATTTCATTAATTGGTTAATTAAATAATTTAAATCAGTAGTATATAAGGATGTGTAATAAATACCAAATAAAAGGTAAAAAGGAAAGAAGAATAAACAAACAAATTCATGGATAAACTTTATCAATATTCTGGTTATAGTTACTTAGTTATAAATAAAACTAATCATAATGTGTTTTTCATTGGAAATGCAAAAATCTTTCCCTTTTCTTTTTCTTATTTTTTTTTTGTTTTGGTAGTTGCATTCATTTCTCTCTTTAAAATAATATTATCTAAATTGATAAATTATGAAAGGATAAATGAAATAAATTTTTTTGGTGGGGGGAGGAGGAAGAGGGGATTCAGGGTATTTTTTTTTTAATGAAATGTGATATACTCAAAAAAAAGGGATATTCTTACACATAGATTGTTATCAACTAATAAATGGACTTATCATTAAGTGAGTTAATTAGATAGAATGGTAGTAATAGGAGTAGTATTAGTATTAGTAGTACTAGTAGTAGTATTAATAATAGTTAATACTTAAAGGGGATGTGTACAACAACAACAACAAAAAATTGATTTATATTAAACAAAGTAAAAGAAACGAATATTTTATTTTTCATACATCAAGTTTAATCAAGTTTTAATAGAAATTAATATTGTAGACAAACAAGTACATAATCTTCATAAAGTTGATATAGATGTGAATACGAAAATTTCGAAATGTTGAAGATTTCTAATTGCATAATTGTTTGTCATATTACATACAATTGTTTATTTTGAAAAAAAAAACGTTGAATCTAGAAGCAGTTGAATTCTAGTCATTCTCATGATCATTATCAATAACAGAAATTGTTGTCATGGCAACAAGATTAAAATGGTTTATATATGTTAAAATATCTTAGATGACTAAAAATACAAATAAATATCTTATATTAATACATGGTTATTGTAATTTATATTGTCTTGTAAACATTTATACCTTGCTTATAATTGATATGATGGTTCTTTAGAAGTTCGACCATTTGAAATACTTGTTGCACGAGAATTAGCACGAGATGATCCACGTGAAACTATATCATAACTATGATAAAATATGAAAAAAAAAGATGTAACAGAGAACAAATGAATTTATTCATAAATAAAAAAATGTTTTATATGGAGAATTCATTAAGTGTTAGTATGGTGTTTGTATGAACTAACGATGGGCACAAGTTTGGTGAATGTTTATCCTGTGGCAGGTTTCATTCATTTAATTCATGTGTATTTCGTAATTCTAAATGCTTTAAATGTGATAAGATTGAACACATTCAGTCAGTTTGTCATATTAAGGTTCATTCCATTGCAACTAATACTAAAATTTGTAATTGTGATCTTATTAAGTTGGGTGTTTCTAACGATCATTTATCTTTATCCACGACTTCGAAAAGCGGTAAAGAGTCACATAGCAGATCAGAATCTGATGAAACTCAGAATCCTTGTGAAACAATAGTTACTAATCAATCAACCTATCAGATCTCTCCTGTTATTGTACCAGATATGGTTTGTCGTAAGGATTCACATATTTCTGATGAAATTTCTTACAAATCTGAGGAAAATTTTTCGGATGAACCTAATCATGATCGAAAACCTGATTCAGTTTTGTTAGATGCTGATTTTTCTAATGATCCATCACTCTTAAGTGACATTCTTAATAAATTTGAAGAAAATATTTCAGAAGAATCAAATTCTAATGTCATATCATATATTATTTTTCCTCATTATGCATTTGCTTTTTGTGGGAAACTTGTTCAATGCGAAGCACGAGTATTAAATGAGCTCGATTCTGATTACAATTCGGATGATTTCAATATCAACTGTTTTTATTCTTATCATAAAGTCACTTCCAATGTATACTATAATCATTGTGAGAAATATGTTTTGGATGAAGCCACATCATTCATAACTTGGGGATATGATGATCCGACATTATTTCGTGGGGGAGGATAGTATTGGAAAATCTATGGCTCATATTCTAGATATTAGTGGTTTCGGTACATAACCGACATGGTGATTGCATACAATCCCAGGATCCAGGTGAGTCTGTTCCGATTTCGGTTGTTAATTCTAATACTAATAAGCATATTCTAGATGATTCAGAGTCTACATGCAATGCATGCTCGGACAGACACGATGAACCTACGAAGAAGAGGCACAATTGATTGCTAAAATTTGGATTCTCATTTAAACTGTAGAGGATGTGGTGTTTGTATGAACTAACGATTCCTCTGTACTTGTTGAATGCTTGATTTCAAATTCCAGATACAGTACATTCGTTCGTGCTTATCTAGTACTTCTTGATCAGACTGCATTATTTCTCGGATTCTTAGTTTGTACTATAATTCAAATACTCCTAATTATCACAGTTAAGTTCATTGATGAGTAAAGTATGTTTGAAATAAAACTCTATCGGATCATACGATTGATTTTTGCAAACACATCACTTTCACAGGTGGTTAGGCATCTATATATCACAGTGAATTTTCATTTATTAGTTCACTATTAAATGTTATTATATAAATTTATGAAGGTGGTAGATAGTTAGAAGTTGTTGGGGAGATCCAGAAAACTCCTCGAAAAAAAGCCAACAAAGGCTCTGAAAACATTGAGAAGTATCTTATTCAATCAGCGTTCACTAGAAGTTTTGCCAAAAACATCAAGAAAGTGAAAAGTCACATGTCCAGCTTCTGATTGGATGATTATTTATACTGCTAATATGTTTAGTAGCATTCGAGAATTTTCGGGAAACCCAAGGAGATCTAAAATACTATAAAAGCTCTAGATTTTCTGTACATAGACAAACCTTTGGAGTAAAGTGTTTCTCACATATTTCGCGCCTTTTCTCTCGTGTTTAAGTCGCTGTGTAGATCTAGCCTGGGGGTTACTAGAAAAGCTTAGGAACCATTCAATTAGCAAGACATATCGGAAGTAACCAACAAAGTCATATAGACCAGATCATCGCAATAGTTGGGTCTCTTCAGTAAGGTGCATCCTTAATTCTAAGGGGGATTGACGTTCCTTATTGAGGTTCGAACCTACGTCAATCAGTGGTGATCAAATTCTACATACCATTAATTTTCTCACTATTTAAGATGAACTTTATTGACAGGTGTTAATTAACATTATTCTAGGTTCGAAGTTCTTTCCAATATCCTCCAGCCACCTAACATTCAAAAGTAATGAATGTAATGTCAAATTTTTGAAACTTATTGAAAAAATTACAGTTTGATTGATAGAATTCGTATGACATTATAAACTAGATAAACATGATATTGGTTACTATCAAGTAGGCGATCAGTATACACTTGATAATTGAACATGTTTTATTTCTTAAACTTTTCATGTATTACTTACTTATTTACACCTGTTACTTCTCGTCGACGAGTACAGACCTCTCACCAGCATTCTCTAACCAACTTAGTGCCCCCAAATGCCCTGGTACGGCCGAGAGTGGGGAGAGTCCGCTCTCCCTCTCGAAATGCTCTCACATGGCCACGCGTATATAGCCTCTGCCAGGGAAGTCCTACTCACTGCCTTCTCGTGGCGGGGGTGTTGTTAACAAAAATGAGAGGACGAAAAGCGAATGTCTGGCGCTTTAACCGGATCCCAAACCAATGGTGCACATGGGCTCCAGTATCCTGCGGGAACAAATGGCGTATGAACCAATCGTTGGTCACCGGCTACCATGGGACTGCATCTCCTTACGATGCTCCACTGCCTTGTGGATCAGATCTTCAGGTCAAAGGCTCGAGGTGTGGCCCCCTAAGAAAACCACCTGCTTCGGTTTGGGCACCCGGGCAGTATCACAGCCCTCACACAAATCAATTGAGATTTGTGTGGCGCATATGTATTTGGTGCCTCCCTGTACCTATACTTATGTGTTAAAATAAAAATAAATAAACCAACTTAATGGTTTAATTAATCCCAAAATTTTCGTTATCATTTTAAACGATATATGTCTTGTGTTATGCAAAAAGTCTAATTATTCGGCAAGCATCAAATTACATTTTTTTTTTTTAAATCTTCAAATATCTTTATATTTGTGATTAAATTAAAATGTAAAATTATAAACTAATATTCTATGCAAATAATTAAATTTACCGTGATTTTTGTTTTGATTTAATTTGTACACGTGTAGAAAGTATAATTGGTTCTAGATTTTTTGGTGCATTTGCATCAGAAGCTTCTAATGTCAATGTGTATGATCCTTCATCATTTGACATTACTTGATCTATAGCTAATGTAAGTTCACCATCTTTACTACGAGTAATTCTTCTACGACCATCATATGTTAAAGTTCGACCTGATTTACTCCATGTAGCTTTTAATAAAGAAAAAATTATATAAGGGAAATATTTTATTTCAATATTACAAAACATTTACTTTATCAGATAAATATAACTAAGAGAAATTAGTTCACAATACACTTTAAATAAAATCCAATTGTACATCTAATTAATATCAAAATATTCATTTACAAAGTCAATGCGGTCAATAATAGAAACTGATCAGATCTAGACATGAGTACAATCAATTATTGATGTTTTATAACAGTTTCACTCCGTGAGAATAAAGCTTGGAACTTATGAATCAGCCATTTTTATTTAAACATATAAACATTAGTACAAGGAGGCATCAGATATATATGAGCCACATAAATCATTCGATGTGTGTAAGGAGTAGGATACTAACCGGGTGCCCAAACCTAAACAGGTAGTTTGCTTAGGAGGCCATACCCGGAGCCTTCGACCTAGAGGTCTCATCCACAAGAACGTGGAGCAACGTTAGGACATACAGTCTCATGGTAGTCGGCGACCAATAATTGGTTCAGAAGCCATTTGTTCTCTCAGGATACTGGAGAACATGTATATCACTGGTTTAGAGTCAGGGTTTTCTAACCACCCTAAGTGGATTCTTCATATCCACAAACCCGGTTAAACCACCGGACATTCACTTTTCGTCCACTCAATTTGGTAAACAACACCCCCTCCACGAGAAGACAGTGAGTAGAACTTCTCTGACAGTAGTTGTGAGAGCATCTCGAGAGGGAGAGCTGACTCTCCCCACTCTCGGCCGTATCAGGAAATTTGGGGGCTAATACAATGAAGCTTTAAAAGCTATTAGATTCTAACCTACTAATTCATTCGAGAACAATCAATGTTCGTTGAGTAGATATTTTTCGTTAAAAATCCAACATTTAGGTGAAAGTAATCTTTTAAAGTATTTTTCTAGTCCTTTCTAAAATTCTAACTTTGCAAAGATTTAGTTTAAAGTTTCAGGTTCAAGTTCCTGTCAGAGATTTTCATTAAACATAAAGTAATTTTAGACTATACACTATCTAAAGGTGAACAACTTTCCGAGTAACTGCATATTTTGTCTACAAGAAAAGTTTAATGATGTATGACTAGTGAAAGTAAATGAGATTGGTCACCGAACGTGAACAAATAAACACACAACTTACTGACCATTAAATACATGATTTCCTTTCTTATTGTTGATGTTTACTCTGGACTCACTGAATGCAACTAATTACTTTGAATAAAGTATTGTCTAGCGTATATCCTGATTCTCTATTACTAGTCGTGAATCGTGTACCTGATATAATGAGATCCAGTTTGTATATAGGCTATCGATCGAGTATCCACTCTGATGGTAGTATAATCTCGGTTCTACCGATCGAAAAACTGTATAATAGTAGTACAACATGGCAAGCAGGTAATATTTAAATTCTGCCGTTATATTATTAAGATTTAAAGAAAACAATATTCATCGTCTAATCAAAATAATGATACTTACGAATGTAATGTAAATTTGTATCAACACGACATGTTAGTTCAATGGGACTGCCTTCTTCAACTTCAATAGTCTTAGGCAATGGACGTAACACATTAATATATCCAGTTAATTTGGGTGAATCTGAATGATCCCTTGGTGATGCTTTAATACCATTCTCAGATAACAGTGCTAAAGAAGAATCTGTGTCTATTTTCGAAGTAAATGATCCATTCATCATATCTGATCGATGTATACCTTTTTGTTTAATTGATTCCACATGAACAATACAAGTTGTTCTTTCACGACCAAATCTATTATATGCAATGCAACGATACAAACCTGCATCTGAACTACGAACATTCTGAATGCGTAAATAAGCTAAACCACTACCATTTGTTCCAGGTATAATACGTGGTGGACCATATTCATCAGGAAGAATTTCAAAACCATCTTTTTCCCTATTTGATACATTAGATAGAAAATAAAAATCAAAGTAAATTAATCATTAAAGTATTTCATTTAGATATTGCCTTCAATTATTACAATCAACTAACAATAAATAGAATATCATTACTTGACTGAAGTGACCAAAAAGAGTACTTGATACTAATTAAAAAAAAAAAAGGACACTTATCACTGTTAATCTTTAACTCAGTAACAGTCAACCAGTCATAAACAACATAGAACCTGTCAGTTCAAGTTATCAAACATCTCATCACATTGAGTCGAAACTATCAAAATAAATATCAGCGTAGGAGAGAATTAATAACATTATCAATGATAGTAAAAAAGATCAGATGTAGACGGAGTGATTAGAGAAAAAGAATGAATTCGTGCTAGAAGACAATTCTAAAACTTAAGATCTTGTAGCAGTCAATGAATATAATACTTGTGGCATATTTAATCTAAAAAAAGCAAATACTGAGTTCATCTGCTAAACTGTAACCAATTCTTAGCACGTACCACCCAGCTTCTCCAACAACTAGTTGACATAATCATGCAGATTCCAACCAGGTAGTCTGAACCTATTCTCACAGCTCAATTGAACAGTCAGTAGCTTTATTGACTGATATCACATCTTAGTTTGGCCGTCTAACACATTATTACAGTTTAATTCTACCACAACCAACATAAGGCATTGAAGTAGGTAATGATGGGGCATATATAATACATATCTTAACCACTTCAGTTAGTAAAGATTCACTACCACATCAACAAATTTGTTAAATTCCCTTAGTACTTTGTGTCTAACTTCAGCATAACTCATATGATAGTCCCAATATAAATAAAAAGAATGTAATAGATAATTGTTCAATTATTCAATGGAAATAAATTTTTTTTTTTAATACTTACCATTTAAATTCAGGTATTGGTTCACCGATTGCTATAGTTTCTAAACATAAATTAGTACCTTCTAATATTGTATAATCTCGAAGTTCTTTAGTGAATTTAGGCACTTGTATTTCCATTTTAGTTGTACCTTGTAAAATGCATGAACAACGTGCTTCACCAGCAGAATTATATGCAATCACTGTATATTGACCTAAATCATCTTTACATACATTTTCAATACGTAATTCTAGATGACCGCTATGATTCTGTAAATTAACAGTTACATAATAAAAAGAAAAGGATTATTAATGATGATCATGATGATAATGTTGATGACGAGACAGTGTTTAAATAAAAGAGTTTCACTACTTATCAGTTATATCATCAAAATGTTTAACTCAATTGGTAGTTTATACTTTTATGATTACAAACTCATGTGAAACTGTTCATTATTTATGCTAACTATAATTACTGTAAACAGAATATTCATAGTATTTTTCATCACCGTGCTAATTAATACAAAATAAGGCCCCATAGTAATGAATTTTCTGTAAGATTCATAGGAGTCTGTGATTAGTGGCGTTAACACAGCTCATAATTAAAGTAATTGATCAACGATAGGATTGTGAATCGATCTGAGTTTGAAACGTGAACTATTAATTTTCAACGTAGTTATCCAAAAAATATCGTATTTATTACAGGGTATGAATGTGTTGTGTGCTACTTAGATCGACATACTTAAGTAGTATCATCAATCGTAAGTGGAATGCCTGGTGGCAGAAGATTGAGAAAATTAAAGAGGAGAGAAGGGGAATAGAGTGTTTGGTATGGAAATGAAGGAACAACAAAATCTGAGACAACAGATGGATATTTTGCAAATGAAGTATTTACTGTATTGTTCTCCGATTTAATCAAAATATTCTCTAATGTGTTGAGACACATTTAATTGTCTCTGCTTGTGTTCTCATACACTACATGAAGACCCTGAATTCGATCCTGTATGGGTTTATGGGTACTAGTCACAGACGGCCACAACCGGCGCCTTCTACCTAAAGGTCTGATCCACAAGAAAGTGGAGCAACGTTAGGTCATACAGTCCCATGGTAGCCGGTGATGAATAATTGGCTCATACGCCACTTTTTCCTTCAAGATACTGGAACTCATGTGCACCATTAGTTTGGAATCAGGGTTTTCCAACTCTCTTAGGTGAAATCTCATGACTTTGAGTTGAAATCTTGTGAGATCAATAATGTGTGATGTAGATGTTTAGAACTTGATAATTTTCCTTCAAATAATATTGATTATTTATCATTAACTGTGTTGAGAACAAGAGATTATTTTGAATACTAAATTTATTTTCATATAGTTCAGAATATACATAAGTTTAGATACTATATGAAATAATTAAACTAACTTTAGCAGTAATTCTTGGATCATCCGATGGTTCGGTTAAAATTTCTATACCATCTTTTTGCCAAACCACTGTAGCTGATGGTTGAGCTAATACTGATGCAGCTAATCGTATAGTACTGCCAAAATCAACTTGTTGATTACGTAAACGACGAGTGAATTCAGGATGACGATGTCGAATACCACCACTATTAACTGTATCTGAGCCAATATGACCTCCACGACCGAATAAACCTAGGGAAAAAAAACAATATTATGATTGAAAATGATCAATAAAATTATATGATATGGTTTAATTAGTATTTGAAGTGTAATGAGCACCCTAACTGCGTCACAAGGCCAACCCTCACTTGGAATCCTCAAGGTCAAAAGAAAAGAGGAAGACCAAAGAATACATTATGCTGAGAAATGAAGACAGGCATGAGAAGAGTAAACAAAAATTGGATAGAACTAGAATGGAAGGCCCAGGACAAAGTCAATTAGAGAATACTGGTTGGTGGCCTATGCTCCATTGGAAGTAACAGGAGTAAGTTAATAAGTAAGTTAGCAATGAACGCTTCAAATTATTTAAATTATCATTATATGAAGGTTTACTTTTAGTCGTAATGAATACACATACATGTGTTCAAAAATCTTTAGCATAGATTATCCGCATAATTTATAAACTTCCATTCTTGTTATCTGATTCTTTATACTTGAAAATGTGAACGATGAAGCTGAATCAGGCGACTATAGTGACTAAACCTTAAACACTTTATTATTTTCTTTTGTGTGGATTGTTGAATCAGATCGTTTTTATAACACATCAGTTTTACAACAAAATACATCATTAATCGTGTTTTCTTTACTCATTTATCCCGAATAGTTTACAAGAAAAAAGGCTTCTTATAACCCTATCGTTTGTGATTGAATTTACTGAGTTATTATTATATTAGAAGACATATAAGAGGACTAAAATAACTTAACAGAATTGATTTCAGTTCAGAAATACTTATTCCTCCCTCTAGTCATTTATTTTTAACGTATTATATACAGAAGTATAGGCTACTGAAAATTGTATATCTTGGTGTAAAGTAAGCGTTTCCTATTGTCCTACAATTATTCAGTGAAGTGCTTATTTAATACAATAACTTACTGAGTATAAATACAAGAGTCTTTAAAGTTATGTATTTATGAATAACACTATAATGAGAATGGTTTAACTAGAATAAGATTGAAAGGAATCAACTTACCACGAACATGTAATGCTGCTTCAGTGATAGCAGTACCTGATGAACTTGTTGCGATACATGTATATGTTCCACTATCACGTGGTATAGCATCTTTAACTAAAAGTGTATGACTAGATGTATTAGTACCAGATCTTTCAGTTGATGTTTGTGATACACATAAACGTATACCATCTGTTAATAATGGTTTACCATCTTTAAGCCAACGTACAGTTGGTGCAGGTTGACCACGTGCACATGTTTCAAAACGAGCAGCACTTCCTTCAACAACAGTAATACTTGTTAATTCTTTAAGAAAATGTGGTGCTTCTGAACCATCCTCAAGAGAAGCTATAAAATAATAGTAATAATAATAACCACAAAAATCTCATAGCAATATTCACTTAAGAATAATCAAATATAGGGATATATATTAAATGAATTCATTTATAACATTATTCTTCATCAAGAGAAAGTGAGAAATTCACTGGAGAGAAGTTTATGCAACTAATTTATCCAAATATTCCCATTATGAACATCAATACAACACATATGTTAAGTCTGTTTATGTTCTCTTACCTTATTTTCTCCCCTTCAACTCTTTTGTGTATTGTTTTATACTACTTGTTAATAATCAGTAAACAGTTGTATTCCTAACAATTTTTACTCGTATGTTGTAACGTAAGTTTATCTTTTAGTATTCTAAAATATTTACGCAAACTTATAACATTTATTGTATTTATCATTATAATTACTTCCTCTCAATCATTGTAACATTTATTATCAGTTTTCTTATCGTCGTTTAATCCTTGTTTAAATGCAACAGTTTCCATATTGTATGCTCTTGGTTCCATTTTCGCTTGTTGACAAACTGTTATCAAGATTAGACACAGCGATTGCTTGTCATTGCACTATCGAAGACTTTTTTTTATTTCAGACTAATAGACGCACAAGGGGCCATAGATATCTCAAAAGTTGAAGTTTGTAGCTAATTTATATATGTATATATCTCTGTTTTGTGAACTATGGTTTCGTGAGTATCTCAACTGTTTGATTAGACGCTCCGATAGATTTAACAACATATAAACAATGAAAAATAGTATTTTTAGTCAGGTTGTTGTTAGGCTCCATTCTGATTTACATAGGAGAATTTTAAACCGATCAAGATAACTTATGAGTGAATGATCACAATGAAATTAATTGTTGAATTACAGATTATAGGTAAAAAGTATAAATGAATAGTACGAAGACAGGTGTACTAGTAGTGATGAGAATTATAAAATAACTAAGGTTCAGTCTATGGATCAACATAGATCGATGTAGATCAAACCTGGATAAATAGACTATAAAATAATCATTAAATATTAAAATTACGCAATAAGAAGTGTGTGAATAATTAGAAATTGATGAATATAAACGGAAAGAGTTGAAAAACAACAAACAAATACAGGATGTGAAAAATGTCGTTTTTTATGTTATGTCCAACCAAGAAAGGGACAGGAGTGTTGAGAATTTCTTCTGAGCACATAAATCAGAGTTATAGGTTTTGAATCCTATAGGAGATTGGATCATATCCTTTAGGGGAACGAAGAAGATATGTGATGGATTACTAGGAATGGTTTGGTTTTATCTACTATATGATCACTGTCAACCAGGTGTGACAAGATAGAGCTGCATATTGTCCTTGTCTGGCAATTTCTAAACCATAGTGAGAGATGTTCAGTATACTTAATTCCTCAGGAAAATTTGGATTTGTAGTTGCACACTGAAGAGGCAAACTCAGATAATTTATCTTTAGTTCGAGTAAATGTTACTGGTCAACCAGAAAATCCCAGTGTAAGATCAGCTACAATAGAGTGTTTTACTAATTTCCCTCACTAATCTTTCATGCAAGACATGGCTAGCTGCATCCACATTGAACTTGACTTTTAGGAATAGGGGTCTTCTTGCTATCAATCTATACAATTTACCTATCATGCAGAGTTATATAATTTTGATGGAGTTTTGTTCTCTGAGCTGGATGGTTTGGTCGTGGAGCTTTCATCATTCTTCTGAACGACATTATCAGCACAAACTTCAGGTAGAAGTGAAGTGTTCGAATTTCTCCATATGTGGTTCACAGCTTGTCCTGTAGACCTTGATGTTGATTGGTTCTTGTTAGCCTTAAATCTGTTATTGTTTAATTCTTTGTTTTGGTTGTATTTCCGATTGGCTCGGTTTTTGTTCCTATGTTTGTGCATAAAATCTACCAACAAGTGTAAGATACAGACCTCCAATCAAGTGCTCATTTGGATGGAGAATAACTGAGCAAAATGGTGCATCAGGAAATTTTATGCACAAACATAAGAACAAAAACCAAACCAATGGGAGATACAACCAAAACAAAGAATTAAACAATAACAGGTTTGAAGCTAACAAGAACCAATCAACATCGAGTTCTACAGGACAAGCTGTAAACCACATATGGAGAAATTCGAACACTTCACTTCTACCTGGAGTTAAGTATGTTACAAGCAAAACATCTTGAAAAAAGTGATCTACTTACCAAATACTTCAATAACAGCTGAACATGTTTGTGATCCATATTTATTAGTAGCTACTAAAGAATAAAGTCCAGCATCAGCTGTAGTAATTTCAGATATTTCAAGTTTTAGCATTAATTCTGATGATGATGATGTACCATTCATATCCTCTTGATAGAAACGTCTACGTGATGAAGCTGTTAATGGGACACCATTATGTAACCATGTACATCGAGGAACTGGTATTCCACAAACTAAAAAAAATGAATATTGAATAAAAGTAATTCTATTAATAAGTATATGATAAGACTAATCAAATGGTTATGTATTATCTATAAAACTATATTCATAACTTGGCTGAATGTGATATTCACTGACTTAATGTTATAACTTGTGACTTTGTGTCCTATTAACGTATGACGTAATGATACCACCAATTAGAGAACAGTAAATTATCAACCAGACCAATGACACATAAAACCCGTACGAGCAGTCTAGAGTAATTATCGGTCCTTCTCCTTGCCTGTTGAGTCTAGAACACCAATCTTAGCCTCCACGATATAAATCATGTATTTCAAATATACTGGGTTTATATACAAACCAAACAGATCACATCGTACCATAAAATAAAAAATAACATTTATACATGATCTAGCCAAAAGTGGTTGTGAATGTAGGAGACTATAATTAATATACTGGGTATAACTCAAGAATGGTAAATCGTATAATAATAGTCTATGAGTTAAAATAATGCTTATAATAAGAGGAACATGAATAACAAGAGGAACTCACCTTTAGCTTTCATTTGAATCTTACCACCAGTTGTACATGTCATATCAACTAATGGTAATAGAATACGTGCACCTAGTTCACTTGTTACATATAAATCAGAATTAATACTTGAACGTTGAGTTGTTGATTCTACATGAAATAAATAAAGTCAATCATAAATAATTTATCTGCGAGAAACAACATAAACTTCATTCATGTTTTATTGGTTGCTTAAATCTTCCTATTGATGTTTAGGACTGCAAATGATCGGTCTCTTATTGGCATATGTGCATCCTGTGCGGATTGCGTCGATTTTTCCTTAAATAACAATCATTATAAGCATAGATGGATGGTGGCTAGGAATGGAATCAAGGATGCACATTTCATCCTATTTGGGACCCGTCAAGTGGATAAGAGACTGGTCGATTGCGGTCCTAAACGTCATCGTCCAAATTTAAGCCTCCAATACAAGATGAATTAAAATACACCCTATTTCACAAGCTGGTGGAAATCTGGACTCGGTAGCTAATTGCATAAAGTGATGGTGTTTGAAGTGAACAGTATTGAGTACGAGTCCTTCAGTGAAAACTAACTCGGATGCGGGCACATTCAGTCGATGAGTCTCAAATAGGACGAAACGCGTGTCCTGCATTTCACATGCAACAGTCAGCTCTCCCTCTCGAAATGTTCTCACATGGCCACGTGCATACAACTACTCTCAGAGAAGTTCTACTCACTGTCTTCTCGTGGAGGGGGTGTTGTTTATCAAATTGAGAGGACGAAAAGTGAATGTCCGGTGGTTTAACCGGGTTTGTGGATATGAAGAATCCACTTAGGGTGGTTAGAAAACCCTGACTCTAAACCAGCGATATACATGTTCTCCAGTATCCTGAGAGAACAAATGGCTTCTGAACCAATTATTGGTCGCCGACTACCATGGGACTGTATGTCCTAACGTTGCTCCACGTTCTTGTGGATGAGACCTCTAGGTCGAAGGCTCCGGGTGTGGCCTCCTAAGCAAACTACCTGTTTAGGTTTGGGCACCCGATCCGTATCCCAGAACACACATAAATCAAGTGACTTGTGTGGCGCATATGTATTCAGTGCCCTTTTTTATCAATATTTATATGTTCAAATAAATAAAATTACAAAACTATAATGGGGCATATCCAGTTTCACATATTTAAATAATGATTAGTGAGAAGCATTTCTCTCTAGTTTTACATTTCTTTGTTTATTTTATTTTATTTTAACACATAGATATTGGTACAAGTAGGCACCAAATACATATGCGCCACACAAATATCATTTAATTTGTGTAAGGGCTGTGATACTGCCCGGGTGCCCAAACCGAAGCAGGTGGTTTTCTTAGGAGACCACACCCCGAGCCTTCGACCTGAAGGTCTGATCCACAAGGCAGTGGAGCATCGTAAGGAGATGCAGTCCCATGGTAGCCGGTGACCAACGATTGGTTCATACGCCATTTATTCCCGCAGGATACTGGAGCCAGCCCATGTGCAACGTTGGTTTGGGATCCGGTTAAAGCGCCGGACATTCGCTTTTCGTCCTCTCATTTTCGTAAACAATAGTAATGCCACAAAGAGGTAGTGAGTAGGACTTCCCTGGCAGAGGTTGTATACGCGTGGCCATGTGAGAGCATTTCGAGAGGGAGAGCAGACTCTCCCCACTCTTGGCCGTACCAGGGCATTTGTATTAAACATTGTGTTACATTTCATTAAACCCTAATGTTTATTTATTTCTAAAATAAGAAATTGTCGTTGAACTAATGAAGTTTCAACTTTCTCCTATGTAAATATTAATTAGAAAATATTTTATTTATCACTACTTACCATATACTTTCAAATTTGCTGAATCAGATACTTGACCATATCGACCAATAATAGTAACTTCATATGTTCCAGCATCATATACTGTAACATCATTGATATGAAGTTTAATATCACCTGTTTCAGTATCATATGTACATACATAATGTTGTGTCGTAGGAGTTTTTAATGATGGTAATGGACAACCAATATTTAATTCACGACCATTTAATGACCAACGAATTTGTAAATCACTCAATTGATCTGTAAGATGTGATGATTTTTTTATTTTCGGTAAATAAACAGCACAACGTAACATTGTTGTACTACCTTCTGGAGCACTTACTGAACCCATAGGTGTTAATATTTCTGGTGCTTGACCACGTGGTGTAATTCTTGCATGTACAACAATTTCTTCAGATTCTTTAGATGATGATGTTTGATAATCATAATAATAACGATGATATGAATCATGAATAGATCCACCTCTTGATAATTTACGAATAGTTGATATATCATTTGTATCAATATCATCATTTTCATTTATATAACTGGCATCTAACCAACGTAATAATCTTGTATATGCACGTTTATTTATTCGTTCAGCAATATCATCTTCTAGAATTTCATCTTGTATTTGTGATTCATAATTCTTAGATAGATTTGATGAATATTGTCTTGATGAAGAAACAGATTTGAAGTGATCCTCTTTTTCTTCTCGTTCAATTGTATCATATTTTGTACTTGTCATACTTGTTATCCATGGATGTTCCAAAGCTTGATGAACTGTCATTCGTTGTTTTGGATCAGTATGTAGTAAACGTTTAGTAAAATCAACCATTTTTGGAGAATAATGCATCTTTTCAAGTTTCTCTGGTTCAGGTGGCCCTTCTGTATCACCAGTAGTCCTATTTGAAAAGAAATAGATCTCAGTATCAATGTAATAATTATCGTAATGTCAAATGATTGATTATGATGGAAATCATTTTTACCATAAAGATAATCTATACCAGTCAAGAAAATGAACAGCTTGTTTCACCCTGGTTTGAAACTCTTTAGTAACTCACCTCCATTGACTGTATAGTTAAACCAAGTGCTTTTAGATCTCTATAACTTCCAAATGAGCGTTGGAACACGGGATTCGATTTCAATGGTCAATAATGCCAAAATTTAGAAAACCATCTCATCAACTAACGTCAGATTTATAGTATTCATCAAGAACTGGCCTTAATCAGATCTCCATCGAAAACTAAGAACCATTGAACAGCTATTTTGCCTCAGCATGGAATTCCTCAGGAGTAAGTATCGATAGGAATCGAACCCAGGACCATCTAGTCTCATGACACATGCTTAAGTTTTAGACCACTGAGTTGAAACGTCTAATATCAATTCATAAGCGATATTGAGCGACCGCCTTTCGACTTCAATTCGGATTCACACATCTTCTAGAAATATTGCCTATCTGAATTACTAATTTGTTGTTAATTACTTTAATCTAATTGCTTCTTTTTTTTTAACATTTAACATTATTACTTACATTTGGTAAAGTAATAGACCTAATGACCACATATCAGCAGGTTGACCAACTCTTGCCGATTTACTAATTGGCATAGCATTAGTTAATTCTGGTGGAATATATACCATAGAGCGAAATGATAAACGAACAGGTTTATCAACAGTTGGTGCATGCATTTGTCCTAGATCAGCCAATGCAATCCGTTGTCTAGATTGATCAGTAAAGAAGATGTTCTCTGGCTACAAAAAAAGAATAAACGAAACAAGACAAATTCGTTAAAGTAACCAATTTACTTTCAGTTTCCTTTCATTTGATGTCAAACCCTTTTACTCGACTTTCCCTTTTCTCTTAAATAATAATAACCATCTCAATAACTGCATATATAATACAGAAACATTAGCAATTCACTGAATCCAGCCTAACCTCTAATTCCTCATTCCAACGTGATGTTAACCCCCCGTCTTTCTATCTACCATACTCAATAATCTAATATTATCTACATGATTATTAATTCGCTATGATTACAGTATTTAATTATTCTTTTTTTCAAAAAATGTCGGTCATTCTTAAATTAATGACATAGTGTTCAACTAAATGTATCATACTGGTGATAGATATATTCTAAGCAAAAGGGAATAGTCGAATTAGAAAAAAGGAATTGCCATAAATTTAAAATACCAAAAAAACAAGCAATTTTCATTCAGCAGTACTCATCCATCATCCCAAACGCCCAACTCGAACTTAGGACCTTCGGTCTCGTGCTCATAACTTTAACCTATAAACCACTGAGCCGGCAGGGATCCAACGATGTTGAAGTCTAACCTCAAACAACCCATGATGTCCTGCAACCATCTTGTATTGTTTTCAATGGGTAACTGCTTCACACTCCGAGAATTACCCCTCAAAGTTAGTCACTAGTGAGCACATGATAATTATTACAATAGGGTTGTGAAGATTGTTGAGTTTTAATTGAGATCATGAACCGTTTTCTGGGTTGTAGATGCTCATTTGCTGAGGATTCCCATACTAGGACGAAACGGCCGTCCGGTGCTTCCAGGTTTTCAGTGATGATTTAACATCGATCGGTTCATGATCTCAATTAAAACTCAACAATCTCCAAAACCCTATACCTATAAATTATTCATCAGTTTTATGATGTTTATTGGAATTTACAGTTTAAGAAGAAGAAAAAAAAAGACAAATTCAAGATCCATTACACATTATCAATGTAAAATAGTTTCAATTCAACTTACTACACAAATTAATAACACTTACTTGTAAACCAAGATGTACACCACCACTTTTGTGTATTTGTGCAGTTAAATCTAATAACTGACGTAATATATCCGCTGCTTTATGTTCAGTTACTGTAATACGTCTACCTAATTGATGCCATAATGTATCACCGGATGTAACACTAAAAATAATAATTTAAAAAAATAGGTAATGTCAACTGTGTCTAAATTGATAAGTGATATATGAATCTGATAAAATAAGCTATCGGTTGATAAAATGATTCTGAATCAAACATATCAATCAATAGCTTTTGTAAACTTTTAATTAAAGCGATTTCATATGACAATTTGACTAGAATAGAAATATTCATATTGAAAAAGTAAACAGTTTAAAGTTTGATAAGAGCTATTAAGACAAAAATCTAATCACAAACTAAGCAGCTCTTTATGTATCAACGAGATTCATTTTTATTGGTTTGGATATTACTGTTGATATTGTAGACTGTAACTGATCAGTTACTTTTTGGTATATGTGCATCCAGTGTGAATGACCTTGATATTACAATCAAATTACAAGCATTTAAGTAAATTTAGAGGGTAAATTAAATGAGGGTACTCGGAACCCATAGGTTTTAGAAAATTAAATTCCTCTTTATTAATAATATTCATGTGTAGTAATTTTTCCAGGTTTGAATTTATTCTTCTCTCTAGTTTGCCAATACCTCCACATTCAACATCAGGCATAAATTTACTTTCATCACAGAGGATCAGGCGTAGTTATCATGAATAAATGTGAATATAAAAGTAAGATGTTATCCATCCTCTGTGATGAAAGTAAATTTATGCCTGATGTTGAATGTGGAGGTATTGGCAAACTAGAGAGAAGAGTAAATTCAAACCTGGAAAAATTACTACACATGAATATTATTAATAAAGAGGAATTTAATTTTCTAAAACCTATGGGTTCCGAGTACCCTCATTTATATGGACTACCTAAAATTCATAAACCAAACATACCTTTACGTCCAATTCTATCAATGTGCAGATCACCTACACATAACCTGGCTAAATGGTTAACAAAGTTATTGGACCCTATCCGAAGACATCTATGTAAGTATTCTCTAAAGGACTCTTTTGAACTGGTCGATCATTTAGGTGATATTAATATCAAGGAAAAGACAATGTGTTCATTTGATGTGAATTCCTTGTTTACAAATGTACCTTTGAGAAAAACTATTGATATATTATGTGATTACATATCTGTAAACAAACTTCAATCACGTGTTCCTGTAAAATTTCTTAAAGATTTACTGTTATTATGTACTGACAAAGTTCAGTTCACTTTTGAAGGTGAATACTTTCGTCAGATTGATGGGGTTGCTATGGGTAGTCCGCTAGGACGATTATTAGCAGACGTGTTCATGGCAAATGTTGAAAATCAGGCTGATGACATAATTGAAAACATGTCACTTTATAAGAGATATGTGGATGATATCCTAGTTGTTTGTGAAAGTAAAGAGGAGATGTACCGTTTATTAAATAAATTCAACACTCTTCAAAACCATATCAATCTCTCATGTGAAGAGGAGAAAAACGATCAGCTCCCTTTCCTAGATATACTTCTGAGTAGACGAGAAGATGGCTCAATCAAGCGATCCATTTTTAGAAAACCAACGTGGACAGGTCAATACCTTAGTTATTATAGTTATTGCCCTGTGCAATACAAACGTGGTTTGATAAGGTGTCTTTTCAACAGGCTTGATCGCATTTGTACAAATGACGCCATTTATGATGATGTTAAGTTGTTAAACAAAACATTAATAGAAAATGGTTACCCCCTGAAATTCATAAATAGATGGAAAGTCCACGGTACAGTGAGACCTACTGTAGCCTCGGTGGAAAAAAAAGCCTGTCTACATCACCTTACCATTCAGAGGTGATTCAAATAGTCTCTTATTCAAACAAAGACTTAAATCAGTCATCAGCAAAACGTACTGCGCAGCAAAGGTCATTGTCAAAGAAAGAACAAGGTGCATGTTTCATTCAAAACCTCAAAGACATGAAAACGATTGTGTCACATCCCACTGTGTTTACCAATTTAAATGTGTGTGTGGTCACATATACATAGGGAGGAGCAATCGTAATCTTAACATTAGGGCGAGTGAACATGTACCCAAATGGCTGCAAAAACAAATACAATCAAGTGACCCAATAAGAGCAGAGGATAAACATCCATCATCCTCTATTGCTAAACATATAATTGAAACAGGGCACAAGATTGATCTAAACTCGGCTTAACCTCTAATATTATCATTGAGACTAAATTTATTTTGATGCCTTTTATATTCAGCATGATAATTTTTTAATTTAATAGTGTTAATGCAGTATGACAACTTCGGGTAACAAACATTTGTGCTGGTCCCTATTACTATAACTAACTGATACTATCCATACATGAAAGAGTAAATGATTTTAGTAAGGTAAGTGCCTAAAGTTACATCAGGTTTTAGTTGTAAATTGGTAAAAAAAAGAAATATATGGATCAAAAGTAAATGTACTTACTCTTCCATTACACAAATAGTACGTTTAGCTTCTGTGTAAGCTTCATGTAGATGTGCAAAGTTTTCTTGTTGGATACGTGAAAGTAGTTTCAGTTCACGTTCGGCTTTCTCCTGTTCCCAGTCAGTAATATCATGTCTAGTTGTATACTTTGATATATCATAAGAAGCACGTCTACGGACAGGGCGTTCAGTTTCCAAAACACTAACTGGACGCGGAGGTAATTCTGGATAGCTAACGTCGCGTTTACCTAAAGCACTAACTGGACGTTTAGTCAATGCAGATGGACTTGTATCTATAATAGTCCCTAACCAATAACGACCAGTTGAGCGTTCAGCAAGTCTATAAAGACCAGAATTCCTAGTACTGAAAAAGAAAGAAAAATAATCACATCGAAATGTTCCAGTCACTTATGATGGCCACTTGCTTTATTACGCAAAAATGATACAGTAAGCGCAAAGATAGACTGGAACAACAAAAAAACGCAGAAATGAATATTGTGTGGATAGTGTAGTAAAAAGACGAAGATTATCAGATCTATATGATAGATTAACGCAATACAATTCGAATAATAAGAGCAGATGATAAACATTCAACTTGCTCTGTCAAGCATATAGTTGAAACGGATCATAATATTGATCTTAACATGGCTTTCATGATATTGAGCAAATGTGTTAAATGGAGTATACTAACTTCATTAACTTTGTTTCCTCTTACCCTCCACTTCCCTAGTCGACCTTTTGTTTTAATATATAATTATTCTTAACAAGTATATATGTGATCAGATTGTTCAAACTGTATTGTGTTAATATATCACAAATCTGATAATCTTCGTCTTCTAATTACACTATCCAAATTTGTCAAAGGGACTAATTGCTTTGATTATTATGTGACTTTAAGTATTTCTACCAAGGACGGATATTAACCTGCGGGACCAAAGAAAACCATAGAACACTGGATATCCGTTTCATTCTAGTTTGGGACCCCTAAGTAATGTGCATAAACATAACTTAAACTAGAACGAAATAGTTATCCGATTCTCTCTGCATTTTTGTATTCACCCAGTTGATAAAAGTTATTGGTGAAAATTCTCTTTATATTAAACCAATATACATAATCCATACAACTAAATGTTCTATAATTATCAATTTAACTAAGATTATTCCATTCAGGAATACACTTATCACTATATTAGAAGTCATTTACAAGAAAACTGAATCTTTTGACTGTACATTCGAACATTCATCAGAAAAGAAAGTTCGGATTTCCGAGGTTAGTTTAAGCAATCTACAATACAATGTTTACTTGGAGGGTCAGCAAAATGAAAAACTTGAGGATACATCAAATAGAAATCAAGACTAAATTTAACATTATCAGTATAGGGTTGTAGAGATTATTAAGTTTTTGATTGAGATCATGAACCGGGATCGTGAATGCACGCTGATGAGGATCCCCACAATAGGACGAAATGGCCTTTCGGTGCTTCTACGTTTCAATGGTGGTCTAACATCAATCGGTTCATGATCTCAATCAGTAAATTTAAAATCTCCATTAAACGTGATATTCCTTGAAAGACATATCTACATATAATTTATATGTTTTATTCTAGAGACATGATACACTATGAAGTAGTTTTATGTATTAGATTGCTAGTTTGACAAGACTGATAGGTCCTGGGTTCGAATCCCGCGAGGCGGGAGTGTGGATGAGCACTGCTGAAGAGTCTTATACTAGGACGAAACGGGCGTCCAGTACTTCCAGGTTTTCTATGGTGGTCTAGCTTCAATTGACTTATGAACTCAACTATTAAATTATAATTATAGAACATATAATAATGCTCAAGAGATGAGAAATACAATACAATCAAACCAGAGAAATAAGAGATACAAAGCACTTTTAGAGTTTGCAAATTTATCAATATAATAATTACTCTGAGTTTAACAATATTTGTGTCTATCAAATAAGTATAAAATTGACTCACCGAGCTAACTCTTCAATAATATCATATCGTGAATCGAATGATCCATCTGTATAATGACGGAATTCCATATCATTAAGATCCAGAACTAAAATCAATATAAAAGTAGGAGGAAAACGATAATAGTATAGTTTTCCTTGATGTTCTACTTTCTAGTAGGATAGATAGTTCCATAAAAAGAAATGTAATTAGAAAGAATACTTGAACGGGTCAGTATACCCATTTTCATAGCTTTACACCTCACCAATACAAAATAAATTTAGTTAAATGTCTGTCACAGAATCAAACTATTATTTTCTGATGATAGTGTAGATAACGAACTCGATAAACTAAAGAACACTATGGAATAATGGTTATTAAGATAATTTCGTCAGGAAAACCCTATTAGGTGTTAAAATAAAGAAGAAACTGTGACTCGGTCGGTAAAAAACACTGTATCTGAAATTGGACTTTAAAGAGGACATAGTAGGTGACATTTTGACACATCGACTCAAAAGATCTGTTGAAAGAACGATTCACGCCGTTAAGTTACAGATAATTTTTTCAGCTAAACCAGTAATTACACAACAAATCAAGGATAAGCTACCGATGATGGGCTCCTCTATGTGTGTATTACCAATTCAACTGTTCCCGTGGAACTAGTTACAGAGGCCGTACTCAGGGAACTTTATCCTTGTGTGTTCGTGACCATCCACCAGCATGGTTGGGAAATGGAGTCATAAAGTCTATTAACGGCGCCATTCTTCCTCATTTGGTAGATTGTCAACATCATATTAAAATAGATGAAACTTTTTCTATTTTGTATCAGGTTACAAACAATTTACCAAAAGGAGTTAGATTACTGCTCCTTTACATAGCTGAGACCATCTGGATCAACTCCAGGAAACCGAACTTATGTATCCAGAAAAGGTATATCCAGCCTCTATTGTTTACCTTGGTTCACGACTGGGGTACCAGATACCTAAATTAGATAGTAAAAATCTCTTATCTTCGCTCGATTCCTTTTCTGTTTATATTTTTTAATCTGAACATTCACAGCACCTCTTATAACATGTTACATTCACGCAACGTCATTATTAACCTGCAACCTGAATTAACGAGGTAACATTCTCCTATTATACATTTTATTCACGAGATTCTTTGTACTAATATTATTGTTATTGATTCTGGCTTGACACTATTACGAATCAGTTTGATCTTTATTAACTAATCTTTCTAATTTACAAATAGCGAAATTTTGAAGTATTTATGCCCTCACAGATGCTTAAGTTCACCATTTTTAACGGTATTGTCAAATTCACTAATATAAGCTTTATTTTGGCCCATAACTGTAGAGCCTGATGATGAAATTAGTGAAAACAACTGTTCACTCAAATATTCTTTGGTTTTTGAAAGTAAGTTAATTATTAAGTAATTGGAAAAGACAATAATAAATCAAGACCTTCGGTCTCGTGCGTAAACTCTTAATCTCTAGACCACTGAGCCAGCATCAAACGGTGTTGAGCGTTCGAGAGCGAAACCGAAGATCCTGGGTTCGAGTCCCGCATGCGGAATCGTGAATGAGCACTGTTGAAGGGTCACATACTAGGACGAAACGATCGTCCAGTACTTTCAGGTTTTCATTGGTGGTCTAGTTTAAATCGACTCATGAATTTAACTATTATAATTACTATGATCTCCACAAACCCCCATTCTGATAATAATAATAATAATAATAATAATAATAATAATAATAATAATAAACGAACAAATTTTCATGGTTGTTTATACACTAAATTTATGTTTCAAATTTCCGTTCAAACTATAGTAAACAAATACCACTATCAAAGACAAAAACTGTAGTTATAAGAATTTTAAGCCTAAATCATCGATACACCCACGAAGTTGTTTACTTTTCCATTGATGAGCATGTTTAAGCACTGAACAGATTTGAAGCTTTTGCTGACTACTTTCAGCTAGCCAACATAAAATTTACATTTTTCGCAGAGATCAGAATGACTAGTCTGAGTATAATATTTAGATTGATCTAGATAGGTTGACCTATAATCAAAGTTAGAATCTGTGACATCTATGCAAATATTCCCGGCCTAATTTCTGTGCATAAATATTGTTAGGATAAAATCTACAGAAAGCTTTTAAGTAAATATAACAATTGTCTATTAGAGATCTGACCGCTAAACGGACTGGATAATTTGACTAATATTTGGAGTTAGTATACAGTAAATTGAATGTGACTATAGAGTTGTAAAACATTTCACTTTGAATTTAATGTTCTGGTTTACAATATGTATAGATCATTGTTCTATTGTTTCGAAGAAAACATCTTTAAGAAACAAAGACGATATGTAGATCAGTTTTTTAAGATCTGTGTATAGTGTACATTATCTAAGATAAGTAAGTATGAAGAAAATGAGGGGAAAACTAAAGATGGATGCGCACTTCTGAAGAGTCCCATATTAGGACGAAATAGCCGTCTAGTGCTTCCAAGTTTTTAATAGTTGTCTAACATTGATCGGTCCATGATTTCAATGAAAAATAAAGAGTTAAAATAGACATATGCTTAAAATGTCATTCTCTTGAAAGAAAATCAACAAATGAAGGGAGTTACTAACGAGACGAAGAAGAATGATACGAATCAATAGGAAACAAATAGAGTAGAATTGATTAGTAAACACTGTAGAGTTCCAGAGAAGATTGTCAACGTTATTCGGAACTTATATGACGGACTACAGTGCAAAGTCGTGCATGGAGGACAGCTGACAGATATATTGCAAGTAAGGACCGGAGTCAGACAAGACTATCTAGTAAAGTTTCATGTTAACTTTTTGGTATTGAAAATATTTTTTTGTAACTTTAGTTCACTTTTGTTCATATGTTGATAATTTCAATAAGAAGTAATTTATTTACATTTATACAATAAATACTGTATTTGTAAATTTTATTATTTATACCTTCTGTAAGCCGATGTACTGGTAATTGTGCTGGTTCTGATGCATCACTAGCTGGTCCTAATCCATGCCAATTTTCTAATCGTACTCTGAAACGATAATTTACACCTTTTCTTAATTGACTACGTGCAATAAAATAAGTTTGATCAGCAGATGTAGTACCAAGAAGGAACCAATCTTCTCCAGGTTCATCACGACGATACTCTACACGATAACCAGTAAATTTAACTAAAGATTCTAAACGATCAGTAATCAAAGGTGGAGTCCATTCTATAAGTAATGTTCCAGGTCCATGTGGTTTTACTCGAGGTTTCTGTAGTGTAGTATAAGGTTTATCTAAATAAAATAAGATTAATTAACATTCTAGTGAGATATTTTTAATAAAATATAAAATTGTTTTAGATAATTACTTACATTCATAATGATTGTAGTAATTTAAATATCATGGATATTATTTTTCTAATGTTTTCTAATACTGTTTACTTTAAGGGATCATGAGATAGAGGTTGGATGCCGGCTCAGTAGTCTAGAGGTTAAGCTTTCGCGTGCGAGTTGGGCGCTCGGGATCGTGGATGTGTACTGCTAAAGAGTCCCATATTAGGAAGAAACGGTCGCCCAGTGCTTCCAGGTTTCCCATAATGGTCTAGCTTTAATTGACTCATGAATTCAACTATTAAATTACTACAATTTCCACAAAACCTCATTTCAGATATGGGTGTACTTATATGTACATGTTCGCAACCAATTATAATCGGTGAACTAACATCATCCATGCTAAGTTTATATCATAACTTGAGTTAGGCTACACACTTACAATATTCTTTATATGATAATCAGTGATTTTCATGTAACTCACTCTAATATGAAATACGACATGACAGATGAATTACAGAGATAAACAATATATGTAATTTATATATTTTTTAAAATAAAATGTTATTTGCATTGTCGACACTTACTTCATTTAGTTATCTTATATCTAGGATGCTATATATGTTAAAAGTAATTCGACAGAAATTTAGCCATCAGCATCTATATAGAGATTTTTTTACTAAGAAAAAGTATTGAAAAAACTGTAAGATATACACTCAGAAGAATTCTGATGTGTTGGGATGGCTTCCGAGAATTACGATAGAGCCTCTAGAGGTTCTATAGGAGCCGACAAATTCGTAAACAATCAAAACGTGATGGAGCTTTCTAGAATATCAACGTGGCGTACTACAATCGGACAGTAGCATAATTTGCCTCTTTGGGGATTGGCTGAATTATAATGATATTATGATAAACGCCAATATCTATAAATACGCATGATTTTCTGTACATTCTGATTCTTACCAAACAAACACTTATCTAGCTCCCTTCTATCCTCTGATTTTGTGACTGTGGGGTTATATATCTTCGAGTGCCGTAGTTATATTCCATATTCTGCGTTAATGAAGTATCAAACGTAACATAATGGTCTGTCTTAAGGAGGATATATAGTTCAATGAAAATTTATCATGTACTTGGAAAATGTTATACACTTGTATTGCATAGATAGATATCGGTCTCGCGCGTGAACGCTTAAACTATAGACCACTGAGCCGGCCGGGATCCAACGGTGTTTATGTCTAACTTCAACCAATCCACGAAATTGATCCACCGTCTATAATTGTTACATGGTTCATTTTATCAGTTTCTGATCGGTGTAAAAATTACCATCTCACCTTTTCTATGTTTTTAAATTTCATCTTGAAGTTTTCATTTTAATTATTTCTGTCACCAATGTCTGTTACTTCATATTATATTATACCTCAATATTACACTTGAATAAGAATATGGTTGTACGAGGAATCCCAGAATAAAATAAATTTATTTCATCCTGCCTCAGTTTTTGTCGGGTTTTATTCAAATAATCACATAATAAAGGGTCATCACAGTGACACGACAATAGTAATACGATTAGAAGAAATGTGAAGTATAAAACCTATTTTATTAAGTTATTCATTTGATTCATAAGAAACACTCAGTACACGTATTCTTAAAAGCTCGTTTTTAGACGATTATTCGATATAACATACAACATAGAACTTCGTATGTACGTACATCAGTTCGAGTTGCCATATCACATTAGCACAGAGATGCAGTTGTCGATTCAAATCCCATAGTGGTAGAGTTAGTAAGAGTGTAAACAGTAATCGGAGTATAATCCAGTGAAATTAATTTGGAAAGAAAATAAAGGACATGAAGAATTCAGAAGATTAGAATTTGAGATTATACAAAGAGTGGATGCACTTGCGCCATGTCATTCAAGGTCCCTAACCATCAGTTGCGATCGTCTCGCAGATCCCAACTAGGTATTCCACATCTACCAACATGGCTCAGTCCACTTGTCAATGACCTCATGGATTTGTGCTATGATTGGTCTGACCGTACCTAGCTTAATTTCAACGTACTCCTACACCATAAAACGTCGCACGTCCGTGGTTGGGCATACGTAACACGTGTCCCAGCCATCTCAACTGATGATGTTTCAATACTTCATCAATTCATTTGCCATCCTTACCTAGTACCCGTTTTCTAACAACTGCATTACTTACTCGGTGGTCCCAGGATATACGAGCAATGCTTCGAAAACATCTATGATCGAATATCCTCTACTCTTACCGGCCATATTTCACAGCCGTAAAGTAGGATGGAACGAACTGCTGCGCAGTAAACCCGTTCTTTGGTTGGTAGTGTGGTGTGCTACGTATGTCCACATAAGTAGCATATCACGCTAGTCCGGAATAGAATGTCTGGCAGCAGAAGGTTGAGAAGATCGAGGAGAAGAGAACGGGAATAGAAAGCAATCGGTATAGAAATGCAGGAACAATGAAGTCTAAGACAAGTAACGAATATTTTGCAAATCAATTATTAGAGTATTGTTTTTCTATTTTATCAAGTAACTTTGTAATTTTGTGCTGAATATAATCGGCTGTCATCACCTGTGTTCGCCTTCACTACAGTAGGATTATGAAATAGGAATAAGAATCGTAAATTATCTAAAATATCGCAAATTAGATCAAACAAATAAACGGTAAATAATTCAAAGTAATTGAAAATCAAATTTACCAGCAATACGTAAACGCAAATCTATGTAATCTCGACCAGCTTGATTCTGTATCCATAGTCGATATAGTCCACTATCAGCTAGATTTAATTTATCAACAACCACTTCAACCCAACGGCACCCAGGTGATAGATTTAGTCGAACACGATTTTCCAACGGTTCAACTGAAAGACCAGGAGTCAAATGACTTAAACGCTCGAACCAAACTTTTGTAATCCAATCACGGTCTTGTATATAATCTAAACCTTCTAGTGGAACACGTAGATACCAGCTGTCTCCATGTCTTAATTCATATTCATGAGGTTGTGCAGCCCATCCAAGTCGGCAGAATCGTGGCACCGCTGATTAAAAAAAAAATAAATTGCTTGAAAATATTTAATTTCGAATTGCATCCTTGTGTCCGTTTTTCTTCACGATTAACTCTTTTGTTTAATAACATCAGTTATGTACTACAAAGGGCATTTCAGAAATTCTGTGACTCAAAACATACACTATCTGGCTACTTATCCGATCGTTTTCTTTCAGGTCCAACTATTTCCTAAGTATTCACTTCGAAAAGATTTACAATTTTTAACAATAGAGCAGAGCTACTTATAAGTAGTATACATGTTAAACCATAATTGTAATTAGTATGATCGTTTATTACCGTCATTCTTTTCCAAAGATAATTCCAAAATTTAGTATTGTGTTTATAATTTGAACAGTTCATCAGGCATTTCCAACCAACTTGTTCTATCAAAGTGGAATGAGAAGGCTTTTTGGTATGAGAATATAGTAACTTCAAACCCTTATACCTTACTGGATAAACCAAATAAATAAATTTTCCGGATAATAAACTGATCTAAATTAAACAACCACTAAAAGCCTGGAATCATTTAACAGGCGTTTTGTCCTATTATAAGACTCTTCAATAGTGCACACCCATGACCCCGTAACTAGAATGCTAACCTAGAACTTTCAGTTTCGATCCACAAACCTCTAGAGGTAAATGAATGTGTTATGTTAGGTGGCTTATAGTTTATTACGTTAACTCATTTTCCAGGTACTTGGATATGAGCCACATTCTGATCGTGATAACTAACGGTTCCACCTAGTTGCATAAAGCAAAGTAGGTGGTGTGGGGCCCAGACTTCAGATATAGAGGCTGAAAGTCGAATACTTCAATCACTAAACCATAGTTGAAGGGATCCAACAGAAAACATCAGGACTTGGGGTTCGTGTTGGTTTGCGCTTGTCAGAAAGGAGTATCTGTAATCTTGAGGGGAGTTATGCTCCTTGTGAGATCGGTAATTGTAGGAGTAGTATATTTATATACTGTTTATGTGGAGCTAAATATTTCATTTTAAAATTCGACACGTACCTGAAACTATCAATTCCCATGTTTCTGATATTGATTCATAAATATTCCATACACGACATTCTAAGAAACCAGCATGACTTGGTTGTATTTGTTCAATAGTTAATTCATAAATACCAACACCAATTTGAGCCACACGACAACCAGGTAAAATTTTTTCATCTATTTGTATGTGATTCAAATACCTATCCAAGAATATATTAATGCGTTAGAATATATTAATGCGTATTCATTTATATTATAAATCAATTGCATGAAAACTGGATGGGTAAAGCAATTACAATCGTTTTAATAGTTGAATTCACAAGTCAATTAAAGCTAGACCACCATGGGAAACCTAAAAGCACTGAACAGCCGTTCCGTCCTAGTGCTCACATACGACCCCACCAGCGGGACTCGGACAGAGAACCTGTTGGTTCTGCGCGCGAACGCCTAACCTATAGATCCGATTTGGGCGTTCGGGATCATGACTGTACACTGTTGAGGAGTCCCATACTAGGACGAAACGGCCGTCCAGTGCTTCCAGGTTTTCCATTTTAAATTGACAAGTTGGTTACACATGACAAATAGTCTGTTTTTAATTGTTATAGTCATCTTTATAATACTTTTCAGAAGTAGCTAACAAAAGGAATGGAAAAAACACCTCAACAGGTTTAAAATTACACTTTATTGAAATTCGGTAACAGTTCAGAAAGATTGGCAAACCGCATGCATCTATAAATGAACAATTCATCTTATTCTAGCTTGTTCTATCTTAAGGATTTCTATCGCTCTCTAACACAACATAACACCAATAGCCTTGGATTAAGACTACGTTTCATTTAAAAAAATAATTTTTAATATATTTTCAACAGTGAATAATGTATGGTGTTATGTAATAATAATTTTGATCATGTAAACGACCAAATACAATAGAAATACATTAGAGCATTCAGATTATAGATGGTTAATAAGTTGGAAAGAGGTTCTACAACCAGGTCTGTTGTGAGTTAGTAGCTCACTGAAGACAATGATGGATGGTGGCTCAATTTCATGGATTGGTTGAAGTTAGATATTAACACCGTTGGATCTCGGCTGGCCCAGTGGTCTAGAGGTTAGGCGTTCACGCGCGAGATTGATAGATCCTGAGTTCGAGTAGGGCGTTCGGGATCGCGGATGCATACTGCTGAAGAGTCCTATACTAGGATGAAACGACTGTTCCATGCTTCCACGTTTCCCATGGTGGTCTAGCTTCAATTCACTCATGAATTTAACTATACGATCAATAAAATCTCCACAAAATCTATTCTGAAAATGAATATACTATGATAAACTGACAGATTTCAGTTTAAAAAAAACTCCGCATAATACAAGTCAAAACATTTTGTAAAAACTGATTTCAATTATACATTTGTGACTTTTTTTCTCAGCAATATCACATTTTATCTGTTTACTATATAATCTACATTAGTAGTATAGTTAAATTGTACGGAAAAACTAAAACTACAAAATTTTTTTAATTAATTTTGTGGATTAGTTGAAGTTAGACATTAACACCGTGGTCTAGTGGTGAAGTGCTCGCGCGCGAAACCAGTAGGTCATGGGTTCGAACCTCGCGCACTGCTGAGGAGTCCCATAATAGGACGAAACGGCCGTCCAGTGCTCCCAGGTTTCTTATGGTGGTCTAGCTTCAACTGACTCATGATCTTAACCATTGAAATTACTACAATCTCCACAAAACCCCTTCTGATAAAAAAAATAAGTACAAAATCAAATGAATCACTAACCAAAAGACATTTGGTTTCGGTTCTCCTTCAACTTCTACAGACAAAACTAATTTTTGCCCATGAACAGCATAAATAATACGATCATCTCGCAAATTGATGAAACGTAATGGACTTCGTTCTGTTTGTAAACAATGAAGAAAATTATTTAACATTATTTATAGTATAGTAAAGAACAGTACATTATCAATACATTAGAACTATTTGTTTTGTTTTAATTTTATCGAACAACTAGACACTGTCAAGAACCTATATACTATGTGATGGCATAATCTATAAAATGCCAACTAAAAAACATTTGAAAAATTGTAATTCATATATATTAGTTGTTTGGATCTTTCTATTGATGTTTAGAACTGCAATTGACCAGTTTTTTTTGGGGGGGGGGATATATTTACATCCTATGGTGGTTGCTTAGGTATTCCCAGTAAGTCACAAACATTTTATACAGAAATGGATGGTGGATAGCAGTAGAATCCAAGATTAACGTTTCATTCTGTTTGGAACTCTTCAGCTTGTGAAAATACTATAGTATACAGAAATGTATGTATGGAGATTAAAGTTCTTCAAAAAATCAGATAAATCATTAGTCAAACAAGAAAGAGTACAAGCAAACATGCATAGAAATAAATCAATTTTTTAAAGTGAGTTTACATGAGACATTCACACTAAAGGATTACCATAGTTATAGAGTTAATCCGAGACATTTTGCTGAATTACTTTCTCAGCTATTGTAGTGTGATTAGTTTAGATTAAGTAATAACGTAAAGTCTATTATTGCCTGTTGCCGCTACAGTTTTCATCTGATTTGTCTTAGTTATTCACCACTAGTCACGATCATTGTATAGACCTTTTTTCAGTCTACATATAAGTTGCCTTCTTTCCTTACAATGTTCGGAGCCTGACAGGATGAGTCTCCAAATATCTGTCAGTTCAAAAAACGCTGTTGAAATCCACTGATTTTTCTTAACCTTTTAGCTATAGTCACTTGTAGATATCACTGATGTTTTCAAGGCTTTTTGAATATCAAAATAACCCATATTAAAGTGAACATCACTTTGACGATAAACCAACTGCTTCTCCAGTTGTTCACAACATTTTCATCGTTAAGGTGCACTCTAATGGGTTTCTTGCTATGGTTTTTCTACATTCAATAAAGCAAAAACAAATATGTGCTCGTACTAAAACATGGTTAGAGTCTAAACATGTTCTTCAGAATAGGTGGCAGTCTTCTATCGAGACTCTCCGATGATGTCTGGTGGTGATATGGTCCATTTGAGTCCAGGGTTATATAGATTTTGGGGGTAGCCATGTTGTACGATATCTCTCTCTTCATGATAAAAGCTGATTCTTGCTAAGAATAAACGATTATCTGAACATAGTTGCAAGAGCCGGTCGCCGTTATAGATTCATTCAGTTAAAAGTGTGACATAATAATTGAGCTAGGTCCCCCCCCCCCAAAATCGAATTAATTGAATACATTGTATTCGAATAAATTGTTAGAAGACTTATAGAGCTTTCTATCATTTGAATAATTTACTTACCGAAAATAAAGCCAACAACTATATTTAGCTTAATAGATAAATACAATAAATAGTAGTATATTTAAAATATAGTTTACTTATCTTTAACCTAAGTAGAGACTGAATATGATGTTTATTTAAAAAGCTAACGTTTTGATAATATAAGCCTGAAACTTGTGGGATAGTGCAGGAAGGGGTCTATCTGGGGAACCAGTATGAGCTAATACTGTTGATTACTGAAGAACTCAAAAAAGAAATTAAGATAAACCCATACGATCTATTAAGATATCAGTTAGAATCAAGTTACAATAATCATTTTTTAAAAATTATTTATGTTGGAGTAATCCAGAAAACTTCTTACAAAAGCCAAGAAAGACTCAGGAAACACTAAGAAGCATTTTATCCAATCAACATCCACTAGACGTTTTGCTAGAAACATCTAGGATGTGAAAAGTCACGTGTAGAGTTTCTGATTGGTTGATTACTTATACTGCTACTATGTTTAGTAGCATTTTAGAATTTTCAGAAAAACCAAGGACATCTGAAATACTATAAAAACCCCAATATTTTCTGTACTAAAACAAACCTTTGGATTCAAGTGCTTCTCGTATATTTTATACCTTTTCTCTCATATTCAGGTTGTTGTGTAGTTCTAGCTTAGGGGTTACAAGAATACTTTACGAACTGAATATAGCATTCAATTAGCAAGACTTATCAATTTATTTGATGTAACAACACTTATATCATGCTATAGTCTATTAATGAAAACTATAAAATGAAATAATACCTTTATAATACTACTTATTATTTAGAAAAAGAAAATATATACTTACTAGCTTGAGGAATTAATGTAATTGGTGTTTTTGTAACAGCTGGTAAACTTTGTTTATTATCCAATTCAGCGAATACACGAAATTGCCATTGTTGTTGATCAAAATCAATTGATCTTATATGTCTTCTTCTAGTTATAGATGATATACTATTAGATTGATAATTAGATGATTGACTAAATAAATTATCTAATTTATTATAACTAATAAAATATTGTGTTGTTTTTAATTCTGAAATAACTTTAGTCCAATTAGTAATTGGTTCACCTGAAAAATTAAAACCTCTTACTTCAATTCTATAAAGTAATTTCTCATCTAAACGATTAGGCATTTCAGGTGATTTCCATGTTAACATAATACCTTCTTGAGTTTCATCAATTTTACTAATAGCATTAAATGATCTTGGTTGATCAATCCAAAATATTTTTATATCATCTTCAAATGAATCAAATTGTCCAAGAGTTGTAAATGGTTTTAAAAGTTGACAATATTTTGTACTTCGAGTTTTAGTTGATTCTTCAATTCCAACAAGACGAAAATCATATGTTGTACCAGAAGATAAACCATGTACTTCGTATGATGTATCAGAAGTGCGAATTCTTGCTACAGGCTCCCAAATACTTGGTTTGTACTTATTGATGATACGTCGTTCTAAAATGAGATAATATGGATATAATGTTTCTTCATCTATTCTAAGAGAATTCCATCCTAGTAAGGCAGAAGTTGGACCAACATGAAGAACTCGTAATCCATCTGGAACAATTCGACCAATGTCAAAAACTTCATCACTAGATAATCGTCTCTTAGGACTCCCAATGCGAGGTATATTTTCATACTGTAAACTGTCATCTAATGTATGAATCCATTCGGAGAGGAGACCATCATATGAAAGTGAATAATTAGTGCGTTTGTCGATACTTGACGAAATATCAGCTAATGATGAGCGTATACGAAATCTAACTGTAGCACTGTTAATCGGTAATACATAATCAGTAAGACGAGTCCGACCAACTTCGAACCAAAATCTTCGATTTGGTGTTTGTTGTTCAATAATATATTCAATTTCCTCATCTAATTTACGTCTATGCATAATATCAGTTAATCCTCTTAGTTGTACTGGTTGCCACCTTAAACGATAAACACCACCACCGACCGGTTCCACGTATAATGGACCCCTAGGTGGAGGAATAATTAATGATTCATAATCAATATCCTCATGTCCTACTGCTTTTGGAACGGTATAAGCTTTCAATGTTTCTAATGGTCGACCAAATAAATCATCTTTATATGGTATAACACGGAATCGATAAGAATGATCCGGTAGAAGACCTGTTACTGTAACACCATGGAATGGATGACGTATTTCAGTTGTATTAATCCGTGTAATTGTTCTCCAACCAGTTGGTTCTTTTAAATCATATAAATCTAATATATATCCAGTTAATGGTTCATCAATTGGTTGCCAGTGTAAAGAAACTGATGGTGAGAGTGAAGATAAACTGGTTGTTGATTTCACTGTTAAATCACCGGTTAATTTTGGTACAGTAACTAGAAAAAGGAAAGGAATTAAAAAGTAATTCTCATTTTGTAAATTCATTTCATAAACGATTATAATTCCCTCTTATTACAACTCAGCTATTCCTATTGCTTAGTATCCAAGACACTAATTCACTCGACAAGTCCCCAAATCAGAATATGGTTGAATAGAAAAGAGATTATATTCCAAACATAAAGGTTAGATGGAAGTAAGAAGCACATTAGGAAAAACGTTAGTATATTTATAGTTTTTACATGAGAAGATCCTAAAGCGATCTCCAAGTATCGACTAGCGCTGATTGGATAAGAATTAGCCAATCAGCGTGCGCCAAAGCAATCGTGTATTGAGTATGCTTTAATCCTATGTCCCGCTAACAAAATGTTTTAGAGTAATCTAGACCTCTTGATATTTTCGGGTGAAAGTTGGTCATTGCATGAAAGAACATCATCCTATCATGGTTGAGTAAAGAACAGGTAAGAGTGTTTAAGAGTTCGATTCTTGCTCACTTGGTTGGACACAAGATAACATCAAGTTGACTTGACATATTCCATCAAATTTAACATATGGTTTACAAGTTCATCTTTTACATATTGCTAAAGCTACTGGATTTCGTGTTTAAAAACCTAAGAGGTTTGTACAACCACACTCACTACCTTGGCTATCATTATAGGAGTGTTTCAGCTGAACTTTTGACTAAACGCTTTTCTTCAGAAATATTCAAACAATTTTTTTAAATTTCACTTTATACTTTTACACATTCTTAACATCAGTCTTCTGATGCTACTATAATACTGACCTTTCATTGAAATAGTCTGTCGATTCGTTCTACATATTATGTAATGTAGCAGTTGTTTAATTTTTCGAATAATTACTTTGATTAGTATCAGAAGGGGTTTTGTGGAGATTTTAGTAATTTCAGTAGTTGAGATCATGAGTCTAGCTCCAATTGACTCATGATCTCAACTACTAAACTCTCCACAAAACCCCTTCTGATATTAACCAACATATGCTCACTAGTGACTGGCTTCAAGAGGTATATCCTGGAGTTCTAGTGGGAAGTAGTGACTAGTGGAGTTCAACTGGGTCTGTTGTGAGATAGCAACTCACTAATGACAATGGTGGACGGTGGCTCAACTTCGTGGATTGGTTGAAGCTAGACATTAACACCGTTGGATGACGTCTTACTGGTCTAGTGGTTCAGCGCTCGAGCTGATAGGTCCTGGGTTCAAATCCCTCAAGGCGGGATCGTGGATGCCCTCAACTGAGGAGTCCCACACAAGAACGGGACAGCCGTTCAGTGCTTTCAGGTTTTCCATGGTGGTCTAGCTTCAATTGACTCATGATCTCAACTACTGAAATTACTTTGATTATTATAATCCTCTTTCTTCACTGTGATATTATATGATTATTATGTAACTCAATTACTCGATGAATATTATTTCACTGTTATAAAGTAAGGAATGATTGGTCAGTGAGCGAATATTGACATATCCAGTACACTAGATTTTAGTATACTGTCTTATATTATTATTCATCCGACTTGTGTTCCTCTAACATTTCATTGTGGTTCCATTTAATAGTTGTTTTGTATTGTGTATTAATTCTGGTTTATATGTTGTTCTCGTTTGAACAGTCCGACGATAATTGATTAAAGTACAATCACATAGTCAAGTAGAATAATTTAGTGCCGTTAGTCTGAACAATCCAACTATGTATCTCTCATTATAACACTTATATACTTGAATATTATACGGATGATGTATCTTTGAGGAGTAAAAAGCACTAAGTGGTTACTTGACGCAACTATTCATCAATGTTCACACCAATACTAATATATAAATATTTTAAGTTCGTTTCACAACATGAAAACGATGGTTTTTCAGTTCTATGAAGTTTCAACATTTGGCACCTTGGTCTTGTTTCCCCCGATTTATATTGTTTCATGATTTAAAAGAAATAGCTACATGTGATAAAAGAAACTGTGTTTCAAAATAAAGAAGACAATTTTCTGACGTGTTTCTAATTCTGATATATGTTTATTGAGATTTTATTCATAAGTATTCTCATGAAACTTGATGTCCAAATTATCCTGGAGATGGTTTAAAGTAGCTATTATTTCAATTATTTCAGTCAAACGTTGTTAAAGTTACAGAATAGAAAATCATCATTCTGGGCTGTAAATTTATCTTCTGAGAGTCCCTTTCCGGGGGCTACTGCCGGTCCCAAGCCCGGATAAAGGAGGAGGGTTGGGCATGGGGTTAGCGACCCCATCCCGTAGAAAACTAACTCGCTAAAAAAAACGCTAACCAGAGATTCATCTTAGCCTTAGTCAATTGCGATCAGCCGTAGTTATAGAATGTTAAACATTTCTGATATCTTTGAATGAATATATTTCAGTTTTTTAGTGAGCGTGGTTGACAGGATAACGATCGAATTATCTTCATCTTTATGGATCACAAGTTCTATTTGACTTCGTATATATTCTATTAGTAAATCCTGTAAATAATACCGTAGACATCAGTAGTTCAATAAGAAAGTATTTGAAGTACGTATATTTCAGACATTCGATAATGCAGGCAGAAGATAAAAGTCGAAAAGAAAAATACATAATTGAAGTGACAGAAATAACTAACTCGGTGAATGATGGGTAACTCAACGTTTATAAGAGTGAATGAGATACAGGACGTATATAGATGTAGACGTACTATCATACATATTTACTTAAGGGTACATATATTATAAATGACAGAATGACTGGAAAGAGGTCATCTGTCCAAAGGTTATGTAGAAATTTGTACTAAAACTATTTGGGTGAACTTACTTGTTTTTCTCGGCATTTCAAATATTTCTGAATGGATTGCTTCACTAAGAACGCTTGAATCAATTGTAGTTCGACTAATTTTTCCAAGCCTTGATGGTGTTACAGAACGTGGTGAATCAGTGATCTGTCCACGAGACATTATACGAAATAGATATCTAGTTTCAGGTTGTAAATCAGTTGTTTGATAAGATGTTTCCCAAGCATCCAATACTGCTAACCGTTTCCAAGTAGTTGGTTCATTTCCTGTTGATGGTAATGTACAATATTCTAATATATATCCAGTTGGAGGACAACGTAATGACAAACTGCTACGTCGACCTGAGAATGTTACTGTTGATGGTGGAAGCCATGTTAACAAAGCACCTTTTGTACTGCCAGTTAATAATGACACTCTAAGATGAGAAGGTGGAGCTGGTTTCGCTGGTTATGTAATAAGAAATGATTTATTGTGAGAAAATTTGAGAAAATACACATACAAAAATCGTTACAAAATAACTAAAACGGAAGTGCTAAACACCTGAACTCATTAGAGTTATTGCCAATATATCTGTATCTGTATATCCACAAATTTGCATTTCCATATTAGTAAAAGAAGTCTAAGTTTGATATTATAAATGAAACTAGTCACTGACGTACTTAGATTATAGGAAGTTTTTTGATTAAGTTATACTCTTTAATTCTTCTAAAGACTATTATTACATATCTTCAATCGCTAACATGCGACAAACTTTATTCACATTTGATTAAACCTGGTAGAATTACGGACCGTCATCTTCATTACTCAACACTTTACATCGTCAAGTAACAGCTAATATTATGAAAAATGTTGACTTGATCTAGTTATTTGATCAGACATGATGAGACTTTATCAATGAGAAACTACACAGCATTTCACCAGATTTTTATAGTTAGCGTAAATGGTGTAATATTGACCCTTAACTTGAGTGTGTTATGTGAGATTCAAGTTTCTGTATACCAGGGTTCATAAATGTAAGCTGATCCAAAAAATGAACAATTTACGTACAAACTGTTTTAGATTGTGAAACTTATAGTTTATCAATAATAAAATGAAATCCAGCCAATTCAGCATGACTGAAGCGTTTATTCAAGTCACTATTGCACTGGAGGTTAATTAGTTTCATTTAGTGATCATGATTAGCTGCTTCAAGATAAGAATAGATGAAACATTTATAATGTTAAACATCTGTAAAAAAATATTCGGAACTTTTGAAATATCTTGGAAATCCATTCTAGAACTCTGAAATCTGACAACTATATTCTTGAACAGTCTTTGGTGAGATACATTGTGTGACGAGGTAAATGTAGTTCCTTAATAGAAAGAGATGAACAATACAAACATGATAATAGAATATATGGGATCACTACCGTTCCCAAAGAATACCATTATTGGGTCTGTATCCGAAAATAAAAATATAGAGGACAGGTGATTCCTTTCATCTAACTGAACCACGGTGGTTGTAGTGTCGATGAACTAGACGACAGTTCAGCACTTATGTTGAGGCAGTTTGAGTCATAAAAGCAAATATGAAAACAAAACAGGGAAGATATTATTTTCTACTCAGACACCTGGTCCACAAGGGTGGTGGTTACGCCACGGGATTTAGTTGTGCTATTCAGATTGTAGCGTTAAAGCCTATACCGTGTCTGGTTCGCCTTTGAAGCGGGATTGAGCTGTACTACTCGGGTTATACAATTTAAGCTTGGGCGGTGTCTGGCTCTCCTGTTAAACGGGGTTGAGTTGTACTTTTTGGGTTGTCACGTGAACGTCTGGATGGTTTCTGGTTCTCCTGAGAACCAATGTAAAATTACCCTGGCCCACAAAGGTATATTATATAACAGTTAGACACCATATAGCTATAAAAAATACCGCAAATTTCAATTTGTAATGAAATACATTCATAGTAAACAATTAAAACGCTTAAGTATAAAGGTATGGCAGCTGGATGGTAATTTGAAGAAAAAGTTGTTCAAATATGAGCATTAATACAAGTAATTTTTGCATTTAGATCTTGTTCTCAAGAGTTTGGTGACAAGATTTATGATCAGTTGATCGTCTATTAATTGACATAAGAACAGTTTAGTTATCTGTATGATTTATATATGTATGCTATTCTATTCAGTTGTCAAGTTTAAGTTGCAGTTTTATGTCAACCTACTCTCAAGTTTAATAAAACGATAATGTTCAAATTAGAAGATAACTTACCTTTCTTTTCTTTATCTAATTGAGGCATGAAAACAGGTTGCGGAAGAATAACTGGTTCACTTCGACCATCTTTTGTTTCCGTTAGAACTCGGAAATGATAAGTTTGTCCGAGTGGTAAGCGATCGACGCTTATTTCATATCTACCCGGTACAGATTCAGCACTGATAGCAGCTGGTCGTCGTGCTATCGGCCACCATTCTTGTTTGTCTGGACGCCATGATTCAACGACAAAATCTGCAGTAGAGCGTAAGGTCGAAGACATACCCGCTGGAGGATGCCAGGATAATGTTATACTTCCCAATCTGTTTTGCATACGTTCACTAGCTGATTCGGTAGACACATCAATCAAGTGGAAACGCTCAGGAGAAGGTATTATTGGTTGAGGAACAGATGGAACCATAAGTTCCATAGATATAGGTCCCGGTAAGCTTACTGTTCTGTGATCACCAGCTTGCAAATGAGACGGACTCCAGCTGACCACATCCGATTCTATGAATCTCCCAACACCGAAATGACTTCTTGGGGCTACACGGAACTGGTAAGCTTCAAATATTGGTTTTTCCTCTAGTCTGTAAACTGAGCCCACGCTAGACCGTGGTCTATGGGGTATTTTTTCTACTTTGGGGTGATAAATAAATGTTTCTTGACCGTATGGTAAGGTGGCTAATGTCTGCCATCCAATATCTTCAGCTTTTCTAACTTGGACAAGGTAACTTATATCTGGTGTTATGAGAGGGGTTATAGGTCGGCGATCAGCGGATGATGGGAAACTTTGTCGTCTGTATTCTGGAGCAAGAGGAGGCCAGCGTAATTCAATCTGAGGTAGTTGAAATTCTGATGACGTTGGCAGTAAACGAGTTTCAAGGCGACCGGAGCTTAATTTTGGGTGCTCGAACCCAAGTTTGGATTCATATACAGGATAACCAGGTGGTTCAATTCTTGTCACAAGTGGTGCACTTAAACCAAACTCATTTTCACTCCTTATTCGATATAGAAGAGTAGGGGGTACATGGTATGAGCTTGGTGTATATGGAAGTTCCGTCGACTCGCTTCTATACGGTGTAGGCAAAATTCGAACATCAGCTGATGTGACAGTACCAGGGACACGGCCAACTTCAATCCAAGGTGCGTCTGGTCTGCTAGCCTCAGTAGCTTCGATTACGTATGAGGATGGCATAGACAGTGATTCATCTAATTTGTAAGAGCTCTTTTGAGGATGCTGCCATTCTAAATGAAGACCTGAATCAAAAGGAAGAAATTCTGATCGTAAGGGTCCAGCTGGTGCAGAGGGTGGTAGTGGTCGGTAACTAACACGAGAAGAAGGTCTGCTAGCTTGATCTAACAGTGATGTCTCAAAATCCAATGGTCTTAAAGTTTCTAATGGACTGCTTGCACCCATACGATTGACTGCTCGAACACGGTAAGAATAAGGGTAAACATTAGTCAGAGTACTTGGAAATGGAATCACTGCCGAAGTTGTCTCTCCTGAAACAGATAATACGGGGATCCATTCACTTGAGGTGCTTTTCACTGGACCTCCACGACGTTCTATCACATATTCTGTGACAGGTAAACCACCTGTGTCACTGGGTGCATGCCATTTAAGTTGAATCATTTTTGAGTCCAAATGTGGTGTTGTATGTGTTGAGAATGACAACGGAGATTCAATTCTTTCTAGACTAGATGAAGGCCTTCTTGAATATATTGAAGAATAGGTAGGTATTATATCAATCATTAAAGGTCCTCTAGGTTTTGAAGGTACATCTGTTAACAAAGATAAAATGTATTTGGAATTTCGTGAAAAAAAGTCCATTTAATTTTTATGTTAGAAGGAATCATAATCCTATCAAGTTAATGCCGTCTACTTCCCCTTAAAAAATATCCGAAAATGATTTATGCTATAAATCAAACTATTACATTACACAACAAGATTTTAGTAATTACTGTCTACATATTTATGTTATTCAGTAAAATATGTTTTATTAGTTCATACAAACTTTATTCAAGAAAAAACAACTGTGAGGCTATAATTTATGGACGAATCTTTCAGATTTACGATAATAGGACTTGAATTTTGGAGCGAAATTCATTCACCTACTTGTCTAGATAACGTTTTGACATTTTAGCTAATTTCAGTTTGTGATGAAAACCATAAACCTAATTCCTAACCCTAACCATTGATTGTAAATCATAATCCTTATTTTTCAAACTGCTTTGTAACCCTTATTTAGCCCTAATAAATAGGTGGACATTCTCAAGGTCACTAAGGTATCGCTTAACTTACTTACTTACGCCTGTTACTCCTAATGGAGCATAGGCCGCAGACCAGCGTTTTCCAACTCATACTGTCCTGGGCCTACTTTTCTAGTTCCATCCAATTCTTGCTAATTTTTCTCATGTCTATCTCCATTTCCCAGCGTAATTTATTCTTTGGTCTTCCTCTTTTCCTTTGACTGTGAGGATTCCATGTGAGGGCTTGCCTTGTGACGCAGTTTGGTGCTTTCCTCAATGTGTGTCCTATCCACTTCCAGGACTTCTTCCTCCGCTGGGATATGGTTTGTTCTTTTCCACAGTAGGTTGTTGCTAATAGTGTCCGGCCAACGGATCCAAAGTATTTTGCGTAGATAACTGTTAATAAACACTTATATCTTCTGGATGATGGTTTTCGTAGTTCTCCAAGTTTCCGCCCCATACAGTAGACCCAAAGTCCAAGGTTCGATATCCAGTGAAGTAGTGGATGTATATTGTTAATGAGTTACATACTAGAAAAAGACTACCATCTAGTGTTTCCTGATTGTCAGTTGTTATCTAACAAAGGTCAGTCAGTGATGTTAACTGTTAATATTCATTTGTCACCCATAGATCAAGAAACAGTTTGTAACATCAATTATAACCAGTTTAAAAATGGTTTAAATATATCTATCTTTTGTATCATGTAATCTTTAAGGATACTATGAAATTTAATTTAAATCTTAAATATAATGTTTTATTTATTTAAGTGGTTTTATGCGTAATTTAGAAGTAATTTCCACAATCAATTGATATCATTGATCATTGGAAAGCTGTGTCATTCTAGTTTGGAACTTTTTGGCAATACTCAAACACGACTCAACATAGGATCAAAACTAGAAATTTCAAGGTTCACTAGACATTTCGGGTACCATTAATCTATAGAGTTGTAATTCAGTGAATCATATTTTTAGCTTTAATCCATTTATACGAAATCCTTTCAAAGCCTCTTGAATGAATAGTAATTATGTGCTCACTAGAAACTAAATGTTAGATAGATTTTTTGAAGTTCAGCTAGAAAGTAATGACCAAAGTCGGAACCAAGCTAGTGAATGATCGATTGTGGTAAATGGAGATTAATATATAAAATTTTTATTTTAACCAAATTGCTTTGTAGTGAATTATGTAGGAAAGTTGGGATCAATACCATTCCATTCAAAACAACTGGAAAATGACCTGATTGATTTAATTTTGGTTTGGAAATAAGTCTATTGAGGATTTCTGAAATTGAAATAATCATTCAGTTTACTGTTTATCTATTTTTTACTGTTCTTCTAATGATAATTATATATTGTAAGAAAAAACATGCTTTGGATGTCTAGGACTACAGTTTTGAATAAAACCAATTATTCGGTAATGCAATTTCACTAAACAAGCTGATACAAACCACTTTATATACAAAAACTAAAAATGCAACTAACTTATATAAACCAAAAAATCTTACCATAAGGAGGAATGAACTGATAAAATAATGTATCAGTTATAGGAATCGATGGGGCTGAATGAGTTGGTCGAGTAGCGACGCGCAATTCTACACGTTCACCTGGTTTTAGATTATCCAGTCTATATTCTATTGGACTTGAAATGGGTAATATTCCATCCAACATATCTAGATATTTTGGAATTCCAATAGGCTTCCAGTCCATTTCATGTGGGCGTCTCATTTCTAGTCGATAATCTGAAATTCCTTTTTGAGGTAATTTACTAATTAACGCTTCTGTAGGTTTCCATTGAACGCGTATTGCATCTGGTCCTTCTGGTAAAACAATCAATGGCTCAGCTGAAATGAATGGTAAAGAACTTCTTGAAGAGAGCCTTCCCGGGCTTGTAGGTTCCGATAACTTTATTGTATCTAAAGTAGACATAATTGGTCCTATTTGAATACCACGAACAGGCGCCACACCAATATATATATCTCGACCTTGTGGTAGCAAAGATGATCTAATATGGGTGTTGGTGATATTACTAGGGATAGTTTGAATTTCTTTCCAATCAGAATGACCTAACTCCCTAGTTAAAATTAAATAAGAATCTGGCAAACTTTCCAAACCATGTTTTTCCACTGATTTTCCACTGGGTGGGCGCCATGCCACGGCTACTTCTTCGGGGCTATCTTTTTCAGGAGTGTATTTGAAAACACTGGCACGAACCTCTGAAGGAGCCCGTAGACTAAATGTATCTTTTGCTGTTTTATAAGGTATAGGTTGGTAAGATGATGTAAACATACTTTGTGGAACGGACAAAACTTCTTCAATTGTTTCAGAGTATGGACGTTCAGTCATTCCGGGAATATAATCACCAACAGAACGTACACCAACATGAACAGTTTGTGGAAAATCATTTAATAATGAACTTGGTATTCTTAGATTTGTGTCGGATAAATCTGTCCTACCTATAGGTTGCCATTTCATTTCATATGGTGTGCGATATACTACTTCGTAGCCAGAAATGTTAGTTGTATCATAAGGAGGCTTCCAATGCAAAATCAAATCTTCTGGTGTGACATCTTTATCACTTTGGACTCTGTCATGATACAAAGAAGACTTCGGCCTGGTTTCTAAACGAACTGGTCCTCTTGGAGGTGATATGTGAGTTGGTAACTCGTAGTACTCAAAAGCTGATTGCCTATTATAGTGTGGTTCAGAAATCAAAGGACTTCCAAGTTTGGGTCTTAAATAAATTGGTTCACTTACTCCAAATTCATTTTCTGAATATAAACGAAATTCATAGTCTTTCGGTTCTCCTGGCAACATAGATGGAGATGGATAACTTTTCGAAAAGGTTTGCGGCAAGCTCATATCCCACTTGTCAGAAGAGTCGGTAAGAGTTGAGGGTAGTCGAGAGTGAGGTTGGGTTGGAGTCCTATTATAATCACCAGTTTGAGGACCAAATACAATATTCCAATGTCTGTCTCTTGTAGAAGGTAGCCGGCCAAGTAGCGCCCAGTTTTCCTGACCTCTTCTTCTAGCCTCAACAACATAACCTCTAACTGGACCTACATCATCTGTTAAGAAGGTAGGTTGACTCCAGCATAGTTCCATCACACGATTAGCAGTCTCTGTCACTGCCTTTAACTTTGATACACTTTGATTAATATGAAGTTGTTTTAATTCTAATGGGGCTCCAGGAGCTGGTGGTGGTAACGCTTTAGTATCTTTTTCTTTGACTAAATTTGGTCGAATATGAGTGTTTAAGCATAATGGTTCGCTTAAGCCAGCGACATTTTGTGATCGTATTCTAAAACCATAATCTACATCATCAAGTAAATGAGTAATTTCAATTTCATACACATCATATGGAACTTTTTTAAATGGAATCCATTGTTTAGATTGTGAACTCCATTTTTCAATAACATAAAAATCTATAGGTGATGATGGAAGTAATGATGGGGGTTTCCATGATAAAATACAACTGGAATATTCTTTGTTAAAATGATCTGTTAAAACAGCTCGAAAATCACTGGGTGGTAAGGGTAGAGACGGTAAGCCAGGTGTTTCACGATGTAATGGTACAGTTGAAGTAACTGGTATAGAATCACCAATACGATTAAATGCAGTAATCGTAATTCTATAAACATGAAAGGCATCTAAAGAGTCAATTTTAGAAGTTAAAAATTTTGGAGAAACAATTATCTCTTGTTCATCACCAGTATCGGCATCATAAATTAGTAAACGATAACCAAGTATTTCAGAACCACCATCATTACTAGGTTTCATCCAGTTAACTTGAATTGTTCGCTGATCTATCTTATGTAAACCAAAAACAGGAGAAATTTCTACACCCCAAACAGAAGAAGGAACTGTAGCATGCTGAGATCTTGGATAAAGAGGTTTAGCCATTTGATAAGGTGCTCCAATCGATTCTGCGTCACGGCCTGAAGGCACGACACGGAACCACCATCCGCTTTCATCACTCGACCGGAGACCAGTTAAAGTGTAGTCTGTAACTTTAGACGGAGCCTTGGCAACAGAAACCCATTTAGAATGAGCAGGTTCCCACTTCTGAATGTCATAAAAAGCTATTTTGTCTGGAGCTAACAACCCACTTGGTTCAGGCCAAATGAGATGAACAGATGTTGGACCTACTATTTCTCCTCTTAGTTGATCTGAAATATACAGGCCGGCTGGGGATGAAATACTTAACTGAGAAGTCAGCCTTCCAGTCGAATATAGTGAACTTTCAGTGCGATCTAGATCCAGTCTTCCTTTTTCTAATGAACTAAATCTTCCTATGGATGATGGTGTAATCATGCGTTGCGTCATATCTTGAACCATCTGACGCCTTGAGCGAATGAACTCATTTACTTCATCAGAACCAGGTTCAACTCCCGTAATCATGGCCAATTCCAAATCAAAGTCATCGTCAATATCTGCTCGTGGACGAGTTTTATCATGGGACATCGCAGAAATTGGAAGACCTGATGTACTTGGTAGTGTTGTCCATGATCTAGATGGAGGCCTAGATGAGATTGACTCAATCGGACTCCGATATAGTCCGAATTCCGTTGGAATAGACTTACCAGCTTTTCCATGGCTAATAATTCTCATTTTATAGTCCTTGTCAGGTGTGTGTGATGCAGCCAAAACTAACTGTCGAGGCGCACTTACTGGAATTTCTATTAATGGTGCCCACTTCTGTTTCCTTGAATCCCAATCTTCCAACGTATACCCTTTAATATCTTCAGCACCTTGACCTTCTGGAGCCTCCCACTCAAGTTCATAACCCAGTTTGCTATCAGATTTGAGCAAAACAGATGGAACGGGAGGTACATAGTGACTGGGTGTTGTCGAATCAGATCGTCCTATTGTTGGAAGACTAGCCAATACAACGCCCGTTTCAACCGGTTGGCTAGCACCTTCATTGTATACAGTGGATACTCTAAACTTATAACTCCCATCATGACTTGGTGAAATGGACTGGTGAGTATAATTTCTTTGTGTACGATCACTGATAGGAATAAAATCAATCGATTCCCATTTCCCGCCTCGAGATGCAATATCAAGTCGTTCCACTTGAAAACCTATTGGTTGTGGTTCATATGCCATTAATGGAGTCCATTCCCAAGAAACTTGTAGTATTGGTTTCACATGACTTTGATCTACAGCTTCATCGGGGGGAATTCGACGACCCATTACAAGTTTTGGTGGAGCTAAGTTTATGGATTTTACATAACTATCATCAGCAGTAAGTGGTAAACCAATTCCTTCTTTATTGACAGCTGACACTCGGAAAAAGTATTCTTTATTTGGTTGTATATCGGTAATAATATGTGACGGTTGAAATTTATTTTCAGGTCCACAAGCAACAAGTTCATGCGATGAAGGATATGGTTTCCAATTAAATGAGCGTCCTTGGCGTATTTCTAATTGATAGCCAAGTATAGGTAATCCTCCTAGCTCATATGGTGGTGACCAAGTCAACTCCAGCGTTCCAATACTATCAGGAACTTCACGCACACGTAATGGTCCTCTTGGTGGTCCTGGGACACCTATTAAATAAATAAAAAAAGTCCAGTCATCACATGGACAAAAGATTTATAAAGTAGTATTTATATTTTAGCGAATGATAACTAAAATTCTATTTTCTCCAGTCATAAAGTAAAGCAACTAGCTGAATTTTGTCATGTTCTGCTAAACCTTACTGCGCTCAGTAGTAAGAAAAGCTCAGTCAACCTGGACTATTTTTTGAAGTTATAAAAACCTATTCAAATCTCACGCCAATAGTACAAAAATAAATTTAATTGGTCTGAGTTAGTATATGGAGACCTTGAAACTATATTTGGTACTTCATCTTTGAGCATCTGGGATTTCAAGGGAACTGATACTCTTTGTAGGATTCGAACTGACACCACCCAGCTTCGAAATCCAAGACTTTATGACAGCTATTATCGTCCAGATTGACCTCCTGTAGGACTGAAGGAGTAATGTTCAGAGATACATTTCTAAAGAGCTCGCTTTGAGAGGCTAATGTATTCCGCACGAAGCAGTCATTTTAGAAACGCATCTCCCGACATTACCATTCCTGGTTCTCCAAAGGATTATAGAAGTCAGTCAAAAGCTGAATGTTGAAGCATCTAGTTGGTTCTGGTCACTCCATTTCGTGAGAGTCCTCTTTCAAAATCATACATACCCTAAGCGGAGTCCGCTCAAAAGGAATGCACACGGAAAAGTTATGTACACTACAGGCTGTTGCTATCGACTAGTTCAAGTCCGACAGTTTTTTCAGTCTCTCATTCTTCCACTGTCTCAACTTCGAGAACTACTACAACCACCATCAAAAAGGTACAAGTATTTATAAATAATTTTCTACACAAGATACTCTACATGCATTGGTCAGATATCATCAGCAACAGCCTACTGTGGGAGAAAATAAACCAGCTTCCAGCTGAAGAGGAAATCGGGAAAAGACGATGGAAATGGATAGGATATACATCATGCAAATCATCAAACTGCATCACAAGGCACGTCCTAACTTGGAATCCTGAAGCGAAGCGGTAAAGAGGAAGGCCATTACGTCGGGATTGGTTGATACAGCTGTTGCTTTCTAACCATCCATCTTTAAACTAGTTATTTTGTTTCTGTCTGTGGTAGGTTGACTGTTGTCTCTAGGTTTGTCACCTTGATTATGAACTTCTTAAGCTATGTTATTTATTATTTATTGTAGAACCATTTATTATTTGTGTATATTCGTAAATATACAATCTAAAAAGCCAGCAGTTTTCTAACTTTAATCGAACTTTCGTACAATATTTCTGTTGAATCTGATAAACGAATTGAACTTTGATCAAAATTCTTAAAGATTATTCATAACTTACTAGTCTCTTTGGCTGGATGCACTTGAGCTTGTGTATCTAATGGTTCAGATAAACCATTCTTATTTTCAGCTACAACACGAAATTCATAAGCAGTACCATGCATTAAATATTGTACTTGAAATTGTAATTGTCTTGAACTAGTCAACCCAGATAGTTCAGTTATACGTCCAATCTCTTGCCAACTACGTCGATACATTTCACGTTTGTATATTCTATAACCTAATATTGGGCTGCCACCATCACTTGCAGGACTTAACCATGATAATTGACAACTATTATCTGTTATATTAGATACTTGTAATGGTCCTATAGGTTGACTTGGTACAGCTAAATAAAAAGAAATAAAATTACGACGAAATGACAGTTAGTGAATTATATAAATTCATAATTAATGTCATCAAATCAAGATTTCAGAACTTATAGTTAGATTTCACGTTACTGGTTTTTGTATTCTTCTTATTAATGTGCTTAACATTATGTAGTTGATAAGTCCAACAATTCGAACTAACCTACTGGAGTCCATTGTTAGTTATTAAATTATTATGGATCTTGAACATCTATGAATAAAGTCGTTCCAAATCTGTTAGCAATTTTCTAATGTTTCCAATATACTCTTGTGATAGAGTTATTTACTCAATCATCATACTATACTCGTCTAGTCTATAATGCTATCCAAATTCATGTGGTATTATGAATAGAGACTTTATTTTTCATATGTGGGGGAAAAGAATAGTGATTGATTGTCTACCTAGTCACCTAGTAGATAGTCGGACAGGTATTAAATATATTCTTTATTTTCCTTGCAATTATTTTTATTATCGGCTGCTGATGTTGAACCATATTCACGTTCTATTCAAGACAATCAGGTGTCGAAATCCTGTAGAATAGACTCTGGCAGAGTATCTAGTGTAGATATTCGTCTAAGGCAAATTGGTGTCCCATTGATGTAAAGGACAAAACCAAGCGTTATTACAATTTTATACATTGTCTCAATATTTTGTCAGTTTATTGTTTTAAACAATATAAATCAGTCTTACCCCCACCTCTGGTGATCTGTTTAAATGCATTTATCTTTCTAAGAATTTGTGATCTCGAAAACATATATAGAAGATAATATGGTTTTTGAAAATGGTCATAGTGTGGTGTGCGCTTCTTATGTGGACATATATAAGTAATATGTAGTAGAAATAGGAAGTGGAATGCATATCAGTAGAAGATTGAAGTACAGAAAACGGAGAGCAATCGGAATAGCAATAGAATTAGAAAAATGATGGAGTGGGTAAATGATTATTGATGGAAGATGTGAAAATGATATATTTAATGCATGATTTTCATATTTTACAAAGGTACTGTGTGGCTTTACATAATACAGTAAATTGGTTTACCATGCTTAAGTCTCCGTTCACTACAACAGTACTCGAAACATCTGTTCAGTAAGTAGGGGAAATCGGGGTAGCGCAGCTTTGCGTTCATTAGTTTATTACTCATTAAGTACAATGAAAAGTTTACACAGTAATTCATAATAAGGATAACAATGAATACTCACTTGTAATAGCTTCTGGACAAACAGGTTCTTTAGTAGAAATGATTTCACCTTGACCTGACTGATTCACAGCAGCCACACCAAAATAATAAAATTGGTTTGGTTTTAAATTTCCTACAACCAGACGATTAAGATAGTGGTCTAATTCAGCAACTTGTTGCCATTGAGATACATTGCTTGGCTGAGGTGTTGTTGCTGGTCTAACGAACACACGAAAACCATCAATAGCTAGGTGATGAGCTCGATTAGGTCCATGGTCGTGACGACAGTCGTGTGGGACAAGCCATTCTACAGTTACACTATCAGCTGATTTTCCAGCAATACGAACCCAGTCTGCTTTAGGTTTACAGCCTGATAAAAATATAGTTGATATAAAAACAGTAGATGATTTACAAATAGATTCATCATTATTCTGTGTATATACAGAAGTGGTATAAAAGTACATTTATTTACGTTTTGTGCTATGTCATCGAAAATTCGATCGTCAAAGATAACGGTTATCTTGTGAACTCCGAAACGGAGAACGTGCAGCTTCCATCTCTGCTTAGACCAATTATCAATGAATTTATTGACTAGTTATATTTCAGTTTGGCTGCAACTAGCGTTTTTGTAACTTAACCTTAAATCAAACGGGCTAACGTTACAAGGTAAATGGTGATTGTGATCAATAAAATATGTCGTAATCCTGTCAATCGATAAAATTGGCCAAAATCAACTGATTAATCACCTTTAAAAGTACTTTTTACCTGATATTACCAGTGGTCGCTCCAAGGATTCGTGGATACTCATGATAATATGCTGGCGATCGATAAGTGTAAAGGTGTCACGGATGTACAGTGATTAATAACGCTGCTGTCTGAAACTTCCGTTACGAGGATCCTGAAGCCAGTCAAACCAGATGTCATGGATAACGAGATCGGAAGATATATTTTTGAAATGGTCGATTTGTTGAGGTATATGTAGTCTTAGCTGACTAGTCGTAAAAGATATGCAACATGGTGTACCTAAACGTCATCAAATGTGGATACCTGAACGAGTGTACTTAGCCACGGGTGTGCTCAGTGGAACTGGGGAGGACAGAATCAAAGTTGAAGACTTATAGAATTATTCATTCTGAGAATTTATTTATCACTACAAGCGTTCCCTACAATTAAAAGCTAAGTTTTACATGATTTAATTGATACAATGGAGTATACAAGTCGTTTGATTGGTGAGCAGGGACTATAAGCTATAAGGCCAAATCATCATTAATGGAGATGTTCAAATCAATAAAAAAAATATGTTCACATCAAAAAATACTTCGATATTCGGGAATCTAAAGAAAAATAGTATACTACTAATAACTGTGGTAGTTGAGATAACGCTCCAGATGTCTGTACAGTTATAATATGCATTCATGCTTTTTTTAACAGATAAAAACAAGCCACTTCAACTTACTATCATCTTCAGGCATTTCAAATGTTTCAGATTCTAAAAATGCACCTGTTCCGACTTCATTAACAGCAGCAACTCGGAAAATATAGCGTTGACCTTGCATTAAACCAGTTACAAGTGAAGTAGTAGCCAAATCTATTTTTCCAGTGTCTAATTTATCACTTATTTCATCTGTACTAATTGTTCGTTGAAGCCCCGTCACTCTATGCCAACCTGGAGTATTAGCATAACGCATTTGTAGCACATAACGAGTAAGTGGTAAGCCACCTGTATCTAAGGGAGGTCGCCAAGAAATACGAGCCGAACAGTCCGCTCGACTAGCACCCATTTGAACTTCTGAGATATTAATTGGACCTTCAGGTGGACCAGGTGGATTAAATGGACTAACGACTGTGATTGGACGATCAGATTCAAGCAAAGGGCCAGACCCTGCTCTATTTTCAGCCCGCACACGAAACTGGCACTCGGAACCCGGCTGCAAGTTAGAGACCTAGATAAAAAATAGTTATGATTAAATCAATAAGGGTTTCGAAGTTCCTGATTTCAGCTGTACAGTTATTAAATCGAATTATTACTTACTACTACAGTTGTCCCGGTTGAAGCACTTTGACGAGTCACGTACGCCCAACGTGCTTTCTTTTGTTCATAGCGTTCAATTAAATACTCATCAGGAACTCCACAACCACTTTGACCACCGACTATTGGAGGTTTCCATTCCAATTTCACTTGACCGATTCCGATACATGTAGCTTTTAGTGGACCAACAGGTTGGCCAGGTGGCGTCATAGGCGCACCTGGTTTGTAGATTTCTGAATAAAGTGGTGGACCAACTTTATCGTCTTCATTACGAGCACTGACGCGAAAGCTATAAATGCCATCTGAAATAAGATTTTCAATTCGTTTGCTTAATCCACGCACTTCACCAACAGGTTGCCAATGTTCTCCTGATCTATCGAGGCATACTTCAACTATGAAATCTTTAATTGGAGATCCACCGTCGTCTAGCGGAGCATTCCAAGTTAAACGGACGGCTCTATCTCCATCGGGCAGCATTCGTAAAGGTCCCTCAGGCTGAGATGGCTTTGTTACTGGGCGGCGGAAAGATATAGATTTGTCTGTTTCTAACCAATCACTGAGCCCTTCATCATTAGCAGCCCGCACACGAAATCGATAAGCGAATCCTTGTTGTAATCCACTAACCAGATAAGAAGTAGAATCTGCTGATACAGTACCTAAAGGTATCCATCCAGCAGGATTACCAACATCTTTCATTTCAATATAATATCTTTTCACAGGTAGACCACCATTGTCTTCAGGTGGTAACCATGTAAGTTTCAATGAGGAATCCGTAAGATCAGAACAAACTAAAGGACCTTTGGGTGCATCAGGAACACCTTGACCAAAACATTAAAAAAAGAATAGAGAACTTTTAATCAACTGAATCTAATATCACTAATTTAGAGTGTTGCTGATAACATAAACTGCAAGAGTCATTTGGTATACTCAGTAGAAAATGAGTTTAGGAAAAGTAGTATGGTAATAAAACTGTTATGTTTTATATGAATCCGCATATTTTGAAAAATAAACAGTAAGAAGCCAAAATATTAATAACATAAAATTCAATTATTACAAGGAAAGTGATTTGTGTTCGATCATACTAAGCTGCGATTGGTTGATGAATGCGGATAGATAATTATGTATGTTGAAATCATAAATTCATTAATGAAACTCACCAATCTCTACAATCCTATATTTACAGTTGTATATATTTTGTTATCTATTTTCTTACCCTCTGTATTAGTCAATCATATACATGTCAGTTAGTTTGATAGCGTATTTTCATTGGAATTGGTTTAATATATGAGTGATAAGATACTGAATTGGATATCGAGTAAAGTGTGTAACAATCATATAGGTGATTGGATTATTTCATAGTTTGGTCTAGGATTGTATGCTTGAGAGAATTTAAACTTATTTCAAAAGTATCTATAAAATAGTAATAATAATGATGGTAGTAGCAATATCAATAACAGTGTTAGAGTATTTCGATCTAAACAAATAACCAAATAAAAGACTTTAAATAGTTAACCAAATAAAGTCTACAGTAATTATCCACAGTATCTCTATCAGATATTTTTGAATCGTTAGATTGTTAGTTCATGCAGCTAAGAATCTACATAATTCCAGTCGTTGACTATCAATATAAGTGTACGTGTTCATTGATGAATTACAATTTTCATCTAAGAATGTACACCATATTAGTGGATTGACTTTAAAAGGTTACTTTTGTGAATATCTATAACCGTAGTTTTGCTTTATTGTAGTTCTATATTCTATACTTGACTTTTTTCAAAATATTTTCCCATTTAACTCTGTATACATTCAGAGAATACTTTTTAAAGTAAATTTTGTAGAACTGTTCGTTAAATACTGAATTAATCTCACATTATATGCAGATAAGGTGGTATGACAGTGATTATAAGCAAAGATAAATAGTAGCTAGCAGTGAAATCCAGTTTGATGCGGGTTTCGTCTTATTTGGGACTTGTCAGCTGGATATACATGCATCCCATAGTTGATATTCACTCCGGAACTCGAACCCAGTACCATTCACTTCAAAAATCATCGCGTTATCTGTATAGTTACTGAATATTGATAGTGAGTTTACTGACTTCAGCGTTTTCGAAATAATTTGTTTCAATGATTTCTTAGACATGATTCGAAAATGTTTAATGCTTCAGTATGGTGAACAGTAAAACAATTTGATAAATATATTATTTAATTTAACTATTAATTAAAATAATATTGTTTAATGTTTTGCTTACCATATGGAGATTTAATGACAAGTGGTTCTGAATAAGTTGGTTCACTTGATCCTACATCATTATATGAACTGACACGAAATACATATTCAATTCCTGGTTTCAAATCTGGTATTTTTACAGATAATTTATCTGAACCAACCAAACGAATAGGATAATTAAATTGTTGTCGACGTTGACCTTCACGTCGTTCAACGCAATATCCTAATACTGGTGAAGTAAGTTCTGGTGATTCACCATCACGTAATGGTGATGGTCCCCATGTTAATTCAACTGTTGCACCTTCAGAGTATCCTTTAGGACTTTCAATTACTTTAGCTATCAACGGAGATTTTGGTGGAAGTGGTTCAGTGAGAACAATTAAATTAATTAATTGATTACTTTCACCTGCTGTATTTATTGCTTTTATACAATAAGTACCTGCATCAGACAGATTGACATTACGTAAATTCACATAGAAATCATCTCCAAATTGTTCTATACGAGTTCTTCCAAGTGCATTCCCAAGTAATGGTTGCCCACTTGCTGTTAAAAGTTCCACATTAGCTTTGGAACTAGAATCAATATGTACACCGACACGTAAATTATTTCCTGGTCTTAAACGATAAGTATCTTCATTAATAAGTTGTATTCGAGGTGCATCTAGAATATAATATTAGAAAAAAGGTATATGAGACTAATTGTTTTTTTAAATACTGCTAATCAAACTATTTCTAAAGGCATTCAACTATGTAAAATTGAATGAAACACTATGTATGAGCATACAGAATATGAATTATACTATTGAATAAAGCTGCTAGGAGTGAAAACTAAAGTAATATGGTAAATCTAACGAAAAGCTTTATTTAGTCATACAGTAACTCAATTAAAATTGAAATGTTCACAATTTTTATCTAACATAAGATGAATGATTTACTTTTAATTTGTATCAGTATAGGATTGTGGAGTTTGTTGAGTTTAGATTGATGTCATGAATGGATCGATGTTAGACCATCAATGAAACCTTGGAAGCATTGGACAGTCGTTTTTTTTGTATTGTGGGACTTCTCAACAGTGCACATCCACGATCCCGTAATCGGGATTCGAAATCATGACCTTCGGTCTCACGTGCGAATGTTGAACCTCTTCACCACTGAGTTGTCATCCAACGGTGTTAATGTCTAACTTCGTCCCATCCACGATATTGCGGAACCGTCTACCATTGTTTTCAGTGAGTAGCTACTTCACAACAGACACGGTTGAACTCCACTGGTCATGGCTTCTCACTAGAACTTCATAAAATCTATCTTGTAGCTAGTCACTAGTGAGCACATGATAATTATCAGTGGGGATTGTTGAGTTTGGATTAATATCATTACTTTTTTTTTATAAATCAACTTTTCAATCAATCCAACTTATTAAACATAAGTTAAGCGAATATACAAAAACTGGAAATAAAGTTTTACCAACCTTTATCAAGTATTTTCTTCGGACGACTAGCTTCTTTAAGTGCGATTATTTCTTGTACAATATCCAAAGGTGGTTTATCATCTTTAGGTAATTTCGTAGTGTCATCTTTTTTGCGCATTGATTCATCTACACTTTCACGGGGTTCTAGAAAAAGTCAAAATAATGATAAATGTGTATACTTTTCATTACGTTTGAGATGTAAAGTTAAAGGTATATAATTTCTTTTAATCTATGGTTGAACAGGCTACATAGAAATCAAGATCTTTTCATACGTATTTTTAAACTATTCGTTTCGAAGATCACAATTTCTTTACAATAAGATTAGCGTTTAGTGTTATGGAACTGAATGAAGACCTTGGGTTCAAATCCCGCAGGCAGGATCATGGATGCGCACTGTTGAGGAGTCCCACAATAGGACAAAACGGCCTTCCAGTGCTTCCAGGTTTTCAATGGTGGTTTAACATCATGATCTCAATCAAAGAAAATTGTATAGTTAGCTTCTATTATAATCACAAATTTACACTATATTTAATTAAGCGATATGTTAATCTTTACATCAAATGACTACTGTTGAGCTAAGAAGTATGATGTATTCAATTTATAGGCTATGAAACCTAACCGATGATATTAGAATTTATCTATGAATTCTTCTGCATAGTTATTGCTTTTAAAACATTATTTTAGCTTTTGTCAGTTCTTCACACAGGTGATAAGAAGTATAAATATTTCCTGCCCTTTAAAATAATATCATGACAAAGGATTATGTAAAACATAGCTGAGAATTTATTCAACTAATAGTTACAAAGGTTCTAGGTTTGACTCTCGGACATGGGTTCGTGGATATGCACTACTGAAGAGCCTCATACTAGGAAGAAACAGCCGTCCAGTGCGTCGAGATTTTGAATGGTGGTCTAGCTAAGATTAGTTCGTGATTCAAACTCTGAAGATTCTTCTATCTTCGAAAATCTCACATACTTAAAAAAATTGTTTTCCGAAAAGATGATGTAATTAAAGTGAGAATAATTAATTTACTTTTTACTATAGGCTCAATCCAATCAGATGGTTCAGATGGTTCACTAAATCCAACTGGATTACGAGCGCGAACTCGGAATTGAACAAACATATCAGGATGTAAATCATCAACTTTTAAGGTAGTACCGGATCGTATTAATTTCGGACTAGCTTGTGTCCATCTTGATGTATATTGACCTTTTGGATCTGGTGTTTCACGTAATTCAACCATATAACCTTGAATGGAATCACCATCATCAATAATAGGTGGACGCCATTGAATTTTAGCTTCTCTTGGCGATGAACGTTCTGCTGTGACATGAGTCGGAGGTAATGGTAAATCTAAACGGGAGTAAAGAAAGGAATCATAGATATAAAGAAAATTGATTGTTGAGTTGAAACTCTCCTACAGGATATATAAATAAGCATGCTTATATAGGAAGGAATAATTAAATTCTCGTCAAAAAAAGCTTACAAAAACACATTAATTTTAATTTTAATTAAACATATAAACATTGGTACAAGGAGGCATCAAATAGATATGCGCCACATAAATCATTCGATTTGTGTGAAGGCTGGAATATTGCCCGGGTGTTCAAACCGAAACAGGTGGTTTTCTTAGGGGGCCACACCCGGAGCCTTCGACCTAAGGGTCTGATCCGTGTCCACCAACCTGGTTAAGGCGCCGGACATTCGCTTTTCGTCCTCCATCGCATGTTACAAAAATATACCGAACAATAAAAAATGGGATAACCATCATCATGAAAAGTAAGGAGTTAAAATGAAAAAATGTTGAAAAACAATAATAAATGAAGTACCTACTTACAGTAGGAAGTAATACCCAGGTAGGGCCATGGAATCTTTGAAGCACTAACTATCCCCTTTCGCAATTTTTAACAGTTGTTTGTTCATAGTGCAATAATTTGTAATTCATTAAACTCTTGTTTACATTAAGGCAAACTGGGATTTGTAGACTTAGAAACAAACCATTTTAATATTTGTTAAGATAGGTGCCGATGACAGAAATACTGTTTTGCGCATGATAGCAAATTATATTTTGTTTACTTGTACACTGTGAATAACCTAACTACGTAAGTAGTGGGTGTACACTTCTGAGAAGCCCTTTAGTCGGATTAAACATGTGTCCTTCGATTTATAGTTTACAACGTTAACCGAACTGAGATCCATGATCAATATTGAATACAAAAACCATACGGATATACAGTTGACTTTAGTTTCTAGCATACTAACTGATATCCGCTCTTGAAGTGTGAAACGTAAATTGGACAACTGAATAACGATTGGCTTACAGTATGTAATAATATTTTTTTTTATGTCCGATCGACCTTGGATTCTGTTATTTTTAGGACACATACATTCACATATTATATAAAAGTAACTAATTGTCTGATGTGTACTAACTCTACTCCTAACTGCTAATCTATGTCAATCCAGTTTTTGACACTCATTTCCTTGTTGATCACTCGGTAAACAAGTGTTGTTATTATGTGAAACCTCAAGTCATAATCAAATGTGTCTCCACTTAAATGGATGAATCAATTTTAGGTAAACAAAAACCGTACCTTCTAATCAAACCGATAATAGTTTTCTTCGTATCTTTGGATTCATTGCTAGAACCAACTGTAAATTCTACCATATAACATACATGATACCCAATTATTAATGTCTGGTTAGTTTGTAATCTTTTGTGTGCATCGATAAGTTCATCGGTGTATCAGTAATGTAACTCGGAGGCAGAAGAACTTATTTACTCAATTTTCAAGTAGTCTTTAAGATAAACAGGATTCATTCCTGAAATTCCATGAGCTTTATGTGATATCTAATAAGAAAGGCTTCAGTGAGTAAGACTGGTGACACACACTACAAATAACTACAAATAACCACCTGATTCATACATGTGGTAGAAAGTGAAACTTTATACAGTTAATGAAGTTTGTTTGCTATATACTTCCTACACATGTCAGCTGAGTTTATGGAACCTCTCTATATCTAAGAAGGGAATTAATCTGTTTTCATTTCGATATTTTGTATCCTTACTAAAATTGTAAAAGCTTTTTTACTCCCTTGTAAATTACATAGTTATATTCCGGTAACCTGTATAGATTTATCATTATTTAAAGTGACTTACGTCACCTATGGCAAAGGCGAGATATCCGTTTATCAATAAAAGGACGAGTATGCTGCGCGGCAGTTCGTTGTGTTTTACTTTACAGCTACCAAACATGGCCATTAAGAATCGAAGATACTCGTAAGCTACTAATATTTGACCACAGATGCCTTGGAAATATTGCTTGCATCTGCTTGGATCACCGGGTAAGTAATAGTGAGGTTAGATGCAGTGTATTATGGAATGATGGTAAGTCAGTTGATGAGGTTGTGAAGCTTCATCGACTAAGATAGTTGGGCCACCTGTTACGTATGCCTAAACACCGATTACCACGGCGCGTAATGCTGACTAGTATTGGACACGGTTGGAAGGAAGTTAGAGGCAGTCAAACCAAAGCATGGCATCGGTGCTTCAAGTCACTAACTTCTGGTCTGAGCCATGTTGGTAGATGCAGACTACTTGATTGGGATCTGCGCGACTAACCAGAGGTTAGAGACTCTGAATGATATGGCTCAGAATCAATCCCAATGACGTGAGTGTATACACTCTTTGAGATTAAAATCACATCATATCTTTCTTTCTATGTACTAAATCTTTCTTCCTGTACTAAATCCTTATATGAAATTTTTTTATATATATTACCACCACTGACTTAACCACTTCTATGAATCCGGTGTTCATCTTGTTGTGCTAATGAGGTATGGCAACTTGAACCGTTGCATATATGTGCCAGGTCCTACGTTGTAGCTGACTGACTGACTGATTATTTTTTGTACCCAAAGTGAACATTCTAATAAAGTGACCACTTGACAATATTTACCTGTATATAATTTCATTTGATAAGGTGATTCAATTTCTGTTGGATCACTCATACCAATTTCATTCTCAGCAAAAATACGGAATGAATAAACTGTTCCAGGTTTACAATTTTGTATTCGTAAATGATCATCATATGGTCCAGCTTGACCAACATTAGACCAATTTGTTTCATGAATTGATGTAGGTCGATCACTAGAAGTAGCAATAACACGACGTTCAATTACATATCGTGTCAATTTTGAACCACCATCACTAGATGGTCTTTCCCATTTAACCTCTATCCAATCTTGACCACGATTTTCAATTACTTCAATGGACATTGGTGGTTGTGGACGATCGTTTAAAATTAATTTTATAGCAGATTGAGCAGTTCCTACTTCATTTACTGAACTACATCCATATTCACCAGCATCCGAAAGATGTAGATTACTGATAGTTAGTATGGAAACTTGAGGTTTAGGTACATTTGAAATTCGACTTGTAGGTGTATCATTAATTATTACACGAGATAATAATTCTGAATCTAAACTTGAATCAACTTGTTTTCCATTGATAAACCATACTATAGATTCACAATCTGGAAAAGCTTCACAAGTAGCTTTCAGTACTAAACAGCCACCGACTCGACCAGTTAAGTGATCTGATTTACTTAAAATTCCAGTTACATTACTTGATGCAGATTTGTCTAATTCAAGATTTAAAATGGGTTTTTGAGCTACAATTACACGACATGTTGTTTCAACTTTACCCGATGGATTCTCTGCTACACAACTAAATACACCAGCATCTTCTAATTTAGTACGATTTATTTTTAAATTAGCTCGGCGTTCCCATGCTGAACTTGTTGAATACTTGACTTGACTTCTTATGGGTTTACCGTCTTTAAACCTAAAAAAGAAATAATAATCTATCAAATACTGTGAACAATATTTTGTTTATCTTCATTTATTTGCATCTTTATATTTAGATACTGTGGAGCAATGACATAATTTTTATGTTCAATTCATGTGATAAGTTTATTTTTGTAAAGAGACTATCACAACACAAACAGTTCTCACATGAAGGTCCTGTGTTTGACTTCCGCTAGCGAGGTCGCGAATGTACACTGCTGAGGAGTTCTATACTAGGACGAAATAGACATCCAGTGCTTATAGGCTTTCAGTGCTAGTCTACCTTAGATTGGTCCATAATTTTAATGAAGTATAGAGAAAGTAAATATTTGAATCTAATGATCAGTATTTTAAAGCCCGATCACTTCATGGCACATATATCTCAATGCATCTACCATCCCAGAAATGTTATTCATCAATGTCAAGTTAACTGTTTAACGACTTTAAATAGATTAGTGAGTGATCACAAACATAAATAATATATCTAACCTAACCAACTTTGTAAATTGTAGTAACATCTACTCTGATTCTTCTTTGTTTCCAACGTACCATTGTTAAAAATCACGTTAGTCTTTCATGTGACAGGGAGAATGACCGGCTTCATTTCTTAAATATACTTATCAGTCTAAGAGATGATTTAACCAGCCAATCTATCTATAGACAGCCTACATAGATAAAGCAGTACTTTAGTTCTCCTAGTTATTGTTCATTTCAATACAAGTAACATTTCATAAAGGGTCTATTCTACAGGATTGACTATATCTGTATAAATAAAACTTTTGAAGGCGAAATATTAGTGGATAATGGATTTACACCTAAATTCACAAGTCGATGGAAAGGCCACAGAATTTTGAGGCCTACTATGTTTCTGGCACCTGCGAAACATGTCCATATTTCTCAAAAAGCCCTTAAGAGCATGTAAACAACTGCATTATTTCCCAATCTGTTTATTAATTATCGTGTTTTTGAGGACATATGCACACATAAGGAGAAGTAATCGTGATTTACACATGAGGTTGGTTGAATATGTGCCAAGATAGCTGTAACGGATAATAAACATCCACATTTTTCAATTATCAATCACAATTGGAACAGATCATTAGATTGAGATCAACTCAGCCTTTTGTACTCATATATAAAGTTGTATAAGGTAAATAATTAGGAGTGTTGAAAACGCCCATACAAAAATTCACACGGTATTGTTTGCTTGTATCTGCCCATTGTTGTTTTAAGACTACAATTGATCAGTCTCTTGTTGGTACATGTGCATCTTGTGCGGATTGCCTCGATAAAGAACGAAACTGGATTCCACTGCTAGCTACTATTCATCTTTGCTTAGAATGCTTGTGACTGAAGGCAATATCGAGGCAATACGCACACGATGCACATATGCCGATATGAGACTGATCAATTGCAGTCCTAAACACAACAATAATAAGATACAAACAAACAATACCATGTGAGTTTAAATTTCACCTCATTGCACAAGCAGGTGGCTATTAGAACTCAGTAGCTAAGTGGATAACGTGATGGCGTTTGAAGTAAATGGTATTAAGTTGGAGTTCCAGAGTGAACGTCAACTGTGGGATGTAGGTACATCCAACTAACAAGCCGCAAATAGGACGAAACGTACATCAAACTGGATTCCACTGCTAGCCACCATCCATCTTCACCCATACGAAAGTTAAAACTTTCCATATGTATTCAAAAACAATTTGTACTTACAATAAACCTATCTTTGTAATATTGATTTATTATCCAATGTTTTGATTCATTTTGCTTTTATTATTATTTCAGTTTTTTTCTCTTTCTTTGGTCAAGTTGATCTTTCATTTATCATATATAAATATCTTAGTAAATAAATAAATTAATTTTCATATATACTTCATCTTCAGTTTAACATCAATCGGTTCATGATCTCAATCAAAAACTTCACCTTCTTATTTTATTTAATCTTATCAAAACTGTTGAATAATAATAATAATAATAATAATAATAATATGTGACATATAGTCTAGTTGTATTATCAACTTGACTATAATTACTACGTCGTATTATAATGAACATAAATGTATATGATTAATATTGAAATAATATCAGAATGGGTTTTATGGATATTATAGTAATTTTAATAGTTGTGATCATGAGTTAGTTGAAAGTAGATCAACATGAAAAACCTGGAAGCACTGGATGGCCGTTTCATCCTACTGTGGGACTCCTCAGCAGTGAGCATCCACGATCCCGCCTCGTGAGATTCGAAATAGTGACCAGTGGAGTTCAACTGGGTCTGTTGTGAGATAGTAACTTACTGAAGACAATGGTGAATGTATCGGTCAATTTCGTGGATTGGTTAAAGTTAGACATTAACACCGTTGGATGCCGGTTGACTCAGTGGTTTAGAGGTTAAACGTTCGCGGGGGGTGGTGGTATCGTGAATGTGCACTGCTGAGGAGTTTCATGCTAGGACGAGTTGGCCATCCAGTGCTTTCAGGTTTTCCATGATGGTCTAGCTTCAATCGATTCATGATCTCGACTATTAAAATTAATATTGAATTATAAACTTACCAAGTAACATTTCCTTTTGGTTCACCCAATTGAAAATCACAATTTAATTCAACTGATTGACCAACTAATACTGTTACATTACTTAAAGGATTGACTAATGAAGGTTTAGAAGATTCTAAAATTCAATAGATTCATAAAATATTAAGATTATAGTTAATAATTTAAAGAAAAAAAACGCTTTGTTAAAGTATATCAAAAGATGTCTAATAAATATGCATGAAGGATAAGTGAATGGTAACGGCTAGGATCTATTTATGGACTATTATTATATATGTATTCCTATTGTATAACTATTAAGTAACTTTGCTATACGTATATTCATATTCCTTTCATTCTAAGCTTCCATTTGACTTATCCACTATTATTATACGATTTACTAGTTTCAAGTTATTCCCTATTTATCTCACACTCACAGCTACTATTTGACCAAATCTTGTATAATTGTTATTTTTTATTTTATGGTATGATGAAGTCTGATTTGTTTGTATATAAACCAAGTGGGCGTGTGGAATATATAGGTCGTATAATGGAGGTTGATATTAGCGTTCTCAACTGAACCGATTAGGCTAGACGAGAATATACTATTTCAGTGAACAAATGAGAATTCATAGTTGTTTCTAGGCTGTTCGTACTGGTTTGTGCACCATTGGGTCTAGTCAATAAGTTAGTGTTTTTATTGGTGATAAGTTACGTAATATATTCAAGTCTACATCAAGTAACTTATGTACTGTTTTTCATTGTAGCATTATTAACAGAACTAGGAAATGAACGTCTCCAGGTTACGTTTTTTTTTTTTGGATTTCAGCTCAATACATGCTTTGGATTCAACTGTTAGACAATACATATAGGAAGCTTGTAAACTCAGTTAGTCAGTTAGCTACAATGTAGGACCAGGCACATTCATGGATCGGTTCAAGTTATTAAACCTCAATTAACACAACAACATGAACACTAAAATCATAGAAGCAGTTACTTCAATGGTAGTAATATATTAAAGAAAGATTGTATATAAGGATATAATACATGGAGAAAGAAGTAGTTCGTAGAGAGAAAGATATAAAGTAACTTTAACATCACGGTTTGAGGGAGGACAAAGAGTGTATACACCCACGCCTTTGTTATCGATTTTGAACCATGTCATAAAGTGTCTCTAACCATTGGTTACGATAGTCACGTAGATCCCAACCAAGTAGTCTGCATCTACCAACATGGCTCAGACCAGAAGTTAGTGACTTAAAGCACCGATGCCATGCTTTGGTTTGACTGCCTCTAACTTTCTTCCAACCGTGTCCAATACTAGTCAGCATTGCGCGCCGTGGTAATCGGTGTTTAGGCATACGTAATACGTGACTCAACTATCTCAGTCGATGAAGATTCATAACCTCATCAACCGTGATCGGTAAATAAACATATTTATATACTTACCGATCGCTTTAGCTGGATTACATGGTTCCGATGTATCAGACCATGGTCCTTGACCAGCTGAATTGATAGCTGCTACACGGAATTCATATTGTTCATCTGATTGTAAATGAGCTACAGTAAATTCCAGATCAACTGGCATTTCACTAACTGTTTTCCATTCACTTGATGATGTAGTCTAGGTAATAACATTGCAAAATATAGAAATATGAAAATAAAATGAATAAAAATAAATATACTAAACTCTTAGTATCCTTATACTTGTTTAGTGTACATATACAGTCCATAAATCAACATTCTACAAAAACTTTCTATTACTTCGGTAATCAGGTACCTAAACAATTAGAAAACTTAATACTTGGTAGTCATGAACAAGACTTTAAGAATCAGTACCAACCAGCATGTTACATATCATAAAAGATATTGTTCTTTTGTTGTTTGTTTACTGATCGTATAAACTAACAATCTATATCTTATGAAAAGTGTTGTTTATGAGCTAGTTCTTGCTATAAACAGTAATAACTTATAGTGAATCTGATTGAAATCCTGAACCGATCTAAGTTAGACCATCAATAACAACCAGGAATCTCTGTACGGTCGTTTCGCCCTAGTATAGAACTCCTTAGTAGTGCTCATCCACAACTCCGTTGAGGGAATCTTTACCCGTCTTTAAAATTAAATGAACCTGGATTTGTAGCAAATATCACTCTTCTCCAGTAGTTTTATATTTGTTATATGTACTTATCAGTATCAACTGTGACAAAGTTTGACCAAACGATTAGTGATTAATATTGATTTAAATATCAGATCCTACAACGTGGAATTTACTCGATGTTAATCATGAGTAAATAACAAATTTTCCACCATATATTAACAATCTTTTCTTTAAAAGTAAACGAAATAATCCTAAGTAACCTTGCATGTGGTCAGAAACAGTTTCTTATGTATTAGAACTCATCATCTGTTAGTTATTAAGAAATGAATCATTAAAGATAGTTGATATTGGAATAAGAGAATCTGTGCGATTAACTTGAAATTATTTGAATATAATATATAGATATATGGTAGTGAAGATTTCACGGATATGTAGTGTTTTTGTCTACATTACTGTTCGAAACCTGTTCTAATACAACGATCCTAAAGTCAATCAAACCAGAAGCCAAAGATGATGGAATGTAAAGATATACATGAATAAAGGTTAATGTATCAGAGTTTAGATATATACTGTAGACATTAGAAATTAGTTCATGTTATTGAAGACCGACAAATGGAGCTTAAATATGTCAACAATAATCTTTGTAACTCAAACATCACCCCCCCCAATAAAGTTGCAATTTCATTTCCCACAAGATTGTAACAACATGTCTTACTGATAGTAACTACATTCACACGTGCATAGCAAAATTATGTGAAATGGGAAAGTTTGTGAGCTATTTTCTTGGGGGGGGGGTGGAAATTTATATCAGGTGTAAATTTCATGTTTTTTTTTCATGCAAAAACTTCAAATATAGAATCGTACAGTTACAAATAGAAACATCATAAACTTTTACATTTCTGAGGCACTATTATTGAGTTTTAGTAAAAAAAAATGGTTTTCATTACTATAACGAAGGTAATAAAACACTGTTGTATATCTACAGCTAATCAATGGACTGTCATAGACATTAATCGCTTCTTCATTGAACACTATTCATGTAGGGTATCTAAATTATCGAGAGAAAATATCTAAACTTCAGTAACTTTGTTTATTACATATGCTAAACATACTTTATATTGAACAACATATTTTTTTACTGAATCTCCTCCATCATCATATGGTGCTTTCCAGGCTAAACCAATAGTTGTTTCTGTAATATTTTGAATCTCAGGTCTTGATGGTTTACCGGGTACAGCTGAAACGAATAGATAGATGAGGTAGTCATTAGAACAACAGATCATTCAAATATTAATAAATTCAGATGAATCTTGTGATTAAAAAAAAACGTTAACTGCAGTTTTATTTGTAGTTATATTTCTTATTTCTTGAATTTTCATAAACTAATTTGTACACCAAGCTTATAATGACACCAAGAATGAGGTACCAATGCTGAGCTATGAAATGTATTCGAAATTCGTCACTGTTATAACTAGGTAGCCAACTGTTATATCTGAGAAGTCCTTATCGTTATGTACGTATCGACTCTGTTAAATCTACAGTCTTACTGCTATTACATGAAAATTGGAAACTATTGCAATTCCTCAAGCCTATTCCATATACTTGTAGACGGGAACCGCACAATTTCCACGACGCAAAGCGTAAACACGAAAATACTGGTTAATGAAGATTTATTGACTCCCAAAAACACGTCTCTAAACAAGTCCCCAACTCGCATTCAAATCACAGTAACCAAAATGACATCAAACTTAGGCCACATTACAATCGTTTATATACTAAAATAACCCATAGTGTTACTGAATTAAAATAAAGAGAATTCATCGAAGAGAATTTTCCTTTCGACAAAATCGTCTACTTAAGCTACAAGTAGAACAATACCAAGCAAATTTAAACTTCACCCCATTGAACAAGCGGGTGGCTATTTGAACTCAGTAGCCAAGTGGATGACGCGATGGAATTCGAGTCGAACGGTACTGAGTTCGAGTCCCGGAGTGAATACCAACTCTGAGGTGCACGTACATCCAACTGACGGGTCCTAAATAGGACGAAACGCGCGTCAAAATGGATTCCACTGCTAGCCGCCATTCATCTTTGCTTAAAAAGCTTGTGACTTAAGACTATATCGAGGCAATCCACACAGGATACACATATGCCAACGTGAGACTGATCAATTGCAGTCCTAAATAACAATACGAAGATACAAGTAAAACATCACCAAGCGAGTTTAAGCTGTAACTTTGTAAAGGAAAATGTAAAACAATCACCGATTCAATACTAGAACATCTGATCAATTCTGGACACGGTTCAAATGAGTCTTCCTTCAAAATAATCTACATAAAACTCAAAAACGATACTTCCAACTGCTCATCCTTCCTTGGATCTAATTCACTTATGCAGTATGTTTAGTCTTGTTTTGTAGTTTTAAACCATAACCAGATGTTATTATCTTTTAAGAACTTCTAATGATTACTATTTAATTGTTATTATGACCTTTACGTTTTTTAAGTAGACAATTATCTCTCATAATTCTAACCCGTAAATTATTTTCATACTCCTAGTCTTTCCTAACCCCCTGATTATTATGCAACCCCGTTTGATATTTGAAATCTCGAATCACTTTATGATGCTATGTTATCTATTTTTCTATTAGCGATGCAACCGCATATACTAATGCACAGCTTAAGCAACTGATTTCGTCAGAACGGAAATTTTCTCCTCTGAACTATTTACAAACTAAGAGGGGAATGCATACAGTCAATGCAAAAGTACACCGCGTTCCATGACCTTTTAAATATCATGTGACGATTTTGCCAATCAAAATATTGTTTTCTATGACATTATCCCCGTGCTACATTAATTACACGTCAACCAGCGCTAGCAGCATTAAGTCAACTCTGAGTCCATATTGGTCCTATGCATAGTAGCTTCTCGCCCAACCCAGCTCGTTCAATTCAGAACATAAATATCGGCCTTCAATATATGAATCGTATATTTCAGACATACTTGATTTATATATAAGCAGAGCACATTGCATGACCATAAAATAGGAAATAATTATTATACAAGATAAAGTTAAAAAGTGACTGTGTGGGATGCTGTAATTAATAAATTGGGACTAAGTTAATAACGGTAAATCATATAACAGTAGTCAATAAATCAAATGAAAACTTATGATAAGAGGAGTATGAATATGAATATAATCTAGTAAGAATATATGTAATAATAGTTCATAAATAATCCCTAGCAGTTACCATTCATTCAATTTTCATTCGGGTGTAACACATTAAAATACAGTTCACCTGAGTTAATGCACGGAATGAAATTATCACAATGAACGAGTTTACACTTGCCATAATGAACAAAGTTTATCCTGAATTGATACAAGAAAATATTGACCTCGACATATTATACGGAATAAACTTCACACCTGCCACCCTGGCCAAAATTCATAATGAATTGATACAAAAAATACTGACCTAAATAATGTCATCTTATACTGTCATATCACAGTTTCCTAACCACTTCTGTCGGGCAAGTTCTATCGGTCGTAATCCGCAAGCCTTATACTTGGACTTAAGAAAACATTCTCATGGTCGTTAAAGAAAAACAGTTATCAAATCTGTTATAGAAAACAAATGCTATAAGTGGATACTTACAGAATGGTAGCTGAGTTGAAATTCTATGACTTGAATTGGAGTATTCGCCAACCATGAAATCAGCATTTTCAGCTGCTACACGAAATTCGTAGACATTATCTGGTACAAGCCCAGTTACTTTTGTCACATAGGTAGATTTTACTTCATTTGCCAAAATAGGTAATTTATCTGCACAAGCTCTTACCCAATTACCTTTAAGATTTGCTCTTTTCTCTAAATGATAAAATGTTAATCGAGCACCACCATCTGAACTGGGTGGTTCCCAACTGACTCGACATGAATCCGTACCAATATCACTTGCTTCTGGCGTCCCTGGAGCTGATGGAGGTTCTGAATATTATAAGATAAATCAAATGATTTTCAACAAGAAGAAATACACCACAAAAATCTTGCTTTATAAGTAATTCTTTGTACTTTTAAGGAGTCTCTACATGTCTATCATTTATTTGTCTGAAGTTTTAAATTTCTATAATAGTTGATTCAAAGTCATACAGACCAGACATAGACAATAAATAACTTCCACAAACTACAGTATTCCTACAAAATATATCAATCAGTTAAGTAAAATGCATCCCTATTGTATAAACGTATACAAACTAAATGTATTTGATACTTCTTCATCCTGGATAATTTTCCCTTTATTCAATCCAACCAAAGGTGTATTTTCATTCCAACTCCAGATTTCATTTCTTACCCGGAAATCCTCGAATACAATTAGAATACCACTCAAACAACAGATTCATGTCAATTGAATATGGTTAACTGGAAACTAGTTATTCACATGTCTTAACTACAACATGTTGATTGGTAATTAACATTCACTGAGATGTAATCTGACAATGGATTAAAGATTCTTTCTACTCTAATTAATCAACAATTTTCTTCAACCGTAGTGAGTAGTTGATGAGTTTACACATAAAACTATTCAGAAAACTATACTTGATAATAGTTGATCATTTGTAATTCACATGACAAATCATACAAGACTGTCTTAAGTACAAACTTTCACACTATTAATTTATACCAAAAATAAGGGACTTGCAAATAATAATTAGTCCTAGTATGGGACTCCTAAACAGTGAGCATCCACGATCCCATACTAGGACGAAACAGCCGTCTAGTGCTTCTAGGTTATCAATGTATGATTTATACCTGTGGAGTTGTTTTTGGGATCACTAACTGTTTCATCACAACAGTCATTTTAACAATGTCAATGCATTAAACTGAACTATATGACAAAATTTTAGTTGTTACCTTTTCATAATTTATGCTCAATGGATATGAGTTCCATAGTTTACCTCATCTTATCAGTTGTCAGAATGTCATTCATAAAATCATATTATGAATGTATTTTATCAATTAATTTTCTTCAAGTGAATATATTGTTCTATGTTATTCAACGTCACATAGCATAACCTTTGATATTAAACATTGGAATGGAATCTACTGGAAGTCCTTTTCAAACAATCTATATACTAATATAGTCTAGTTTACACATGTATTTGTATTGTTACATTTACATTGTTTTAGTTAAAATTTATATGGAACCTAACTGGATTACTTTTCAGTAATCTAGAGGTTAAGCGTTCGCGTGGGAGACTGAAGGTCCTGGGTTCGAGTTCCACGTGCGGGACCGTGGATGATCACTGCTTAGGAATTCAATTTGGCGAGACTATAATTTATGGACGAACCAACCAGATTTAAGATAACAGGTAATGGATTTTGACGCAAAATTCTTTATCCATTTGGTTAAATAGCGTTTTGGCGTTTTAGCTGATGTCAGTTTGTGATGAAAACCCGAAATCTCATCCCTATCTCCAACCATTAACTGTAGATCACAATCCTTATCCTTCACACAGGTTGAAAACCCTCATCTAGCCCTGGTCAGTAGGTGGACCTTCTCAAGGCCACTTTAGCGTCGCTCAAAGGTCGTCCATAAATTAAAGTCTCACCTCTAGTACTAGGATAAAACGGCTGTTCAGTGATTACAGGTTTTCAATTGCAATCTAGCTTAGATCGACTCGTGAATTCAGATGTTAGATATACCTTGTCAATACATTAGATTATTTTCTACTTATATTCATATAAACAAATTCTCAGCAAGACTATCTATTTGACATTAGAGTTGATGAAATTTTTAAATAAACTATAAAATTTATTTGAAAAACTATAAACTCACTTGTTAAACATGGTATCACTACTGATATATCGGTTTCTGTTGGCTCAGAGCAACCTGATATATTTTGAGCCATAACTCTGAAGAAATAACCTGTATTAGTTGTCAAACCATCAACGGCACAGCTTAATTCTTTAACTTGGGAGCCAAATGGTGTCCAACTACGTTTATTCGCTTCACGTTTTTCAACAAGATAACCAATTATTGGTGAACCGCCTTCCTCTTTTGGTGCTTGCCATGTAAGTAATGCAGTACCAGACGGTTGGTTTTGAACTGTTGCCTTCAATTGACGTACAGGTCCTGGAACATCTAGTACTTTCACAATAAGTTCTAAAGTTGCCTTTCCCAGCTCATTACTTATCTATAAGAAAAAAGGTATCAGTTTTAGAACCGAAGACTTTTGTATTATATCTATACATTTGGGCAAGAGAGAAATAAACCGTATAACTTACCAGAAGTTTGTAATTTCCAGTAATTTCTCCTGTAACATGACGCAGACGCAAACATGTTAATCCATATACTGTATCTACTGATGCAATAGGAGTATCACGTTTTGCTCCAATCGGTAATGGTCCATGATTAAATGACCAATTAACGTCTGGAAATGGTGCACCAGTATACGGTACTTCAATCACTGTACTTTTGCCACTGAGTAATTGTATTTCTAATGGTCCATCATAAAGTATTCTTGGTGGGCATTCAATCGTCAACATAGCTTCCGTTTTTTTCCCAGTTACTAATCTCGCACTATATACACCTTGTTCATCCGGACTAACCTTTATAAGAGTTAGTCGATGAATACAAAAAGCTTTGTCACCTTCTCCAATAACGCTATACACGCACCGTGACGACAAATTTAGATCACGTCCATCTTTAGACCATATCAATGTCATACCAGGTCGAGAGAGTTCACATTCAAATACAACATCAGATGGTAACTCTGTAATAGACTGATTCTCCAACTGGCGAACGAAATCCACATCAGTAGCTAAAAGTTCAAAAATAAAATAAAATTGCCCTTTATCCATCTTTAATTCCTTAACATTTAAACATAAACAAATAACTGATGTTAAATGTTTATTTATAAAGGATAATTGAAAAATTAATCAAGTATTCTTCTACACCAGTCGTAAGGTACAATAAAAATCCGATTAGGATTTAGCGAGTATTCACATGACTAAGATTAAAGTGCAATCTGTAACCATTGTTTTTAACTTCACCGGACAATACTGTTATGTTGTTTCACTCTACCATGATGGCATTCTTACTGGTATAGGAGGTCTCTTGATTGGAACGAAATTCAAGGCATAAATTAATGGTATAGTGAAACCGAGGTTATATTAAATTAGTTAGAAGTTACCACCGAATGTAGTTAATTAAATCGATCGAAATTAGTTATGATTTAAACCATTTCTCATGTATGTATTCCGGAAGCTTAGTATCCAACAGAACGTGTAAATAATAGACATCATGTTTTAGAGGAAAGCCGAGATCGCATTATAATGTTAATCTCCTGACAACTGACCAAATACTTCAGCATACCTATGGAATAAAATATTTTAGTGGGAAGGATGATGTACATCAGAAGACCTACAGTTGAATCTACTGGAATTTTTTCCGGAACTCCTGATATCGTAAAGGACTATGCCTATTTGAACTTATTAAATGTAAACATAGGAAAATTCTGCACAAAGTTCAGTACGGAAACCAACAGAATTTGATGGTATGTGAACAGTCATGTTAAATCATTAGATTCCAAACTATTATGGATCTGCCCAACACTATATGAATACTCAAGAAACATCGATTATAGCCAACTGAATGAATACTGGTACTCGATATATTTAATTCGTCGAGATAGAAAGCTTTAAAGTGATGGGTTATTTGGCCATTACGATATAGCTTGAAATTAGAAATGTATACAATCCAACATGGTGTGAAGGCCTGATGTAATTAACAAAAAGCTGATAGGTTGATATTAATAAAATGATATAAGTATTTTGGCCATAAAGATACATATTAGTCCTAACGATATAAATATTTCTGAACTACGAATAAATAATTGAGTATATTACTCGAAATGATACAATGTTTCATTGACATCAGTTCTGACATTCAACAAAGAGTATAGCAGTTGATTAAAATAACAAAGTAAATACCTCTGCTCTTTTCATACATAAATCTGAACAACTAGTAGTATAAACCAAAGTTATACTGTTTGTTAACATGAATCATTTATTCAAATGATTATGCTTGACAGACAGATACAGAATAGAACCCTTCATCAAATTAGTATGTTGAAATCGTTCTAACAACATTAGTTACCGGCAAATTCAAAGAGTCTCCCTAAGTTGTACATGAAATTCACTACCCACATATATCTTTTTCTTTTCAATTCATTCGCTCCAGATGTTTGAGTTACCCACAAAGTCATAACATTATAGTAACCAACTCTTACACAATAAATACCTATTTATCAGTTTGACTAAGATCAACTACCATAAGTGATTATCTTTAAATGACGTTCAAAGTTCATATGTGATCAATTCATGATAGTTTGTAATGAACTTAATAATATTCATCATATATAAAAATCTATAAAACGTTAATGAATGGATGATTTAGGAAAGATATGCGAAATCTTTTAACTTTCTCTGGTAACTATTTAAAGTGTTCAATGTCAGTGATCAGTTCATAGATATATTCGTGTTTAATATATTCATCTCCAAATGTTTTCTTCTATGATCCACTTTAACAGGAAACCTTGCTATCAAAGAAATACATTGAACCTTAAAAATAGTTCAAAAGATAGTGGCTAGCAGTGGAATGAAGGACGTGCGTTTCGTCCTAGTTGCGACTCGTCAGTTGGATGTACCTACGTCTCAAAGTTGATGTTCACTCTGGGACCCCAAGCCAATACCATTCGGTTCAAACGCTATCACGTTATTCACTTAACTACGGAGTCCTAGTTCAAAATATAGTAACATTTAATTAAGTTCATTTGATTGTGTTGTATTCGAAGGGAGGAGACTGCTATAGCTATCAAACTGAAGTTCAAGCAATATAGTTTATAAACTATTATTCTGTAATACATATATATAGTTGATTTAAAATGTCTAAATTGTATAGGTTTTCCTACTTTACTGATTAGAAATCAAATATATCTGTACAAACAATTATATTATTCAGTAATTCTAACTCACCTGGTCGAATAGGTCTACTGGGTTCAGAAGGTAAACTTAACCCAGCATCATTAATTGCAATTACTCTAAATAAATAATCTTGTGCCGGATTTAATCCAGTTAAACGAATTTCATTCACTGAGCATAAATCTGATGAAGTAGGTTTCCATTTAATTGAACCAACTTCACAAATTTGTACTTCATAACCTTTTATTGGTCCACCAGTACCTTCATTTAATGGTTGTGACCAACGCAATTGAACAGCACCATCTGCAATTACTTCAACTGTTGGTTGACCTGGTTGATCAGGTTTATCTTTAGGAATAAAAGAAAATTGTGTAATTGTAAAATCTGAAGTATTTCAAGTAATATACAATGTCAATAGTTTTTGTGTATTTTATATGAAGATGAGTTCTCATATCGTGCATTATGATCGTTCTCTCCTAGCACAAAAAAATAACATGACATGAAAACGCCTAATATTTTCCGTAACTTTCTAAATTGTTAAGGAAAGTATAATGTGATACCCTTGGTATGTCATTTTCTTGTGACTGGAAATGAAATCCCTATTGAAAATAATGCTCTTATATACAGCATTCACTAACTAAGTGAAAGGGAGAATGCCTGAAAATCCTTAATAGCGTATACTTATTGGACATTGAGAAATTACTGTACCATAAATTCCCCTTGATCATGAGTTAAGTGTTTCAATTTTATATTCTAAATGCCTTATTTCGGCATATATTGTGACCTTTCGATTATTATGTATTCTGTTGTTTTTGTAAATTTATTTAGTGATGTATATTCCTGAGTTAAAATCACAACCCTATACTGATAATAACCATGTGCTCACTAGTGACTAACTTGGTGAGGGGATTCTCGGAATTCTAGTAAGAACCCGTGACCAGTGGAGCTAATTCGTGTCGAGTAGAGATAGGTATCTGCCTTAGACAATAGATGAATGGTTGCGCAATTTCGTGGATTGGCTGAGGTTGAACATTAACACCTTTAAATACCGGCTCAGTCGGCTAGAGGTTAAGCGTTTACGTGCTAAATCGAATGCTCTGGATTCGAATCCCGCGAGCGGGATCGTGGATGCGCACTGCTGAGGAGTCTCGCAATAGGACAAAATGGCCGTCCAGTGCTTCCAGATTTTCAATGTTGGTCTAACATCAATCGGTTCATGATCTCAATCAAAAGCTTAAATCAAAACACTATGATTTTTTTCATCACTCATTAGATCTTGGTAAAGGAACTTTCTGTAATTAATTCGCCGTTGTTTGTCAAGTCATTCAACTAAACTATTAGAATATCTGCTCGCAAGACAAAAAAATTGGTCGTAGATGGAATGACGAGTAATAGTTACAAGTTTATATCAAGTAGCGTAATATTAATATTTACAAGTTGGAAGTTGAATCCTTAACATTTTTAAAGTTAAATTTAATGGGCATCTAAAATCACTAAATTGACTAATTTGATTTCACAATGCATAAATTTATCATTAGTATAAGTGGATTGGTAGATGAGACTCAATTTACTTCTGTAGTTTAAGTATTTCATGTAAATTAGTAAATTGTATTATCAGCTTCACATAGATGATTAACTTAAATTTCTGGTGTGCATTTATTCTTTATCAAACTTTACTTAATTAGCGTTAGTTGTTAAACTTTCCATATTATTGTTTACATGACATAAGTAATTTCAAGTAATTCGAACTACAATGATTACTGTATCATTCATGTGTAGCCCTTTCTGCAGGAATTTGGATGATTCTCTCTGTCTCCTACATTGTACGACCATTCCACGTACCTAAATTAATGATTGGTATGGTTTTTAGAAGAGGCATCGGCCTTGTGTCTTCCGAAGGAACTCGGCTTTCACCATGTGCCATAACTCTTCTAAATGAACGCCTTCTAACTCCTAGGGCAGAGTCTAAATGGTTTGAATTATTTTTTCTAGTTGGCGTTTCTTTAGTTAGTCAGTTTTCTACGGGATGGGAGTCGCTAACTCCAAGCCCAACCCTCCTCTTTTGTCTGGAATTGGGGACGACAGCAGCTCTAGGGTGGCTCTGGGTGGAGTGAAGCCTAACTGACTCTTTCCAGTAGATCGAATTAGTTTTCTTTAATCATTTTTGTTATAATAGTCATTCACTGATTTTATTATAATAAATCTCATATTATATTAAATACTTGTTTGTAAGATGAATAGTATTTTACTTAAAAGTACTTACCAGAACCTTTTTTAACATCTACATTTATGATATTAGATGGTGAACCTTTTCCAGCATCATTGACAGCTGATACACGGAAGTAACAGATACCATCTATCATAACGATACATATAAATTAAATGCAAAAACAAAATAGAAATATGCATTAGTAAAGTAGAATTGAAAGTTAATTAAATAAAGATAACAACAATGACTTTATCAATATAGAGAAGTTTGTGAAGATTGTAGAATTCGAATAGTTTTAATTAATAGATGATGAACAGGAGGTTAGGCGGTCATGCGTAAAAACTAAGATCCTGAGTTTGATCTGCAATGATAGAGTTGTGTATGAGCATTACAGAGGAGTCTCATACTAAGACGAAACTGCTTCTTGGTTTCTAGTGATGGTATAGCTTATACCAGTTTATGATTTAAACTAAGAAAAATAACTTTGGTTTACAAAAAATATTCAATAGTAAATAAATAGGTTAAATTACCTCTAAGATTTGGTATAATTCGCATTGTATTAGATGAATCAGAAAGTTTAATCTCAGACCAATTAGCATCTTTTAATGATGAACATTTTTCTATGATATAATTTATAATTTTAGCACCACCATCATGTTGTGGGGGTTTCCATTCTAAATGAACTTGTCCATCTTTATCAGTTGTACCATTTAAATCTTTTGGTGGTCCAGGTAAATCTAGAATATGAAAAGAAAAATGATAATTTTATTCATTGAGAAATGTCATGAATAATTTAAACACAAATATCCTTTTTAAAAAAAGTTCTAATGTTAAATATAACTGGTAGTGACTAATAGTATATTGTAAAGAGTGCATATTTCACTTAGTATGTATATTGTCACTTAAATGTACTTGCATCCTAGTGTAATATTTTCTTTATAACTTGAATTACATTTCCTTCATTTTGAACCTTGGAGAGTTATCCTATTATCAGCATAAAGTTGTGGAGATTATTAAGTTTTTGATTGAGATCATGAACTGAGTGGTGTTAGACCACCACTGGAATTGTTCGAGCGTGCAAGACTGAAGGTCGTGGGTTCGAATCCCGCAAGGGGGATCGTGGATTGCTGAGGAGTACCACGATAGGACGAAACGGCCGTCCAGTGCTTCAAAGTTATCCCATTAAACTACTGCAATTATAATAACAATTTAATAGTCTGAAATTGTTATTTCCCGGCGAGAGTTATGAATGGTAACTTTTTAAAACTAATTATAGACAAATACGATACATATATTTTTACTGTATTGTTGTTAAGTAGCTAAACTATACATATGCATGTTCCTCTTATTATAAGCTTTATTTTGATCTATGAACTATTACTATACGATTTACCGGTGTTGAGTTATGCCTAGTCTATTTTCTGTCTCTCACATTCACAGTCACTTTTGGCTAGATCTTGTACAAAAGTTATTATCTATTTTATGGTACAATGTGATCTGTTTGGTTTGTATGTAAACTCAGTATACTTGAGATACATGATTCATATCGTGGAGGTTGAGATTGGTGTTCTGGACTCAACAGGGAGGGAGAAGGACCGATAATTACTCTAGACTGCTCGTGCGGGTTTTATTTGTCATTGATCTGATCGATAAACCACTGTTCTCTAATTGGCGATATAATTATGTGATATATTTCTGGGGGTAATAGGCCACAAGTTATAACAGAAATAACCAACATTTATAAAAATTATAATTTTCAAAGTTAACTTACTATGTGGAGATGTAACTAAAAGAGGACTTGTAATAGCTTCAAATTCACCAATTCCTTGTTTATTTTGAGCTGCTACTCTAAAAAGCATATATTTTTCTGATGCCAAATTAATAATATCATAAATATGTCCTGTAGAACCATCAGATGCTTCATGTACTGGAAGATTACGTGTTACAGGTTCCCAATAACCTACAGTAGATGGTGTAGCAAAATTATTTTTAACTACAGCTTGTTCTATGACGTAATTTAATATTTGACTACCTCCAGTATCAGTAGGTGGTGACCAATTTAAACGAATGGAAGTTTTTGACAAATTTGCTGCAATAAGATTCTGTGGTGCACTTGGTAAACCTAAAGTTATGAATTTTTTCGATAGAAAACAAAACAGTTATAAAACAATATTGTTTTATCATATTATTTATCAGTAAACTTTCGATACTACTGTTAGTTAACTTAGTTCATAATTACTCAACAAAAGAAAAAACGGTATCTGAGATCGCTCCAAATATGAGGCGATCATCAATTTCATATTTCCATAATCAAATATCGATCTTCTCAACATTATCCATTAAAATAAAATACATAGATGAAAGTTGTTAATTAAAGAAAAAGAAACTCATCTAATAGAATATAAGTCTTTCTGTTAACCAATATCAAGGTGAGAATCTTCCATACGAATGTCAAGACAGTCTTACTGTACAGAGCTTAAACGTGGAGAACTACTACAACCATCATCAAAAAGTTAGAAGTATTTATAAATAATTAACTATGAAAGATATCCAATATCCGTTGGCCGGATATCATCAGCAACAACCTACTGTGGAAGAGGAAAAATCATGAAATTTCCACAATATTCACTGACTATTTGACCAATGTTCATTGTCATACTGAAATAAAATTGAATCTGTAAAGCTATGGCTTTTGTTTCCAGTATTTGGTATAAGTTACTTCTAACTAATGGAGTAGTAACCAAGCCCTATATAATGGCTATAAAGTAGAAAAATGAGGTGTTCCTTACCCAACACAGTTACATGAAATTCAGCACGAGCTTCACCACAACTATTTACAGCTGTTAAAATATATGTGCCGTCACATGATCGTGATATTTTTCGGAATTTCAATGCAATTTTATTCACACCATCTTGATCAGGACCGGATGCTTCTGTTTGTGCATCACTAGGAAGTGGAATTTTCTCATCACTTGGATGACCGTCAGGAATAAATTTCCAATTTATTTGTGGAGATGGTTCACCTTCTACACTAACGGGTATAGCATGCTTTTGTCCAGCGGTTGTCTTACACATTTCCAAAGTTGTATCATATTTTAATTTCGGTGGTTCTATAAAAAAACATTGTATAGATGGAAACGGTGGATTAGTTAACATTATCTATATAAATATTAAATTTCATTATCAGTTTGTTCGTAATAATATCTGATAAACGTAATTGTAAACTTCAATAGTTGAGATTATGAGTCAATTGAAGCTTTAATTGACTCATGATCTCAACTATTGAAATTACTATAATATCCACAAAACCCCTTCTACTAATTGTAAATCCCGAGTATTTTCCTTTACAGTCATTTTTTGTGTATAAAATTATGTTACTTATTTATATTCAGTAACTCATACATTCCCAATCATTTTTGGGCAAAACGAATATTAATGTCACTCAGCTGCATTATATTTCCAAGTATTTCCATGAATCTGTTACATTTTATCCATTTCTTACTGTAATTATATTCTCGTAATATGTTTGACAGTTTATCTTCAATTCTTCTGTGTTCACCGAATACTCGTTTACTTTTTTCCTTAACAACTATAATTTGTGTTCATCGTTCTCATTTCGGTTTGTTAGGTGGAGTTTTATTGTCTGAGGTGGTTAGTTTAGTAGCGAAGCTTTTATAGTCCTTATGGACAACATCGTTAGCAAAAGTTTTGGATAGAAGTGAACTATTTGAATCTCTCCACTTTTGATTGACAATCAATTACATCAACCCTGATCTTCACAGGTTGCTGTTAATTTTTGTCCTATTATTGTTGGCATACTTGTTTTGATTGTCATCCCCCTATGAATTAAATTTTGACCTTATAGTTGTCTATGATCTTCCCAAATGGTTGATAAGTTCAATCGATTTCAGTATGTTTGTTGATTGCTGATCGACCTAGGTCGAAAGCTCCTAAAAATACTACAATCTTATTAATATTTTCTTTATTCAGGGTTTCAACCTTTTACCTGGTCAAATGTATGTTTATAATTGTCTCTGTGTATTGATATAGGAGAAGATACGTTATGGTATTTGACAAACTAGTTAATGTTCGTGCGGAAAAGGATAAAAAGGTAGGCCACTATGTCAGATGTAGTGTTTCTGTTAGTTAGAATAGCTTATCTTATAGATGATATTTGACTTTTCATCTATTATCATTTCATCTTTTCATTTGAATGAGCATGATTGAAATGATTTTGCTAGTTTATATATCACACTTATTCTTAACTGTTTCAATGAGCTAGTTGTAATTTCAGATATATCTTTCACATACAACAAGATGATCCATTTGTTGATTTATATATATTTAATATTAATAAGGGTTTTTGTGGATATTATAGTAATTTTACTAGTTGAGATCATGAGTCAATTGAAGCTAGACCATCATGGAAAACCTGAAAGCACTGGATGGCCATTTCGTCCTATTGTGGGATAGTAACTCACTGAAGACAATGGTGGATGTGTCGCTCAATTTCGTGGATTGTTTGGAGTTAGACATTAACACAATTGGATGCTGGCTCAGTGGTTTAGAGGTTAAACCTTCGTGCGCGAGACTGATAGGTCCTGGTTTCGAATCTCGCTAGGCAGGATCGTCAATGAGCACTGCTGAAAAGTCCCATACTAGGATGAATCGGCCATCCAGTGCTTCTAGGTTTTCCATGGTAGTCTATATATATATATATATATATATATATATATATATATATATATATATATATATATATATATATATATATATATATATATATATATATATATATATATATAATTTTATTGTGAAAAGTCAAGAGAAAAGCTTTATGAAGTATAATTTATTTTTAGAATATTTCTTATGAGTGAATTCCATTGTAACTCTTGACAACATCATCAACGATGTCATCTACTTGAAGTTTGTTCTGATAATATTATTCAGAATAATGATAAAGGCTTCACAATCAAATCATCTAGCTCAGAGAATAAAACGCTTTCGAAATTATCCAACTAAGTTATAAATCTTCTCCACCATCTCAAAATTTTGTCCATTGTCATGTCATCAGTTTGTTTTATATTAAAATTCTGGATAAATGCTCATTATTCATTTTGTATGTAAAAGCCAATCAAAACAATGTATAAAATAAATTGAGGTGAAATCTTTTTTTAAATATTATCTATGACCTACTAAGAAAACTACCAACATCGGTTTAGTCTCCTGGGTAGTATCTAAACCCTCACACAAATCTAATAATTTGATACCTTATTATACTAATGTCTATTTGTTCAAATATATAACAAATAAACTATACAGAAGTTGATTTGTATCATTCAGCGTTACATTTGTGTGTACTATTAGTGTATGTTATGATGGGATGAAAAGTTAAAAATTCGATGGATTTAATCATAATGATTTTTTATCCAACATTCATTCCGTTTGATTCAATGTGATGACTATACAGTATAGTATTTGTTTCGTTTTCCCCTATGACATTTTATTCTCTATAATATATGATATTCTTGGATGAAGTATTATTCTGATTATTAATCAAAAAATGGATGTATGAATCAATATATAAATGAGTGTATTTCCGACTAGACTTGTTGTCGTCATTACTCGTGTTTCTGACTGTTTGTGGAATATATTATCTCGTTTCGAACTTAAACATCTTTCTCTTTCTCTCTCTCTCTTTGTAGTTAGCGGAGCTCAGACATATCAGAATAGCTAGCTTATTAGTCATTGATCACAGAATCTTTGTTCCATTCAAAAACTAGGTGAATTCATAATCTGTTCATCAAATATAGCAATTTAATTATAATATCAATATTTTAAACAATATAATAATGAGAAAAAAATCATTATACATTATAGTTATTGAACTTACTTGGTAATCTTGGTGTTTTAATAAATGAACGTGTTTCAGTTGGTTCACTTTTTCCAATTGAATTCACAACTATCATACGAAAATAATAATCTGTATTTGATGCTAAACTATTTGCTGTTTCTTTTTCAGTAATTTTTATTTGAATTGTTGTTAAATGATTTGGTATTTTATATAAATCATCTGTATCTAATGGACCATTATTAAATGGTTGCCATGAACGATTTTTTGAATTATGATATTCTAATTCATAATGTGTTATTGGATTATTTATATCTTTACGTGGTGGTTTCCAATGAATTATCATAAAAAGTTGATCTATACTTGGTTCAACAGTTAAATTTTCAACTGGTTTTGGTTTATCTAATTAAAAATTAAAAATAAGAATAATAAAAGCATCAGTTGGCCTCAACATACACAAAGGTAAAAGCAACATCCTCAAATACAACATGGAGAACAGTAATCCAATCACTCTTGATGGCAAAACTCTGGAAGATGTAGAATCCTTCACATACCTGCGAAGCATCGTCGATAAACAAGGAGGTTCAGATGCAGACGTAAAAGTGAGGATTGGCAAAGCAAGGACAGCATTCCTTCAATTAAAGAACATATGGGACTCAAAACAACTTTCAACTAATATCAAAGTCAGAATCTTCAATACGAACGTCAAGGCAGTTCTACTGTACGGAGCTGAAACCTGAAGAACTACAACAACCACCATCAAGAAGGTACAAGTATTTATCAATAGCTGTCTACGCAAGATACTCAACATCGATTTGCCGGATACCATCAGCAACAGCCTTTTGTGGGAGAGAACAAACCAGCTTCCAGCTGAAGAGGAGATTAGGAAAAGACGATGGAAATGGATAGGACATACATTGAGGAAATCATCAAACTGCATTACGAGGCAAGCGCTAATTTGGAATCCTGAAGGAAAGTGGAAAAGAGGAAGGCCAGAGAACACATTACGTCGGGAAATAGAAGCGGATATGAAAGGGATGAATAAGAACTGGAAAGAGCTGGGAAGGATTGATCGGGACAGGGTTGGATGGAGAATGCTGGTAAGCAGCCTATGCTCCTTCGCGAGGAGTAACAGGCGAAAGTAAGGTTATATACATTGAAACTGATGACTGTTAACTCAATTGATGTCATAAAAGTGTTGAGTTGAAAGTTATGTAAGGCACTATAATTGTTATATCCCAATAAGAATAGTGAATGGTAATTTTTGGGATCCATTTATGGACCGATATTACGAGTATATTTTTATCGTATAATTGTTAAATAACTAAGCTATTCATATCCATGTCCCTGTTATTATGAGTTTTATTTTGACATATGAACTATTTTTATACGATTTACTATTCTTGCGTTATGGCCTGTCTATTAATTACTATCTCCCTCCTTCACAGACATATCTGGCTAATTATTGTACAAATGTTGTTTCATATTTTATTGGTACGATGTAATCTGTTTGATCGGTATATAAACTCAGTATGTTTGAAATATAATGATTCATATCTCTAAGGCTGAAATTTGTGTTCTGGACTCAACTGGTTGGGCTAGGCGAGAAGCAGGGTCAATCAGAACTCTAGGCCGCTCGCACATGTTTTACGCGTCCTTGGTCCGATCAAAATTCACCGCCCATCTACTCGGCGGCCCCTCAATATATAACAATAATATCACATGACCTGAAAGTGTTTACAGTCAAATTAAAATAAATCAATAATTAATATTATGATTTGAATCATATTTATTTGATAAGAATTAATGATACACCATAACTACAAAATAGAATATGTGGAGCAGGGTTTAATCCTGTAATATTATGAAGTGCTAGTTGAATATTTCAAATACTTCTAATTATCCTGCTAGCGGGATCGTGGATGTGCACTGCCGAGATTTTTCAATAATTTTCAATGATGGTTTAACATTATTCAGTTCATGATCTCAATCAAAAACTTAATAATCTTCACAACCCCATACTGATAATCAACATATGCTCACTAGTGACCTGCTTCGTGAGTGAATTCTCGGAGTTCTAGTGAGAAACTGTGACCAGTGGAGCTAATCCATATCAGGTACAGACAGGTATCTACCTCAGTACGATGGAAGATTGCCGCGCAATTTTGTGGATTGCTTGAGGTTAAATATTAACATCGTTGGATGCTGGCCAACTCAGTGGTGTAGAGGTTAAGCGTTCGCGCGCGAGACTGAAGACTCTGGGTTCAAGTTCCACGTTGTACTATTTAACCTTGGATTAGTTTTAATTTAGTTATTCTCTGGAGAGGTGGCTTACATTAATTCACAAATATACTTATTTATTTATAACAATCTACCCAATACTTAATTTATTCGAAATTATCAAATCCAACCTTGGTAATGATACCTAGAAACTTTAAGTCATTCATCTAAAAATAACATACCAATAAACAATGAGTTTTTTAGCCACTGAATTAGAAATTAGGATTATGCTTATGCTGTATAGATCTTATTTGATTACATAATAATTGTTCATACAATTCAGTATATGATAAAGGTTAAACATTTCTGAAATTGATTAGATTAAAATAACTTTTGAATATAAAAAAAGAATTTGAATAATCACTTACCAATAACAATGAGTTCACATTTCCATGTTAATTTTCCATGTTCATTTTCAATAATAGCAACTAATTGACCAGTATCATCATTTTGTACACGTTGTATAGATAATGATGTTAAACCAGATACTATATTGACTTGATAACGTTTTGTTTTATCAGTAATAGGTATACCTTGAGCAATCCATTTTATAGTAGGTTTTGGATAAGCTTTAAATGGTACTTCAAGTACACAATTTGAACCAACATTAATACGACGTGTATGACTTTCTTCTGTATCTTCAAGAAGTGTTGGTGGAACTAAAAAAAAAATTTTATATGATAAAACATATTCATTAATTTATGAAGAGGTTATGATAAATTTTTTTTCTTCAATAAATGAGTTTATCACAATCTTAATTTTATGGTATAGGGTTGGGTTAGTATTAGAACTTGTGGGTTTGTGCCCCTATCAATGTATAACGTAATGATACTGTCAATTAGAGAACCTCTTCTGATACTAATTAGAGAACAGTGATTTATCGACCGGATCAATGACGTATAAAACCTGTACGAACAATCTAGAGTCTTTATCGGTCATTTTTCCTGTCTTACCCTATCTGTTAAGTCCACAACACAAATCATGTATTTCAAACGTACTGAGTTTATATACAAAGTAAACAGACCACATCGTACCATAAAATAGGAAATAACATTTGTACAAGATTTAGCCAAAAGTGGCTGTGAATGTGGGAGATAGTAATTGATATACTGAGAATAACTCAAGAATGGTAAGTCGTATAGTAATAGTTTATAGGTCAAAATAAAGCTTATAATAAGACGAATACGAAAATGAATAGTTTAGTTACTTAACAATTATACAATAAAAATATATGTATAATATTAATCCAGAAATAGATCCCAACAGTTACCATTCGTTGTTCTCATCGGGATATAAAAGTTAGTGTAAAAATAAGTTGGTTTTTATTTTATAATTTTATAAAGGTCAATCATATAATTTGCACGATGTGATCTGGATTGAATTGTATCTGTTTATCTTGGGTTCACTTATCCTAATCACTAGAAGAAATCTGATAGAACTCACTTTGATTAGTAACTATTCCTATCAATCTTTTTTAATGCAATGATTATCAGCTTTATCAATTCCTCCCAATACACATTCAACTTTTTAATCTGATCCCAGGGCCTAAGTTTTATTTAGATTGTGACTAATTGATACACAGATAGTCGTAAAATTTATTTTATCTAATAGTTTACCAAACACTGAATTGTTCATAATTATTAAAAGTCACGATTACTTTAACAGTTTACTAAAACTTTAGAGTGATTCTCACATAATACGTAGTGTAGTGTGTCGTACTGATATCGACAGATATAAATAGTATGTATCACTAATCAAAAGTGGGATGCTGGGAGGCAGAAGGTTGAGAAAATCGAAGAAAAGAGAACGAGAGCAGAGAGCGATTGGTATGGAAATAAAGGAATGATAAAACCTAAGCCAAATGATGAACATTTCTCAAATGAAGTATTTACTGTCTGGTTCCCAGAATTCACTATGAAAATCTGTAATCTTTGCTTGTATCTTCCCATTGTTGTTTGGGACTGCAATTAATCAGTCTCGTATGGGCATATTTTCATTATGTGAGGATTGCCTCGATATTAGCTTATGTCACATGCTTTATAAGCAAAGTTGGATATTGGCTAGCAGTGGAATCCAGTTTAACGCGTGTTTCATTCTATTTGGAACTCATCAGCTGGATGTACCTACATCTTACAGTTGATCTTCACTTGAACACAGTACTGTTCTCTTCAAAAGCCATCGCGTTATCCGCTTACCTACTAAATCCTGATAACCACTTGCCTGTCCAGCTGACGAGTTCCAAATAAGACGAAACGTGCGTCTTGGATTCTACTGCTAGACATTATCTATCTTTGCTTAAAAATTCTATAATGTATTCAAAAACATTTGGTTGTCCCCTATTGGTTTTCTCATTCACTACAGTAGTATTAATAAAACATAACTGTATTAGCCTGAAATCTAAAACTACCGAATAGGAAATATTCAATTTTAGTTAGTTTTGAAGATGATCAGAAGTAGAATACACAATAAATGTTAGAGTTAGATAATATAATACAAAGTTATGCATAAAATAATCAAACAAAAGCACACTACTTATACTTTTATTAAATAGTTAAATTAATATCTTAACATTTTTAAAAAACTTACTTTTAGCTTCTACATTACATTGTGTTTTTAACTTCTTATAATTTAATTCATATGTACCCATATCATCAAGTGTAATATCATTAATAATTAATCGATAAATATTTCCTTCTGGAGAAAAATCATATTTTTTACCCAATACAATTGGTTTTCCATTATATAACCAATTTATTCGACAATTAGATTGACTTAATTCACATTCTAATTCAACTTTTGTTCCAGATTTTGGAATTTCATCAAAATAAACATTATTCAATGGTCGAATAATATTGACTTCAATTCCTATGAGTTTTTTTAGGTGAAAAATAATAAACCGGCAATGGATTTTAAAACATTTTTATATAACTATGGATAGTTTATGAGAGGTATTAATAAAAATAACAAGATTATATAATCTAACAATGTTGTTATGGTATTGTTTACTTGAATCTTCTCATTGATGTTTAGGATTGTAATTGATCCGTCCCTTATTGGTATACGTGCATACTTTACGGATTTCCTCGATATTACCTTAAATCACAAGCATTATAGACGAAGTTGGATAACGACTAGCAGTAGAATGTAGTTTGACGCGCGTTTCGTCCTATTTTGGACTCGTCAGTTAGATGTACGTGCACCTCAGAGTTGATGTTCACTAAATGAATCAAAACTAGTATCATTCGCTTCGAACATCAGCGCGTTATTCACTTAGCTACTGAATTCAGATAGCCACTTGCTTGTGCAGTGGAGTGAAGTTTAAATTCACTTAGTATTGTTTACTTGAATCTTCCCATTAGTGTTTAGGACTGTAATTGATCAGTCTCTTATTGGCATATGTGCATACTATGCAGATACATCCAGCTGACGAATCTGAAATAGGACGAAACGCGCGTCTTGAATTCCACTGCTAGCCACTATCCATCTTTGCTGATAATGTTTATGACATGGTTTAAAAAGACAAACATTTGAAGAATTGGTCTGTTCATTGTGTTATTCATGAATTGTATATTGTTTTTAAGGTTGACATAAAATATTACGTAACTGGTATTGATAAATTGAAAATTATAATTATTGAACGTATGAACAAATAATTCAACTTTGGATAGTGGAAATTTTTAGCTCAGGTCGATAATTTAGGAGGATAGTTTGACTATAGAACTCTTATTGTTCTTCTAAACAACATTATCAAAAAAGTAACTTTAGGATAGAAAGAAAGTTTGTACTGATATTATTCGGAGGAACAATGAGAGCTATACGATTAAACTATACAGCTCAGAGAAAAAAACTCCACCTAAAGTAATTCAACACTATGATTATCAATAGGATACACTATTCACTTGTTGAGTTTAATTTCCAAGTTAATATTTTCCAAAAAGTAGTGAATACTCAATTTTTGAATCAGGATTTTACTGTTAACCAAATTAACTGTCAAGTTTATTATTTATTCTATGAAGAATTCACAACAAAGATCAACATAGTACAGTGTGTGCTACTGATGTCGACAGATATAAGTAGTATGTATTATCAATCGAAAGTGATATGTTTGGCTATGAAAGGTTAAGAAGATAGAAGAAAAGTGAATGAAAACAGAAAATGATTGGTGTGGAAACGAAAGAGCAATGAAGTTTGAGACGATTGATTGACAGTTTGCAAAAGAAATATTAACCATATTGTTCTCAGATTTTACTGAGATGTTCTGCAATTTTGTATTCAAATACATTCGATTGTCCTCAGTTGTGTTCTCATTCACTAAAAATAGGACTAAAGTCAAGATTACACTATTTTATCAAATGAAACTATGATTAGATACTCATAAATGATTTGCATACAGTAGCTAGTTAAAATTCTTTTTCATATTAAATGGAACTAACATTATTCTAAAGAAAAAGCTCAAGTATTTTGTTTTACAATTCAAATAATATCTGAATTTAAGCTTCTTTTGCCCCTTTTATACTTTCTGTACAATAATTGGTACACAATTAAAATGGTCTTGTTTAGTTTCACACCATTGGTAAGATGTAAAATGAATAACGTTTGTATGATGATCGCTAAAATTTACATATTATGAGCAGTGTTAACCTCTCTGTTACATGAGAATAATTAATTGATGCTTTAGCTCACATAGTTAGTTCACATATAGTTGGTCGATTAAGATAAAGAATGGATCTCAGTTCATAAATGAATGAATGTTCGAGTACCATACTAGGACGAAACGACCATCCAATGCTGTCAGGTTTTCAGTAGTGGTCTAGTTTATATTGACTCATAAATTTAACTATGAAAATCACTACAATATCTACAAACCCCCATTCTAAGAATGTTAAAGGAGATAATTAAGACTTAACAACAATAGTACATATTAGGGAAATAAAACAAATTCTTTGTGAGATTATGAACCAATTGATGTTGGACCATCATTGAAGACGTGGAGGCACTTGAAGGCCGATTCGTCTTATTGTGGGACTTCTCGGCAGTGCGCACCCATGATCCCACTCACGGGATTCGAACTTAGAGCTTTCGGTCTCGCGCTCGAACTCTTAACCTCTAGACCACTGATCCGGCATCCGGCTGTTTTAATGTCTAACCTCAACGAAATGGCCTTCCAGTGCTTCCAGGTTTTTAATGGTGATCTAACATCAATCGTTTCATGATCTCAATCAAAAACTTAATAATCTCCACAACCTCATATTAATAAGAACTAATTTTCACGTAGAAATAGATTATGTTATTAGGAGAACAAAATGGTCTTGTTTTATCCATTTTAATGCAATAGTTATGGATTTCTATCTATAGAAGCTAATAATGGAAATTATCAGATGTAATTGTTCTCTGAATTATTCTTCGTTTTTCGATAGCATTTACATGAATCGTAAAACAGACTAAACATTCATTTATTGCCAAAGAAATAGTAAGTAGTAAATAACTTACCAGGTGTAACGGGTTGTGAACTTCTCGATGGTTTACCTGGTCCTATACTATTCACAGCAATAACACGAAATTTGAAAGATTTGGAATTGTCTAAATTTTTCACAATTAACTCATATGATTTTTGTTCGTCTGGAGATAGTAGCCTTTGATCTGCACGATCTATGTTTAAAGCATCAATTGGTTTCCATACTTCAGTGCCATTTTTAGCATCGCACATCTCTATTTGATATGATGTAATTGGACTGTCACCATCAGTTGTTGGAGAAAACCAATTGACTTTTACTGAGTTTGTATTGACAGGTGTAACATTGTCAAGCTTCGGAGCATCAGGAGGTTCTGAAATGAATACAGTTTTTAACAGTAAAGATTATAGTACTAGAAAAGTGAGGAAGAAGTAACGCATTAGTGATTACTTGCCAATTATGAAACAATGTCTAGTATCTAGAGTTTCAGAAGTAAATCCACTTCGTTGATGATAGTGTTGTAACATACGTTGATTAGTACTAGTTATTTGAATGAGATAGAAGATAAATTCTGTACTTGGGGTATGTATTTGTTGGAACATATTGAAACATGTATTTCAGGAGGTTCATTAAAACACATCCCAAACTGATAAATAAATTTAAATAACTCAGTGATTTGGTTTGCGTTTTTTTAGCGAGTTAGTTTTCTACAGGATGAGGTCGCTAACCCCATGCCCAACCCTCCTCCTTTATCCGGGCTTGGGACCGGCAGTAGTCCCTCGAAAGGGACTCCAGGCAAAGCAACAGGACTAGACAGGATTCCAGCAGAGGCGCTGAAAGCAGACGTAGCGGCAACTGCAAGGATACTCCAAACTCTCTTCAGAAAGATCTGGGATGAGGAGCAGGTACTAAAAGACTGGAAAGAAGGACTTCTAGTCAAAATACCAAAGAAAGGCGATCTCAGAAACTGTGATAACTACAGGGGAATCACTCTTCTCTCAATACCAGGAAAAGTCTTCAACAGGGTATTGTTAAACAGGATGAAGGACTCCGTAGACGCACAACTTCGAGACCAACAGGCAGGATTCCGTAAGGATAGATCGTGCACAGACCAAATCGCAACTCTACGGATCATTGTGGAACAATCCATTGAATGGAATTCATCACTCTATATCAACTTCATCGACTACGAAAAAGCATTTGATAGCGTGGACAGAACAACCCTATGGAAGCTTCTTCGACACTACGGCGTGCCTCAGAAGATAGTCAATATCATACAGAATTCCTATGATGGATTAAACTGCAAAATCGTGCATGGAGGACAGTTGACGAAGTCGTTCGAAGTAAAGACTGGTGTCAGGCAAGGTTGCTTACTCTCACTCTTTCTCTTTCTCCTGGTGATCAACTGCATCATGAAGACGTCAACATCTGAAGGGAAGCACGGGATACGGTGGATAGCTAGGATGCAATTGGATGATCTAGACTTCGCAGATGATCTGGCTCTTCTATCGCAAACGCAACAACAAATGCAGGAGAAGACAACCAGTGTAGTTGCAGCCTCAGCAGCAATAGGTCTCAATATACACAAAGGGAAAAGCAAGATTCTTCGATACAACACAGCATGCACCAATCCAATCACAATTGACGGAGAAGCTTTGGAAGATGTAAAAACCTTTACATATTTGGGCAGTATCATCGATGAACACGGTGGATCTGATGCAGATGTGAAGGCACGGATTGGCAAAGCAAGAGCAGCATATCTACAACTGAAGAATATCTGGGACTCAAAACAATTGGCAACCAACACCAAAGTCAGAATTTTCAATACAAATGTCAAGACAGTTCTACTGTATGGGGCGGAAACCTGGAAAACTACGAAAGCCATCGTCCAAAAGATACAGGTGTTTATTAACAGTTGTCTACGCAAAATACTTCGGATCCGTTGGCCGGACACTATTAGCAACAACCTACTGTGGGAGAGAACAAATCAGATCCCAGTGGAGGAAGAAATCAGGAAGAAGCGCTGGAAGTGGATAGGACACACATTGAGGAAAGCACCGAACTGCGTCACAAGACAAGCCCTCATATGGAACCCTCAAGGTCGAAGGAAGAGAGGAAGACCAAAGAATACATTACGCCGAGAAATGGAGATGGATATGAGAAAAATGAACAAGAACTGGATGGAACTAGAAAAGAAGGTCCAGGACAGAGTGGGTTGGAGAATGCTGGTGACGGCCTATGCTCCATTGGGAGTAACAGGCGTAAGTAAGTAAGTAAAGTAACTCAGTGATTTAGTCAGTAATCCTATTTTAAACTCTTGTAGTATTTTATTTCGAGAGACACTCAGTTTTATCTACATTTGCTGATTGTACGATATATGATACGATACATATTCTACTTGAAGGCTTGCATACCGACTTCGTAATTCCTTTCCAGTTCTCGGAAGTCTTCTACTCTTGGACCCCGATTGAAAAACATAAGGCGGAAAGTACGGACGAAACACTTCGCTTTAAATGTTTGTATATTAACAGAAAACAGAAATGTTTATTAGATCATACCTGATCCTAAAATCTAATTGGCTTCTAGAAAACATGTTGAAATTAGCAATAAATTCGGTCATTATCTGAACGGGATAATGAAGGCGAAGCCAGTTATCTCCTAGATTTCTTTTGGATTTTTCCTAAGAACGCCTAGTTTCATCAGTTTTCTAACTTCAGAAGACTTTTTCTAGAGTTTATCGAAGCCTTTCCACCCTCCGTCATTAATTTCATGAAAAAGTGACAGATTATATTAAGTGAATCCTTTTAAGTCTGGTTACTTCTAAATCAACAAATTCATTGACTAGTTGGGAAACCTGAAATTTCCTTTGAAATAACAATCATAAAGAATAAAAAAATGATCATGATGATTACTATTACAGCATATAGTGTATTTCGGTATCTTTTCTACATCAATTTGTACTTCGATGTTTATCTTTAATATTCAGTTAGTTTTATCACAACTGTTCAATGGCTTTCATGAAAATGTTTGTACTTAAATACAAAGTACCCGTTATAGCACCATGTAGGGAATGTATGTTGAAATATTTAGGAAATATGTCAAGTATCGTATTGAACATTGAAATTTCAATTAAACACATCTCTATTTATAGATAAATTCTAATTAATTTCACCGATCCTAAACCAAAGGTTTAAAAATGAATTACAAATGTGTAATGATCTCTGAACTAGTTGGTTTGATTGTAAAATACTGAATCGAACCTATCATCTTAAAAGAATTGGCACTTGCGAGGTCAGAGCTCAAGTTATAAGAGAAAGTAATCAATAACAACAACGATAACAACAAAAATGATGCAGATAACAATCATAGAGTTAAGAATAAAAACCAAATAAATTCCAGGTTAACAGAATAAGCTGTTAGTTAATTGTGAAGAAATCCAAACATCTCACTTCATTTTTGTTGGGATATTCAGAAAAATATCACAAAAATTATCCTGTTAAGTCTAATGTTATCCTTGGACTTGAAATAGTATCGTTTTCCTATTGGTCAATATTTATTTCACGTGTCGTTTCCCTACTGGTCAATATTTATTTCACGTGTCATTTTTCTATTGGTTAAATCTTGTACAAATATTATTTTCTATTTTATGGTACGTTGTGGTTTGTTTGATTGGTATATAAACAGAGTATGTTTGAAATATAATGATTCATATCGCAGAGGCTGAGACTTGTATTCTGGACTCAATTGACTGGGCTAGACAGGGAAGCAGGACCAACCAGAACTCTAGGTCGCTCGCACATGTTTTACGCGTCTTTGGTCCGATCGATAATTCGCTGCCCTGTAATCCGCGCGGTCATAACATATAACAATTTTCAAGTACATATTGATGATAATCTTGTTTAAAAGGACAATGTAAAGTTTATTAAAAATCAATGAGGGAAAAAAACACACTTAATTCTTTTTTTACTTACTTGGCAATTGTTTTGTTTTAGCTTTAACAGGATTTGATGATTCACTTTTACCAGCCAAATTAGTACAACTTACACAAAATTCATATTCTGTATTTGCTTCAAGTTTATCAATTTGTACTATAGAACATGGTTCAAATGTTTGAGTTTTCCATCTAATTATTAAATAATTCAATGTAAACAAATTGAGAGTTAACTTACAAAATTGTACTTTTTTGGGGATAAATCTAACTTTCTCTTACCTACTTATACAAGGTTTATCAGTATAGGGTTGTAGAGATTATTAAGTTTTTGATTAAAATCATGAACTGATTGATGTTAAACCAGGATTGAAAACCTGGAAGTACTGAACAACCGTTTAGGCCCTGGATTCGGATTCCGTGAGTGAGATCGTGAATGTGCACTACTGAGGAGTCCCACGGTAGGACGAAACGGTCGTCCAGTGCTTTCAAGTTTTCAATGCTGATCTAGAATCAATCAGTTCATGATCTCAAATATGCAAGGTTTGTATCCTATATACAGCAACAAGTGCATGTGAAGATAGCCAGTGTAGCAGCAACCGTTGGTCTGATGCCGTTAGCAATAACTTACTATGGCAGAGAACAAACTAGCTTCGAGACGGAGAGCAAATTAGGAAAAGACTCTGGAGGTGAATGGGATATACATTGCAAAAATCGTCAAAATGTATCACAAATCAAAACCTGACTGAAAGCAAAAGGAAAAGAGGTAAATCAAAGAACATATTGCTCCGGGGTTGGAGACAGATATCAAAAGGATGAATGACCCTTTAAGTGATTAGAAGGAAAATGGCTCAGGATGAAGTTGGTTGGTGATTCCATATCAGAGTCAAGTAATAGTTGTAAGTAAGTAAGTAAGGGTAAGCTTGAAATTGAAATCAAATTGTTTAGTTAAAAATAATGAACATTTTATTCAATTGAGAGTATAGAAATACTTTAATAAAAGATTAATATAAATGGATTCTGATAGCATTTTTTTATAAAAGTATTTACCTTGATACATTTTTAGGACGATATTCAACAATTACACTAGTTAAAGGTGCTTCCACATGTGTAACTGGTAATTTGAATTCTAATTCAATAGTGGAATGATTTATTGGTTTGGCAGTAAGTTGTTTTGGAATTTCCGGAATATCTGTGGCATAAAAATAAAGAAATATAACGTTATAATACTATCATAGATGTGTATATATTGTTTATATGTGTATGTATTAAAGTTAGGTACATGGTCGGTATTCCATACTGTAACTCAAACTGTGTACTTGACTTACTTACTTAAGCCTGTTACTCCTCGCGAAGAAGCATAGGCTGCTTACCAGCATTCTCCATCCAACCCCGTCCTGGGCAATCCTTTCCAGCTCTTTCCAGTTCTTATTCATCCCTTTCATATCCGCTTCTATTTCCCGACGTAATGTGTTCTCTGGCCTTCCTCTTTTCCACTTTCCTTCAGGATTCCAAATTAGCGCTTGCCTCGTGATGTAGTTTGGTGATTTCCTCAATGTATGTCCTATCCATTTCCATCGTCTTTTCCTAATCTCCTCTTCAGCTGGAAGCTGGTTTGTTCTCTCCCACAAAAGGCTGTTGCTGATGGTATCCGGCAAATCGATGTTGAGTATCTTGCGTAGACAGCTATTGATAAATACTTGTACCTTCTTGATGGTGGTTGTTGTAGTTCTTCAGGTTTCAGCTCCGTACAGTAGAACTGCCTTGACGTTCGTATTGAAGATTCTGACTTTGATATTTGTTGAAAGTTGTTTTGAGTTCCATATATTCTTTAATTGAAGGAATGCTGTCCTTGCTTTATTAATCCTCGCTTTAACGTCTGTATCTGAACCTCCTTGTTTATCGACGATGCTTCGCAGGTATGTGAAGGATTCTACATCTTCCAGAGTTTTGCCATCAAGAGTGATTGGATTACTGTTCTCCATGTTGTATTTGAGGATATTGCTGTTTCCTTTGTGCATGTTGAGGCCTACTGATTCAGAGACTGCTGCTATGCTGGCTCTCTTTATCTGCATTTGTTCGTGTATATGCGATAGGAGGGCTAGGTCATCTACGAAGTCCAAGTCGTCTAATTGGTTCTGAGCTGTCCATTGTATGTCGTGTTTCCCATCAGATGTCGAGGTCTTCATAATCCAGTCGACCACCAGAAGAAAGAGGAAGGGAGAGAGTAGACAGCCTTGTCTTACTCCGGTCCCTACTTGGAATGCGTCAGTCAGCTGTCCTCCATGCACTACTTTGCACTGCAGACCGTTGTATGAGTTCCGGATAATATTGACAACCTTCTCAGGAACTCCATAGTGTCGAAGAAGATTCCATAACGTTCTCCTGTCTACACTGTCAAATGCCATCTCATAATCAATGAAGTTGATGTACAGTGACGAGTTCCACTCAATTGATTGTTCGACGATGATTTATCTATCCTAGAAGTTTCAAATGTACCAAATTATTTTATATTGAATAAAGAGATTATTATCATTATTCTCATCAATATGGTTTCTTTTACGTTATCATTGAAAAACAACTATGTTAATCCATAATGAAAATTATCTTTGAATTGAACAATTCTTCATACATGATCATATTTGATTAAATAATTTTACTTTTGATTGAGTTTTGTTCTCTGAAATGGATGGTTTGGTCATGGAGCTTTCATCGTTCTGCTAAACGATATCATCAGTACAAACGCCATTAAAATTATCCACCTGAGCTACAAATCTTCTCCATCATCTCATAATTTCACTTTCAATCAAATGAAATATTTACTGCAATCTTTTAGTTTATTGTTATTCCTTTGTAGAATTATTAGTGGGAAATCTCATATATTAGTCAGTAGTAGTAAGTGAAATCATAGAGATACAACTTTTAATGATCATTTAATAGTTGATTTCATATGTCGATCTAAGCTAAATCTCTATTGAAAACCTGGAAGTAGTGGACGGCGGTTTTGTCCTAGTATGGGACCCCTCGACAGTGCGCATCCACGATCCCGTACCAAAAGGACTTGAACACAGGACCTTCGGTCTGGCGCACGAACTCTAAACATCTAAACTACCAAGTCGGCATCTGATGGTGTTAATGTCTAGCTTCAATCGATCCACAATCTTGCGCAACCCTTCAACCGGCTCAGCGGTCTAAAGGTTAAACGTTCGCACGGCAGACCGAAGGTCTTGGGTTAGAAATCCGCCTGCGGGATCGTGAATGTGTACTGATGCGGAGTTCCATAATAGCACGTAACGGCCATCCAGTATTCCTAGGTTTTCAATGGTGGTCGAACATTGATCGATTCATGATCTTAATCAGAAATTTAATTATTGGAAAAAAAGAATGTCGTATATTGTTTTCTTTGTAGTAGAGTATAAGAATTATGAATAAACCTATTTAATAGATATTAAACTGTTTTTCACCAACTTATTAACTCTGAAACAAACACTGAGATGTAAGTTTATCCATCTAATAAGAAGTTGACAGGATTTTGAATCGTTCATTTTCGGTAAACTCATTCTATAATTAATTGAACACAATTTGAATGAGAGTTCTTCAGGTATTTCATACATAATCGTTTTATGTCATACAAAATTAAATAATGATGAATAGATATTTCAATAATTTAACTAACCATAAGGAGATTTCATTATTAAGCCATCGGAAATTTCTTTCCTTGGTCCACTTCCACAATCATTAACTGCAGAAACACCAAACAAATAAGTGGCTCCTTCAGTTAACCCTGTGATACGATGTACAAATGGTTCTTCATCGTCAGATGTTTTTGATTTCGAACTAACATTTGCAATTGACTTCCACTCCTTAGCCTGAGAACGTAAAACACCTCCAGGTTCAGGAGCTAATTGACGTTGTTCAATTTTATATCCTGTCAATGGGCTACCGCCATCATCTTCAGGTGGTTTCCATAAAACAGATACTTCTGTAGGTGACTCAACATGTGCTTCCAATGATGTTACTGGGCCAGGGGTTCCAAGAACTTTCAATGTTATGGTTGCTTTAGCTTCTCCATATGGATTAGTGATAATAGCTTCATAAATTCCACCATCAGAAACTTGTACTGCAGTAAGACGAAGTACTGCTTGAGACTTTGAATCATTATCTGGAACAGTTCGTTTTGTTGGATCAGGCAGAGTACGACTACCATTCCAATACCAAACAATACTAGTAGCAGGTGGACAAGAAGTAAATGGTATTTCTATATTACGATTACTCCCCTGAGTAAGTATGATTGTATCAGAGAAATCATCTGGTAGACAAAGCTTAGGTGGTACTAGACATGAAAGATAATAAAATAATTTATTTGTATATTTAAATCATGGGATGTTTTTATAGACAAACACAGAATAAACGTAAATAATTTTGGTGAACACTTTCTTTAAAAACGCTACCATGATTGCCAAAAGAATACATCAAGAAAATATCAATTATTAAACAGTTGTTAATTAGCAAAGATGGATAGTGGCTAGCAGTGGATTCCAGGACGCGTGTTTCATCCTATTTAGCACTCATCAGCTGGATGCACCTACATCCAAGAGTTATTAATCATCCCGGAACTTAACTCCAGTATCGTTTGCTTCGAACGCCATCGTGTTATCCAATTAACTACTGAATCTGGATAGTAACTGGCTTGTGGAATGGAGTGAAGTTCAATTCATTTGTATTTGTTATCTAAATATTTCCATCGATGTTTGGGACTTCAAGTGATTAGTCTCTATTGGCATATGTGCATTTGTGTTTGAGTCTGTGAGTGATCACCAAATCCAAGATGAAGGTACAGTTAGCTGAGGAGTCAAAAATAGGATAAAACATACATCCTGGGTTCCACTGCTAGCCACAATTCAACTCTGATTATAATGCATGTGAATTTCGAGGCAATCCATATATATGCCAAAAGTGATTGATCATTTGCAATCCTAAGGACCAATGGAAGGATTAATGTAACCAAAACAAGTGAATCATCTTCATAGATGTTTTATTTACAATTAAGAAAAATCTACCACATATCTTATTGATATGAAGAACCAATCAGAAGTAGATTAATGAGAAGGTCAATCGATGGTAACCAGAAATGACCTAAAGGACAGGTGCATTTCATCATCTAAGAAATGTGTCGATTTCCTAAGGATTAAAATGGTATATATATGAATGAGTATTTGAGAATTTCATTCGGTTGCTCAATACACTCCCTCGCTCAGTATAATGCTCTCATCCAAGTAGTCGGTTGAGAGGGGTTAACCCGTAGCACATCATGTATCAGTATCAATTTAATGAATTTGATCATACAATTCTAAGTATATTTAAAGTTTCTAACTAATGTATTATTATCATTATTATTTTCAGTAATATATCACATTGTAGTAGAAATTCATATCATTTCTATGAATGTAACGTGAAAATTTATCTGTTGTGTTAGTGACAGACAATGTGAATTAAAGAAATCTAATCAATTTTTGGTGAGACTATAATTTATGGACTAACCAATCAGGTATAAGATAACAGGTCTCCGATTTTGTCGCGAAATTCACCCATACATCTGGATAAATGGAATTTTGGCATTCTAGCTTATGTCAGTTCATGATGAATACCCTAAATCTAATTTCTAACCTTAACCATCAACTGTAAATCAAAATTTTAATTCCTCACACTGGTTTATAACCTTCATTTGGTCCTAGTTATTAAGTGAATACTCTCAAGGTTAGTCTGGCGTCGCCCAATGGTCGTCCATAAATTATAATCTCATTCAATTTTATATTTACATATATCGTTTGTGGATATTTTTTTAAAGATGGGAACAAATTTTACTACAAAATGAAATCATCTGAAAGATCACTGAGAATCAGGTTATATTAAACAAATTTATCATAATTTTATTCTCTATAATGACTACTATCCAGATAGGTTCTTAAAAGTGTAACAAGAAGCAACTGACCGTTTAATCAACCACGTCGAAGGTAAGACAATGATAATAATCATCAATAAAATTTTATGGTGTTTGTACTATTTTACAAATTTTTAATGGATTCAAAAAAGGAATCAATGAATTTCAGCACAATGGCACATTAGTGTCTAACTACTTTTAGTTATACATAAAGGTTATGAATACTAATTTTGTGTAGTATTGTATGTGTTCATCTTTGTAAACTATCAAACTTGAAAGGAACAATCTTCTATTCCTCTTTAATTCTTAATGATTAATTCATGAATTAAATGAAGCTAGACCAACATGGAAAACCAGAAAGCACTGGACGGCCGTTTATTTCTAATGAGAAGCTATGACTAGTGGAGTTCAACTGTATCTGTTGTGAGATAGTAACTCATTGAAGACAAAGGTGAACAGTGGGTCAATTTCGTGGATTAGTTGAAGTAAGGAATTAACACCGCTGGATGATGGCCGGATCAGTGGTCTAGAGGTTAAGTGATCGCGCCCGAGACGGATAGGTACTGGGTTGGAATCTCGTTGGGCAGGATCGTGGATGCGCACTGATAAGGAATTCCATATAAGGATGAAACAGCCGTCCAATACTTCAAGATTCTCCACTGTAGTCTAGTTTCAATTATTACACTAAATCAAAATCAAACAACATAATGATATTACATCATCAAAAAGTATACAGAAAATAACCAATCATAAAACTTACATTCAATTTCAAATGTTGCTTTTGATTCTAATTTATCAATTTTAATGGAATATTTACCAACATCATCTAATGTAATTTTTAATATTTCTAATTTTTGTATTTTACCATCATCAATAAAACGATATTTACGTAAATTTGATGTATCTAAACGTTTATTATCATAGAACCATTGAACTTTTTGTGGTACTTTAGAAAGATGACATATAAATTCAATTGTTTGTGGAATTTCATTCAAATGAATTGATTCTAATTCTTTGGTTATAATTAATGGAGCATCTGAAAATTAATTAAAAAATAATAGTAAATAATAATACTGTGATGTGAACTACTTATATCCGCATAAGTAGTATATGACGATAGTCACGAATAGAATGTATTTTAGTAGAAAATCGAAAAGAAAGGAATGGAAACGAAGAGCAATTTGTATGAAAATGTAGGAACAATAAAGTCTGAGACGATGGACTGATATTTGCTAAAGAAACTGTCAAGTTTAAGACAACTGATTGATTGCAAATTAAGTATTTTCTGTATGATTCACAGATTTTAATAAGATGTTCTGTAATTTAACTGGTTGTCCCAACTCGTGTTCTTGTTCACTGCAGAACGAATAATAGCAACAATGATAAATGATGTATAGTCAATTTGATTCTGGTCAAAAACATCTCATTCCATAAATAGCTTACAGTTCTTTCATGGATTAATACATTTCAATTCGGCTTGGCGAATATACTTCTTATTCATTATTAGTCTTCTACTTTCATATACTTGGTTGAACTAAGTGTTAGGATGGTTGTGATTGTGACTAGATCAAGTTGGCAGATAATCATAACCGTAACATTGTATAATTTACTCTATAAGGTGACATAATTAATCCTTCAATACTATATGGATCATTACCAATAATAATGTTTCCACAGTCCTTCTAAAATGTTATCATTTCTCGCTAGAAATTATTTTTATTTGTAAAGATCAGTTCTTATACAACACTTAATGAATTGTTAAAACGATCTTGTAATAACTATGCTTATTTATCAGTCCATGAACATATAACTTGTTTCAGTTAAGAATATAGCTCCACAAAAATGAATAAGATCTAAATGTGTACATGATTTTATATAATTTACTGATTCTTAAAATCCATAATCAATTTTTAGTTCAATGTATTCTGGTTCAGAAATTTATTCATGCGACTGAAGACCAGGTTGCCTATGAAGTATTTATAATAAGTCAAATAGTTAAGTAAACCGATTTATATAGCCTAAAATTTGTTTGAATACACTTTTGTAAATAGGTTGACGAAATGAAGTTATGGATTAATGATCTATTTTGTCACTAAAGAAATAAATTAATCCAAGTTCATTGATGTTCGTATGATTCATATGAGAAGTGAGTGGGGATAAATGAAAACTGGCAATGCTTAATTGAGTTACGTTGCCATCCATCCAAAAAAATAAATAAACGTTTAAATTACTTTCATGTGTACAATATTATTTCCACTCAGTGGTTGTACAATGGACTATCATTATATTTACAGAACCCTAAGGACTATATAAAGTAATAGTTTTCAAAGTTACTTATTCGACACACTGTGTGTGGCACTAATTTTTTGGCTTTACATTGAGGATTCAAAGTTGTTATCTTACTGCGTACACTACAATAGTTTAGCCTTAGTGTAAATCCTTTTGTGCAATTATAGTTAAATACAAACATCAGTAAGGAAACAAAAGAGAAAAGAAGTTTGAGCATAGATGTTTACTTCAAAAATTACCTTTCTTTAAGCAAATCCTTTCTGATGGTTTTGATGGTTCACCGACACCTTCTTTATTCAATCCACGAACACGAAATTGATAACGTGTTGAACTATCTAGATTGTTCACGTTCAAGTTGCAATCATCTGGCTTGGTTGTCTTTCCAACTTCTTTCCACTCATTACCATCATCTTCACAAGTTTCAATGATATAATAATCAGCTGGTCCAAAGTCTTCATTCACAGTACCAGGTGTCCAAGTTAAATTGACACTTGATTCATTTAAAGGTTCGACGGTTATAGGACCAGGTTTTCCAGGAACTTTAGGAGCTAAATTAATAAAAAACAATTAAAGAACATAAAACACAGGACAGGCTGCAAAAAAACTTGAAGTGATGTAAATTTTGCTTTTATTCACTGATTCGCTATGCCAATCAGATATAAGTCAAGTGATAAGTGAGAGACGCTGATAGGCGCATACTATTAGTCAAGATTGGCTTCTTTTTCTAAAGAAAGAAACATGTTGCCTTAATTTCCCAGGAAAAAAAGATATAAATTTATGAGTGATTTCAACAAATATTCTTGATCCAGTTTAGCTAATAAAAGCTTTCTGCTTACTCGTGGTTTCTTCATGCAAGCAGCTGGTTGCGCTCACATATATGCGTGCATGTATATCAGTAGTAGAGCGAATAACATTTATGCGTTTAATTCGTTTTGAGAAATAAATCCTAATGGGAAGCCGTGATCACTGGAGTAAAAGATTGTCGGGTGTGAGGAAGGTACCGACTAAAGACAATGGTAAATGGTCACACAATATAGCAAACTGATCGAAATTAGACATTAATACCGTTTCGTGACGGCTCAGTAATCTAGAGGTTTCGCGTTTGCACGTAAGACCAAAGTTCTTGGGTTTGACTTTTAATTGGGAGGTCATGGATGCACACTCCTGAAGAGTCTTGTGCTAGGAAGGAGTGGCCATCCAGTGCTTCCAGGTTTTCAATGGTTGTACACCTTAGATCATTTCGTGATTTCACTGAAATTCAACCATTACCACAACCCTTCATTGACATTATAATTAAATTGGCTTATTTTTAAAATAACTAAAACCACACCTAAAGTGTATACTATTTAGTTGGAAATTATACGAAGCAAAGATAAATTAATATTAGTGTTATTGTCATGCCTCTGAAGTTCTGGCAGTCTTATTCATCGAAAATTATTAATTCTCTCGTGGAAATGAATTATCGAATTTACTTGCTTATTTGAGTCGTAACATTTTCAAAGGCGACTACATTTAATAAATGAATAAAGCCACATAATGCAGTATTTATAGAAGATATAACCAAATTGCCATGTTAGGTATTCTTTAACATTTACTTCAGAGAAATCAGTAAAAATGTAATATATATTTTGCATCACTGTTGTACACGTACTTTGATAAGTACCCTAACAACCTTTAAAATACTTCAGACTGTCGATAGAAATTTGGATAAGAAATAGAATAACTTACGTTTCATTAAGGGTAAACAAGATTCTGATGGCGGACTAAATGGCCCTTTACCAGCCTTATTAACAGCACATACCCGGAATGTATATTGTTTATCAGGTGACAAACCAGTTACTGTAGCTTTCGGTTGAACATTAGGTTCAAATATAATTCCTGAAGTTAGTGAATTCCACTGTGCTCGAGAACCGTAGGTCGATGTACGGCGCTGACCTTTTACAATTGGACGTTCATCCATGCTTTCAATGAAATACTCTGTGATGGGAGAACCACCGTCTGATGAAGGAGGTGTCCATTCCAGTGAAACGCGACCACTTTCTAATATTGTAACCTGAGGTATTCCTGGAGCTTCAGGTGGGTCTATGTTTAAAAAAAAGAACAATGACAATCAATATGGGATATATGTAACACGTACACCTGAATTTTCACCACAAATTTATTCATTATATCTTGTAATTTCTTTTGAGCAAACAAATAAACTACTCCATTCTCAAATAATGCTTATAACAATCATAGACCTAAGAAAATTAACTTACCAAAAGAATACTTCATTAAGAATGCCTGACTTTCAGCAAAGGCGGAATCACCAACTTCATTTCGTGCACAAACTGAGAATATATATTGAGATCCCAGTTTAAGACCATCTATCAATGCTTTCAATTCCTTTGTTACACAAACATTAATTGGTTGACTTGAATATTTGGTTGCATCTCTATAATTAACAACATATTCTAAAGATTCATTTTCATTTACACTAACTGGTACATCCCAATTAAACATGACTGATTTATCTGTAGCATCAGTTATTGCAAGATTTCTTGGTGGAGATGGTTTATCAATAACAATGACATGAATTGTTATGGAAATTTCACCAAGATCATTTGATATTGTAACTTTATATGCTCCACTATCTTCACGTTTTACTCGACTTAAAGGTAATGTAGTTAAACCAGCAACTATATCGGGTTTAAATCTAGGAGTTTGTTCTTGAGTCAAATCAGTGCTTGGTGCCCATGTCCATTTAATTTTAGGTTTTGGTGAAGATATAAATGGAATTTCTAGGATTTTTGAAGTACCAGCCTTTAAAGTAATATGATCTTCAAATTGATCAGATATTCGAATTGTTGGTGGAGCTGTAAACATTTTAAAAAAGAAAACAAGGTTCATTATAAACAACCGTCTGACAATCTTCACCTATAGTTTAAACAATAATAATGAATGAAAAAAACACTGTTTGTCACTGAAAGGAGTACCAAGGAAGTACATCAACCTTATATAGGCTCTCTACTCGAACACAACTCGTCGAGTGAGAGCTTATGGCGAACTGTCATCAAAACTGATTACCTCAAGTGGTGTTCGTCAGGGCTGTCCACTCTCTCCATTCTTGTTTAACTTTGTCGTTGACGTGCTTTTAGAAATAACACTTTCCGCATCTAAATTTCCAGGAGTTGAACTTTTACCGGGAGATTCACTTTTTGACTTAAAGTATGCCGATGACATAGTTCTATTTGGTGAAGACGCTGACAAAATGCAGTCTGCTGACCACTCTAAGCAACAATGCAGGCATGTTCGGGATGCGATTTTCTTCCTCGAAATGCAAAATGTTGCTTCAGGATTGAGTTGCATCGGCACCCGAACTAGTGATAGGGAGTGAAGTAGTTGAGCTTGTCGACCGCTTCACTTATCTTGGAAGTCTCATCAGCCCTTGTGGTCTGGGGTGCGACGAAATCTCAGCACGGATACAGAAGGCTCGACTAGCTTTTGCCAACTTGCGTCATTTGTGGCGTAGGCAAGATATCCGTCTATCAACCAAAGGACGTGTTTACTGCACAGCAGTTCGTTCCGTCCTACTTTATGGCAGTGAAACATGGCCAGTAAGAGTAGAGGATATTCGTAGGTTACTAGTATTTGATCATAGATGCCTTCGAAACATTACTCGTATATCTTGTGACCACTGACTAAGTAACTCAGTTGTTAGGAAACGGGTACTAGGTAAGGATGGCAAATCAATTGATGAAGTAGTGAAACTTCATCAGTTGAGATGGCTGGAACATGTGTTACGTATGCCCGACCACCGACTGCCCCGACGTGCTATGTTTTCTGGTGTAGGAGTGGGTTGGAAGAAAGCTAGGTCGGGCCAGACCAAAACATGGCAGAAATCCATGAAGTCACAAGTGGACTGAGTCATGTTGGTAGGTATAGACTACCTGGTTGGGGTCCGCGAGACGATAGCAACCGATGGTTAGAGATTTTGAATGACATGGTTCAAAATCGTTTGCAATGGCGCAGGTGCATCCACTCCTTGTGTTCTCTCAAACTCTAATCTTCTGTATTCTTCATGTCCTTTATTTTCTTTCCAAATTTATTCCACTGGATTATACTCCTTAAATAACATCATCAAACCCTAATGCTCCCTATCGCTACTTATACTTTCACTACCTCTACCACTACGGGATCTGAATCGATAACTGAATCTCTGTGCTAATGTGGTGTGGCAACTCGAACTGATGTACGTACGTACGAAGTTCCACGTTGTTACTGACTGACAGACTGAGTAATAAATCAGACTATCCCGTAAGTTTGCTGACAATAATGGCTAAATCGAATTCAACAAGTTTAAGATTCTGTAATGAAATACAAGTGTAAAAGCAATACAGACTAATCACAGTAAAGTTTTACTTAAATTTACTATACATATGTATCATATTTTGGCTTTCATCATTCAAATTCATATGAAAACAGATATATAGTTTGATAAATGCGGCTTATTTCAGACTATATTCGTGAAGATTTTAGAGATAAAAAATCTGTTATTTCTTGAAACGTCAATGATAATCACTTGAAAAATACTTCTTAAACTTCTAACTTTTCCAATACTTATCCCATTATAGTTGAATCTCTGATACTTGGTTGATGCTTACTTATGCATACTATTAAAATGAGAATAAAGAGTTCATCAAACCAATTAATCTTAACATAAATAAATAACATGATAGAACATTAGCAAAGATAGATGTTTTAAGCATATAAATTGACTATATGTGGGAATGTATATACTGTTGTCAACAAAATCACACCAAACCTATAGTTTGCTTGTCAATTGTATTCATAAATTAATCTTAACTGTTACTTATCTTCAAATAATTCTACAGTTAATTAGTGGCAAAAGACAAATAGGCTTACTCTATACTTTGCAATGTAAATCTTCTTTATTTTATAACTTTAATTTTGCTATAAATTGATTGAATTTATGTTGAATAAGCCATTGTTTTACAAGTATTTTGTTCTTAATCATTGATTGTTAACATGTATCTGTGTATAAGTGATCCAGTCTATTTATAGTGTATCAAATCAAAGTATAGGTTCTGGAATCGAATCTCACAAGGCAGGATCGTGGATGTGACTGCTGAAGAGTCCCATAGTGGGACGAAACGACCGTTTACTGCTTCCAGGTTTTTCATGATGATCTAGTTACAATTGACTCATCATCTCAACTATTAAAATTACTATGATATCCACAAAAACCCATTCTGATACAGAGTATTATCATGATATCTCGTTATGACTGAAAGCGTGAAAATATCCCGTTACAACAAACATCATATCAGCAATCTTCCGCTTAACAAAATGCTAGATTACTTTGATAGTAAATGAAAGTATGACTTATTAACAAGTACCATTATCAGTATAAAAATGTATAGTAGTAATAACTTCTAAATTTCTTCTAATGGTGTCAATAAAATCAGAACGGGTTTTGTGGATATCATAGTAATTTTAATAGTTGAGATGAGTCAATTGAAGCTAGATCATCATGAAAAACCTGGAAGCATTAAACGGCCGTTTCATCTTACTTTGGGACTCCTCAGCAGTGCTCATTTACGACTCCGCCTCTCAGTATGCCAGCTCAGTGGTGTAGTGGTTAAGAGCTTGCTCGTGAGACTAATAGATCCTCGGTTGGAATCTCGCGAGGTGGGATCGTGGATGCGCACTGCTGAAGAGTCACAAATTAGGACTCAAGTATTAGTAAAAATAAAACTAAAACATGTTAATATTAAACTTGTTGAACTATCCATTTTGCAAGGAGATATCGTTACATAGATACAACGGTTCTTAAATTCATGAATCAATTTAAGCTAGACTATCATTGAAATTTTGGAAGCATTGTAGCAGCACTATTGAAGAGTCTCATACTAGGACGAAACAGACGTAAAATAGTGCTTCTAGGTTTTTTAATGGTAGTCTAGATCAAATCAACTCATGAATTAAACTATTATAATAAAAATGAATCATTTTATTTTTCATGTAACAAACTGGTCCACTGAAATAATTAGCTGATTAATTGTATTGATTATGATTATTATATCATAAGTGATTATTTCATTATTATTATCTTTACCTTTAATTTCTAATTTACATTTTGATGAAATATTCTCTACTTGTATTGCATAATCACCAATATCTGTATCAATTAAATGTGTAAAATGAATTGATTGAATTGTGCCTTGATCAATAAATTTCATATGTGTATCATCGGATCTTATAATTAATGGTTTATTATCTTTTGTCCAAGCTATCATTGTTCTTGGTTTACGTGATAATTCACATTCCAATTTATATTCAATTGGTTCAATGTTAGTTATAATTAAATCTTCTAATTGACGTATAAATTCGAGTAATATACCTGTTAATAAATGAAATTAAAATAATAATAATAATAATAATAATAATAATAATAATAGAAAATATATATGAATAGATTCACTTGGTATAATTTACTCGAATCTCCACATTGATGTTTAGAATTACGATTGATTAGTCTCTTATTGGTATATGTGCATACTCTGCGAATTGCCTCGATATTGCCTTAAGTCACAAGTATTATAAGCAAAGATGGATGGTGGCTAGCAGTGGAATACGGGATGCGTGTTTTGTCCTATTTGAGACTCGTCAGCTGAATGTACCTGCATCTCAGAGTTGCTTATGATGCTTGTGAATTGAGGCAACATTGAGGCACTACGCACATTATGCACATATGCTAACATGAGACTGATCAATTGCAGTGTTAAGCATCAATGAGAAGATTCAAGTAAACAATACTAAGTGAATTTCAACTTGACAATATTGCATAAGCAAGTGTCTATCAGAACTCAGTATCTAAGTTGATAACGCGATGGCGTTTGGATCGAACAATACTGTTTTCGAACTCCAGAGTGAACATCATCTCTGAGAGGCAGGTACATCCAGCTGACAAGTCCCAAATAAGATGAAACGTGTGTCAAATTCGATTCCACTGCTATCCACTATCCATGTTTACTTATATTTAATATAGTTTAATCTAACAACTTATGACTGTATAAATATGGCTCAAAATATAAATATATATTTTCTTGTAGATATGACTTCATTTAACTGAGTTTGAATATTTTACAAATGGTAAAATAATCAAATCGCATAAACCTATTCAGGTGCGTTTCTGAAAAGTGTACAACCTTTCGTTGTACAAGTTATAAAAGTTCTAATATGTAGCGAAAAGAATGTATATTATTGAGATGTCGATTTACTGAACTGCTAATGACTACCTGACGACTACTCAATATTTGTTGTCAGGATCGACCGAGTAGTAAAATACAGAAACTGCTTGAAATACTTTGCGCTGAGAATTCTGTATTGTATCAAAAATATAATATTTTTAAAGTATTAGTTCCGTGAGGACATGTGAAAAAGGAATAAACATACTAACGTAACAGAAATATTATAATGCTTGATTACGTAATATAAATAATAACAATAAAAGATTGTGTGTATACAAATAGAAAGTCTTGTAAAATTAATGATTTGGCAGTCGATTACAATGTAAGTGAAGTCACAATTGATTGATCACTGGGTGGTGACCAATGTCATGTGTGTCTAGTCCTTATTATTAGTACAGATCGAATGTAAGTGATGTAAAATGATTAAAATATTCGGCAAGACCATAATTTATGAACGATCTTTGAACGAAACTTAAGTGATCTTGAAAAATATTAACCAATCAGCAAACAGTCAGTTTAGAGTAAAAATATATTATATAAAATCAAAAAATAAAGTGGATACATTTATACGTGGTTCAAAAACTTGTCAAGGTTAGATAAAGGTTCAGAGGTTCTAAAATCGTAATGCATGCGGTAGAGGACATCATCCATACGGTTACAGAATAGTCGGCCTCTGGAGCCATGATAAGGTCGCAAAAAATACTTCAGCCTTGAACACAGCTTCAATATTGTTTGTATACACTCCGGTTGTTGAGTACACAAAATACTGCTTATGGATAACGACACAATGCACATAACCAAGTCTATGTAGGAGTCTGTACTCTTTCCAACCATTCGTGCATATTGTAGTACATGGCTGTAGCCAATGTTACTGGTGCTTTTATTATCCAGTTCGCAATAATTGTCATAATTTGCTTTAGTTAAGAATTATATATAGATTTTTCATCACAAACTGACAGAAGCTATAATGCCAAAACTCTATTTAGCCAAATGGATGAAAGACTTTCGCGCCGAAATCCGAGATCTGTTATCTTATACCCGATTGGTTCGTCCACAAATTATAGTCTAGCCGAGTTTTCTTATCTATTACAATATATTTTCAATGAAACTATATTATACTGGCTAATCAATGAGATTTTAGGGTCGTGATGTATATTTGAAGTAGAAATGTTGACTTATGCTTAATTTTAATGATGGAGTAATATTTCATCATTTACAAGATACCCAAATTGATCAGAACTATTATAATATGCGATTGTAAATATCAAGTTAAACATAGATAACGTACAAAATAAAGGGATAAAGTATTATTAAGCTTCAATGTAATCTAACTGAAAGTTTGTATGAATGTATACTTTATTTGCTCTATAGAAACTGATGTTACGATAGATCATAATACTGGTGTGATTCATTAGATTCATAGAATATTTAACAGACGTAATTCATATGTCAGCAATACAAAAACATCAGTATTGATGAGGTTTATGTTGTATAGTGTACAGTAATAGGCAAAGATGTATTAACTAGTAATAATAATAGTAATAATAATAATAAAATGAACAGAAACTAACCTAGTTGGATTGAATTCGATGGTTTTGATGGTTCACTTGTACCAGCTTTATTAACAGCTATAACTCTGAAGTCATATGATTTACCAGCGCTCATATTTTCTTTAATTGGAGGAAAATCTAACTTCATACCAGTAACTTCTTTACCACAGATTAATTTATTCCAAACACGTCCTTCATCTACTCTATACTCTACAATGTAATAAAGTGGAGATGATCCAGTAGATGTTTTTGTTGCTGTCTCAGATTCCGACCAATTCACTGTTATCATTTGATCTTCTGGTTCAGCACATGATGGAGATACAGATGCAGTAACATTCAATGGAGGAGTTGGAGGTCCTAAAGACAGTTATAAGATTAAAAGTTATCTATAAAATCATATTCAATTCAACATAAAACTATCGTCTTTCAGTTACTATGACCGACATAAAAAATAGAAATTAAATAGTGAATAAAATAACGTAATGATGAGATAAACAGATATCTATCATTATTAAACTAATTGTATTTACTGGTCAGTAAATTATTCGTAAAATTAGTTCAAAAATTGCAAGTCACGGTAAACATACACTAACTCACCATAATCTAATTTAGTTGAAACTGGTTTCGTTTCTGCAAACTCGGATTGACCAACATCATTCTTCGCTGCAACACTAAACACATACGACTTGTTGATCTGAAGACCGTCAATCCTCACACTCAATTCACTCGTTTTACTCACTCCACGACCAGCACGTTGACTAGACTCACGCATCTCAACCACATACTCCAACAATCCACCAACACCACTCACACTCACATCTGTCGTCGTCGTCGTCGTGGACAAACCAACAAATTCTGGCTCCTTCCAACTCAACAACACACTCTCACCACTGTTCTCACTCACCTCCAAATCACGAGGTACAGATGGCTTGTCAATCACAATCATCTGAATCGTCACAGACACTTCACCCAACTCGTTACTGATCACCACTGTGTAGTCACCGGCATCCTCACGCTTCACCTTACTCACAGGCAATGACGTCAATCCCGACACCACGTCAGCCTTAAATCGTGGACTTTGTACCGGTCCCAATTCACCATCTGGTCGACTTCGCTGTCTCCATGTCCATTCGACTTTTGGTTTAGGACTGGCAGTGAATGGTATTTCGAACACCATAGCACCTCCAGCCTTGATGATCACTCGATCGGAGAACGAATGGGATAATCTCAGTGTTGGCGGAACTGAAATAAAAAGAAAAGTATATTGATGTGTATTCACAAAAGAACATATTTTTCAAGAATATTGCTGGAGTGATATATATATATATAAACTTACCTTTCATTGAAAGTTTTGCCTCGCTTGATAACTTTTCTACTTTTATCGTATAGACACCCAAATCATCATCAGTTAAAGAACGGAACGTAATAGAGTGAATCTTTTGGTTACTTGATTCTTCAATTGATACATGGTTTGGTAAACGACTTAGAGATTTACCATCTTTTAACCATTGTACCTTATCACGTGGTGAACGAGATAATTCACATTCCAATACAACTGGTTTTTCATCAACCTCATTTACAGTAACATCAATCAGCGGACGAACAAATTCTAGTGGAATACCTTAAAAAACAAAGAACAAATTTTTTCAGTGATTTACATAGTGTTATTACTGATGGTAAAGCAATAATAATAATAATAATAATAATAATAATAACAATAATAATAATATAGACATTCTGTCATTCTCAATAATATGTTGATTAGAAAATCACGGTGTGAATATTCTGTAACCTGGTATTATCTTTTCTCGTCGATGCTCATAACTTGATGGTTACGGAAAGACGATCATTTTGCAAATGAAATTTTTCATACAGTTATCCATACAGTTATATTTAGGAGTCAGCATTAGCTACAAATGTGATTATATTGTATAAAGAACAAACACTTTTGTATGTCTCAACAATTATTCTAGCAAAAAAATAAAGAATATACGACAATATACTTAATAAACTTAGATATACAAAACAAAAACAAATCGGTCGATATTCATGTACAAATGAAAATTAGAAAAATCAATACCACCTCAAATTACTGATATATTTACCAGATGAACTACCATTTATCTTTGGTTGGTAATCAGTCAACGAAGTAATCTAGAACGTTCAGTAGTTAGTGCCTACAATCAGATTCTTCAACTGGATGCACAGCTGCAAGTACTGCTGCTTCAGTCTATGCAACATCAATCATCCATTATTACTGACCGATCATTCTTACAGGTCAGTCTAATAGGCGACATGCAATGATCACACTAGTACAGGTTTCTCGTGAGCACTTAATCCATCCTACTCTCCAACTCAATTCCACCTGATTTGGATACATTCATATTGGCCAATAGATAGGTTAAAGCGAAATCACTTGGAATTCGATGCATATAGATAGATACACACACACACACATACACACAGCTATGAAACAAGTGTTTTCACTTACCTAGTTGAACAGCGTTCGATGGTGAAGAAGGTTTACTCTTGCCAGCTTTATTCTCTGATGTTACACGGAACTCATAACTCACAAACTCTTGCAATTTATCAGTAGGAAGTGTGAAGTGTGGTTCGGTGATTGTGAAGTCGGCACTCACGTCCTGCCATCGAGTTGAATCTTCAGGTTTCAATTCGATGTAGAAGTTTGTGACCGGTCCACTGGCAGACACTTGGTCGGTTGGTTGTTCCCACGTCAGTTCTATCGTTTGATCTTTGATAGACGCCTTCTGTGGATTGACGACTGCCTTCACATTGACTGGAGTCATAGGTGGTCCTAGATAGAGAGAGGAACATCAATTAGATTTATTTATCTGTATTAGAATTTTGCAACATATATTCGATTTCATTTGGTTGTTTGAATTAGCGATTTTTTGTAACTTACTGTTCCAACAACAAAAGCATGTTGCTATAACAAGTGGTCATACTAACTTTCAATTTATTAATTATATGAATTTCTTCTGCATTCGTCAAAGGATAACTACTGGGCAAATTTCGTTACGTTTTCCTGTTGTGTTCTAGCTTCAATGGACTTATGATCTCAACCAATGAAATTCGAATATATTTTTTAGTCTTTTATACACTGAATCTTCTAAAGTTAGAGATTGATTGTCAGATAGTAGAAGGCTTTAACCATGACGTTCTTCATGAATCTCTGTCTGTAATCATAATATTCTACATGGTTGAATAACTGACAATATAATAATGACAATAATACTAGATCATTTTACATCTTAATTTGAATGACATGTATGCCACTAGCATAAGTAAACCGATAAACTACTATTGTATAACGAAACAAAGAAGTAGATTAGTAATTTACAGTTCATAAACTCAGATTAACGATTCTTTGAAAATGCTACATTTTTGGGATTGTCATTAAAAGTTAGATTATATTAGTTTTTAAAAATGGTGATCTTTTAAAAATAACAGCATATATAAACACATATATGAATCGGTTATTTCAGTGGGATCCAGGACGCGCGTTTCGTCTTATTTGGGACTCGTCAGCTGGATGTACCTACATCCCACAGTTGATCTTCATTCCGGGACTCGAACACAATACCGTTCGCTTCAAACGCCATTACGTTATGCATTTAGATACAGAGTCTTGATAGCCACTTGCTTGTGCAATGAGTTGATACAAGTGAAAAAACAACATCATTTGAAAATTGATGCATAATTCAATAAAGTGGGTTAACATTAAATTCAGAAGGGGATTTTGTAGATATTATAGTAATTCCAATTGTTGAAATCATAAGTTAATTGAAGCTAGACCATCAGTGAAAACCTGGAGGCACTGAACGGCCATTCCGTCCTATTAATTGCAAAGCGGTTATGTTTCCCTACCACCTATTTATGATAATTTTTAGGGTGTGATTAAAAAAATATAGAAATTGATAAACTTGTTTTTCAAAATGTTTGTTTGTCATTTGTAAATGACAATTGCAAACGTTACTTATTTATAAAGTCTGGAATGATTTTTTAAATCATCGGTTTTTGTTTGTTGTCATATGTAAATACTATTCTTTTAATGTCAAACCCGAAATAGCTAAAGGTTACAAAAATAACCTTTTTTGACAAGTATTTGAAATATTGATTGTACTGTGTAAATGAACAAGCGTACATTTGACCAAATTATACAGCTTAATACGAATAAGGTCAATTGTATCAAATAACATTAAAGTATACTGACGTTTAATTTCAATGTAATAAATAGTGATTGAACGCTCGCGCGCGAGACTGATAGGTCCTGGGTTCAAATCTCGCAAGGCGAGATCGTGGATACGTACTTCTGAAGAACCCCACAATAGAACGAAACGGCCATCTAGTGTTTCTAGGTTTTCCATGGTGGTCTGGTTTCACTTGATTCATGATCCCAACTATTAAAATTACTATAATATCCACAAAAACACCCGATAAAAAAATCAAACGCTGCATTTATTTACCAAAAGTCAAAATGAGAATTTTCACTATATTGAAATATTCTTATTAAATTTTGCATGTACTATTTTTAGATAGATTAGTGTTCATATTAGAAGAGGTTTCGTGGAGATTGTAGTAATTTCAATGTTTATTAGATGATATAGACATTTGATAAAAACGAATAAGTGTATTACTAATACATCAACGATAATCACATTATTATTAATAATCACTATAGCTTAATTAGAATTGATCAGTGTTGGTTCAGTTTACCTAGTGAACTGATCATAGTACATTCCTCTACTGTAACTATATGAAAAAACATAAAAACATTCTGATTAAATTTGATATGTACTATTGTTAGATAGATTAGTATTCATCAGTATAGGCGTTGTGGAGATTATTAAGTTTTTGATTGAGATCATGAACCGATTAATGTTAGACCACCGTTGGAAAACTGGATTGGTTGATGTTAGACACTAATACCATTGGATGCTGGTTTAGTGGTCTAGTAGGTTAAGCGTTCACGCGAGAGACTGAAGGCCCTGGGTTCGAATCCCGCGAGCGGGATCGTGGATGCGCACTGCTGAGGAGTCTCACAATAGGACGAAACGGCCATCTAGTGCTTCCAGGTTTCCAACGGTGGTCTAACATTAATCGGTTCATGATCTCAATCAAAAGGATTAATATTCATTAGATGCGATTTTCTTCCATACGAAATCATTTACTTCAACCGTTTATTTGATAAACTTAGAAAAACGTTTACAAATACATGAGCAATAATCATATGTTTATTATTATTCTCAAATAAATTTTTGATAGCTTCATCACCTGACCTTTGCCATAAAAATAAGGAATTGAAACAAAAGAATTTACATCCAATTATGGGTGGCCCTGAAAAGGGCTTTTATTCGGTCTCTTAACAGTTCAGATTTTCCTGAACGAAGGCGTGACTATGAGTTGGTTATGGCGCCGCACATGGGACAGTGGACTCCATAGACGTGTGGTAATGGGTTTTAAGCACAAAAGAAATGAAGCATTGCATCAACAAAAACCCAAGCACTTCCATCAGTAGGTTCACTTGGCGGCTGCGCAAGATTGCAAATGTCATATAGTTTGTTGTCGTAGGCATGTTCATCATTGTCTCGTTCGGTAAACTCTTCTGAGTTAGTAGAAACAATTTATTCTTCGTCATTACTTAACGTGACATCCAAATCGACGTTACTTTGATAGTTGGTAACTGCTGTCTTTTGGATCAACGGCATTGCAATATCCGTTGAGGTGGAGGCCTCAATCTGAAACTCGGTAGCTTCAGATAAGGTCAACGGCATTGGAGGCATCCTTCCGTAAACCACTTGCTTCACGCAGTTATAGACTAAACGACATTGTTCTTCGGACATACGACTTACTGAAGAATACAATGATTTTTTGACGCTTGGCTGTCCTACTTGGACAGGGAAGTCGTACCTCAGGGAATTGCACTGATGATTGTGATGAACATTCCCACGAACAACCGTTCAATAACCTTCAATAAACTTACAAAAGATGAAAGCCGGACATCGAGTGTTCATTGAAGTCCTTCATGACAAAATATAATAACACTAATCAAATTACCTCCTTCGTCTAATCGGCTGTGAGGGACCGTTAGGTGTTCTGCAGCCATTTCTCCAACATACAAATTTAATATACGACTTCCGATCTCTGTGAAAATGAGAATCTGTCACCGCATAATGACAGTACGTAGCTCTTTCATAAGTTTTGATGGCGCTCTTTAACGCTTTCAGTGATTGGAACGCTACGAGATACAATGTATTCAAGAATATGTTATCCGTTTCTGTGACAACGTGAGGAACGACAGAGTTTGTACTTTGTACGGTACTATCGTCCAATTTTAAGAAATAAATAACCAATAATAACGGATTTAAAACTAGCATTTAATTGGACGAAATGAAATAGAAAATTTCGGAATATGGGATGAAATAATTTTTCAAAAGGGATGAAAAAAATTAAATAAAAAATATACAGAAACAGTAGTGCGTTTAATGATATTGACAGTTGTGCCAATTTATGTTCCACAAATTATTAACAAAATAAAGCGAAGTTGTCATTTTCTAGATGTTTCTGGCAAAACTTCTAGTGAACGCTGATTGAATAAGATGCTTCTCAATGTTTTCAGAGATGTTCTTGGCTTTTTTTCGAGGAGTTTTCCGGATCCACCAACACCTCCTTCATTATCAACTTGTACCCTCTTCCAAGACATTTCTTCACATACTTAATGATACATTCATTTTCCTCATTTTGCCAGATCGTATTATTATTAACAATAGTAATATTGTTATTACTATACCATATAGATCTTAGTGAGACCACCATTACAGTTTTTCATTTCCGTTATGAATGATCTTATCTTCACATTGATAACTTCGCTATATTTTGTTAGTAAATTGTGGTACATAAGACTCAGTTGACATGAAGTTTGCCATTTTCAATTTATAATAAGGATTAATTCAACTTTAAGACATTATCTGTTGTTCAAAGATGATAATCTTAGATTTATAACCACAGAACCAGATGAAAGAGTTATTGAAAACAGTTGTTCACTTTGATATTCTTTGTTATTTAAGAAATCTGTGTATACGAATGTACAATAACGAAACTTATTCAGATAAAAAAATGAATTATTTGCTAAACATTTATCACACAAGATATTCAGTCCTATATATTCAAATTCAAGAATTCAAGTCGAGAAATCTACTTGAAAGTACACAATATAGATGTCTAAATAGGAAGTAAGCGACGTATGTGTGCATAACAAAAAACTTCATAATAATCAAAAAAATCATATGAACAAAACTATTGGCTTAAGAGTCAGGTCATTCGTCAGAATGATAAAAAACATTAGACTGGATTATTATTTGACACACGACTAAATGAAATAGCAACTGGATGAAATGCAATTTTACGGTGACAATGTTATGAATACAGTAAAACCATAATTACCAGATTGAAAAGAAGTTACTGAGATTATGATTCAAACTGACGCGGTATACATATACTAACTCACCATAATCTAATTTAGTTGAAACTGGTTTCGTTTCTGCAAACTCGGATTGACCAACATCATTCTTCGCTGCAACACTAAACACATACGACTTGTTGATCTGAAGACCGTCAATCCTCACACTCAATTCACTCGTTTTACTCACTCCACGACCAGCACGTTGACTAGACTCACGCATCTCAACCACATACTCCAACAATCCACCAACACCACTCACACTCACATCTGTCGTCGTCGTGGACAAACCAACAAATTCTGGCTCCTTCCAACTCAACAACACACTCTCACCACTGTTCTCACTCACCTCCAAATCACGAGGTACAGATGGCTTGTCAATCACAATCATCTGAATCGTCACAGACACTTCACCCAACTCGTTACTGATCACCACTGTGTAGTCACCGGCATCCTCACGCTTCACCTTACTCACAGGCAATGATGTCAATCCCGACACCACGTCAGCCTTAAATCGTGGACTTTGTACCGGTCCCAATTCACCATCTGGTCGACTTCGCTGTCTCCATGTCCATTCGACTTTTGGTTTAGGACTGGCAGTGAATGGTATTTCGAACACCATAGCACCTCCAGCCTTGATGATCACTCGATCGGAGAACGAATCGGATAATCTCAATGTTGGTGGAACTGTAAATTTACAAAGGTATGTGTTTATTAAGAAGAAGATTATGTCCATGAAAATGCAGGTTCGTTATTTAACCGTTTTTGTGTCTTCTTCTCATATAATATTTGCTCAAATATATTTGCAAAACTGTTTATTTTCATTCAGTCATTATACTGAGAGTTAATTATCACGAAATAAGTTGTCCAGCGGAAATAGTTGAGGCTAGTTCATTGGTTGGATTTATCATTTATCTTTATGATAAATAGTGTTTATGAGTAGAAAGCCTTTGATATTGGCATTGTATTTGTATAGAGTCATTAGCCCTCCATATCTAAAACTTTTGTGGATCAGGTTTCATTTCTTTACCAATACGCACTGATACAATTGATAGCATTTCGAATGAAATATTCTGGCACTGGATAATCTGTGGGTAATTGGATTTTTTCCATCTGACCTACCTTTTAGTCAGTTTATTGTAAGAGTGAATCATTTTGTAATGAATGGAAATAGTATGATAAATGTGCTTAGTCATCTTAAAACTACACAATATTGTCATCACACATCAATCTAGAATTTGATTTGCCGAAAAGAAAGTTTTGGAAGATATGATAAACCGAACTAAAATACAGTTTATATATATTAAGTCAAGGAAATATATACAGTCTATAGAATACCACGTAACTAAAGCTAAAATCGTCAGCCGAAAATACATGATGGATATACAACAATTCTTTGCATGATGGAACAATAGAGTATCACCATCTTTATGACTAAATCTTTGTATACACTAATCAAATGATAACCTTAACTATATACATTGCAGCTTCTAGTTTTACATATTAGTAAAGATGTGAATAATCTACTGGAATAACAATTTAGATTCTACATTTAATAATAAAACTGATTTATGGACAAAGTTGATCGTTATTTTGAGTTCTTTTTCCCAGGTTGGACGCCGGCCGGCTCAGTGGTCTAGTGGTTAAGTGCTGGCGCGCGAGACTGATAGGTCCTGAGTTGGAGTCTCGCGAGGCGGGATCGTGGATGCTCAGTGGTGGTGAAACCCACAATAGGACGAAACGGCCATCCAGTGCTTCCAGGTTTTAAATGACGGTCTAACTTCAACTGACTCATGATCTCAACCATTAAAATTATATGAACAATAATATAAAAGGTTAACTGAAATATGATGATTCTAACGATTTTATAAATTGTAGAGTTTAAGTATAACGCCAATCAAGTAAATAAAAAAATGAATAGATTCATATACAGATACAAACTATATTCAGATTTTTTAAAGTTATTGAATATACCTTTCATATCTAGTCGACATTCACTAGATAACTTCTCAACACGTAAGCTATATACACCCAAATCATCATCGATTAATGAATTGAACTTCACACGATGGATTCTTCCATTCTCCAACTCCTCAATTATCACACGGTCTGGTAGACGACCAATAGGTTTCCCATCCTTCAACCATTGTACTTTATCACGAGGAGTACGAGATAGTTCACACTCAAGGATGACTGGTTCATTGGTTACTTTATCAACAGTCAAGTCAGTTAGTGATCGTATAAATTCGAGTGGAATACCTAGAAACAATGAGAGAAATCCAGAGATATAAAATGTTTGTGATTTGTGTTGTTTCATTTTATATTACTGATAAATAGGACAAAGAACTTTGACGAACAAAACGACAATTAGTAGAGTTCTGTAGTAAATTTTCAACTTTTGAATATTTTTTTTTCTAACATATAGGTGGAAAACTAACCTTTTTATGAATCATTCTGTGTAGATAAAAAGCTCAATGAAATATCAGCTTGCAAAGTAGATTTTGCAACATTGCACAAATGTATATGACATGTACAAAAACTTATTTTTGTAATTAATGTTTGTTACTTCCCATAAATGTTTAAGAATGCAATTGATCAGTCTTTTATTAGCATATGTGACTGAAAGTAATATCGAGACAATCCCAACAGGATGCACATATGCCAATAAAAGACTGATCAGTTGCACTCTTAAACATCTATGAAAAGATTCAAACAACCAATACAAAAATGAATTAAATTATACCTCATTGTACAAGTTAGTAGTTAATCGGACTCAGTTGCTAAGTGGATAACGTGATGGCGGTTGAAGCGAAAGATACTGGGTTTGAGTCTCGGAATGAACAGGTAGGCACATCCGGCTTAAGAGTTCTAAATAGGGCGAAACGCGCGTCCTGGACTTCAGTGCTAGCCATCAGATATCTCTGTTTATAAGAAACTTAATCTGGCGCAAGCTTTGTGGTATTTGGTATTTGCCAGTAAAGGAAAACCGTAATGTTAAAAAAACTGATAATCCGTAAGGGGTACGATCAGGCGTCACTCAACGTCAAAGTTTGAATTGTTATCAGTGAGCTATTACGGAATAAACTGATGTCCTGTAGGACCGATATACCTAAAGTTGATTGATTACTGAATAGCAACCAATGTGATATATGTCTAGACATTAAGGTTGATTGAATTCTTACATGCAGAGATTTCCAGTGACCGTCTCTGGCATCCTAAAATCTCAAATAATGTATCCGATGTTGAGTTACGCAGACTAGTATCCATACTGCAATTCAATCGACATAACTTGATCATTAAGAAATGACAGGACAAACATAAAATTGGTTATGCATTGACTAATTGGTCATAAACCTAGCTTAATACATGTCTTAGAAATTCGTAAATGAAATTTAACCAACAGAGAAAACATAACATTAAGTAAACGCTTATTATGTTACAGAATACTGTAGTTTTAGGAAATAAAATACACGTGTCGCATGATCGGAAGCAGTTCTTAGAACAACTTGGTTATTAATTTACAAACAGGACGTTCATAATGTTTCGGAAAGTCGTTTACATGGTAAAGACAAAAATACTAAATAAGAGAACTCAACAAACTCAAACATAGAACTCACCTAATCGTATTGCATTTGACGGTGAAGAAGGTTTACTCTTGCCAGCTTTATTCTCTGATGTTACACGGAACTCATAACTCACAAACTCTTGCAATTTATCAGTAGGAAGTGTGAAGTGTGGTTCGGTGATTGTGAAGTCGGCACTCACGTCCTGCCATCGAGTTGAATCTTCAGGTTTCAATTCGATGTAGAAGTTTGTGACCGGTCCACTGGCAGACACTTGGTCGGTTGGTTGTTCCCACGTCAGTTCTATCGTTTGATCTTTGATAGACGCCTTCTGTGGATTGACAACTGCCTTCACATTGACTGGACTTAGTGGTGGACCTTGTATTTTAAAGATGAATTTTAGTAAATATCAAGATTTTGTAAGCTTAAATTCAAGCTAATGAATAAAAATCAATAATAATCCTTCCTACCATATTTCTAGATACACATACTTTGTGAAAATTGTTTTGTACAGTTTTGCCACAAGAAAAGTGAAACTTGACTGGATTCCTGGTACCGCTTTTTCGATTCTGCATTACATCCACATCAGTGACTCATTTTAGTGTGCTTGTTATATATATAAAGTTATTTAGTGAATAATTTTGACTCATTAGCGTTCAATGGGAAAATGATTAGTTAATCTTTTTTCCCGTGTTTATTCTATTATTCTATGTTCTTTAGGCAGTTCCTTAACACTTTTAAAGATTAATTATCAAAGAGGTCTTCGGGAAAGTTAAACATGTATTGGGATCTACTCAATTTATTCTGAAGTAGGGTAACCCGGAGTTACAAATTCACAATATCAAGAAGAGGAATGGAAAGGAAATTGGGAAATTCATGAAGGTATTCTTTATAACTTTCTGATAAGTGGTATGAAAATGAGTGAAATTTGCGTTGAGAATTAATTTTAGGTACGTTCGATAGTTGAGTTAATGTTATTATTGTTAATGGCGTAGCCAAATTCATACAATACATGCGTTTCTAAATAATTTGTGGAACGCTGTATAAGCTTGTTGTCAGTAACGGGTTTGTTGATTAGAGATTGTGATCTATTGGAATATTGTTAGTCCAATGAAAAATCACTTGAAATTTTTGTAAACATAGATATTTCTTGATGTGGATAACCAAATCAGTGTTATTTATTACTTGGCAAGCATATTTTAATTTATTCTCATAACTTCCGAGAGAATAAAGGGATTAACCTAGGTAGGCTAAAAAAAAAATGATCAAATAAGCTAATAGCGAACTTAAGTCATCAAGTGATCGCAGGCTAAAATATCAAACCGATTGGTTTAAAAAAAATGTTTATTTGTTCTAAAAAACACTAGTTCCCAGTTGTCTTTATGATATGATGGAAAGAAAAGTCAATTTTCGATTGATTTACTCATTATGAGTTCTGTTCAAGATTACTCCTCTTTGGATTACTCAATGTAGTATTTGTTTTATTTTTTCATATGATATTTTATCCTGTATAATATATGATATTCTTGTATCCAATTTACATGAACTATGCTCAGTATATGATCTGTTATAACTCTGAGTATTTTTCACATATATGATTTCATCCTAATTGTTAATCAAAATGGGTGTACAATCAATATATAAATGAGTGTATTTTCTACTGGGATTATCATTATTATTATTATCGTCGTCGTCACCATAGTGTTTTGGGGCTAATCAATCTTCGCTTATACCAGTCTTTTTGTTCTTACTTTCGCATCGTGGGAATTTCAGAGGTCCTTCGTCTCGAGAATAAGTGATTAGCGTTTTTTTCCGGCACAGCAATCAGCGGCGATCAGACATAACATTTTATGAGAACTACTGAAAATGTGTTTGATTAATAAAACCTTAAGTAGCATGAATCATTTATTAAGAAATATTTTACTTTTAGTGGTACAACTCATAAACACTTGTAGTCGGATTATTGATGCATAAAAGATCTAGAATATAGAACTTGAAATAACTAAGGAAAACAATACTAATTTGAATAGAAAAATACTTACCATAATCTAATTTAGTTGAAACTGGTTTCGTTTCTGCAAACTCGGATTGACCAACATCATTCTTCGCTGCAACACTAAACACATACGACTTGTTGATCTGAAGACCGTCAATCCTCACACTCAATTCACTCGTTTTACTCACTCCACGACCAGCACGTTGACTAGACTCACGCATCTCAACCACATACTCCAACAATCCACCAACACCACTCACACTCACATCTGTCGTCGTCGTCGTCGTGGACAAACCAACAAATTCTGGCTCCTTCCAACTCAACAACACACTCTCACCACTGTTCTCACTCACCTCCAAATCACGAGGTACAGATGGCTTGTCAATCACAATCATCTGAATCGTCACAGACACTTCACCCAACTCGTTACTGATCACCACTGTGTAGTCACCGGCATCCTCACGCTTCACCTTACTCACAGGCAATGATGTCAATCCCGACACCACGTCAGCCTTAAATCGTGGACTTTGTACCGGTCCCAATTCACCATCTGGTCGACTTCGCTGTCTCCATGTCCATTCGACTTTTGGTTTAGGACTGGCAGTGAATGGTATTTCGAACACCATAGCACCTCCAGCCTTGATGATCACTCGATCGGAGAACGAATCGGATAATCTCAATGTTGGCGGTACTATTAGTATATATAAAGCAAATGAGTACTTAAGTACCAGTTTTAAAAAATACTTTAAGTAATAAAATGTCTATCTATTAGTTAACAAAATGCATGTTACTCAGTGTTTGATTTCAACGTTTTGGAGTTACGAATGTATGATTCATAATGTGGATATGTTTGAATATACTATGCTCCATGTATTTTTTACAAGAGGATTTTTTTTGACTCTTTGAAGTGAAACGTTGATTATTATTATTATTATTATTATTATTATTATTATTATTATTATACTGTCTCCGAATCAACTTCAATATTAGTATGAAAAATGTCAATTTGAAGATATTTATTCCATTTACCATTCTAGGTGAATCAGAAAAATACTAAAATACACTTCTTCAATATGTACCCTTATGTTCAGAATAAGCGATTAAAAGCAATATCATAATTTTAGGAATAAAATATGACTTGGTCTAGGAAAGGGGCTTGAAGAGATGGAGTTTTCGAATAGGAGGGAATGGTGTTTTGAATTGCAAAGCACATCTAGACTGAATAACAAATCGATCTTATATATTATTGAGCGAGTTTTTGAGTTTGAATAAATAGTGTGATATGGTTTGATTACCTTATCTGACTTTTCAGGCAGCCTGTCTGGTAGGTTGGGTATGAGTAAGAGTACTGTGTAGACATATGATAATTAGGCATAAGCAACAATCAATATTGATCTAATAATAGTAGTAATAAGATTAGGATTTATAGCACACATCACTTGAATTTGATTGGTATAATTTTTGATCGAGAATGTAGTTTTTTACTCTGAGCACTACTATGTAACTCATATAAAGACGTTTACAACAAATTAAAAAACTTCGCACACCAAATTTATGGACATACCTTTCATATCTAGTCGACATTCACTAGATAACTTCTCAACACGTAAACTATATACACCCAAATCATCATCGATTAATGAAGTGAACTTCACACGATGGATTCTTCCATTCTCCAACTCCTCAATTATCACACGGTCTGGTAGACGACCAATAGGTTTCCCATCCTTCAACCATTGTACTTTATCACGAGGAGTACGAGATAGTTCACACTCAAGGATGACTGGTTCATTGGTTACTTTATCAACAGTCAAGTCAGTTAGTGGTCGTATAAATTCGAGTGGAATACCTAGAAACAATGAGAGAAATCCAGAGATATAAAGTGTTTGTGATTTGTGTTTATTTTTCATTTTCAATCAATGATGAGTATCATATTTACTTCGTGAAATAAAATTCGATGAAAGAGTACTTGGGGTTCTGAAGTAAATATTTAAGAGGTATTTCCTGGAGTTCTAGTGAGAAGCAGTGATCAGTGGAGTTCAACCAGGTCTGTTGTGAGATAGTAAATCACTGAAGATACTAGTGGATGTGTCGCTTAATTTCGTGGATGAGTTGAGGTTAAACATTAACACCGTTAGATGCCGGTCGGCCCAGATTTGTAGATGTTAAGTGTTCAGGCTCGAGACCGATAGGTCCTGTGTTCTCGTCCCGCGTTCGGGATCGCGGGTCTAGCTTCATTTGACTTATGATCTCAACCATTGAAATATTCGATTTTTAATTGTTATCCAAAGATATATTCTGTAAGTGATTTAATAATTATTTTATGATAACCCACATATTTATTGTTGTCGTATAACTTATATTTCTGAAGTTATATTTATATTTACACATACATTTTAACATATAAAGTCTCAGAGACAGATGGGCGGACAAAAATATGTTTCATTTCTTTTCGTTTTTCATGCCATTACAGCTATTTCCAGTATATGTTGTATATAAGATTTTGAATAAACTATGTTTTGCTGAGGCAGTGACAATAAAAGATCAGAAGCTGTAAGTATAGGGTTTTGAAGACTGTTGAGCCGTTTTAAGTTAAATAAGCACTGAAAACTTGGAAGAACTAGACGGTCGTTTAACCTTAGTATAGGACTTCTGAGCAGTGCACATCTACGACCCCACATGCAGGAAGTTTTACAGTTCGCGCATCTGGGGTTGAGGATTTACACTGTCGTGGAGTCCTACACTGAAGTCAAATGATTGTCCAGTGCTTACGTGTTTTCAGTGGTTATTTTACTTAAATCGGTTCAGGATGTCGGTGAGATCAGAAACTAATATATATATATAATGAAAGACACATAAATCACTCTCAATTTGATGTCACCCATTCATTTTCATAACCTGGATTTCAGTGTCATATTACTTATTTCTTATTCGATTGTTACTAAGCTAATAAAATTTATATTTAATTAAAACACCAATTACAACATAATGCTTTGATTTGCAAAAATCATGTTTTTAACGGCTCCTCAGTTGTTATTTCTAAAATATTCATTAGCACAACAAATATAGACAACAATTAAAGTAACTACTAAAATTATCTACCATTTTCAGATTTCATCATCATATAAAAAAGAATTCGTAATTAAAGATTTGTCGAATAAATTGTGTATACTACATAAACGACTCGTAGATAGAAGTCAAATCTGAGGTGAACTACCTAGAACTTGTCAGTTTGACGTACAAGAACTATAGTACTAATATTTCAGAGCTAACATGTTACCATCTAGTCACTGAGTACAGAAAAATAATCGGCATTAAGAAGGTTATAAATTAACATAAAATTACAATAGATTGCATTAGATAAAATTTGAAATTTTCACTAAATTATGATTACTTTAGATACGAGGCAAATGTCTTGTGAATACTACATGAAAGAGAGATATTGTTGTAAAATGAAAAAAATACTAGCAAATTGAGGCAGAAAAATATAAACGGGCAGAAAAACAAAACAAATAAGCACAAAAAATTAGGTAAACAAAAAAGATCAGTAGTTAGTTCCTACAATCAGATTCTTCAACTGGATGCACAGCTGAAAGTACTGCTGCTTCAGTCTATGCAACATCAATCATCCATTATTACTGACCGATCATTCTTACAGGTCAGTCTAATAGGCGACATGCAATGATCACACTAGTACAGGTTTCTCGTGAGCACTTAATCCATCCTACTCTCCAACTCAATTCCACCTGATTTGGATACATTCATATTGGCCAATAGATAGGTTAAAGCGAAATCACTTGGAATTCGATGCATATAGATAGGTACACACACACACACACATACACACAGCTATGAAACAAGTGTTTTCACTTACCTAGTTGAACAGCGTTCGATGGTGAAGAAGGTTTACTCTTGCCAGCTTTATTCTCTGATGTTACACGGAACTCATAACTCACAAACTCTTGCAATTTATCAGTAGGAAGTGTGAAGTGTGGTTCGGTGATTGTGAAGTCGGCACTCACGTCCTGCCATCGAGTTGAATCTTCAGGTTTCAATTCGATGTAGAAGTTTGTGACCGGTCCACTGGCAGACACTTGGTCGGTTGGTTGTTCCCACGTCAGTTCTATCGTTTGATCTTTGATAGACGCCTTCTGTGGATTGACGACTGCCTTCACATTGACTGGACTCGGTGGTGGACCTAGTGATTTCAGAAAGCATTCAAATTACATTCAAAATGTCGCCCACAGTGTTGGATAATCAGCGACAATATTACACATATATCAACTTCGTCTGACTTCAAAATATACTTAGTATCGTTAATAGAGCAGAAAAGTAGGTGGACCATCTTTGACGGGTGTTCAATTCTGCTCAGGTGAAACAAACACTCCAACACTAATTACAATTAAGAAATTTTTGCATCAAACCACTCAACCACAGTTTGCAGATCATACTCTAAAGCTTACAATTGAGACGAAACAGAGTGAAGAGTGACAAACTGCTCGCGTGCTAGAATATTTAATGAACATAGACGAATTGTGTCTATGCATCATCGACAACACTAAAGATGACCACCAACAAATCTACGTGTTTTCAACATGCCTGTGTTGTTGGAATATTGATCTATGTGAGTAGCTGAATGTACACCATGAAACTTGTAATAGATTTTTGGTGAGAGCAGAGTTGTCTAAACGCCAAACGGACGTTCCAATCGTCTCATACTCAACTCGACAACATTGTGTTTAGAGTACCTCAGCATAGACAGTTGAACGACTGAAACAACTCTGAATTCATACATAGATATCTGTAAGGAACCGTCTGACATTCTTTCTAACCGGAAATCAATGGACCTCAATGATATTTTGGATCGATTCAATGATTTTCGCTACTCAATTCAGTTCACATTCAGAGCAGAGGTGAACGAGGAATTTCATTTTCTTGGTGTTCGGTTGAAAAAACTTCAAAATCAATTGAAAGGTAAATTCAAGCATTGTCCGTTTGAAAGCCTTATCCAAGTACTTTTGCTGAGTTCTTTCGAGTAACAACATGCTTTGTCGACAAGGTCAATAGTCTCGAAAATCCAATCATAAACAAAACTATACAATACAAACACAAACTTACCATATTCCAACTTCGTCGAAACTGGACTCGTTTCAGCGAATTCCGACTGACCGACATCATTTTTAGCTGCAACACTAAACACATAGGACTTGTTCACTTGCAATTTGTCTATAAGAGTATTCAATTCACTCGTCACTGTCACCGACCTACTCGCACGTTGAGTTGACTCACGCATCTCGACAACGTAACTCAATCCATCACTAACTCCTACATCAGGATGAAGACCGAGGAATTCTGGTTCCGTCCAACTGAACAAAACACTCTCACCAGTGTTATCACTCGCAACTAAATTACGAGGTACAGACGGTTTGTCCAATACAATCAACTCAATGCTCACTGTCACCTCGCCCAATTCATTACTGATGACCACACTGTACTCACCAGCATCTTCACGCTTCACCTTACTCACTGGAAGTGATGTCAGTCCGGACACCACGTCAGCCTTAAATCGTGGAGTCTGAGCTGATCCCAACTCCGCATCAGGACGTGTTCTTGGCCTCCATGACCAGGTCACTGTCGGTTTCGGACTGGCGACGAATGGTATTTCGAAGACGGCCGCCTCTCCTGCCTTCATGATGACTTTGTCAGAGAATGATTCCGACAGCTTCAGTGTTGGTGCAACTGTAAGTGGACAGAAAATTCAACAACATTTTTCATTCTAATATTCAACATGTATTATTAGCGTTACTACTTACAATAATTTCAAACATAAGAAGAAAGGAGACAAGCTAGAAGACAATTATTTTGTTTCTGTTAAGAAAATTTAAATATATCAAATAAAAATGAGTCTTCAATAGTTAAATATAACTTCAGTTGAAAAATAAAATAGAGAATAATAAAATCGAGACTCCTTATGAGCTTCATTAACAGTAATTAATAACTCACTCTTCATATCCACTCGTGCTTCACTTGTCAAATTCTCTACTTTCACAGAATAAACACCTAGATCTTCCTCTGTCAATGGACTGAAGATAATTCTGTGAACTTTCCCATTCTCCAACTCTTCAACTTTTATTCTACTCGACAGTCTGCTGGGTAGTGCTTTTCCATCCTTAAACCATTGGATCTTGTCACGTGGAGTTCGAGATAGTTCACATTCAAGTATGACTGGTTCATTTGTCACTGTGCCGACAGTTATATCCGTCAACGGGCGAATGAATTCTAACGGTATACCTAGATGAAATGAATAACAACTGTATTAGAATATGGAAAAGAAGATTTCGCGCTTGCTACTACTTATGAAAGTGGTGTTGGTTGTGTTTTGAAATGTGATCACATTACTAATAAACAAACCGAATATAGAAATGACTTGAAATCAACTAAGTATAATACTATTTGGTGAGTATTAAGCTTGAATGTAGCATTCCAGTAGTCTATTACACAAATCTAAATGCATTCAATAAACAGATGGATTGTTAAACAAGGTAATAGGCACATCCAAATCAGTCTCTCAACTCTCCATCACCAGTGGTATATGCTGCCCATGACATTCAGATTCCGCATCAAGATATGGCATCACTTCAAAATACCAATAACGTGTGATACTCTGAGATCATTTTCCACATCTTTCAGTGATTCGGTGAGTAGCAAACATTGACATGAGTAGATTCCACACTGATACATTCATCCAGAACCACTTATACATTACAGAATAATATCTAAATTTCAAACTCAATGACTATCACAGCTCCCAAACGCCCATTATTTGGATTTGATCATGTGCAAATTAACGATATTCATGTACAATTAAAAATTAGACAAATCAATACCACCTCAAATTACCCATTATTTCGTTCGTCATAAAGATCACTGATATATTTGCCAGATGAACTACCATTTATCTTTGGTTGGTAATCAGTCAACGAAGTAATCTAGAACGTTCAGTAGTTAGTGCCTACAATCAGATTCTTCAACTGGATGCACAGCTGAAAGTACTGCTGCTTCAGTCTATGCAACATCAATCATCCATTATTACTGACCGATCATTCTTACAGGTCAGTCTAATAGGCGACATGCAATGATCACACTAGTACAGGTTTCTCGTGAGCACTTAATCCATCCTACTCTCCAACTCAATTCCACCTGATTTGGATACATTCATATTGGCCAATAGATAGGTTAAAGCGAAATCACTTGGAATTCGATGCATATAGATAGGTACACACACACACACACATACACACAGCTATGAAACAAGTGTTTTCACTTACCTAGTTGAACAGCGTTCGATGGTGAAGAAGGTTTACTCTTGCCAGCTTTATTCTCTGATGTTACACGGAACTCATAACTCACAAACTCTTGCAATTTATCAGTAGGAAGTGTGAAGTGTGGTTCGGTGATTGTGAAGTCGGCACTCACGTCCTGCCATCGAGTTGAATCTTCAGGTTTCAATTCGATGTAGAAGTTTGTGACCGGTCCACTGGCAGACACTTGGTCGGTTGGTTGTTCCCACGTCAGTTCTATCGTTTGATCTTTGATAGACGCCTTCTGTGGATTGACGACTGCCTTCACATTGACTGGACTCGGTGGTGGACCTAGTGATTTCAGAAAGCATTCAAATTACATTCAAAATGTCGCCCACAGTGTTGGATAATCAGCGACAATATTACACATATATCAACTTCGTCTGACTTCAAAATATACTTAGTATCGTTAATAGAGCAGAAAAGTAGGTGGACCATCTTTGACGGGTGTTCAATTCTGCTCAGGTGAAACAAACACTCCAACACTAATTACAATTAAGAAATTTTTGCATCAAACCACTCAACCACAGTTTGCAGATCATACTCTAAAGCTTACAATTGAGACGAAACAGAGTGAAGAGTGACAAACTGCTCGCGTGCTAGAATATTTAATGAACATAGACGAATTGTGTCTATGCATCATCGACAACACTAAAGATGACCACCAACAAATCTACGTGTTTTCAACATGCCTGTGTTGTTGGAATATTGATCTATGTGAGTAGCTGAATGTACACCATGAAACTTGTAATAGATTTTTGGTGAGAGCAGAGTTGTCTAAACGCCAAACGGACGTTCCAATCGTCTCATACTCAACTCGACAACATTGTGTTTAGAGTACCTCAGCATAGACAGTTGAACGACTGAAACAACTCTGAATTCATACATAGATATCTGTAAGGAACCGTCTGACATTCTTTCTAACCGGAAATCAATGGACCTCAACGATATTTTGGATCGATTCAATGATTTTCGCTACTCAATTCAGTTCACATTCAGAGCAGAGGTGAACGAGGAATTTCATTTTCTTGGTGTTCGGTTGAAAAAACTTCAAAATCAATTGAAAGGTAAATTCAAGCATTGTCCGTTTGAAAGCCTTATCCAAGTACTTTTGCTGAGTTCTTTCGAGTAACAACATGCTTTGTCGACAAGGTCAATAGTCTCGAAAATCCAATCATAAACAAAACTATACAATACAAACACAAACTTACCATATTCCAACTTCGTCGAAACTGGACTCGTTTCAGCGAATTCCGACTGACCGACATCATTTTTAGCTGCAACACTAAACACATAGGACTTGTTCACTTGCAATTTGTCTATAAGAGTATTCAATTCACTCGTCACTGTCACCGACCTACTCGCACGTTGAGTTGACTCACGCATCTCGACAACGTAACTCAATCCATCACTAACTCCTACATCAGGATGAAGACCGAGGAATTCTGGTTCCGTCCAACTGAACAAAACACTCTCACCAGTGTTATCACTCGCAACTAAATTACGAGGTACAGACGGTTTGTCCAATACAATCAACTCAATGCTCACTGTCACCTCGCCCAATTCATTACTGATGACCACACTGTACTCACCAGCATCTTCACGCTTCACCTTACTCACTGGAAGTGATGTCAGTCCGGACACCACGTCAGCCTTAAATCGTGGAGTCTGAGCTGATCCCAACTCCGCATCAGGACGTGTTCTTGGCCTCCATGACCAGGTCACTGTCGGTTTCGGACTGGCGACGAATGGTATTTCGAAGACGGCCGCCTCTCCTGCCTTCATGATGACTTTGTCAGAGAATGATTCCGACAGCTTCAGTGTTGGTGCAACTGTAAGTGGACAGAAAATTCAACAACATTTTTCATTCTAATATTCAACATGTATTATTAGCGTTACTACTTACAATAATTTCAAACATAAGAAGAAAGGAGACAAGCTAGAAGACAATTATTTTGTTTCTGTTAAGAAAATTTAAATATATCAAATAAAAATGAGTCTTCAATAGTTAAATATAACTTCAGTTGAAAAATAAAATAGAGAATAATAAAATCGAGACTCCTTATGAGCTTCATTAACAGTAATTAATAACTCACTCTTCATATCCACTCGTGCTTCACTTGTCAAATTCTCTACTTTCACAGAATAAACACCTAGATCTTCCTCTGTCAATGGACTGAAGATAATTCTGTGAACTTTCCCATTCTCCAACTCTTCAACTTTTATTCTACTCGACAGTCTGCTGGGTAGTGCTTTTCCATCCTTAAACCATTGGATCTTGTCACGTGGAGTTCGAGATAGTTCACATTCAAGTATGACTGGTTCATTTGTCACTGTGCCGACAGTTATATCCGTCAACGGGCGAATGAATTCTAACGGTATACCTAGATGAAATGAATAACAACTGTATTAGAATATGGAAAAGAAGATTTCGCGCTTGCTACTACTTATGAAAGTGGTGTTGGTTGTGTTTTGAAATGTGATCACATTACTAATAAACAAACCGAATATAGAAATGACTTGAAATCAACTAAGTATAATACTATTTGGTGAGTATTAAGCTTGAATGTAGCATTCCAGTAGTCTATTACACAAATCTAAATGCATTCAATAAACAGATGGATTGTTAAACAAGGTAATAGGCACATCCAAATCAGTCTCTCAACTCTCCATCACCAGTGGTATATGCTGCCCATGACATTCAGATTCCGCATCAAGATATGGCATCACTTCAAAATACCAATAACGTGTGATACTCTGAGATCATTTTCCACATCTTTCAGTGATTCGGTGAGTAGCAAACATTGACATGAGTAGATTCCACACTGATACATTCATCCAGAACCACTTATACATTACAGAATAATATCTAAATTTCAAACTCAATGACTATCACAGCTCCCAAACGCCCATTATTTGGATTTGATCATGTGCAAATTAACGATATTCATGTACAATTAAAAATTAGACAAATCAATACCACCTCAAATTACCCATTATTTCGTTCGTCATAAAGATCACTGATATATTTGCCAGATGAACTACCATTTATCTTTGGTTGGTAATCAGTCAACGAAGTAATCTAGAACGTTCAGTAGTTAGTGCCTACAATCAGATTCTTCAACTGGATGCACAGCTGAAAGTACTGCTGCTTCAGTCTATGCAACATCAATCATCCATTATTACTGACCGATCATTCTTACAGGTCAGTCTAATAGGCGACATGCAATGATCACACTAGTACAGGTTTCTCGTGAGCACTTAATCCATCCTACTCTCCAACTCAATTCCACCTGATTTGGATACATTCATATTGGCCAATAGATAGGTTAAAGCGAAATCACTTGGAATTCGATGCATATAGATAGGTACACACACACACACACATACACACAGCTATGAAACAAGTGTTTTCACTTACCTAGTTGAACAGCGTTCGATGGTGAAGAAGGTTTACTCTTGCCAGCTTTATTCTCTGATGTTACACGGAACTCATAACTCACAAACTCTTGCAATTTATCAGTAGGAAGTGTGAAGTGTGGTTCGGTGATTGTGAAGTCGGCACTCACGTCCTGCCATCGAGTTGAATCTTCAGGTTTCAATTCGATGTAGAAGTTTGTGACCGGTCCACTGGCAGACACTTGGTCGGTTGGTTGTTCCCACGTCAGTTCTATCGTTTGATCTTTGATAGACGCCTTCTGTGGATTGACGACTGCCTTCACATTGACTGGACTCGGTGGTGGACCTAGTGATTTCAGAAAGCATTCAAATTACATTCAAAATGTCGCCCACAGTGTTGGATAATCAGCGACAATATTACACATATATCAACTTCGTCTGACTTCAAAATATACTTAGTATCGTTAATAGAGCAGAAAAGTAGGTGGACCATCTTTGACGGGTGTTCAATTCTGCTCAGGTGAAACAAACACTCCAACACTAATTACAATTAAGAAATTTTTGCATCAAACCACTCAACCACAGTTTGCAGATCATACTCTAAAGCTTACAATTGAGACGAAACAGAGTGAAGAGTGACAAACTGCTCGCGTGCTAGAATATTTAATGAACATAGACGAATTGTGTCTATGCATCATCGACAACACTAAAGATGACCACCAACAAATCTACGTGTTTTCAACATGCCTGTGTTGTTGGAATATTGATCTATGTGAGTAGCTGAATGTACACCATGAAACTTGTAATAGATTTTTGGTGAGAGCAGAGTTGTCTAAACGCCAAACGGACGTTCCAATCGTCTCATACTCAACTCGACAACATTGTGTTTAGAGTACCTCAGCATAGACAGTTGAACGACTGAAACAACTCTGAATTCATACATAGATATCTGTAAGGAACCGTCTGACATTCTTCCTAACCGGAAATCAATGGACCTCAATGATATTTTGGATCGATTCAATGATTTTCGCTACTCAATTCAGTTCACATTCAGAGCAGAGGTGAACGAGGAATTTCATTTTCTTGGTGTTCGGTTGAAAAAACTTCAAAATCAATTGAAAGGTAAATTCAAGCATTGTCCGTTTGAAAGCCTTATCCAAGTACTTTTGCTGAGTTCTTTCGAGTAACAACATGCTTTGTCGACAAGGTCAATAGTCTCGAAAATCCAATCATAAACAAAACTATACAATACAAACACAAACTTACCATATTCCAACTTCGTCGAAACTGGACTCGTTTCAGCGAATTCCGACTGACCGACATCATTTTTAGCTGCAACACTAAACACATAGGACTTGTTCACTTGCAATTTGTCTATAAGAGTATTCAATTCACTCGTCACTGTCACCGACCTACTCGCACGTTGAGTTGACTCACGCATCTCGACAACGTAACTCAATCCATCACTAACTCCTACATCAGGATGAAGACCGAGGAATTCTGGTTCCGTCCAACTGAACAAAACACTCTCACCAGTGTTATCACTCGCAACTAAATTACGAGGTACAGACGGTTTGTCCAATACAATCAACTCAATGCTCACTGTCACCTCGCCCAATTCATTACTGATGACCACACTGTACTCACCAGCATCTTCACGCTTCACCTTACTCACTGGAAGTGATGTCAGTCCGGACACCACGTCAGCCTTAAATCGTGGAGTCTGAGCTGATCCCAACTCCGCATCAGGACGTGTTCTTGGCCTCCATGACCAGGTCACTGTCGGTTTCGGACTGGCGACGAATGGTATTTCGAAGACGGCCGCCTCTCCTGCCTTCATGATGACTTTGTCAGAGAATGATTCCGACAGCTTCAGTGTTGGTGCAACTGTAAGTGGACAGAAAATTCAACAACATTTTTCATTCTAATATTCAACATGTATTATTAGCGTTACTACTTACAATAATTTCAAACATAAGAAGAAAGGAGACAAGCTAGAAGACAATTATTTTGTTTCTGTTAAGAAAATTTAAATATATCAAATAAAAATGAGTCTTCAATAGTTAAATATAACTTCAGTTGAAAAATAAAATAGAGAATAATAAAATCGAGACTCCTTATGAGCTTCATTAACAGTAATTAATAACTCACTCTTCATATCCACTCGTGCTTCACTTGTCAAATTCTCTACTTTCACAGAATAAACACCTAGATCTTCCTCTGTCAATGGACTGAAGATAATTCTGTGAACTTTCCCATTCTCCAACTCTTCAACTTTTATTCTACTCGACAGTCTGCTGGGTAGTGCTTTTCCATCCTTAAACCATTGGATCTTGTCACGTGGAGTTCGAGATAGTTCACATTCAAGTATGACTGGTTCATTTGTCACTGTGCCGACAGTTATATCCGTCAACGGGCGAATGAATTCTAACGGTATACCTAGATGAAATGAATAACAACTGTATTAGAATATGGAAAAGAAGATTTCGCGCTTGCTACTACTTATGAAAGTGGTGTTGGTTGTGTTTTGAAATGTGATCACATTACTAATAAACAAACCGAATATAGAAATGACTTGAAATCAACTAAGTATAATACTATTTGGTGAGTATTAAGCTTGAATGTAGCATTCCAGTAGTCTATTACACAAATCTAAATGCATTCAATAAACAGATGGATTGTTAAACAAGGTAATAGGCACATCCAAATCAGTCTCTCAACTCTCCATCACCAGTGGTATATGCTGCCCATGACATTCAGATTCCGCATCAAGATATGGCATCACTTCAAAATACCAATAACGTGTGATACTCTGAGATCATTTTCCACATCTTTCAGTGATTCGGTGAGTAGCAAACATTGACATGAGTAGATTCCACACTGATACATTCATCCAGAACCACTTATACATTACAGAATAATATCTAAATTTCAAACTCAATGACTATCACAGCTCCCAAACGCCCATTATTTGGATTTGATCATGTGCAAATTAACGATATTCATGTACAATTAAAAATTAGACAAATCAATACCACCTCAAATTACCCATTATTTCGTTCGTCATAAAGATCACTGATATATTTGCCAGATGAACTACCATTTATCTTTGGTTGGTAATCAGTCAACGAAGTAATCTAGAACGTTCAGTAGTTAGTGCCTACAATCAGATTCTTCAACTGGATGCACAGCTGAAAGTACTGCTGCTTCAGTCTATGCAACATCAATCATCCATTATTACTGACCGATCATTCTTACAGGTCAGTCTAATAGGCGACATGCAATGATCACACTAGTACAGGTTTCTCGTGAGCACTTAATCCATCCTACTCTCCAACTCAATTCCACCTGATTTGGATACATTCATATTGGCCAATAGATAGGTTAAAGCGAAATCACTTGGAATTCGATGCATATAGATAGGTACACACACACACACACATACACACAGCTATGAAACAAGTGTTTTCACTTACCTAGTTGAACAGCGTTCGATGGTGAAGAAGGTTTACTCTTGCCAGCTTTATTCTCTGATGTTACACGGAACTCATAACTCACAAACTCTTGCAATTTATCAGTAGGAAGTGTGAAGTGTGGTTCGGTGATTGTGAAGTCGGCACTCACGTCCTGCCATCGAGTTGAATCTTCAGGTTTCAATTCGATGTAGAAGTTTGTGACCGGTCCACTGGCAGACACTTGGTCGGTTGGTTGTTCCCACGTCAGTTCTATCGTTTGATCTTTGATAGACGCCTTCTGTGGATTGACGACTGCCTTCACATTGACTGGACTCGGTGGTGGACCTAGTGATTTCAGAAAGCATTCAAATTACATTCAAAATGTCGCCCACAGTGTTGGATAATCAGCGACAATATTACACATATATCAACTTCGTCTGACTTCAAAATATACTTAGTATCGTTAATAGAGCAGAAAAGTAGGTGGACCATCTTTGACGGGTGTTCAATTCTGCTCAGGTGAAACAAACACTCCAACACTAATTACAATTAAGAAATTTTTGCATCAAACCACTCAACCACAGTTTGCAGATCATACTCTAAAGCTTACAATTGAGACGAAACAGAGTGAAGAGTGACAAACTGCTCGCGTGCTAGAATATTTAATGAACATAGACGAATTGTGTCTATGCATCATCGACAACACTAAAGATGACCACCAACAAATCTACGTGTTTTCAACATGCCTGTGTTGTTGGAATATTGATCTATGTGAGTAGCTGAATGTACACCATGAAACTTGTAATAGATTTTTGGTGAGAGCAGAGTTGTCTAAACGCCAAACGGACGTTCCAATCGTCTCATACTCAACTCGACAACATTGTGTTTAGAGTACCTCAGCATAGACAGTTGAACGACTGAAACAACTCTGAATTCATACATAGATATCTGTAAGGAACCGTCTGACATTCTTTCTAACCGGAAATCAATGGACCTCAATGATATTTTGGATCGATTCAATGATTTTCGCTACTCAATTCAGTTCACATTCAGAGCAGAGGTGAACGAGGAATTTCATTTTCTTGGTGTTCGGTTGAAAAAACTTCAAAATCAATTGAAAGGTAAATTCAAGCATTGTCCGTTTGAAAGCCTTATCCAAGTACTTTTGCTGAGTTCTTTCGAGTAACAACATGCTTTGTCGACAAGGTCAATAGTCTCGAAAATCCAATCATAAACAAAACTATACAATACAAACACAAACTTACCATATTCCAACTTCGTCGAAACTGGACTCGTTTCAGCGAATTCCGACTGACCGACATCATTTTTAGCTGCAACACTAAACACATAGGACTTGTTCACTTGCAATTTGTCTATAAGAGTATTCAATTCACTCGTCACTGTCACCGACCTACTCGCACGTTGAGTTGACTCACGCATCTCGACAACGTAACTCAATCCATCACTAACTCCTACATCAGGATGAAGACCGAGGAATTCTGGTTCCGTCCAACTGAACAAAACACTCTCACCAGTGTTATCACTCGCAACTAAATTACGAGGTACAGACGGTTTGTCCAATACAATCAACTCAATGCTCACTGTCACCTCGCCCAATTCATTACTGATGACCACACTGTACTCACCAGCATCTTCACGCTTCACCTTACTCACTGGAAGTGATGTCAGTCCGGACACCACGTCAGCCTTAAATCGTGGAGTCTGAGCTGATCCCAACTCCGCATCAGGACGTGTTCTTGGCCTCCATGACCAGGTCACTGTCGGTTTCGGACTGGCGACGAATGGTATTTCGAAGACGGCCGCCTCTCCTGCCTTCATGATGACTTTGTCAGAGAATGATTCCGACAGCTTCAGTGTTGGTGCAACTGTAAGTGGACAGAAAATTCAACAACATTTTTCATTCTAATATTCAACATGTATTATTAGCGTTACTACTTACAATAATTTCAAACATAAGAAGAAAGGAGACAAGCTAGAAGACAATTATTTTGTTTCTGTTAAGAAAATTTAAATATATCAAATAAAAATGAGTCTTCAATAGTTAAATATAACTTCAGTTGAAAAATAAAATAGAGAATAATAAAATCGAGACTCCTTATGAGCTTCATTAACAGTAATTAATAACTCACTCTTCATATCCACTCGTGCTTCACTTGTCAAATTCTCTACTTTCACAGAATAAACACCTAGATCTTCCTCTGTCAATGGACTGAAGATAATTCTGTGAACTTTCCCATTCTCCAACTCTTCAACTTTTATTCTACTCGACAGTCTGCTGGGTAGTGCTTTTCCATCCTTAAACCATTGGATCTTGTCACGTGGAGTTCGAGATAGTTCACATTCAAGTATGACTGGTTCATTTGTCACTGTGCCGACAGTTATATCCGTCAACGGGCGAATGAATTCTAACGGTATACCTAGATGAAATGAATAACAACTGTATTAGAATATGGAAAAGAAGATTTCGCGCTTGCTACTACTTATGAAAGTGGTGTTGGTTGTGTTTTGAAATGTGATCACATTACTAATAAACAAACCGAATATAGAAATGACTTGAAATCAACTAAGTATAATACTATTTGGTGAGTATTAAGCTTGAATGTAGCATTCCAGTAGTCTATTACACAAATCTAAATGCATTCAATAAACAGATGGATTGTTAAACAAGGTAATAGGCACATCCAAATCAGTCTCTCAACTCTCCATCACCAGTGGTATATGCTGCCCATGACATTCAGATTCCGCATCAAGATATGGCATCACTTCAAAATACCAATAACGTGTGATACTCTGAGATCATTTTCCACATCTTTCAGTGATTCGGTGAGTAGCAAACATTGACATGAGTAGATTCCACACTGATACATTCATCCAGAACCACTTATACATTACAGAATAATATCTAAATTTCAAACTCAATGACTATCACAGCTCCCAAACGCCCATTATTTGGATTTGATCATGTGCAAATTAACGATATTCATGTACAATTAAAAATTAGACAAATCAATACCACCTCAAATTACCCATTATTTCGTTCGTCATAAAGATCACTGATATATTTGCCAGATGAACTACCATTTATCTTTGGTTGGTAATCAGTCAACGAAGTAATCTAGAACGTTCAGTAGTTAGTGCCTACAATCAGATTCTTCAACTGGATGCACAGCTGAAAGTACTGCTGCTTCAGTCTATGCAACATCAATCATCCATTATTACTGACCGATCATTCTTACAGGTCAGTCTAATAGGCGACATGCAATGATCACACTAGTACAGGTTTCTCGTGAGCACTTAATCCATCCTACTCTCCAACTCAATTCCACCTGATTTGGATACATTCATATTGGCCAATAGATAGGTTAAAGCGAAATCACTTGGAATTCGATGCATATAGATAGGTCACACACACACACACATACACACAGCTATGAAACAAGTGTTTTCACTTACCTAGTTGAACAGCGTTCGATGGTGAAGAAGGTTTACTCTTGCCAGCTTTATTCTCTGATGTTACACGGAACTCATAACTCACAAACTCTTGCAATTTATCAGTAGGAAGTGTGAAGTGTGGTTCGGTGATTGTGAAGTCGGCACTCACGTCCTGCCATCGAGTTGAATCTTCAGGTTTCAATTCGATGTAGAAGTTTGTGACCGGTCCACTGGCAGACACTTGGTCGGTTGGTTGTTCCCACGTCAGTTCTATCGTTTGATCTTTGATAGACGCCTTCTGTGGATTGACGACTGCCTTCACATTGACTGGACTCGGTGGTGGACCTAGTGATTTCAGAAAGCATTCAAATTACATTCAAAATGTCGCCCATAGTGTTGGATAATCAGCGACAATATTACACATATATCAACTTCGTCTGACTTCAAAATATACTTAGTATCGTTAATAGAGCAGAAAAGTAGGTGGACCATCTTTGACGGGTGTTCAATTCTGCTCAGGTGAAACAAACACTCCAACACTAATTACAATTAAGAAATTTTTGCATCAAACCACTCAACCACAGTTTGCAGATCATACTCTAAAGCTTACAATTGAGACGAAACAGAGTGAAGAGTGACAAACTGCTCGCGTGCTAGAATATTTAATGAACATAGACGAATTGTGTCTATGCATCATCGACAACACTAAAGATGACCACCAACAAATCTACGTGTTTTCAACATGCCTGTGTTGTTGGAATATTGATCTATGTGAGTAGCTGAATGTACACCATGAAACTTGTAATAGATTTTTGGTGAGAGCAGAGTTGTCTAAACGCCAAACGGACGTTCCAATCGTCTCATACTCAACTCGACAACATTGTGTTTAGAGTACCTCAGCATAGACAGTTGAACGACTGAAACAACTCTGAATTCATACATAGATATCTGTAAGGAACCGTCTGACATTCTTCCTAACCGGAAATCAATGGACCTCAATGATATTTTGGATCGATTCAATGATTTTCGCTACTCAATTCAGTTCACATTCAGAGCAGAGGTGAACGAGGAATTTCATTTTCTTGGTGTTCGGTTGAAAAAACTTCAAAATCAATTGAAAGGTAAATTCAAGCATTGTCCGTTTGAAAGCCTTATCCAAGTACTTTTGCTGAGTTCTTTCGAGTAACAACATGCTTTGTCGACAAGGTCAATAGTCTCGAAAATCCAATCATAAACAAAACTATACAATACAAACACAAACTTACCATATTCCAACTTCGTCGAAACTGGACTCGTTTCAGCGAATTCCGACTGACCGACATCATTTTTAGCTGCAACACTAAACACATAGGACTTGTTCACTTGCAATTTGTCTATAAGAGTATTCAATTCACTCGTCACTGTCACCGACCTACTCGCACGTTGAGTTGACTGACGCATCTCGACAACGTAACTCAATCCATCACTAACTCCTACATCAGGATGAAGACCGAGGAATTCTGGTTCCGTCCAACTGAACAAAACACTCTCACCAGTGTTATCACTCGCAACTAAATTACGAGGTACAGACGGTTTGTCCAATACAATCAACTCAATGCTCACTGTCACCTCGCCCAATTCATTACTGATGACCACACTGTACTCACCAGCATCTTCACGCTTCACCTTACTCACTGGAAGTGATGTCAGTCCGGACACCACGTCAGCCTTAAATCGTGGAGTCTGAGCTGATCCCAACTCCGCATCAGGACGTGTTCTTGGCCTCCATGACCAGGTCACTGTCGGTTTCGGACTGGCGACGAATGGTATTTCGAAGACGGCCGCCTCTCCTGCCTTCATGATGACTTTGTCAGAGAATGATTCCGACAGCTTCAGTGTTGGTGCAACTGTAAGTGGACAGAAAATTCAACAACATTTTTCATTCTAATATTCAACATGTAATTATTAGCGTTACTACTTACAATAATTTCAAACATAAGAAGAAAGGAGACAAGCTAGAAGACAATTATTTTGTTTCTGTTAAGAAAATTTAAATATATCAAATAAAAATGAGTCTTCAATAGTTAAATATAACTTCAGTTGAAAAATAAAATAGAGAATAATAAAATCGAGACTCCTTATGAGCTTCATTAACAGTAATTAATAACTCACTCTTCATATCCACTCGTGCTTCACTTGTCAAATTCTCTACTTTCACAGAATAAACACCTAGATCTTCCTCTGTCAATGGACTGAAGATAATTCTGTGAACTTTCCCATTCTCCAACTCTTCAACTTTTATTCTACTCGACAGTCTGCTGGGTAGTGCTTTTCCATCCTTAAACCATTGGATCTTGTCACGTGGAGTTCGAGATAGTTCACATTCAAGTATGACTGGTTCATTTGTCACTGTGCCGACAGTTATATCCGTCAACGGGCGAATGAATTCTAACGGTATACCTAGATGAAATGAATAACAACTGTATTAGCATATGGAAATTTTTTATTTTTGACTTTTTGTAATTTTTACGCTATCATGTTTTGGTGCGTTCATTGTTTTTATTTCTTTATGCTATTCCAAACTGTTAATGCCTAAGCATCTTCATTATCTTTCCTTTACAATCTGTAATATTTATCGAATATTTTATGCTGAATTTTCAACGGTATCAATTTTTTTGTATTTTTATTTAGTAAATTATTGATTTAATCCCCTATATATATTGATTGATTAAAAACAGTCTTTACTTTCCTATGATCATACCTACCTAATTCAATTGAATTTGATGGTAATGACGGAACACTTTTGCCTGCCTCATTTTCAGCAACAACACGAAATTCATAACTGACAAATTCTTGTAAATCATCAGTTGGTAATATTGTTTGAGGTTCAGTAATAGTGAAGTCAGCAAATACATCTTGCCATGTTTTGGAATTCGTTGGTTTAAATTCTATATAGAAATTAGTTACTGGAATATCATCAGGTTGTTGCCAAGTTATATGTAGCTTGGGTTTTGAAGATGGACTTTCTGGCGGAATGATATGAATTTTTATATTGACAGGAGTTGATGGAGCTAAAAAAAAATTAAAAATCGTTTTTAATTATTATCGTTCAATCACAAAAATATTCGTGGATAACCTGTCCAATATGAGATTGATGCATACCGTTTAATATCAACTGAACTACTGTATTGAAAATATAATAACTTGATTACTTATGTAAAAAATAGATGGGTTAAATTCATTGACGAGATGTGTTTCTATAAAATAACGCTTAAACATCAGTGGTACAAAGATTAATGGGAGCTTATTCAATGAATCACAGTTAAATAAAGAATAAAATGAAGCACAACAGTTAGTCAGTAAAAAAGAATTTCTTAAACCGTAAAAGAGATTCATGAAATTTCTAGTGTAAACTGTACAATACCTTGGAATTGATGAAAAAGACACAGTCCATACAGGGTACTTGAGGATTTCATTAACAACAATCATATCACAGGTATACGAATATTTGACACAGATATATTTTGATCAGAATGAGGGTTTTTGGAGATTGTAGTAATTTTAATAGTTGGATTCATATTCATGAGTCAATATCAGCTAGACCACCATTGAAAACCTGGAAGAACTGAAAGGTCATTTCGATCTAGTGTGGGAATCCTCAGCAGTGCTCATCGACGATCCGCCACGCCCAACTGGAAACTGGGACTTTTGATCTGGCGCGTGAACTCTCAACCTCTAAACCTCTAAGTCGGCATCCAATGGGGTTAATGTCTAACTTCAATCGATCCATGGTCTTGCTCAACCATTCATCCTGTCTCTACACGACACGGTGTGAACTCCATTAGTTACGAATCATGAATTCAACTATTAAAATTACTACAATATCCAAAAACCCCATTCTGATAATAATCATCATGTGCTAACTGGTAACCGGCTTCAAGATAATTTCCTGGAGTTCTATTGAAAAGTATGGGACTGAATAAAAGTGAGAAATCTAGAGATCACCATAGGACAAACTAAAAAAACCCCTTCAATTTATCCATAATTGCCTGCAGTAAAGTGATTTATCTTTAGATTAGTTCATGAAGTTCTGAGTACTCACTTCTGAGATATTCCATGCTAAAATAAAATAGCTGTACAGTTCCAAGTACCTAAAATTGAGGTCATTCTACTACGAGTACTATATACAAAATGAAGTAATCTTTAAAAAAAACCCACTCCATTTAAACTCTTCCTTTGAATTATTAATTTATACCCATAATTATAGAGTTGAAATAATCCCAATTATGGGTTTCTTCTATACCCCTAAAAAGGGGGAGGAGGAGAATAACAAATTTTAACTACAATCTCATCATTTTTGTTCTAGTTATGAAACTAAATAAGAAAATTCAATTTTTTGAACAATTATATCAGAAACTTTATTGAAGTAGATTGTTTAAAAGAGGCAATGCTTCATAATCAATTTTATTATCTGAAAGCAGGTCAGTTAGTGATCACATATCTACAGATTTCTATGAATGAAAATGATCAACATGAAAATAGATTTTATAAATCAATCCTTATAATATGCCTTTTTTATTTGTATAGAAAATAAAACGTAATGAGATCAAAGCGAAACTTAATAGTCTTAAATTCATTTTCTTAATGGGAATGTGGGTAAGGATCAATCTGAAATTATATACTTGATCGAACCAACGATCTAGTGCTCCCACATTCTTAATAGTTATCAGTCTACAATATAAATCATCTTTAAATTATATATATAAAAAAAGAAAAGAGTAGAATATCAAAACATTATTACAATCTATAACTAACCAGTCAGTTTTGAACATTCTAGAGGTTTTATCTAAAAATTTAAAATAAATTTTAATAATATATAATTAGAATGGCAATTTGCATATTCACTAATATACTACTCTAATCATTTAGTAATCACATTTAAATGACAACCAATAAATAAACATATAATACTCCAAAGCATGAATACATAGCACCAAATAGTTACGTAACATAATAATAATTATTTATTTATTCATCATGCTTCAACAACAAATGTAATCACTATCACCATCACCACCATTGATATATATATATATATATATATATATATATATATATATATATATATATAATTTAAGAAAATGTAAAAAGCGTATTGCATTTGAATGTGTTACATAATACATCATTTTATTTCATGCATAATGTTTGTTAAAATTCAAGCTTATCATTAAGATAAGTAACGTTATAGATAAAGAACAAATTGTAACATTGAAAAAACTTTATATTATTATCTATATTATTCGATTGGTTATTGATTTTTAAGAAAAAATAATAAGAAAAAGATGGATTCAGTGAAGAGTTCTCTTTTACGGTGAATTCATTTTCAAAATTGTACAATTACAAGTATAGATAGTTATTTTACAGGATGACAATAATAATAATAATAATAATAATAATAATAATAATAATAAACTTCTGTTAGACATGGTAACATTGAGGTAGAACAAAACAAAGGTATGAAAAAAACTTTGTTTTATAATTTAGGAATCTAAAAATAGTTTAATTGTTATAGGCTTAAATATTCATCAAAAAGATATATAGAGAAATGATCATTAGGAAAGGATGGTTTAGCATGATAAGATAAAATATAATCAAAAGGATCAAAGAAATAATAAATAAAACAATTAGGGATGAAAGATTTATAAAGAAGGTGGAAGAGTGAAGTAGATGATTGTAAAGGAAGTAGAGAATAATCAACTTGAAAAATAAGTATATATATATATATATATATATATATATATATATATATATATATATATATATGATTGTGTAGCATTGAAAATAGATTTGCCTGAAAAATGAACTCTTCACTGAATCAATCTTTCTTATATAACGTCTCAATCGAGGTATTCCGTTGATCAAGAAAAAGCAAAACACAGGTAGAAGATATTTAGTCTATAATTAAACAGTTTACTTTTATTCATGATTATTTAATTTTGCCCAAATCATGTTAATCTATGAAATAGTGAAAAATAAGATATAAATATTGTACTCGGTCATTCATTCATTCATTCATTCAACATTTATTCAATTTATTCTATATAGTAAACAATATCATTTTTAAAGTTATCCAAAGGGATTCATGAATAGTTTGATATATTTTATGGAATATTGATAATAGTAAAGGTATATCATTCAAAAAAAAATTGATAAATTTCAATGAAAATTTATAAACAATATTGATTAGAAACAAAATAATGTTTATTAGAAAAGAATATATTGAGAAGAAGAAGAACAAGAAAAAAAAGAAGGTGAAGAAGAAACAATTAATCAATAATAGAATGAATATCAATCAATAAACTATCATGATATTGTTTAAATGGTCATAATAGATACACAAAATTATTGTCATTTTCAGAAAAAAAAATTTAAAAGAATTAATTAGAAAAATAAAGTTGACCGCATGGTAACTACAAGTAATTGTTTTAACAACACAACGTTATATAATGACCAACTAGGATATAACATAAAATAAATAGATTATTATTACTATTAAAAAGTATGGATGATAAGTTGGAACAAAAATAAAATCAAGAAAAAAACCCAGTGATAACGCAATATTTGATAGTCATCTCCTATGAAAAATATGAGGAGAAAATTCAAAATTAACACAATAAAAAAATAACATAGCAGAAGTAAAAGAAAAAAGGAATAAACAAACGGGGATATAATCATGAAAAATGAATTTACAAACAAAGATTTAAAAGAGGAAGAGGCAGAGAGACAAATATATACGTATGACATAAAGAACGAAAAAAAAATGAACAAAATCCGACTGATCAATACAATCCCAAACAAACATTAACATCAAGTGAATAGGTCACAAGTTACCAGGTGAATAATCCATGACAAGTGAAATGTCGCCGTACAAAAATTCAGAGAAGAAACAAACAGTCTCAGATTCACATTTATCCAAACACTAATACAATGCAAATGCATGATGTTTGTTAAGAGATGAGACTGAAGGAGCGTACTAGACAACTTGTTAACTAACGGGACATGCATGCAATAAGAGGCGCAACATCTGACAGTTTCCACGATAAAACCTCGAAAAATTCACCAGTTATTTCAAAACCGACTGAAGCGGAAGAACTTGCCATGCCACTAAGCCTAAGGCTGTGCATTGTGTGTATGCACATATCAGTAACTCGCCTCAGAAGGAACTTCTTCAACACTGACAACGTCAGACAGAGAAGGAGTAGTCGAGGAGACAACACCAGAAGCGACAGCGTCAGTGGTGGGACGTGATACAGCTTCAACCTGTTCCGTTTCGTACACATCATAGACCGTCTCCTCCAGTGGAACAGCCTCACTGACAACACGTTCTTCAGCTGAGGACGTCAGGGATTCCATACGAGGCGACACCTCATCCACGGTCAAAGTCACCTGCTCCACCTCCATGGCAATGTCTTCTGTCGCTGAGACCACGCTCTTCTCCTCCGTCACACTTGAGACAGAGACTGTCCTCGATTCCACTGGGGTCTCGTCCACCACAGCCTCCTTCACTGACACCACCTCAACCGTCTCCACCTCCACCTGCGTTTCGGAAACTGCAACACCCACTTCGCTCGGCTGCTCCACAACACGAGCACTATCCTGACGGCCGGCTTCCTCCAACTCACCAACACCCTCTGAAACCCACTCCATGGTCTCTGGGACGGACTCCTTCTCCACCTCCTGTACAACCCGCTCCTCCATCTTAACAGTCACAGTCTCCTTGGATTCCGCCACCTGCTCCACAACCAAAGTCTTCTGCTCCGCCACACTACCAGATTCCTCTGTCACTCCGACTGTGCTTTTCATGTCCGTCACCTCTACCACTCCTTTGCTAACAATTGAAATCGGGACTGTCTCCGATTCCACTGGGGCCTTGTCGACCACAGCCTCCTTCACTGGGACCTTCTCAGGTGTCGCCACTTCCGTGGGCTTTTCAGAAACGGCCACACTTACTTCACTCGGCTGTTCCACAACACGAGCACTATCCTGACGGTCGGATTCCTCCAACTCACCAACGCCCTCTGAAACCCACTCCATCGTCTGTGACACAGACTCCTTCCCTTCTTGAACAATGACCTCGGCGGTCTTCGTGGTCACTGTGTCTCCGGCTTCCGTTACCTGCTGGTATACAAAAGAACGACATTATGAATATGACGTGTTTGTTTCAAGTGTCAGCATTCGGGGAAACAAAATCAAGCGGTGGGATCAAGCTGACATCTTATCAGAGGCGACAGGATGCGAAAGTACTACACATAAGTCTTTTAAACACTAAGCACTGTCTAACACTACATTTTACTGTCTAACACACTTCACTAATCACCTCTTACACATCCACTTGACAAGAAACTCAGAGCAACACTTATCATCCATGATTCAGTCAGCTTCACAGATGTCGCTTATAACCGACGTCAACGCAGTATTATCATGTACAAAATTTTCACCGCATTCAAACACTTACAGTTGTCAGTGTCACATACTAAAGGCAACATCATGAGAGAATAGGTTCAGCATCCAACTCTGCAACACCGAAATACAATCAAAAATGTCATTCTTTCAGGCAATTCCACACACGACAAGGTGTCCTCATCTATTCCCTCTATTTAGCCAATCGTCATTCTTCACACACAGAACAACATCAACAAAGTCACATGCAAGTCAATTATATCGTCTTCCACAGACAACCCACCAACGCTAAACACTTCCGTTCCTCATCATTAAAAATCCTATATCCACACACCACAACACGAAGACGACATACTAATATCAGATATGGAACGACTCTAACGGATCGACATCTTTATCACTCATACACATCACCACTATTGAGCACAAACAGTCATCATCTAGAGCCGAATATCTCGACATTTATTTATTGGTAGATTTTGCAGCTACACATACTCCCATCACTTGAATATCAAAATCACACACAACTCAATAACAGATTACTCATCAGCTTCACAATCAGAAAATCAACCACCATATCACATTTGGCAAATGACAATTAACAATACCGATCAAGTGTAAAACAGTTCATATTTACCGGAAAACCAAGTGTCAGAGCGAACAATCCAGTCAATCTTACCTATATTACTAACAATAAATCGATTACAACTCACATCATCATCATCATCATCATCATCATCATCAACAACAACAACAACAACAACAACAACAGCAAGAACAAATACCACAAAAAACACACACACACACCTCAAACACAACATCCAACAAATGTCAGTCATATGGAGTTGGCCACAATTACATTCTCCCACAAACACAAAGATCAAGTGAATAGGTCACAAGTTACCAGGTGAATAATCCATGACAAGTGAAATGTCGCCGTACAAAAATTCAGAGAAGAAACAAACAGTCTCAGATTCACATTTATCCAAACACTAATACAATGCAAATGCATGATGTTTGTTAAGAGATGAGACTGAAGGAGCGTACTAGACAACTTGTTAACTAACGGGACATGCATGCAATAAGAGGCGCAACATCTGACAGTTTCCACGATAAAACCTCGAAAAATTCACCAGTTATTTCAAAACCGACTGAAGCGGAAGAACTTGCCATGCCACTAAGCCTAAGGCTGTGCATTGTGTGTATGCACATATCAGTAACTCGCCTCAGAAGGAACTTCTTCAACACTGACAACGTCAGACAGAGAAGGAGTAGTCGAGGAGACAACACCAGAAGCGACAGCGTCAGTGGTGGGACGTGATACAGCTTCAACCTGTTCCGTTTCGTACACATCATAGACCGTCTCCTCCAGTGGAACAGCCTCACTGACAACACGTTCTTCAGCTGAGGACGTCAGGGATTCCATACGAGGCGACACCTCATCCACGGTCAAAGTCACCTGCTCCACCTCCATGGCAATGTCTTCTGTCGCTGAGACCACGCTCTTCTCCTCCGTCACACCTGAGACAGAGACTGTCCTCGATTCCACTGGGGTCTCGTCCACCACAGCCTCCTTCACTGACACCACCTCAACCGTCTCCACCTCCACCTGCGTTTCGGAAACTGCAACACCCACTTCGCTCGGCTGCTCCACAACACGAGCACTATCCTGACGGCCGGCTTCCTCCAACTCACCAACACCCTCTGAAACCCACTCCATGGTCTCTGGGACGGACTCCTTCTCCACCTCCTGTACAACCCGCTCCTCCATCTTAACAGTCACAGTCTCCTTGGATTCCGCCACCTGCTCCACAACCAAAGTCTTCTGCTCCGCCACACTACCAGATTCCTCTGTCACTCCGACTGTGCTTTTCATGTCCGTCACCTCTACCACTCCTTTGCTAACAATTGAAATCGGGACTGTCTCCGATTCCACTGGGGCCTTGTCGACCACAGCCTCCTTCACTGGGACCTTCTCAGGTGTCGCCACTTCCGTGGGCTTTTCAGAAACGGCCACACTTACTTCACTCGGCTGTTCCACAACACGAGCACTATCCTGACGGTCGGATTCCTCCAACTCACCAACGCCCTCTGAAACCCACTCCATCGTCTGTGACACAGACTCCTTCCCTTCTTGAACAATGACCTCGGCGGTCTTCGTGGTCACTGTGTCTCCGGCTTCCGTTACCTGCTGGTATACAAAAGAACGACATTATGAATATGACGTGTTTGTTTCAAGTGTCAGCATTCGGGGAAACAAAATCAAGCGGTGGGATCAAGCTGACATCTTATCAGAGGCGACAGGATGCGAAAGTACTACACATAAGTCTTTTAAACACTAAGCACTGTCTAACACTACATTTTACTGTCTAACACACTTCACTAATCACCTCTTACACATCCACTTGACAAGAAACTCAGAGCAACACTTATCATCCATGATTCAGTCAGCTTCACAGATGTCGCTTATAACCGACGTCAACGCAGTATTATCATGTACAAAATTTTCACCGCATTCAAACACTTACAGTTGTCAGTGTCACATACTAAAGGCAACATCATGAGAGAATAGGTTCAGCATCCAACTCTGCAACACCGAAATACAATCAAAAATGTCATTCTTTCAGGCAATTCCACACACGACAAGGTGTCCTCATCTATTCCCTCTATTTAGTCAATCGTCATTCTTCACACACAGAACAACATCAACAAAGTCACATGCAAGTCAATTATATCGTCTTCCACAGACAACCCACCAACGCTAAACACTTCCGTTCCTCATCATTAAAAATCCTATATCCACACACCACAACACGAAGACGACATACTAATATCAGATATGGAACGACTCTAACGGATCGACATCTTTATCACTCATACACATCACCACTATTGAGCACAAACAGTCATCATCTAGAGCCGAATATCTCGACATTTATTTATTGGTAGATTTTGCAGCTACACATACTCCCATCACTTGAATATCAAAATCACACACAACTCAATAACAGATTACTCATCAGCTTCACAATCAGAAAATCAACCACCATATCACATTTGGCAAATGACAATTAACAATACCGATCAAGTGTAAAACAGTTCATATTTACCGGAAAACCAAGTGTCAGAGCGAACAATCCAGTCAATCTTACCTATATTACTAACAATAAATCGATTACAACTCACATCATCATCATCATCATCATCATCATCAACAACAACAACAACAACAACAACAACAGCAAGAACAAATACCACAAAAAACACACACACACACCTCAAACACAACATCCAACAAATGTCAGTCATATGGAGTAGGCCACAATTACATTCTCCCACAAACACAAAGATCAAGTGAATAGGTCACAAGTTACCAGGTGAATAATCCATGACAAGTGAAATGTCGCCGTACAAAAATTCAGAGAAGAAACAAACAGTCTCAGATTCACATTTATCCAAACACTAATACAATGCAAATGCATGATGTTTGTTAAGAGATGAGACTGAAGGAGCGTACTAGACAACTTGTTAACTAACGGGACATGCATGCAATAAGAGGCGCAACATCTGACAGTTTCCACGATAAAACCTCGAAAAATTCACCAGTTATTTCAAAACCGACTGAAGCGGAAGAACTTGCCATGCCACTAAGCCTAAGGCTGTGCATTGTGTGTATGCACATATCAGTAACTCGCCTCAGAAGGAACTTCTTCAACACTGACAACGTCAGACAGAGAAGGAGTAGTCGAGGAGACAACACCAGAAGCGACAGCGTCAGTGGTGGGACGTGATACAGCTTCAACCTGTTCCGTTTCGTACACATCATAGACCGTCTCCTCCAGTGGAACAGCCTCACTGACAACACGTTCTTCAGCTGAGGACGTCAGGGATTCCATACGAGGCGACACCTCATCCACGGTCAAAGTCACCTGCTCCACCTCCATGGCAATGTCTTCTGTCGCTGAGACCACGCTCTTCTCCTCCGTCACACTTGAGACAGAGACTGTCCTCGATTCCACTGGGGTCTCGTCCACCACAGCCTCCTTCACTGACACCACCTCAACCGTCTCCACCTCCACCTGCGTTTCGGAAACTGCAACACCCACTTCGCTCGGCTGCTCCACAACACGAGCACTATCCTGACGGCCGGCTTCCTCCAACTCACCAACACCCTCTGAAACCCACTCCATGGTCTCTGGGACGGACTCCTTCTCCACCTCCTGTACAACCCGCTCCTCCATCTTAACAGTCACAGTCTCCTTGGATTCCGCCACCTGCTCCACAACCAAAGTCTTCTGCTCCGCCACACTACCAGATTCCTCTGTCACTCCGACTGTGCTTTTCATGTCCGTCACCTCTACCACTCCTTTGCTAACAATTGAAATCGGGACTGTCTCCGATTCCACTGGGGCCTTGTCGACCACAGCCTCCTTCACTGGGACCTTCTCAGGTGTCGCCACTTCCGTGGGCTTTTCAGAAACGGCCACACTTACTTCACTCGGCTGTTCCACAACACGAGCACTATCCTGACGGTCGGATTCCTCCAACTCACCAACGCCCTCTGAAACCCACTCCATCGTCTGTGACACAGACTCCTTCCCTTCTTGAACAATGACCTCGGCGGTCTTCGTGGTCACTGTGTCTCCGGCTTCCGTTACCTGCTGGTATACAAAAGAACGACATTATGAATATGACGTGTTTGTTTCAAGTGTCAGCATTCGGGGAAACAAAATCAAGAGGTGGGATCAAGCTGACATCTTATCAGAGGCGACAGGATGCGAAAGTACTACACATAAGTCTTTTAAACACTAAGCACTGTCTAACACTACATTTTACTGTCTAACACACTTCACTAATCACCTCTTACACATCCACTTGACAAGAAACTCAGAGCAACACTTATCATCCATGATTCAGTCAGCTTCACAGATGTCGCTTATAACCGACGTCAACGCAGTATTATCATGTACAAAATTTTCACCGCATTCAAACACTTACAGTTGTCAGTGTCACATACTAAAGGCAACATCATGAGAGAATAGGTTCAGCATCCAACTCTGCAACACCGAAATACAATCAAAAATGTCATTCTTTCAGGCAATTCCACACACGACAAGGTGTCCTCATCTATTCCCTCTATTTAGCCAATCGTCATTCTTCACACACAGAACAACATCAACAAAGTCACATGCAAGTCAATTATATCGTCTTCCACAGACAACCCACCAACGCTAAACACTTCCGTTCCTCATCATTAAAAATCCTATATCCACACACCACAACACGAAGACGACATACTAATATCAGATATGGAACGACTCTAACGGATCGACATCTTTATCACTCATACACATCACCACTATTGAGCACAAACAGTCATCATCTAGAGCCGAATATCTCGACATTTATTTATTGGTAGATTTTGCAGCTACACATACTCCCATCACTTGAATATCAAAATCACACACAACTCAATAACAGATTACTCATCAGCTTCACAATCAGAAAATCAACCACCATATCACATTTGGCAAATGACAATTAACAATACCGATCAAGTGTAAAACAGTTCATATTTACCGGAAAACCAAGTGTCAGAGCGAACAATCCAGTCAATCTTACCTATATTACTAACAATAAATCGATTACAACTCACATCATCATCATCATCATCATCATCATCATCAACAACAACAACAACAACAACAACAACAGCAAGAACAAATACCACAAAAAACACACACACACACCTCAAACACAACATCCAACAAATGTCAGTCATATGGAGTAGGCCACAATTACATTCTCCCACAAACACAAAGATCAAGTGAATAGGTCACAAGTTACCAGGTGAATAATCCATGACAAGTGAAATGTCGCCGTACAAAAATTCAGAGAAGAAACAAACAGTCTCAGATTCACATTTATCCAAACACTAATACAATGCAAATGCATGATGTTTGTTAAGAGATGAGACTGAAGGAGCGTACTAGACAACTTGTTAACTAACGGGACATGCATGCAATAAGAGGCGCAACATCTGACAGTTTCCACGATAAAACCTCGAAAAATTCACCAGTTATTTCAAAACCGACTGAAGCGGAAGAACTTGCCATGCCACTAAGCCTAAGGCTGTGCATTGTGTGTATGCACATATCAGTAACTCGCCTCAGAAGGAACTTCTTCAACACTGACAACGTCAGACAGAGAAGGAGTAGTCGAGGAGACAACACCAGAAGCGACAGCGTCAGTGGTGGGACGTGATACAGCTTCAACCTGTTCCGTTTCGTACACATCATAGACCGTCTCCTCCAGTGGAACAGCCTCACTGACAACACGTTCTTCAGCCGAGGACGTCAGGGATTCCATACGAGGCGACACCTCATCCACGGTCAAAGTCACCTGCTCCACCTCCATGGCAATGTCTTCTGTCGCTGAGACCACGCTCTTCTCCTCCGTCACACCTGAGACAGAGACTGTCCTCGATTCCACTGGGGTCTCGTCCACCACAGCCTCCTTCACTGACACCACCTCAACCGTCTCCACCTCCACCTGCGTTTCGGAAACTGCAACACCCACTTCGCTCGGCTGCTCCACAACACGAGCACTATCCTGACGGCCGGCTTCCTCCAACTCACCAACACCCTCTGAAACCCACTCCATGGTCTCTGGGACGGACTCCTTCTCCACCTCCTGTACAACCCGCTCCTCCATCTTAACAGTCACAGTCTCCTTGGATTCCGCCACCTGCTCCACAACCAAAGTCTTCTGCTCCGCCACACTACCAGATTCCTCTGTCACTCCGACTGTGCTTTTCATGTCCGTCACCTCTACCACTCCTTTGCTAACAATTGAAATCGGGACTGTCTCCGATTCCACTGGGGCCTTGTCGACCACAGCCTCCTTCACTGGGACCTTCTCAGGTGTCGCCACTTCCGTGGGCTTTTCAGAAACGGCCACACTTACTTCACTCGGCTGTTCCACAACACGAGCACTATCCTGACGGTCGGATTCCTCCAACTCACCAACGCCCTCTGAAACCCACTCCATCGTCTGTGACACAGACTCCTTCCCTTCTTGAACAATGACCTCGGCGGTCTTCGTGGTCACTGTGTCTCCGGCTTCCGTTACCTGCTGGTATACAAAAGAACGACATTATGAATATGACGTGTTTGTTTCAAGTGTCAGCATTCGGGGAAACAAAATCAAGCGGTGGGATCAAGCTGACATCTTATCAGAGGCGACAGGATGCGAAAGTACTACACATAAGTCTTTTAAACACTAAGCACTGTCTAACACTACATTTTACTGTCTAACACACTTCACTAATCACCTCTTACACATCCACTTGACAAGAAACTCAGAGCAACACTTATCATCCATGATTCAGTCAGCTTCACAGATGTCGCTTATAACCGACGTCAACGCAGTATTATCATGTACAAAATTTTCACCGCATTCAAACACTTACAGTTGTCAGTGTCACATACTAAAGGCAACATCATGAGAGAATAGGTTCAGCATCCAACTCTGCAACACCGAAATACAATCAAAAATGTCATTCTTTCAGGCAATTCCACACACGACAAGGTGTCCTCATCTATTCCCTCTATTTAGCCAATCGTCATTCTTCACACACAGAACAACATCAACAAAGTCACATGCAAGTCAATTATATCGTCTTCCACAGACAACCCACCAACGCTAAACACTTCCGTTCCTCATCATTAAAAATCCTATATCCACACACCACAACACGAAGACGACATACTAATATCAGATATGGAACGACTCTAACGGATCGACATCTTTATCACTCATACACATCACCACTATTGAGCACAAACAGTCATCATCTAGAGCCGAATATCTCGACATTTATTTATTGGTAGATTTTGCAGCTACACATACTCCCATCACTTGAATATCAAAATCACACACAACTCAATAACAGATTACTCATCAGCTTCACAATCAGAAAATCAACCACCATATCACATTTGGCAAATGACAATTAACAATACCGATCAAGTGTAAAACAGTTCATATTTACCGGAAAACCAAGTGTCAGAGCGAACAATCCAGTCAATCTTACCTATATTACTAACAATAAATCGATTACAACTCACATCATCATCATCATCATCATCATCATCAACAACAACAACAACAACAACAACAACAGCAAGAACAAATACCACAAAAAACACACACACACACCTCAAACACAACATCCAACAAATGTCAGTCATATGGAGTAGGCCACAATTACATTCTCCCACAAACACAAAGATCAAGTGAATAGGTCACAAGTTACCAGGTGAATAATCCATGACAAGTGAAATGTCGCCGTACAAAAATTCAGAGAAGAAACAAACAGTCTCAGATTCACATTTATCCAAACACTAATACAATGCAAATGCATGATGTTTGTTAAGAGATGAGACTGAAGGAGCGTACTAGACAACTTGTTAACTAACGGGACATGCATGCAATAAGAGGCGCAACATCTGACAGTTTCCACGATAAAACCTCGAAAAATTCACCAGTTATTTCAAAACCGACTGAAGCGGAAGAACTTGCCATGCCACTAAGCCTAAGGCTGTGCATTGTGTGTATGCACATATCAGTAACTCGCCTCAGAAGGAACTTCTTCAACACTGACAACGTCAGACAGAGAAGGAGTAGTCGAGGAGACAACACCAGAAGCGACAGCGTCAGTGGTGGGACGTGATACAGCTTCAACCTGTTCCGTTTCGTACACATCATAGACCGTCTCCTCCAGTGGAACAGCCTCACTGACAACACGTTCTTCAGCTGAGGACGTCAGGGATTCCATACGAGGCGACACCTCATCCACGGTCAAAGTCACCTGCTCCACCTCCATGGCAATGTCTTCTGTCGCTGAGACCACGCTCTTCTCCTCCGTCACACCTGAGACAGAGACTGTCCTCGATTCCACTGGGGTCTCGTCCACCACAGCCTCCTTCACTGACACCACCTCAACCGTCTCCACCTCCACCTGCGTTTCGGAAACTGCAACACCCACTTCGCTCGGCTGCTCCACAACACGAGCACTATCCTGACGGCCGGCTTCCTCCAACTCACCAACACCCTCTGAAACCCACTCCATGGTCTCTGGGACGGACTCCTTCTCCACCTCCTGTACAACCCGCTCCTCCATCTTAACAGTCACAGTCTCCTTGGATTCCGCCACCTGCTCCACAACCAAAGTCTTCTGCTCCGCCACACTACCAGATTCCTCTGTCACTCCGACTGTGCTTTTCATGTCCGTCACCTCTACCACTCCTTTGCTAACAATTGAAATCGGGACTGTCTCCGATTCCACTGGGGCCTTGTCGACCACAGCCTCCTTCACTGGGACCTTCTCAAGTGTCTGTTCTAGTTTTGGTTCATGTGGTTTTTCTTCGATTTTTGTGGCTTGGCATTTTTCTTCCACTTGTGGGGTTTTCATTTCAACCTGTTCTATTTTTGCGCTTACCTCCTTCATTTCATGTTTAGTCTCTTCATTTTGCTCTTGCGTTTGTTTTTTGGGTTTTTCTGAACTGTTTCTTTCTATCGATTGATTTTGATATTCTTTTTCTGTTATTTTTGGTTTTTCTTCCTGTGTTATTACATTATCCTCTAGAGCTTTTAGTTCGGTTATATTTACATCTGAAACTGCGGCTAAAGAAACGTCACGTAAGGAAATTTCAGTTACACTTGGGATCGACTGAGCCTTGCCCGCTTCCTCTACGCTTATACTTGTTTCATCAATGCTTACAGAATCATGAGGTATAAGAACATCTAATACAACGACATGTGTTGGTGTAACTCCTTCATCAAGCAATAACTCATCATCACTAATCTCTAGCGGTTCTTCCAAACTTATTTCGAATTCTGTCTCCTCTATGATATGTTCATAAATCGCCGCTTGTGGTATTTCTGGAAGAGTTTCAATCGGTGAATACATTTCTGTTTTTTCAGTTTGCACTATATTAACAATTACTTCTTGTTTAAGTAACTTTACACCTTCAACCGTAGATACAAGTGCTTTATCATCTGAAATATCAGTAACAACAGTCAAAACATCTTCAACAATTGATGCTTTCTGATCTTCTGACTTTAAAATTGTAGGTTCTTTTCTTACCTCTACCAATACAACTACTTCAGTTTGACTAACAGCTATACCAAGAGTATTCTGGACTTCAACAGAATAAATTCCTGAATCTTCAGGAAATGCTTCAGATATTGTCAATTCACAAACACCTGTTTCTGGGGTATAGAACATCACAGCATCCGTTACATCTGGTTGAAGTATATTTCCATTATGTTTCCAAATCACTTCTTCTGGTTGAGGATTTCCTTTAACAGTAGCTGTTAAATAAATTTCTTCACCTTCAGAAATATTTAATGGTGATAATTCATGAACAAAAATTGGTGAAATGAGTTTGTCCTCTTTTTCAACAGCTGATGATTTAATGAAGATGTTCATAAAAATGATAAAAATAAACAAGAGAATTAATCAGTAATATCCAATTTAATTAATTAAATAAAAAATATTTTATAATATAACAATTATACAATCAAATAATCATACAATATTATGTAACCATCGACAAATAGAAAATAAAAAAACGAAAATATATTTCACAAACAATATGCATTTAGGCAAATCAAATACCAATACACACTTAAAAATTAGATAATAGATTGAGCATAAAAATAAAAGAAAGTGGCTTTCTCAAACCAGTCCATGGAAGAAAGTATGTTCAGGTCTGTTCACACATTAAATGAAGTTGTATAAATATGACTAACAGCAAAAGATAGAACATATCATAATATGAAAAAGAAATCACACACAAACAAACAGAAATATAAAAACTTGGAAATCATAGGTATTAAGAAACATGGCAAAACAAATCATAGCGGAAATAAAAGTAATAGTAACTAAGGAAAAACATACAGTGAGAAATCAAGAGAAAGTGAGAAACGAAAAGGAAGCGTCAATCGTGATAATTAAAAAGGAAAAAACTGCAGCAAAACTACTTACTAGGCATAGAAATGAAAAGTGTACCTAATGATTATTGTTTGGAGTAAAGGATTGCTTAAAACCCTATTCAACCAGAAAATGCTTGTCACATTCAGCACTAGAAACGAAATCAGGTGTGAAATCCAACAAATGGATTGTCGTTTCAGATATAAAACTCATATTATGGATTACAACAAGATTTTCGTGGCCGTTAGCAGTAGGCGTGATCCACAAGCTAAAACAATCACTCCAATTGTTACTGTCTAAATCAGAGGAGGCGACAGTACGAGAACATAATCCAAATATTATTCACAAAACTGATTGTTCCGACTGCAAACAACACCACATCAGTGAAATGGTCATCCTCTTCCACTTCACATTCGCCTATATCAATGCAAATCACATACCTATCAAATGTCACCACTTATCTTAAACAACATCAATTCGTTCGTGTAGACTACTGTGCACACAAATTCGACTGCGAAATCTTTTTAATGTTTGACTCAGTCAACTCTTAACGTACCGAAACATTTTTGGATGCTCAACTGCATCCCATTCACCAAATAGTTAACACACAGTAAGCGATACAGTTTATTAACCAATTAAAAGGATGATAAACAATCATGTTGTCAGGAATCAGGTGAAAGGGAGAGATGATAAGTAAGTGACTATTGTGATGATTCGACGTGAACAATCCAGCATACTCAGCATTATCAGTGATTACCACCACTTAACGTGGTCAATCAATATACTCAGTAAAATCCCTCTCATGATACAAATTGTGAAAGTTCAAGTAAGTGATTCTCGTACTCTGTCTCACTGTAACACAATTTTTCACGAGTCCAAATGATCTAGAAAAATGGCAGGACCTAGAAATCACTGTAAAGTTACTTTTTATTAACTGCTTATCACCACATCTTAGTTCGTTTCACTCACCTTCAATTGTAACAATTGAGCCAGATGAAATTGTTTTCGTCATTTGTTGTTTGGTCTCAGCTTCAATCACCTCACCATGAACTTTGCAAGTGTATTCACCAGAATCCGATGGAATCACTTGATGTACTATTAGACGAGCTACTCCACTATCTTCAAAATATATCATTTCATTACGATCAGATTGAGTTAATTCCTTGCCATCAACTTCCCAGACAACTTGAATTGGCTTTAAATCTGCTTGAATTTGACATTCCAGTCTACAAATAAATATAATAATGGAATGCTCGTTTATGTTTCAATGCATCATGTATTCGACATTTCGATTGATAACAGAGTAATATGAGACTGGGCAAATAATGGTCAATGCATTCGTCATTCACTAATTACCAACATTCAGTTGAGATCGAACTCAACATCATACACGTCCTGTGCAACATGTATATTTCAATAGACATCCACGAAGTTGAAATTCACATAGTTGAATGATAAATACTAGATTCGAAGTGCATCGTAAAAATCAACATCGATGCATATCCACTTGTCCCATGGACTCCATATACGAACGAAACACAATCTGGTCACTGCTCCTACTCATCACATACAACGCATTTCTACATTGTTCATTTTCTTTAACAAAGTGTCTCAACTAAACTATCACCTTCTAACCAATTACTCGTGTGAGTTGGTTGCGACAACTTATCACTCAATCAAGGAAATTCACACTCAACTTTAATCTCACACTTATCATATTTACCATTTACATATCTCACATCGTCATCAACAGCAACAGAAACTCGTTTGTTAGATGTTGCATATGTCAGTATTGTTCAGTTCAGTTCGGTTCGGTTCGGTTCGGTTCGGTTCGGTTTGTCACATTATCATCCAAACTTGTTTGGTGGTTTCAACTAAGTACTTTCACATTCCAGTCAATTCAATTGACAATTTTTACTGGCTGTATAAACCTTCTTCCAATGATGACTCTTCTCCTTACGATTCACACTAATTAGTCAAACACACAGATGACAACTGGTGTTTCAAGCAACGATTCTATTACACCGCATATTAATCGATTTCACGTCATCATCAATATTACATGAGAAAAAAAATAAACGCAAAACAATAACTCACTCAAGATCCTTATGGTCTTGTACAGTGTGGATATTCGGTGTTACTGGTTGTAAGAAGGTGAGAACCTTCTCAGTTACTGTTGGCACAACTTCTGTCGTTTCAGGAACTGATTTCAAAGAAAAAACAAATTGAAATTTATTCACCTCGTTTATATCCCATCAAAAGATGGAAGAAATCACTGACAGATTTATGCGAAAACACATTTCAACATAATCGTCAAGCTATAATAAGGGGTATATTAAGTAGAGTTTGTCCAACGACTGGTTGACTGACTGCTCGACAAATGTGCTTGTGTGTTGTGAATAGCAAACTCAGTAATCTCTACACATACGCACACACACATTCACTCTGAATATTCAACCAATCACACTTACAATGTGACCAGACCGTAATTTCTGTCCACCAATATTCCCTCATTGATCGCTGTAATTACCATCGTGAAACAAAATAAAAGGCTAACTGTCTTCTAACAACGTGACTAGAAAACTCCCAAACCACCGAGCAGTAATCGACATCTGCTAATAACACTTTTGATAACGGCTTAGATGTAGTTCTAGTGGATCGGACACTCCACATCGATTAAACAATAGTCATTTTCTCAAATTACACCATATTCTTTTCTATATATAGACCTGTTAACAGAAACATTATTGGACTGGACGAAAAGGAATTTACTGAAGTTTCCAAACAATATTTTTACAAATGTCTTAAACCGACAGACTCAACAATAACGCGGTTGTACGTTCCACTCAACCATATACAACAGACGGCTTTAAAGGATCTCGCTCTCATAAACGAGGAAATAATCATGACAAAATACATATACATATATATATATGTATATAAATGGAAATAGCAGACCACATCAGGGTGACTGAGGAGCTATTGGAGAACTGAAGTGTGTACTAACCAGTGCAAATAAATGCTTTCAAAAATCTGAATAACCGGGTTGACAGGACCTACCGCAATAACTCATCATGTTGGACTAATTAACCACACAGGACTTATGACAAACACAGTCTACTGGACATGTTTTCCCACGGTTCCGATAACACATACACCAAGAATTCCCCTACAGTTAACTGTTTCACTTCCTATGACCCACACACATACATAGAGTCTGTCAACAGAAACGTCAACAACTCTTAAACATTCAGTGGAATTCGACGACCACTCCATCAATCCTTCCAAACAACATAAGGGGCTTGGCTAGGAATGCCCATAAATGCAGTAGCATACTGATGGTATTCTTTGACATTATGGCCTTATTCAGGTGACTTGGACTAAACTTTGCAAGCGAATAATAATAATAGTAACAATAATAATAATAATAATAATAATAATAATAATAAACTTTTTACCACCCAGTCAGTCATCAATGTAAAACAATTCAAAATCACACAAAGAACAAAAGTCGAAGATTAATTGAGCTCATCCATCTGCGACTAACTATATGTGTCCAATTCAATAATCAAGTGTTGAAACAGACAAAAAGAATGTCAATTAGATCACTGATATCCGGACTCGTTGTAGAAGAAGTAGTGCACAAACTCGAAGATTTAATTTCACCATTGATCAAGACAGCTCTTCAGACCCGCTATGCGGATGTGGATAGCATGCTCATCACCGTCAAACAGAATGTGCTGAAAAGTAGCCACAATTCCATTAATAACGTCTTCGATGACGTAAAATTTACAATGGAAATGCAAGCGAACAGCTAACTAACCTTCCTCAACGTTCCGATCACCAGAATCAATACAGGAGGACTGAAAAATCTGGCAATTCGCAATACAACGCAAACACACTAAACTATCGACTACAATTGTAACAAATCAGACACTCACAAGATCAACTACGTTCAAGCGATATTCAATAGGGTGAAGATACACTACAGCACAACTACCTACTAGGCATAGAAATGAAAAGTGTACCTAATGATTATTGTTTGGAGTAAAGGATTGCTTAAAACCCTATTCAACCAGAAAATGCTTGTCACATTCAGCACTAGACACGAAATCAGGTGTGAAATCCAACAAATGGATTGTCGTTTCAGATATAAAACTCATATTATGGATTACAACAAGATTTTCGTGGCCGTTAGCAGTAGGCGTGATCCACAAGCTAAAACAATCACTCCAATTGTTACTGTCTAAATCAGAGGAGGCGACAGTACGAGAACATAATCCAAATATTATTCACAAAACTGATTGTTCCGACTGCAAACAACACCACATCAGTGAAATGGTCATCCTCTTCCACTTCACATTCGCCTATATCAATGCAAATCACATACCTATCAAATGTCACCACTTATCTTAAACAACATCAATTCGTTCGTGTAGACTACTGTGCACACAAATTCGACTGCGAAATCTTTTTAATGTTTGACTCAGTCAACTCTTAACGTACCGAAACATTTTTGGATGCTCAACTGCATCCCATTCACCAAATAGTTAACACACAGTAAGCGATACAGTTTATTAACCAATTAAAAGGATGATAAACAATCATGTTGTCAGGAATCAGGTGAAAGGGAGAGATGATAAGTAAGTGACTATTGTGATGATTCAACGTGAACAATCCAGCATACTCAGCATTATCAGTGATTACCACCACTTAACGTGGTCAATCAATATACTCAGTAAAATCCCTCTCATGATACAAATTGTGAAAGTTCAAGTAAGTGATTCTCGTACTCTGTCTCACTGTAACACAATTTTTCACAAGTCCAAATGATCTAGAAAAATGGCAGGACCTAGAAATCACTGTAAAGTTACTTTTTATTAACTGCTTATCACCACATTTTAGTTCGTTTCACTCACCTTCAATTGTAACAATTGAGCCAGATGAAATTGTTTTCGTCATTTGTTGTTTGGTCTCAGCTTCAATCACCTCACCATGAACTTTGCAAGTGTATTCACCAGAATCCGATGGAATCACTTGATGTACTATTAGACGAGCTACTCCACTATCTTCAAAATATATCATTTCATTACGATCAGATTGAGTTAATTCCTTGCCATCAACTTCCCAGACAACTTGAATTGGCTTTAAATCTGCTTGAATTTGACATTCCAGTCTACAAATAAATATAATAATGGAATGCTCGTTTATGTTTCAATGCATCATGTATTCGACATTTCGATTGATAACAGAGTAATATGAGACTGGGCAAATAATGGTCAATGCATTCGTCATTCACTAATTACCAACATTCAGTTGAGATCGAACTCAACATCATACACGTCCTGTGCAACATGTATATTTCAATAGACATCCACGAAGTTGAAATTCACATAGTTGAATGATAAATACTAGATTCGAAGTGCATCGTAAAAATCAACATCGATGCATATCCACTTGTCCCATGGACTCCATATACGAACGAAACACAATCTGGTCACTGCTCCTACTCATCACATACAACGCATTTCTACATTGTTCATTTTCTTTAACAAAGTGTCTCAACTAAACTATCACCTTCTAACCAATTACTCGTGTGAGTTGGTTGCGACAACTTATCACTCAATCAAGGAAATTCACACTCAACTTTAATCTCACACTTATCATATTTACCATTTACATATCTCACATCGTCATCAACAGCAACAGAAACTCGTTTGTTAGATGTTGCATATGTCAGTATTGTTCAGTTCAGTTCGGTTCGGTTCGGTTCGGTTCGGTTCGGTTTGTCACATTATCATCCAAACTTGTTTGGTGGTTTCAACTAAGTACTTTCACATTCCAGTCAATTCAATTGACAATTTTTACTGGCTGTATAAACCTTCTTCCAATGATGACTCTTCTCCTTACGATTCACACTAATTAGTCAAACACACAGATGACAACTGGTGTTTCAAGCAACGATTCTATTACACCGCATATTAATCGATTTCACGTCATCATCAATATTACATGAGAAAAAAATAAACGCAAAACAATAACTCACTCAAGATCCTTATGGTCTTGTACAGTGTGGATATTCGGTGTTACTGGTTGTAAGAAGGTGAGAACCTTCTCAGTTACTGTTGGCACAACTTCTGTCGTTTCAGGAACTGATTTCAAAGAAAAAACAAATTGAAATTTATTCACCTCGTTTATATCCCATCAAAAGATGGAAGAAATCACTGACAGATTTATGCGAAAACACATTTCAACATAATCGTCAAGCTATAATAAGGGGTATATTAAGTAGAGTTTGTCCAACGACTGGTTGACTGACTGCTCGACAAATGTGCTTGTGTGTTGTGAATAGCAAACTCAGTAATCTCTACACATACGCACACACACATTCACTCTGAATATTCAACCAATCACACTTACAATGTGACCAGACCGTAATTTCTGTCCACCAATATTCCCTCATTGATCGCTGTAATTACCATCGTGAAACAAAATAAAAGGCTAACTGTCTTCTAACAACGTGACTAGAAAACTCCCAAACCACCGAGCAGTAATCGACATCTGCTAATAACACTTTTGATAACGGCTTAGATGTAGTTCTAGTGGATCGGACACTCCACATCGATTAAACAATAGTCATTTTCTCAAATTACACCATATTCTTTTCTATATATAGACCTGTTAACAGAAACATTATTGGACTGGACGAAAAGGAATTTACTGAAGTTTCCAAACAATATTTTTACAAATGTCTTAAACCGACAGACTCAACAATAACGCGGTTGTACGTTCCACTCAACCATATACAACAGACGGCTTTAAAGGATCTCGCTCTCATAAACGAGGAAATAATCATGACAAAATACATATACATATATATATGTATATAAATGGAAATAGCAGACCACATCAGGGTGACTGAGGAGCTATTGGAGAACTGAAGTGTGTACTGACCAGTGCAAATAAATGCTTTCAAAAATCTGAATGACCGGGTTGACAGGACCTACCGCAATAACTCATCATGTTGGACTAATTAACCACACAGGACTTATGACAAACACAGTCTACTGGACATGTTTTCCCACGGTTCCGATAACACATACACCAAGAATTCCCCTACAGTTAACTGTTTCACTTCCTATGACCCACACACATACATAGAGTCTGTCAACAGAAACGTCAACAACTCTTAAACATTCAGTGGAATTCGACGACCACTCCATCAATCCTTCCAAACAACATAAGGGGCTTGGCTAGGAATGCCCATAAATGCAGTAGCATACTGATGGTATTCTTTGACATTATGGCCTTATTCAGGTGACTTGGACTAAACTTTGCAAGCGAATAATAATAATAGTAACAATAATAATAATAATAATAATAATAATAATAATAATAATAAACTTTTTACCACCCAGTCAGTCATCAATGTAAAACAATTCAAAATCACACAAAGAACAAAAGTCGAAGATTAATTGAGCTCATCCATCTGCGACTAACTATATGTGTCCAATTCAATAATCAAGTGTTGAAACAGACAAAAAGAATGTCAATTAGATCACTGATATCCGGACTCGTTGTAGAAGAAGTAGTGCACAAACTCGAAGATTTAATTTCACCATTGATCAAGACAGCTCTTCAGACCCGCTATGCGGATGTGGATAGCATGCTCATCACCGTCAAACAGAATGTGCTGAAAAGTAGCCACAATTCCATTAATAACGTCTTCGATGACGTAAAATTTACAATGGAAATGCAAGCGAACAGCTAACTAACCTTCCTCAACGTTCCGATCACCAGAATCAATACAGGAGGACTGAAAAATCTGGCAATTCGCAATACAACGCAAACACACTAAACTATCGACTACAATTGTAACAAATCAGACACTCACAAGATCAACTACGTTCAAGCGATATTCAATAGGGTGAAGATACACTACAGCACAACTACCTACTAGGCATAGAAATGAAAAGTGTACCTAATGATTATTGTTTGGAGTAAAGGATTGCTTAAAACCCTATTCAACCAGAAAATGCTTGTCACATTCAGCACTAGACACGAAATCAGGTGTGAAATCCAACAAATGGATTGTCGTTTCAGATATAAAACTCATATTATGGATTACAACAAGATTTTCGTGGCCGTTAGCAGTAGGCGTGATCCACAAGCTAAAACAATCACTCCAATTGTTACTGTCTAAATCAGAGGAGGCGACAGTACGAGAACATAATCCAAATATTATTCACAAAACTGATTGTTCCGACTGCAAACAACACCACATCAGTGAAATGGTCATCCTCTTCCACTTCACATTCGCCTATATCAATGCAAATCACATACCTATCAAATGTCACCACTTATCTTAAACAACATCAATTCGTTCGTGTAGACTACTGTGCACACAAATTCGACTGCGAAATCTTTTTAATGTTTGACTCAGTCAACTCTTAACGTACCGAAACATTTTTGGATGCTCAACTGCATCCCATTCACCAAATAGTTAACACACAGTAAGCGATACAGTTTATTAACCAATTAAAAGGATGATAAACAATCATGTTGTCAGGAATCAGGTGAAAGGGAGAGATGATAAGTAAGTGACTATTGTGATGATTCAACGTGAACAATCCAGCATACTCAGCATTATCAGTGATTACCACCACTTAACGTGGTCAATCAATATACTCAGTAAAATCCCTCTCATGATACAAATTGTGAAAGTTCAAGTAAGTGATTCTCGTACTCTGTCTCACTGTAACACAATTTTTCACAAGTCCAAATGATCTAGAAAAATGGCAGGACCTAGAAATCACTGTAAAGTTACTTTTTATTAACTGCTTATCACCACATCTTAGTTCGTTTCACTCACCTTCAATTGTAACAATTGAGCCAGATGAAATTGTTTTCGTCATTTGTTGTTTGGTCTCAGCTTCAATCACCTCACCATGAACTTTGCAAGTGTATTCACCAGAATCCGATGGAATCACTTGATGTACTATTAGACGAGCTACTCCACTATCTTCAAAATATATCATTTCATTACGATCAGATTGAGTTAATTCCTTGCCATCAACTTCCCAGACAACTTGAATTGGCTTTAAATCTGCTTGAATTTGACATTCCAGTCTACAAATAAATATAATAATGGAATGCTCGTTTATGTTTCAATACATCATGTATTCGACATTTCGATTGATAACAGAGTAATATGAGACTGGGCAAATAATGGTCAATGCATTCGTCATTCACTAATTACCAACATTCAGTTGAGATCGAACTCAACATCATACACGTCCTGTGCAACATGTATATTTCAATAGACATCCACGAAGTTGAAATTCACATAGTTGAATGATAAATACTAGATTCGAAGTGCATCGTAAAAATCAACATCGATGCATATCCACTTGTCCCATGGACTCCATATACGAACGAAACACAATCTGGTCACTGCTCCTACTCATCACATACAACGCATTTCTACATTGTTCATTTTCTTTAACAAAGTGTCTCAACTAAACTATCACCTTCTAACCAATTACTCGTGTGAGTTGGTTGCGACAACTTATCACTCAATCAAGGAAATTCACACTCAACTTTAATCTCACACTTATCATATTTACCATTTACATATCTCACATCGTCATCAACAGCAACAGAAACTCGTTTGTTAGATGTTGCATATGTCAGTATTGTTCAGTTCAGTTCGGTTCGGTTCGGTTCGGTTCGGTTCGGTTTGTCACATTATCATCCAAACTTGTTTGGTGGTTTCAACTAAGTACTTTCACATTCCAGTCAATTCAATTGACAATTTTTACTGGCTGTATAAACCTTCTTCCAATGATGACTCTTCTCCTTACGATTCACACTAATTAGTCAAACACACAGATGACAACTGGTGTTTCAAGCAACGATTCTATTACACCGCATATTAATCGATTTCACGTCATCATCAATATTACATGAGAAAAAAATAAACGCAAAACAATAACTCACTCAAGATCCTTATGGTCTTGTACAGTGTGGATATTCGGTGTTACTGGTTGTAAGAAGGTGAGAACCTTCTCAGTTACTGTTGGCACAACTTCTGTCGTTTCAGGAACTGATTTCAAAGAAAAAACAAATTGAAATTTATTCACCTCGTTTATATCCCATCAAAAGATGGAAGAAATCACTGACAGATTTATGCGAAAACACATTTCAACATAATCGTCAAGCTATAATAAGGGGTATATTAAGTAGAGTTTGTCCAACGACTGGTTGACTGACTGCTCGACAAATGTGCTTGTGTGTTGTGAATAGCAAACTCAGTAATCTCTACACATACGCACACACACATTCACTCTGAATATTCAACCAATCACACTTACAATGTGACCAGACCGTAATTTCTGTCCACCAATATTCCCTCATTGATCGCTGTAATTACCATCGTGAAACAAAATAAAAGGCTAACTGTCTTCTAACAACGTGACTAGAAAACTCCCAAACCACCGAGCAGTAATCGACATCTGCTAATAACACTTTTGATAACGGCTTAGATGTAGTTCTAGTGGATCGGACACTCCACATCGATTAAACAATAGTCATTTTCTCAAATTACACCATATTCTTTTCTATATATAGACCTGTTAACAGAAACATTATTGGACTGGACGAAAAGGAATTTACTGAAGTTTCCAAACAATATTTTTACAAATGTCTTAAACCGACAGACTCAACAATAACGCGGTTGTACGTTCCACTCAACCATATACAACAGACGGCTTTAAAGGATCTCGCTCTCATAAACGAGGAAATAATCATGACAAAATACATATACATATATATATGTATATAAATGGAAATAGCAGACCACATCAGGGTGACTGAGGAGCTATTGGAGAACTGAAGTGTGTACTAACCAGTGCAAATAAATGCTTTCAAAAATCTGAATGACCGGGTTGACAGGACCTACCGCAATAACTCATCATGTTGGACTAATTAACCACACAGGACTTATGACAAACACAGTCTACTGGACATGTTTTCCCACGGTTCCGATAACACATACACCAAGAATTCCCCTACAGTTAACTGTTTCACTTCCTATGGCCCACACACATACATAGAGTCTGTCAACAGAAACGTCAACAACTCTTAAACATTCAGTGGAATTCGACGACCACTCCATCAATCCTTCCAAACAACATAAGGGGCTTGGCTAGGAATGCCCATAAATGCAGTAGCATACTGATGGTATTCTTTGACATTATGGCCTTATTCAGGTGACTTGGACTAAACTTTGCAAGCGAATAATAATAATAGTAACAATAATAATAATAATAATAATAATAATAATAATAATAATAAACTTTTTACCACCCAGTCAGTCATCAATGTAAAACAATTCAAAATCACACAAAGAACAAAAGTCGAAGATTAATTGAGCTCATCCATCTGCGACTAACTATATGTGTCCAATTCAATAATCAAGTGTTGAAACAGACAAAAAGAATGTCAATTAGATCACTGATATCCGGACTCGTTGTAGAAGAAGTAGTGCACAAACTCGAAGATTTAATTTCACCATTGATCAAGACAGCTCTTCAGACCCGCTATGCGGATGTGGATAGCATGCTCATCACCGTCAAACAGAATGTGCTGAAAAGTAGCCACAATTCCATTAATAACGTCTTCGATGACGTAAAATTTACAATGGAAATGCAAGCGAACAGCTAACTAACCTTCCTCAACGTTCCGATCACCAGAATCAATACAGGAGGACTGAAAAATCTGGCAATTCGCAATACAACGCAAACACACTAAACTATCGACTACAATTGTAACAAATCAGACACTCACAAGATCAACTACGTTCAAGCGATATTCAATAGGGTGAAGATACACTACAGCACAACTACCTACTAGGCATAGAAATGAAAAGTGTACCTAATGATTATTGTTTGGAGTAAAGGATTGCTTAAAACCCTATTCAACCAGAAAATGCTTGTCACATTCAGCACTAGAAACGAAATCAGGTGTGAAATCCAACAAATGGATTGTCGTTTCAGATATAAAACTCATATTATGGATTACAACAAGATTTTCGTGGCCGTTAGCAGTAGGCGTGATCCACAAGCTAAAACAATCACTCCAATTGTTACTGTCTAAATCAGAGGAGGCGACAGTACGAGAACATAATCCAAATATTATTCACAAAACTGATTGTTCCGACTGCAAACAACACCACATCAGTGAAATGGTCATCCTCTTCCACTTCACATTCGCCTATATCAATGCAAATCACATACCTATCAAATGTCACCACTTATCTTAAACAACATCAATTCGTTCGTGTAGACTACTGTGCACACAAATTCGACTGCGAAATCTTTTTAATGTTTGACTCAGTCAACTCTTAACGTACCGAAACATTTTTGGATGCTCAACTGCATCCCATTCACCAAATAGTTAACACACAGTAAGCGATACAGTTTATTAACCAATTAAAAGGATGATAAACAATCATGTTGTCAGGAATCAGGTGAAAGGGAGAGATGATAAGTAAGTGACTATTGTGATGATTCAACGTGAACAATCCAGCATACTCAGCATTATCAGTGATTACCACCTATAGCAACTCACATTCAATTGAGTTTGCTCTCACCTAATTCGGTTAAGCCCTTTTATTAACTTATTAAATGGACAAAGTCACCTGCACTATAATAACTTATTGTATCCTTATTACTGTTGCGAATGTATGTACCTTTATTATTGTTATCCTTGTATGAATATGTATGCTCGGCAAGCCTTACTGCCTACGCATTTATTCACGCTACTAGCTTTACTATTAACCGCTTAATTGACTCGATGATTCATTCATTTCACTATGTATATATATGTCCATGTTATTCATATTCATGACTCGCTCGCTCGTTCATGCTCTCGCTAGATCGCTCGCTCATGCTCTCGCTCGATCGCTCGCTCTTGCCCTTGCTCTCTCTCGCTCGCTCGCTTGCCTGTTTGCCTTTCGGCACAACTATTTCATGCTTGCTTAACGCATCTGTAATTTTGGATATCTGTGTGTGGTCCCTTAATAAACGTAATTAACGCTTCGTTTTCGCCTTCTGATTAACATACCGATGTAGCATTATTTGGTGACGGTCACCGAGACGAACTGTATACGGAGTTTAAGGAATATATCGAACACCGACCACCACAGAATTGGTGATCCCAACGTGCGAGCAAGAATCAATCTTCGACGACGTAATCCAACTCCGAGAATCCAACGCACTCTATTTCAATTCGAGCTAGCATTTGGATTATAATCATTACTGTGGATTTATTATGTCAACATTTTAATTATACGTACATTATAACACAAACATTATTGAACATATCGATAATATTCATAATAAAGAACGATATTTTACAAACAATTGATATTTTGGTGCAATTTAGTAAGTCCGTTCCTTGTAATTAATTGTACCATTTTGTATTATCATTGTTTTTAACGATTTACTTCTATCCGTGACATTTACATTATATACGTATAATTTTTGATCTTTATAATCATGTCTTCCGAAAACACTGTATCAAGTTTACAGCAAACCCAGTCCGTGAGGTCTCTTAATCTTCCTGCCCCCTCTTTTAATGTCACCGACCCAAAACTTTGGTTCATTAGACTTGAAAATTATTTTTTGGCTAACCGCATTCACTTACAAAGAGATAAATTCGGTCTCACAAGCACACTCCTTCCAGACGAAGTTGCAGATAGCGTACGAGAGGCGTTAGCGAAACCAGACATCGAGAAGCCGTACGATGTACTAAAGCAAGTAATAATTAAAACTCTCTCTCTAAGTGATCAACAAGCTGTCGAACAACTTCTTAACCAAGTACAAATGGGAGATAGAACCCCATCACAGCTGAAAACGTATATGAAAAGCCTGTTGGGCGATAGGCAAATAGACAATAACCTGTTTTATCAACTGTGGCTTAGGCGACTTCCGTCAAGTGTACAGCAGATCCTAGCCGTCGGAGACACGGACGCCGATATAGACAACATAGCAAAAATAGCCGATAGAATATACGAAAGAACCAAACAAACAACCCCTCCATTACACAACGTGACGGTAGATGATAGACTTAGTACTCTACAGAAAGAGCTAGAAGTCTTATGCCACAAGCTGACAAAACTAAATCAGAGCAATACACAAAGAAAATGGTCGCGAAGTAGGTCGAGAGATAGAAGTCGATCATGTTCTAGGAGACGCTCAGCTCCTACAATATGTTGGTACCATCAAACTTTTGGCGACAAAGCTCGAAACTGCCGACCACCGTGTAAATTCAAACGATCACACCGATTGTCGGTAAACGCCGCTACAACTAGAACAGCTCCTAGAAACAGTCGTTTGTTTTACGTTCAGGACAGAGTAACAGGTGCTCAGTTCTTAGTGGACACTGGAGCAGAAGTAAGCGTTGTGCCTCCAGTGAGTAACGAAACGCGAAATATTAATACAGCGCTAACGCTTAAGGCAGCAAATAAATCCGATATAAAAACATATGGCAAGCGTAAAGTAACCTTGAATTTTGGTCGTAGCACTTCATTCCGCTGGGAATTCGTCATCGCAGATGTATCCGTACCTATAATTGGTATTGATTTCTTAAAGAATTTCGACTTACTTGTGGATACCCGACGAAACCGGCTCGTGAACGGAGACCATTCAGTAGTGATAAAAGGAGTGACAACCGATTACGTATCCATGAATTTAGTAGTCTCAAAAGACAAAAGCGAGCCATATAGAGCGCTTCTAAATGAGTTCACTGATTTGACGAGGGCATCATACGATAACAGAGATCGTAAACACACTGTACAGCACCATATTATAACGAAAGGTCCACCGACCAACGCAAGACCACGGAGGCTAGACCCAAATAGGTTGAAGATTGCGAAACGAGAGTTCGAAAAATTGATGAAGCTTGGTATCGTAAGACCGTCTAATAGTCCCTGGGCATCCCCGTTGCATATAGCCAACTATGTACAACGTCTAAAGCAACATATGGGTGATCTGAGGATAACGCTTCCGATGCAACAGCAACATCGTGTCTACATGCCAAAACGACTGACCGATAGTACCCATGTGTTTATCAGAAGGGATAATGTGCAGCGTCCCTTACAACCGGCCTACGATGGTCCATTCAAGGTGATTAAAAGAAACGATAAAACTATTACGATAGAAAAAGCTGGAAAAACGGATGTAATTAGCATCGACAGAGTCAAACCAGCTTTTATCGAAACCGACGATCAGACAGTATATACAGATACTTCGAAAACTGTCGAACCACCGAAACGCGAGTCCCAATCATCAACGACATCGACCAACACAAACGAAGAAAATCCAGTAACAACGAGATATGGCCGAAGAGTGAGATGGCCGCAACGATACATAACTACGATTTTGAATTAATAATTTCTTTCACCTCTTCTAATGTAAATTTAATCTTCATTTTCTATGTACAAATCGAAAATTTTAGCTTATCTATTATTATATTCAACATATTTTATGTATTCTTCTGATCTTCCGTTATGATCTTATTTGGCCTCACGGACATATACAAACTCAAACTTACACATATTTTTAATAACTTATACGATAGTTCGATCATATATCTTAATTTCGTAAATTTTGATATTTCCCATCTTGTTAAATTTGACATTTTTTTTTCGCAAACACAGACACTTTTGTATCTTTGTTTGCTGGGTGGAGCTATTATAGCAACTCACATTCAATTGAGTTTGCTCTCACCTAATTCGGTTAAGCCCTTTTATTAACTTATTAAACGGACAAAGTCACCTGCACTATAATAACTTATTGTATCCTTATTACTGTTGCGAATGTATGTACCTTTATTATTGTTATCCTTGTATGAATATGTATGCTCGGCAAGCCTTACTGCCTACGCATTTATTCACGCTACTAGCTTTACTATTAACCGCTTAATTGACTCGATGATTCATTCATTTCACTATGTATATATATGTCCATGTTATTCATATTCATGACTCGCTCGCTCGTTCATGCTCTCGCTCGATCGCTCGCTCATGCTCTCGCTCGATCGCTCGCTCTTGCCCTTGCTCTCTCTCGCTCGCTCGCTTGCCTGTTTGCCTTTCGGCACAACTATTTCATGCTTGCTTAACGCATCTGTAATTTTGGATATCTGTGTGTGGTCCCTTAATAAACGTAATTAACGCTTCGTTTTCGCCTTCTGATTAACATACCGTTGGAGCATTATTTGGTGACGGTCACCGAGACGAACTGTATACGGAGTTTAAGGAATATATCGAACACCGACCACCACACACCACTTAACGTGGTCAATCAATATACTCAGTAAAATCCCTCTCATGATACAAATTGTGAAAGTTCAAGTAAGTGATTCTCGTACTCTGTCTCACTGTAACACAATTTTTCACGAGTCCAAATGATCTAGAAAAATGGCAGGACCTAGAAATCACTGTAAAGTTACTTTTTATTAACTGCTTATCACCACATTTTAGTTCGTTTCACTCACCTTCAATTGTAACAATTGAGCCAGATGAAATTGTTTTCGTCATTTGTTGTTTGGTCTCAGCTTCAATCACCTCACCATGAACTTTGCAAGTGTATTCACCAGAATCCGATGGAATCACTTGATGTACTATTAGACGAGCTACTCCACTATCTTCAAAATATATCATTTCATTACGATCAGATTGAGTTAATTCCTTGCCATCAACTTCCCAGACAACTTGAATTGGCTTTAAATCTGCTTGAATTTGACATTCCAGTCTACAAATAAATATAATAATGGAATGCTCGTTTATGTGTCAATGCATCATGTATTCGACATTTCGATTGATAACAGAGTAATATGAGACTGGGCAAATAATGGTCAATGCATTCGTCATTCACTAATTACCAACATTCAGTTGAGATCGAACTCAACATCATACACGTCCTGTGCAACATGTATATTTCAATAGACATCCACGAAGTTGAAATTCACATAGTTGAATGATAAATACTAGATTCGAAGTGCATCGTAAAAATCAACATCGATGCATATCCACTTGTCCCATGGACTCCATATACGAACGAAACACAATCTGGTCACTGCTCCTACTCATCACATACAACGCATTTCTACATTGTTCATTTTCTTTAACAAAGTGTCTCAACTAAACTATCACCTTCTAACCAATTACTCGTGTGAGTTGGTTGCGACAACTTATCACTCAATCAAGGAAATTCACACTCAACTTTAATCTCACACTTATCATATTTACCATTTACATATCTCACATCGTCATCAACAGCAACAGAAACTCGTTTGTTAGATGTTGCATATGTCAGTATTGTTCAGTTCAGTTCGGTTCGGTTCGGTTCGGTTCGGTTCGGTTTGTCACATTATCATCCAAACTTGTTTGGTGGTTTCAACTAAGTACTTTCACATTCCAGTCAATTCAATTGACAATTTTTACTGGCTGTATAAACCTTCTTCCAATGATGACTCTTCTCCTTACGATTCACACTAATTAGTCAAACACACAGATGACAACTGGTGTTTCAAGCAACGATTCTATTACACCGCATATTAATCGATTTCACGTCATCATCAATATTACATGAGAAAAAAATAAACGCAAAACAATAACTCACTCAAGATCCTTATGGTCTTGTACAGTGTGGATATTCGGTGTTACTGGTTGTAAGAAGGTGAGAACCTTCTCAGTTACTGTTGGCACAACTTCTGTCGTTTCAGGAACTGATTTCAAAGAAAAAACAAATTGAAATTTATTCACCTCGTTTATATCCCATCAAAAGATGGAAGAAATCACTGACAGATTTATGCGAAAACACATTTCAACATAATCGTCAAGCTATAATAAGGGGTATATTAAGTAGAGTTTGTCCAACGACTGGTTGACTGACTGCTCGACAAATGTGCTTGTGTGTTGTGAATAGCAAACTCAGTAATCTCTACACATACGCACACACACATTCACTCTGAATATTCAACCAATCACACTTACAATGTGACCAGACCGTAATTTCTGTCCACCAATATTCCCTCATTGATCGCTGTAATTACCATCGTGAAACAAAATAAAAGGCTAACTGTCTTCTAACAACGTGACTAGAAAACTCCCAAACCACCGAGCAGTAATCGACATCTGCTAATAACACTTTTGATAACGGCTTAGATGTAGTTCTAGTGGATCGGACACTCCACATCGATTAAACAATAGTCATTTTCTCAAATTACACCATATTCTTTTCTATATATAGACCTGTTAACAGAAACATTATTGGACTGGACGAAAAGGAATTTACTGAAGTTTCCAAACAATATTTTTACAAATGTCTTAAACCGACAGACTCAACAATAACGCGGTTGTACGTTCCACTCAACCATATACAACAGACGGCTTTAAAGGATCTCGCTCTCATAAACGAGGAAATAATCATGACAAAATACATATACATATATATATGTATATAAATGGAAATAGCAGACCACATCAGGGTGACTGAGGAGCTATTGGAGAACTGAAGTGTGTACTGACCAGTGCAAATAAATGCTTTCAAAAATCTGAATGACCGGGTTGACAGGACCTACCGCAATAACTCATCATGTTGGACTAATTAACCACACAGGACTTATGACAAACACAGTCTACTGGACATGTTTTCCCACGGTTCCGATAACACATACACCAAGAATTCCCCTACAGTTAACTGTTTCACTTCCTATGACCCACACACATACATAGAGTCTGTCAACAGAAACGTCAACAACTCTTAAACATTCAGTGGAATTCGACGACCACTCCATCAATCCTTCCAAACAACATAAGGGGCTTGGCTAGGAATGCCCATAAATGCAGTAGCATACTGATGGTATTCTTTGACATTATGGCCTTATTCAGGTGACTTGGACTAAACTTTGCAAGCGAATAATAATAATAGTAACAATAATAATAATAATAATAATAATAATAAACTTTTTACCACCCAGTCAGTCATCAATGTAAAACAATTCAAAATCACACAAAGAACAAAAGTCGAAGATTAATTGAGCTCATCCATCTGCGACTAACTATATGTGTCCAATTCAATAATCAAGTGTTGAAACAGACAAAAAGAATGTCAATTAGATCACTGATATCCGGACTCGTTGTAGAAGAAGTAGTGCACAAACTCGAAGATTTAATTTCACCATTGATCAAGACAGCTCTTCAGACCCGCTATGCGGATGTGGATAGCATGCTCATCACCGTCAAACAGAATGTGCTGAAAAGTAGCCACAATTCCATTAATAACGTCTTCGATGACGTAAAATTTACAATGGAAATGCAAGCGAACAGCTAACTAACCTTCCTCAACGTTCCGATCACCAGAATCAATACAGGAGGACTGAAAAATCTGGCAATTCGCAATACAACGCAAACACACTAAACTATCGACTACAATTGTAACAAATCAGACACTCACAAGATCAACTACGTTCAAGCGATATTCAATAGGGTGAAGATACACTACAGCACAACTACCTACTAGGCATAGAAATGAAAAGTGTACCTAATGATTATTGTTTGGAGTAAAGGATTGCTTAAAACCCTATTCAACCAGAAAATGCTTGTCACATTCAGCACTAGACACGAAATCAGGTGTGAAATCCAACAAATGGATTGTCGTTTCAGATATAAAACTCATATTATGGATTACAACAAGATTTTCGTGGCCGTTAGCAGTAGGCGTGATCCACAAGCTAAAACAATCACTCCAATTGTTACTGTCTAAATCAGAGGAGGCGACAGTACGAGAACATAATCCAAATATTATTCACAAAACTGATTGTTCCGACTGCAAACAACACCACATCAGTGAAATGGTCATCCTCTTCCACTTCACATTCGCCTATATCAATGCAAATCACATACCTATCAAATGTCACCACTTATCTTAAACAACATCAATTCGTTCGTGTAGACTACTGTGCACACAAATTCGACTGCGAAATCTTTTTAATGTTTGACTCAGTCAACTCTTAACGTACCGAAACATTTTTGGATGCTCAACTGCATCCCATTCACCAAATAGTTAACACACAGTAAGCGATACAGTTTATTAACCAATTAAAAGGATGATAAACAATCATGTTGTCAGGAATCAGGTGAAAGGGAGAGATGATAAGTAAGTGACTATTGTGATGATTCAACGTGAACAATCCAGCATACTCAGCATTATCAGTGATTACCACCACTTAACGTGGTCAATCAATATACTCAGTAAAATCCCTCTCATGATACAAATTGTGAAAGTTCAAGTAAGTGATTCTCGTACTCTGTCTCACTGTAACACAATTTTTCACAAGTCCAAATGATCTAGAAAAATGGCAGGACCTAGAAATCACTGTAAAGTTACTTTTTATTAACTGCTTATCACCACATCTTAGTTCGTTTCACTCACCTTCAATTGTAACAATTGAGCCAGATGAAATTGTTTTCGTCATTTGTTGTTTGGTCTCAGCTTCAATCACCTCACCATGAACTTTGCAAGTGTATTCACCAGAATCCGATGGAATCACTTGATGTACTATTAGACGAGCTACTCCACTATCTTCAAAATATATCATTTCATTACGATCAGATTGAGTTAATTCCTTGCCATCAACTTCCCAGACAACTTGAATTGGCTTTAAATCTGCTTGAATTTGACATTCCAGTCTACAAATAAATATAATAATGGAATGCTCGTTTATGTTTCAATGCATCATGTATTCGACATTTCGATTGATAACAGAGTAATATGAGACTGGGCAAATAATGGTCAATGCATTCGTCATTCACTAATTACCAACATTCAGTTGAGATCGAACTCAACATCATACACGTCCTGTGCAACATGTATATTTCAATAGACATCCACGAAGTTGAAATTCACATAGTTGAATGATAAATACTAGATTCGAAGTGCATCGTAAAAATCAACATCGATGCATATCCACTTGTCCCATGGACTCCATATACGAACGAAACACAATCTGGTCACTGCTCCTACTCATCACATACAACGCATTTCTACATTGTTCATTTTCTTTAACAAAGTGTCTCAACTAAACTATCACCTTCTAACCAATTACTCGTGTGAGTTGGTTGCGACAACTTATCACTCAATCAAGGAAATTCACACTCAACTTTAATCTCACACTTATCATATTTACCATTTACATATCTCACATCGTCATCAACAGCAACAGAAACTCGTTTGTTAGATGTTGCATATGTCAGTATTGTTCAGTTCAGTTCGGTTCGGTTCGGTTCGGTTCGGTTCGGTTTGTCACATTATCATCCAAACTTGTTTGGTGGTTTCAACTAAGTACTTTCACATTCCAGTCAATTCAATTGACAATTTTTACTGGCTGTATAAACCTTCTTCCAATGATGACTCTTCTCCTTACGATTCACACTAATTAGTCAAACACACAGATGACAACTGGTGTTTCAAGCAACGATTCTATTACACCGCACATTAATCGATATCACGTCATCATCAATATTACATGAGAAAAAAATAAACGCAAAACAATAACTCACTCAAGATCCTTATGGTCTTGTACAGTGTGGATATTCGGTGTTACTGGTTGTAAGAAGGTGAGAACCTTCTCAGTTACTGTTGGCACAACTTCTGTCGTTTCAGGAACTGATTTCAAAGAAAAAACAAATTGAAATTTATTCACCTCGTTTATATCCCATCAAAAGATGGAAGAAATCACTGACAGATTTATGCGAAAACACATTTCAACATAATCGTCAAGCTATAATAAGGGGTATATTAAGTAGAGTTTGTCCAACGACTGGTTGACTGACTGCTCGACAAATGTGCTTGTGTGTTGTGAATAGCAAACTCAGTAATCTCTACACATACGCACACACACATTCACTCTGAATATTCAACCAATCACACTTACAATGTGACCAGACCGTAATTTCTGTCCACCAATATTCCCTCATTGATCGCTGTAATTACCATCGTGAAACAAAATAAAAGGCTAACTGTCTTCTAACAACGTGACTAGAAAACTCCCAAACCACCGAGCAGTAATCGACATCTGCTAATAACACTTTTGATAACGGCTTAGATGTAGTTCTAGTGGATCGGACACTCCACATCGATTAAACAATAGTCATTTTCTCAAATTACTCCATGTTCCTTTCTATATTAACATCCTTTTTTTTTTAATCTTATAATAGTTCATGATATATTATCAAAGTAATTCTTGCTTTGGTAAAATTCCGATATTTTTGGATATTTTTTTTATCTCGTTTCGTTTGATATCAATTATCACGTATTCAGCTTATTGACGATCGATATTCTATTTTATGGTCATTTAAGTATTTCCTCAATTATTTTATTCATCGTACATAATGGAATTTTGTTTTTGATCATAGTTATAATATTTAAATAATCACTAGCTGATGTAGATGTTAAATGAAGATGTATTATGCACTGACAATTTTATATGTCTATTCTTATTTAAATGTGTTAATTCGGGAGAATAACTTCACTAAATGTCATGTGTAGGTTTGCATTTTGTTCATTATATCAAGTGTTTTGATTATTTACAATTTTGAGTCAATTGAAGTTAGACCACCGTGGAAAACCTGGACGCACTGGATGGCCGTTTCGTCCTATATATATATGCACTAAACGAGAGATTTATTAATAAACAATGTGCAAGTAATCACTTTCAGTCAATTATTTTAATTTTGTAACATACCTTCTATATCCACAACAGTACTTGTAGTGATTGTTTTCTGTATTGTTTCAACTTGTGAAGGTTGAAGATGAGCTTGTGTAGCAATACAAGCGTATTCACCCATATCTTGAGGTGTAATATTATGTATAATTAGTTTAGCTAAACCACTTTCATATTCATAGACCTGTTCGATACGATCAGAAATATTTAATTCAACACCTTCATGACTCCATTTAATAGACGCTGGTTGTTGATCTGTTAGTAACTGACATTCTAATCTAAATGTTTAATGATAGATAAGTAAAATACATTAGGAATTAGCTCATTTTAAAAGTTGTGTTTGTTACCAAGTGATTTAAGTTGAAACATTTTTAAAAATTAGAAATGCACTGGACGGCTGTTTTTACTGTTGAGAATTTACCATTGGATACAAACCTAGTGGGTTTGTGGTTAAGTGTTGACTGTGGACAATGAATGTCCTCATTAGAGGTGCACTTCTAGAAGGCCCCATACTAAAACGAAACAGCTGTTCAACACATCTTAGTTCTCGATGGTGCTCTGGCTCAGATAAATAAGCAATGAATACAACATACAAAACTTACTGAAGTTAAGGACTAGTTGTTAACTTATTAGATGGAAATCAAACATTTGAAAACAGATTGCTGCGTAATCTTCTTTGCAATGTCGTTTATGAGTGCTGATAGTAATATACATAGGATAATCTTATTGTTGAGTTTTTAAAGAAATGTAATTCATCTGAACACCTTGTTTACCCTTATCCACTGGGGTATGTTAGACAGGTTTACTCGACTGTCTATACCCAAGTCTTTACTAATGTATATTATATTACTTAAATCAAATATCAGACGTCAGAACCATATACACTAGATTTTCAAGTAACAATAGTGATTACTTATTTAAAATTTTCATCACTACTGAAGCCTGAAATTTGTGTTTTTAGATGAACTAACATAATCCTGACAAAACAACAAACGTAAAATTACCAACTCTAAACAAACTTCATAGTGAGAGTGAGTAAAATAGTGGTTGGTTGTTTACTTTGTCAAACTAGTAGATAATCTGACAAGTAATACATTTACATACCCTTGTCATTACTTGTTATTACCGGTTGTTGAAGTGAAAATATGCGTTCTAGTCACACCAGCCTCATGTTCTTGATCTGAGTTGCGTTGTTATCCTGTAGAGTAGAAACTGGAAGGATATCTACGGCAGATATTCGTAAAGGAGAAAACCAAACGATATTTTGCTTTAGCTGGCAGATGCATTTCAAGTAAGGACCCGAAATAGGCAAGGCTGTACATTCTTCCCCTTCCTCTTTCTTCTGGTGGTTGACTGCATTATGAAAACCTCAAAATCTGAGGAAAGCACGGAGTACAAATGACAGCTCACAACCAATTAGACGATTTGAAATACGCAGATGACCTAACCATCATATCTCATGCACACGAGCAAATGCAGATGAAGACAACAAGTGTAGCCTCTACATCAATAGACTTCAACATACACAAAGAAAAAAGCAAGATCCTCAAATAAAACATAGAAAACATCAAACCAATCACACTTGACTGAGAAACTATGAAAGAGGTGGAAAGTTTCACGTTTCTGAGTAGCACCATTGATGAACATCGAGGATCCGATACAGACGTAAAGGAGAGGATTAGAAAATCAAGGACAGCATTCCTACAGTTCAAACTCAAAACAACACTCAACAAATATCAAAGTTAGAATCTTCAATACGAATGTCTACACAGTTCTACTTACTCAGCTGAAACTTCGAGAACTACCACAAAACATCATCAAGAAATACAAGCATTTATAAATAATTGTCTACGTAAGATACTCAACATCCATTGGACGGATACTATCAGCAACAGTCTACTGTGAGATAGAACAAACCAACTTCCATCTGAAGAGGAAATCAGGAAAAGACGTTGTAAGTGGATAGGACACACATTGAAGAAATCATCAAACTGCATCACTGGACAAGCGTTAACTTGAAGGGAAACGAAAAATACAAAGGTCCATGAACACACTTCGTCAGAAATTAGAAGTAGACATGAAAAATGATGAATGACAACTGGAAACAAATGTAAAGGTTTGTCCAGGATAGAGTTAGTTGGAGAATTCTGGTGTACAGACTATGCTAAACCACGAGGAGTAACAGCCGTAAGTAAGTAAGGAAAAGATTATATCATTCTATGGATTGGTAATTGAATGCATCTCACATCGCTTCAATAGTGAGAATATAATTTACGGACGACAATTAAGCGACACTAAAGTGACATTGAGAGTGTCTACTTCCTAACTAGTGCTCAAAATAAGTGTTATAACGTATCTTAAAAAAATCAGGATTATGATTCATAGTTGATGGTTAGAGTTAGAAATTAGATTTATGGTTTTCATCACGAATTGACATCAGCTAAAATGCTAAGATGTTATTAATCTAAATGGATAAGCGGAATTTCCGCCAAAATCCATGATCACTTATCTTATATCTGATTGGTTCATTTATAAATTCTAATCTTGACCAATAAAAAAAAAGTAATATTTGGACATTTCCAAGGTGAACATATTTTTAAAAAATTTAAACATACTCTAAAGTATATTCTTCATTTGAATTTTGATATATTTCATAATGAATTGGTTTAATAAAACTAAATTCATATTCTTGTTCAATTATTTTTGATTTAATTGTTAACATCTCTGGAATTGTTGGTAATTCAGTAATAATATCTTCAATAATTGGTAAATGACTTTCAGATATAGTATATAATTCACAAGAACTTTTTAATTCATTACTATATGGAGAACATATTGATACACTAATAGTACTACCAATCATTTCAGAATTAATTTTAGGAATTTTTAATATCGATGTAAAATCAGTAGTATTTATTTCATATGGTATATGTTCAGCAGTAATTTCTATACCATTAATATACCAACGAAATTCAATTGGTATATTAGTTGGTATAATAGAACATTCTAATTCAATTGATTGATCTAATACAACTTCTAATTGTGAATTTAATGTTTTAGCAAATTGTACATTAACAATTTGTTGTTCTTTTGGTTGTATATGACATATTGATGTAGATTGTCCTAATGGTGAGGTTGCAATCATTTGTAACATAGTATTATCATCTTTATCAGGTTGATAATTATGTAATATAGCACGATATTGTAATGTTTCATTATCAATTTGTTCTGGACCAAAATATTCAAATCTTTCAGCTGTTAATGGTGAACTTATTACCCATTGAATATCAGGTATTGGATTTGATTTTAATATAATATCCATTACAACAGTTGATCCAATTTCTGGTGTTAATTTGTCTGGTAAACTTTGTATAAATTGTGGTGCAAATTCAAGTTTTGATATAATTGGTTTAGATTGTTCGTCTGGTTTAATTGGTTGATAAGTCAGTTCAAGATTACATGAAGTATAAATTTTTTCTTCTTTTTTATCAGTTAACCGTGTTACAAAACAAGTGATTTCACCAAAATCCCATGTACCAGGTTTATTAATAGTTAATCGACTATGCCATGGATTATCTTGTGAAACATTATAACGTTCAGGTTTCTTATCAGGTGGTAATAAAAATATATCTATTCCATTCATATACCAACTAAATGTAGGTTTAGGTAATTCAATTGATGATATTTCTGGTTTATCAACTTCTACATCAAGAATTATTGTATCATCCATTTCACTGTATGCTAAATTTGATGGAAGTTGTCGACTAAAACGTAATTCTGGTGGTTCAGGTACTGATAAATCATCTGTTTTAGCTGTCATTACTAAAATTGAAGATGTTACAATCTTTGTACCAGTTTGACCAGCAGCTTCAATAGTCACTTCACTAGGAAGAATATCTTTTTGAACAGATGGAATTATAAGAGTTGTACGATTTACATCTTCAAGAACTTTAAATCGTTTATTTGACTGATCCAATTGTAATCCATTTAAATACCATTTAAATGTAACAGGTGGTTCGGATTCTACTTCACACTCTAATTGAGCGCTGTCTCCAGGTTGTAATTCAATTCTTTCTGGTGGTTGACGTATAAAACGTGGTTCAACAATTTTTCCATCAAGAATTTCTAATTCTAATACACTACTACACATAGTTACGCCAAGTTCATTCTCCGCGCGTACCATAATTTCTCCGACATCAAAAGCGTTTAAATCATGTATGTGTAATGTATATGTATGTGTTGCCTCATCAATATATAATTCTCTCTTAGCAGCCATTTCATGAGAAAGGGATGATATTAAAACTGGTTCAAACTCCACACCGTTATGAAACCATCGTAAAGTTGGTTCCGGATATCCATTTACTGAACATTCCAACCTGAATATTGAAAAAGATATTTGAAATATTTAAATGCTCAACAAAGTAGCTTAAGAGTCATTCCTACATTTATGAAATTTTACAATCGAGTTGAAGTGGTTTAACACTTAATTTATCTTCCATGTCGTTAAACAATCCTTTTGTCACACTACATAGTTTAGTCATATGATGCCATAAGAACGGTTTTAACTAAATATCGGAAAGTTAAGTATCCATACGATAAAGGTTGTCAGATAAAAAACATATTGCTCACTACGTACTTCCGACTGTTACCCTTCGTGGAGAAGCGTAAGCCGCCCACCAGCACTCTCCATCCAAACCTATCCTGGACAATCCTTTCCAGTTCTTTCCAGTTGCGATTCATCCTTTTCATTTCTGCTTCCATGATACCAATTAATTAAGTCTTAGCCATTTTGAGAAGTGAGGTTCGGATATCATAGATTGGTAATAAGCTGAGGTAACAGATCCAAGCTGACAAGATTTGAATTCAAGTGTTGAATTTATTTATTTTTAGTGTGAACATAAATAGGGTGTATTCATTTACCAGCCTATTAAACTAACCATATCATTATCGATTAGTTCGTCTAATTTATGCATTATCACAAGCCTGTTTAAACGAAGCTTGAAAAGGGAATAATCAGATTTGCGAAGGTATTTCCGAAAGAATCAGTTTGTTTTATGTGTTGACTATTAATCTATTGGTTCACAGTAATTACCACTATAAGCTTTCATTTGATTATTTGTGTTAGAATATCCTTCTCTGTCCATAAATTACAGTTAGCTAACTATGACCTGTATTATGCTTCAGAAATGTATGTACATACTGATATTTATTACTAATGGTTCATTAGAGTCTCGCATCTTGTATACGTAATCCCGTGAACTTTTGAGTTTAAGGTAATACGAGTTATATGTACAAGTAATTGGCTTGTATTTACGATGTTCCGATTAGTGATTTGATGGTAGAATGTATAAAGTTTATAATCAACCGTCCGATTCCACACTATTAGAGTTAACGTACTTTGTACTGTATGATTAGACAAAATCGAAAATAAAGGTTATTGCTACACTGTAGTATTATAAAGACGTGTAAAATATATGAAAATGTGAAACTTCGGAAGATATTCTCTGTGAATTTAGTATATACACAACTAATTCAAATTTAATAAACAAGGACGTAACTGTAGTTGTAGGCTACCTTTCGACATAATGATTGTTGCAATATATTTTACATTCACAAATGACAGTTTAATAATGATAAACCATTTGTCCAGACTTGTATCAGAGACTCTAGGTATGTACGCATTATTTATTTATTTGAACGCATAGATATTGGTATAAGGAGGCACCAAATAGATATAAGCCACATAAATCACTCGATTTGTGTGAGGGATGGGATACTGCCAGGGTGCCAAAACCAAAGCATGTGGTTTTATTAGGGAGACACACCCACAGCCTTCCACATAAAGGTCCAGTCCATAAGGCAGTAAAGCAACGTCCAGAGATGCAGTCACATGGTAGATGGTGACCAACAATAGGTTCATACACCATTCGTTCCCTCAGGATCCTGGAGCACATGGAAATCATTTGCTTGGAATCAGGGTTTTCCGACTCCCCTAGGTGGATCCTTTGTATCCACCAACTCGGTTAAAGCGCCGGACATTCTCTTTTCATCCTCTCAATTTCGTAAACAACAGTAATGCTGCGAGAAAGCAGTGAGTAGGATTTCCCTGTCAGTGGTTGTATGCACGTGGCCATGTGAGAGCATTTGGAGAGGGAGAGTTGACTCTCTCCCCACTCTCGGTCGTGCCAGGGCATTTGGGGTCCGTATCGTTATATACTAATTATGATATTTCATGGCTTTAACTATTATGAATAAATATTAAAATCATCTTTAAGCTTGAACATTATAAAATAGTGTGAGATACTCGTTCGGTTATCCAGGCGTTCTTGCAAGTGAGTTAAGTTGTGCTGTGTAAACAATCAACCATTTATTACAAACACTAATCGAGGCAAATGAGTCATAAAAAGGTTAGAAAATTCGTAACAAAAATGGAAAAATGAAGATACAATGAATGCTATTACAAATTACACTTAAATAATAAAACTCACCTGACAGTGTGATGCTCTGGTGCCTTTACTTGAGGTTGCAGACGTTTTTGGAAAACTGGTGGAGTTGGTTTAGGTCCTATTATGCGATTTTAAACGAAATAAATAATTATTTACAGTTGAATGAAGTTACTCAATGGAATTATATCGAGATTAAAATTATATCGAGATAAGATCAATTGTAAATGAATCTCAATCCTATTGGAGGTCAATTGCGGTCTGGATAGCTCAATGGTAACTTCTGTGATTCTGTAGCTGGGTGACACAGGGTCGAATCCGTCAGGGAGAACTATGAAACATAACAGTGAACTAGACAGATCGAAAGATATGAGTGACTTGATAGTATATCGGATAACTAGTGTTTTTCGATTTTTAAACTCTATGGTTCATGAATGAGTGGAAATTTTATTGACTATCAATATTTTGTACTTATTTCTGAAAAAACCTTAGTGACATAGAAAACTTAATTATCAACATACCTGATCGGATTATCACCACTTTTGTTTGCGTAGTTGTTTGACCAACTGAATTAGTTGCTGTGACAAGAATTTCACCACCATCATTCATGGAGATTACATTACATTCAAGTTGTGAAGTATATCTATCCGTCTTAACCTGAAATTGTGAATATACAAAATTTTTATGAATTTTATAATTTCCTTGGTGTTGTTTGTTTGTATCATCCCATTATTGTTTAGGAATGAATTGATCAGTCTCTTGTTAGTATATGTGAATCCTGTACGGAATGTTTCAATATTAGCTTAAGTTACTAGCTTTATGAGCAAAGATGGACGGTGGTTAACAATTGGATCCAGGGTGCACGCTTCGTCCTCTTTGCGACTCGTCCGCTGGATGTACTTGCATTTGTGTTGATATTCATCCGGGGTCTCGAAACCAGTAGCACTCGCTTCAAACGCCATCACGTGTAAAGGGTAAAAGGAATGTGTTTTTCTTTGATTTGAATTATAGTTTGCCAAACATTGTTCATTGCTTTTTAGTGTTTTAATTTTATGGTACAATAACAAAACGTTGTATTAAATGATCTAGATACTTGTCAACTAATTGTCCTACTTAATTTTATTAGATCATCCCGAACGCGGGATGAGAACCCGGGACCTATCGGTTTCTAGCGTGAACACTTAACTTCTACACCACTGAGTCGGCCGACATCCAATGGTGTTAATGCCTAACTTCAACCAATCCACAAAATTGAGCGACATATCCACCATTGTTATCGGTGAGCTACTATTTCACAAGAGACCCGGTTGAACTCCACTTGTCACTGATTCTCACTAGGTTTTGGGTTCGAAACTCGTGAGGCGGGATCGTGGATGCAGATTGCTGAGGAGTTCAATAACAGGACGAAACGGCCTTCCAGTGATCCCAGGATTTCCATGGTTTTCTAGCTTTAATTGACTCATGATTTCAACTACTGAAATTACTATAATATCCAAAAAGACTTTTTCTGATAGAGATTATTTAAACATTGAATGTTTGAATTTTGTCAGACTAAAAATCTTCTTTTATGTTAACAAATTTTGAAGTAGATTTGATAATGATATGTAAGAACTGGTCATCAGTACAATTACGTAGAACAACTAGGAATTAGTTTCCTCATGAATCCAAATAATCTTAACGTAAATGGCTCACTTACTTTCCAATTTGGTCCAGATTGTAAAGATTGACCATTATGATACCAATCAATTTGAGGTATAGGTTCACCTGAAACTTGAACTTCTAAGAATACTCGTCCACCTTCTTTTACCTCCAGTGTCCCAGAAGGTAAAGGTTTAACAAATTGTGGAGCAGTTTGTAGTGGAGCTAAAATATGATACAAATACGAAAATTTCTTGAATTTTTTTACAGAACTTGTATTGTAACATTCAACATACACAAAGAAAAAAGCAAGATCCTCAAATAAAACATAGAAAACATCAAACCAATCACACTTGACTGAGAAACTATGAAAGAGGTGGAAAGTTTCACGTTTCTGAGTAGCATCATTGATGAACATCGAGGATCCGATGCAGACGTAAAGGAGAGGATTAGAAAAGCAAGGACAGCATTCCTACAGTTAAAACTCAAAACAACACTCAACAAATATCAAAGTTAGAATCTTCAATACGAATGTCTACACAGTTCTACTTACTCAGCTGAAACTTCGAGAACTACCACAAACATCATCAAAAAAATACAAGTATTTATAAATAATTGTCTACGTAAGATACTCAACATCCATTGGACGGATACTATCAGCAACAGTCTACTGTGAGATAGAACAAACCAACTTCCATCTGAAGAGGAAATCAGGAAAAGACGTTGTAAGTGGATAGGACACACATTGAAGAAATCATCAAACTGCATCACTGGACAAGCGTTAACTTGAAGTGAAACGAAAAATACAAAGGTCCATGAACACACTTCGTCAGAAATTAGAAGTAGACATGAAAAATGATGAATGACAACTGGAAACAAATGTAAAGGTTTGTCCAGGATAGAGTCAGTTGGAGAATTCTGGTGTACAGATTATGCTAAACCACGAGGAGTAACAATCGTAAAAAAGTGTACTGTAACATAAAATCGATTAATGAATCAATTGGTAAAATCAATACACAAACATTCATTATACCTAGAATGGTGAACATTTAACAAAAGTAATTTGAAATGTTATATTTTTCTAATCATATTCAAATCATTGTATTTTGACTGATAGTTTTTATTACCAAACAATGTTTGCAACTCTAAATTGGTTTACCTTCATTCTGAGGGGACAATTGGTTTTTTTTTAAATCAATAGTACGCATTCAGCAGCGCTATCGCAAGACATCTCCTTGACACAGGACACGAAATCGATATACTGAAGTCCTTCAAGGTGATCAATAAACAATCAAATTCTAACCTTTTAAAATTTGCCGAAGCGATAGCAATCAAACGTTTAAAACCAAATCTTTGTATACAAAAAGAAACAGTAATAAATCTTTCTTTGCCCTGGTAACATTAACCCCTCTTTTATTTATTAGGTCATTCCAACTCTTTCCAAAAAATTTTATAATTACATAATTCATAACTGATTTCAATTCATATCTCTCTTTATTATCATTCATCTATTTCAGCTACTTCATTACATAATCATCTAATGTGTTTTCATTCCATGAGTTCTAATCACTATTTCTATGTTATGGAACCTACCCTCCCAAACTATATATTCGAAATAAAAAATTTTATGACCTCATTAACTTTAACAGCTTCTTTGCTACATCATGCTCATTCTTCATCACCCTCTGATATATGTCAATATCTGTAATAATGTTGAATTTCAAATATTTTAGGTTGTAAGCAGCTGCTGAGAACCTAACGAAATAAAATGAATTCATATTATTCTGCACCAACCTTTGTTCTTGCACTTTTTAAAATAATAAAGGGAAGTATGCATTTAATCGGTTTATCATTTTGAAATGCACAGAATACTGGTAAGGAATAAACCTTTTTTTCATATTGTACTCTTCATATAACTAATTTACTAAAGAAACACATGAATAAATCAGTACTTGTTTCAGATTGATCGATAGAAACAGTAACTTTCATCACTTGATATCAAAATATTCTTGCTTACGGAAGACTGAACATACATACATACAAACCCTAGAGGTTACATGATAATAATAGTATAAACTAACCAGAAATTAAGATTTCCGCTGATGCTTGAGCTTCTCCACCAGAATTTACAGCACGTACTGTATAAATTCCAGTATCTTCTGGATAAACACTAGAAATATTAAGTATTGTATAACCATCTGATCGAATTTCAGGAAGAAAGTATTGTGATGGTTTAATAATTTCATTATTTAATAACCAAGTAATTTCTGGCACTGAATATAAAAACAAATAAAAGAAATGAATTATGATTATGTATGCAAATAGAATATATTTATTTTATTTTGAATTGTCTTTATAATATACGCTTTTATTAGCTCTCATAATAGGTTGGTTGATCTATGATCTAATACTTCCTGCCTCCATATTCTCTGGTACGACCGAGAGTGGGGAGAGAGTCAACTCTCCCTCTCCAAATGCTCTCACATGGCCACGTGCATACAAACACTGACAGCGAAGTCCTACTCACTGCCTTCTCGCAGCATTACTGTTGTTTACGAAATTGAGAGGATGAAAAGAGAATGTCCGGCGCTTTAACTGAGTTGGTGAATACAAAGGATGGGTGGGTTGGTGTGTCTCCCTAATAAAACCACGTTATCGGTTTTGGCACCCGAGTAGTATCACAGCCCTCACATAAATCGAATGATTTATGTAGGTACTTATGTGAGTAATTAGAAAGTGTATAACTATAAATTAAATCCATTAAGTATGAATAAATAAGTGTTAAAGGTGGAATTTGGATATATTTTCGAATCTGTGTATATGAACTTAATATTTCATTTCAAATATTCCTATATTCCTCGAAATGTTAGTTTATACCAATAACACTAAAAATTGAGATATCTATCATTCACAAATTAGTATTGAATTGTCTGTGCCTGTTACTTATGTTTGTACTACTGATGACCAAGTTATTTACAAAGCAAAAAATAATATGGTCTTATGATTGATGTTATAATCACATGAATTTTGGAGTCGTAACAATACAAAGTAAATCAGGTAGCTTTGCTCGTGTTCTGTGATTGAGTGAGTTTGGGATAGATAGAATTTGCGTCGGTATACACTGGTAGCATATTTGGTCAAGGTTATTCCTATTATTGACATAAACTAATCATTGATGGACTTGATGAGTTACTCACTCTATTAAATGGGTACATGAAATTTGAACTAATGATAAAATCCTCAAAGCAACTGTATAATTGAATTGGCATGTTCTGTGTATAAAAGTATAAATCATCAATATTACTGAATTGTATATTTCTACTTACTCGGTGTACCTTCTATTAATGCAATTAGTTGAACTGGTTGAGATTCCATGACAGTTACACTTTTTGGTTCTTGTAGAATTCTTGGTGGGACAATAGCAGCTGGTTTAGCTTTTTGAGGCAAACATAAAAATAAAATCATGTGTTAGGTTTTAATTTGATCATAATCACCAACTTTTTACTCATTAGTAATGTGTAGTGAAAAATTAAAAATGTTTAGTCAGGAAATAAAATATTTAAACTCAATTACACATTCACAGCCACTTCTGGCTAGATCTTGTACAAATATTGTTTTCTATTTTGTGGTGCGATGTGGTCTGTTTGGTTTGTATATAAACTCAGTATGTCTGGAATACATGATTCATATCGCGGATGTGGAGGTTGATGTTCTGAACTCAACAGGCAAGTCTAGGTAACAAGAAGGACCGATAAAGACTCTAGACTGCTTATACGTGTTTATATATCATTGGTCCGGTCGATAAATCACTGTTCTCTAATTGGTGGTATCATTATGTTATGTATTAATAAGACACAAGGCCACGAGTTATAACGGACTGGACAGCTGTTTCCTCATAGTATGGGCCTACCAAATAGTGGGCATATAGGACATTGCTGTTTCGAGTATTTATAAACCCTCAACTACCTTGTTTTATTTATCTAGGATAGAACAGAAGTTATATCTAAAGGATATGGATCTCTCTGTTTAGGATCTATCAGATAAGTGCTTCTGTGCTTTACCATTGAGATTCCCATCGAGCTCACAATCAAAAGTATATATATTCACATTCCAGAGTTATTAATTAAACTATCTAACTAAGAGATATATATCTGATAAAACAGGACGTAAACAAGTTGTTATAAAATTTGAGTACTTTATAGTTGATATACAATGACTCCATTTGAAATTACCTTGTATAGTAACATTTGCTTTACAAATTGACTGTCCATGAGCATTTATTGCTACACAACGATACTCAGCAGAATCATCTGGTACAGTTTCACATAATACAAGAGTATGAAACGGTGGCGCATCAAATACGCGTATATGTTCAAGATCTTTTAGAGGTAACCGTTGTCCATTTCGTTCCCAATGAACTTGTGGAGTTGGTTCACCAGTAACCTATATTTCAATCGAATAGATAATTCAAATCAATAATAATTATTCTTTAGACAAAACATTAGTGTTAAAAATTTATAAATTTAGATAATTTTATTAGTTGTGATATATTCATCTGAAACATTTCAGACTGTTTGATTATATATTAATTGATTAAGTCAATAGTTTTCGAATCAAATGGGCCATATGGGGTATATGAAAAACGGGGGGTAGAAAAGAGAAAACATCGAAATCACCAAGTAAGTTAAAAGAAAATTTAAATTGATTTTCAACAAAAAAAAGAAGAGTTTAACTTTTTGCATGAGAAAGTCTTCAACATAATCGTTGATGATCGCGCAATATCATGAATTGATTGAAGTTGGACATTAATATCATTGGATACCGGTTCAGTAGTGTAGAGGTTAAGCATTCACACGTGAAACTGATTGGTCCTAGGATGGATTCTTGTGAGGCGAGATCGTGGATGTGCACTTCAGAGGAGTCTCACTATAAGATGAAACGACCGTTCAGTAATTCCAGGTTTTCCATGGTGGTCTAACTTCAATTGACGCGTGAATTCAATTATTAAATTAAAAGTACTTACAAACATATTATATCAATTATGTAATAAAGAAAGAGAGAGCAAGAAAAAAAGAATCGCACAGAATAACGTGAATGGACTTTATTTCGTTAGGTTCTCATCAACTGTTTACAATCTATGATATTTTAAAACCAAAATTATTATAAAGTTTACATACCGTAAGCTGTAAATTGAGTATGTATGATCACAATGGTACAATGAGAATAAGGACATATAAATATTGGTGTAAAGAAATATGATATGTACGAGAAGATTTTTAGTCATCAAACATATTAATAAGAAATTATAGAGCTAAAATAACCGATTGATTATGTAATCAAGTCGCTGATAATGAATTAATAGCAATTATGAATATTATCAAAAAGGAGTTTTGTGGATATTATAGTAATTTAATAGTTGAGTTCATGAGTCAATTGAATCTAGACCACCAATAGAAAGCCTGGAAGTACTGGACGGTCAAGTTGAGATTATGAAATTTGAAACAAGTGAAGGAGGTCATTACTTAACCAGTTTAGTCAGTCAGCTACAACGTAGGACCAGGCACATATATGCATCGGTCCAAGTTGCCATACTTCATCAGCACAACAAGATGAACATCAAATTCATAGAAGTAGTTAATTCAGTGGTAATATATAAAAGAAAGTTTGCATATAAGGAGATAGTACAGGAAGAAAGAATTAGTTCGTAGAAAGAGAGGTATGAAGCAATTTTAATCTCATAGTTTAGTGGAAGACAGAGAGTGTATGCCATAACGCGATTGTGATCAATTTCGAGCCATTATACCCAGTCTCCAACCATTGGTTACGATGGTAATGCGGACCCCAACCAAACAGTCTGCATCTACCAACATGGCTCAGACCAGAAGTTAGTGAGTTCAAGCACTGATGCCACGTTTCGATTTGGCCGCCCGTAACTTAACCAGTTCACATGAACTTGGTTAATTGATACATTTATTCACTTTATTTTCCGTTATAAAATTTTAGTAAGTAAAAGTTAATTAACTCTTCAATATGATTGTAATTCAGTAAAGTGAATCAAGAAATCAATTGAAAGTATGTACTAACCTTGCATTCAAATGTAATTGGTTCTCCAGCTTCAACAATTTGTGATTCTATTAATGGTGGTATGAATTCAGGAGCTTTTCCTGATACTTTAATTTGTGTCACTGTAAGCCTTGATTTACTACAAGCTTGTCCAGCTGGATTACGCAGTGTTACTGAGAAATTCCCTGTATCTTCTAAAAGAGCTTTAGAAATAACAAGTTGACTAGTTGTAGAAGTTGTTGTTATCTATTTGTGAAAGAAAAAATGTATTTGTAAGTAGGGTTAGGATGTGTTGAACAAAGCATTTCATAAAATTGATCTAAACCTTGACTATAAGATAACCGATGTATCTTATTCTAATGGATTTTCAGATAATAACAATTGAAATAACTTTTTAATTCAGTCTAAAATGATTGTAGTTTTATATAAAGACATATTTTTGATTCTAACTTACAAAATATTAAAGGTTACACGGTATATATGGTACACAATACTATAACTTCAGGATAGAATTCTTGAATAACTTATTGAAAATAGTATATTTTAGCTTACTTAATTAATTTCATACACCTGTTACCCCTCGTGGAGGAGTATAGGTTACTCGCCAGTATTCTCTATTCAATTCTATCCTAATTAATCATTTCTAATTGTTTCCAGTTGTTATTCATCCTTTTCATGTCTACTTTGAATTCTTGACTCAGTGTGTTCTATAATCACTTTTCCGTTTCACTTCAATTCACCACTTAGAATTAAACTTACTGACATTCTATAGATTATTCAAATTCTTTCTAATAATAATATAAACATTACACCCTTTGTACAGGTGAATGATTATTTCAACTCTGTAGCTCAATGAATAACTCTATAGTTTTAGAAGAGTAGGTTATTGAGTTGAATGCTCAATGTAAACAACAACACTAAGATTCAGATATATCTAGCTAATCAGTCTCGAATAACATGATATATGTTTTTTTGAATTTCATTATTATCCACAATCCATCTATTCTATATCAAATTATAAAAATTGCTGTAAATTGTAAATAAAGTCAAAAAATGAAAAAAAGTATTTGTCATACTTTATAGTTTTCTCTATTACTGATATCGACTTGTTCACGTGCCCATATAACTTCAGGTACTGGTTCACCATCGAATTCAACTGAAAACCTAAATATAGTGGAATAAAATATAATTAGAAGATTTACAGGTAACATAGTAACATAATACTTTGAGGTGTGAATTTTATTTTGTTCCTTGAACTGGATTATTTACAACGACTTAGACATATGAGAAGTTATCACAATTACAATATTCATGTATTTCCATTGGTCTGGTGGTTAAGCGCTAGCGCGAGAGAATGACAGGTCCTGGATTCGGATCTCGCAGAGCGGGATCATGGATGCGCACTGCTGAGGAGTCCCACAATAAGATGAAACGGATGTCCAGTGCTTCCAGGTTTTCCACAGTGATCTAGCTTCAATTGACTCATGATTTCAACCATTGAAATTACTACAATATCCACAAAATCGCTTCTGATATTTCCAATTTCACAAACAGTTTATAGTCATAATACTCTATTTAAATTTTACCATATATAACATAACAGTTTTATTTTTATTGTGCAAAGACTTGACGTGTGGTGTGTGCTACTTATATCAACATAAGTAGTATAAAACACCAATCAGACGTAAAATGCCTAGTGGGCAAAAGGTTTGCAAGATTGGATCAAAGAGAACGGGAATAGAGATTAATTGTTATGACAATGAAGGAACAATGAAGTTTGAGAGAATTGATGGAGGATTTCTAAGAAAGTATTGAATGTATGGTTTACATATTTAAGGAAAGAACTCTGTAATTTTATATTACAATGAATTGGTTGTCTCCACTCGAGAGTCCACTCACTACAGACGTATTTCTGCACTAATATTTATTTATCTAGTTGACTGATTAACTTAGTATAGTATGGCGACTGTACTAAACGTGTGAAACACTTTTAAGTTGAACAGTGTCTTACGTTATTTCTGAAGATTCAGGAACAGTTTGAGGTTGTAAAAATTTCAAGAAGCGTGGTGCACGCATTGCAGGACCTTCTTGTGATGGCATGACTTTTTCAGCTATTACTTCAACAGATGGTTCTGGAAGAAAGAAAAAATGTACATATTTTTTATCTACATGTTAAACATGGATTCGAATCTCAACTAAAATTTAGATATATATTACTTAGGATCGAACGTGATACCGTGACATTACCTACCAAGTTCCTACTTAAGTTTAGTTACGAAAATTTTTCTTCGAATACTATCGGTTAGAGCTATTCATTAATGATTTACTTGAGCTATTCGTCGACAGATTGTAGCATTCATCAGAAATATGGATCGGTCGGAGTTAGATATTTCCACACTTGAATCTCGGCTCGGAGGTCTATAAGTTAAGAATTCACGCCCAAGGCCGAAGATCCTGGGTTCATGTTCCGAGCGAGGGATCGTGGATGCGACTGATAAGGAGGCCCACACTAGGACGAAATGGCCATCCAGTGCCTCCAGGTTTTGGTTGTCGGTAAAACTTAGGATTTACTAAAACAAAGATTTGATAAATGAATTTTAAAATGATGGAATCATTTGTCAAAAAGCTTTATGTGGAAATATTGAGTTTATTTATTGGGTGTCAAATCAGTGACTTTCTGAAATTTATTGTCTTTCATAATGTTTTAATCAAATCAATTGATGTATTTAACTATGACAGAGTATGTGTCCAATTAGTAGATAGGCCAGAAAGCCTAACTTAATGTCTTCCACTTTTATTGTATGAAGCCAGCTTCACAAGTGTGTAAAACAATTAATTTCAAATTTTTATGTAGTTTTTAACTTACTTGGAATTGGTTTGAGTTGTGCACGCAAATCAATTACTGGTATCACCTCCAGTTTAGCAGAAGCACTTACAACAGCATTTGGTTCAATGTTTACTAATTCTGGTGAAATATCACTTCGTTGAGCTACAATAAATATTTCACCTGCATCTTCAGGTTTACATTTCTGCATATCTAGATAATAAATCAAACCATCAAATCTACTGATGTATCGTATTTCTTCACTTTCCGGTAGTTGTGCTTGTATAATTCCATAGGAAGGTACAGGTTGACCATTGACGTACCATGTTACAATTGGTGATGGATTTGCAACAACATGAGCTGTAAAACGAGCATTTTCACCTTCATTTATACATACTGACTGAGGTGGTGACATTATTATTGGATTAGGGGAGGTTATTTCTTGTAGTCTGAAAAGCAAATTGTCTTGATTGGTTTACTATTTTCCATATACATATATAAATATTACTGTATATTATAGTATATGCAATGGAAAATCTAATTGAAAAAACAATCATGTTTGTTTATATATCTTGTTCTAATTAAGAAAGAAGGAATTTTTAGAATTGGAGACATTTTTGAATAAATAACATTATAACATGTTCAGTGTTATATTGAGATAAATCATGTTTTCAGTATACAGTCTACACTTACAAGCTGGTGTTTAGAAGATATTGACATAAAATGTGTATTTTCAATAGTTGAAATCATGAATCGGTTGAAGCTAGATCACCATGGAAAACCTGGAAGCACTGGACAGTCATTTCGTCCTGTTATCGGGCTCCTCAGCAGTGCGCTTCCACGATCCCGCCCCCCGCGGGATTCGAACCCAGGACCTATCAGCTCGAGCGCTGAACCACTAGATCAGTAAGACGGCATCCAACGGTATTAATGTCAAACTTCAACCAATCCACGAAGTTGCGCCACCGTCGTCATTGTCTTCAGTGAGCTGATATCTTACAACAGACCTGGTTGAACTCCACTGGTCAAGGCTTCTCACTAGAACTCCAAGACTATCTCTTAAAGTCAGTCACTAGTGAGCAGATGATTATTACTAGAAGGTGTTTTGTGGAGAATTGGTAATTTCAATAGTTAAAATCATGAATCGGGATCGTGGATGCGCACTGCTGAGGAGTCCCATACTAGGACGAAACAGCCGTCCAGTGCTTCCAGGTTTTCCATGGTGGTCTAGCTTCAATTGATTCATGATTTCAACTATTGAAATTACCAATTCTCCACAAAACACCTAGTAATATAATGTGTATCATTAGTCATATTGAGGAAAGCGAACATTTGGAAGAAAAAATTTGATCGAGAAAAAGTGTCAATATCTTGTAGACATCTTAAAAGTTCAAATCAGTTTGAAATTTTCATCAATAATGTAATCCAAAAAGAAATTGATCATATGAGAGAACATAACACAAACATTCACCCTTCTAGCTACATATCTTTTTAACTGTTATTGATTATAGTGCTCATATTTTGTAAGTAGTATAATGTATCCAAATTATTTTTACTTAGAAAGTATTTTTTTTTAGATGTGATTGTATTCAAAAACATTCGTCAACTGCTATCAGTAAAGTCATAGCTTAGTTTTCAAAGAAAATGACCAGTTTAGGACTTCAGTCAAACTGAAGATGATATTAAAATTATGCATTCTTCATATCAGAGTTTACGAATTAATTTATTTTCTCAACGTTCCAATGCTTGTCAACGTTGACTAACTGAATGTGATAATAAATGATCATGAGTTGTGATTAACTGAACAGTTACTAGAATTCAGAAAACATTGAACAACTCTTTGGTATGATTTGAGATCAGGTTTCACATGTCAAGTTTATTACTCTCATCTTAACTTCAAGATAAGAGGAATTTCATCCTTAAATGCTTTGAAACCAACTCCTCCGTCCTTTCAAAAAGTATATAAATGTATTATATAATGTATTCTAGAATAGGTAACATTCAACAATAAATACTTTACGTATAGATGAAATTCATTACGTCAGATCGTATAAAATGTCGGTTGTTTTCGATTAATGTAATGAGAGGTTAAATAATATATTTGTTACTCAGTTTCACACCGTGACACTCAAATGACCTTCATCAAGTCTATTATGATGATGACTATATTATTTCGATGACAAATGAGTGGTTCCGATTGAGTGACTACATACACAGACTGGAGACTATCAAAGAAAACAACTTATAATGGTTTGTAATAAATAATGGGAAAAAACAAACTAATTATCTCTTACCCTTCTGGTTGTTTCTTTGGTATACTAAACTTTCGAATTATTTCTTTAGGTTTCTCTTCAACTAAATATGAAATTTAAAAAAAATCAATATAATAGAAACGTCTTCTGATGTAATGGATAGTTTACGATATTTTTATTCTGTTATACTCATATTACAATGACAGGTTAATATGTTAATAAGACTAATCACGTTATATCAGAACCGAGGTCGGCAACCTTAAATAATCTGTTGTGACTTTAAGTCTGTCTTTTTATCACGTGATTTATCCACAAATCGCAATCTTAGTATTGTGCTAAACCAATGACGTTCAACCCGTATGAGCAACCTAGCTTCCTTATCAGTCCTTTGTTCACTTAGCCCGTCCAGTTGAGTCCAGAACGCCAATAACAGCTTCTCCTATGCGGATCATTTATTTCAAGCATACTTGGTTTATATACCAGCCAAACAGACCATAAAATAGAAAACAACATTTTTGCAAGACCAAGTCAAAACGTGACTATGAACGTGGGAGACTGTAATCAATGAACTGAACATAATTTAAGAACATTAAATCGTATTATAATAACCTATAGGTCAAAATGAAGCATATAAGTTCATTAATAGATCTCGGAAGATACTCGTAATTTAATCTTTACTAGGATATAACAGAACCAGATTAATACTATAGAACACATTACTCAATATGAGTATTAAGTAGTCAAACACAGTGAGTTCAGAGTAGATATCAATAATAAGACGGAAAACCACATATTAAATAGTCTGAATGCTGTGGTCATTTGTCCACACTCAACGACAAATCATACTTTATTTTCACTACTATACATCACTTCAAATATTATATTTATTCTTAAATTAATTAACTTTGCGAAAGTAATTAGTTTCATGTTATTCTTCCTTCTGTACTGGAAAAACCCGACCTATGAGCTCACTTGGTATTGTTTACTTGAACCTTCCCGTTGATTTTTAGGATTGCAATTAATCAGTCTCTTATTGGTATACGTTCATCCTATGTGGATTGCCTCGATATAGCCTTAAGTCACAGGCATTATAAGCAAAGATGGATAGTGGCTAGCAGTGGAATCCAGTTTGACGTCCGTTTCAATCTATTTGGGACTCGTCATTTGGACGTATATGCATCCCAGAGTTGACATTCACTCTAGGACTTAAACCCGTTATCGTTCGCTCCAACCACTACCGCGCTATCCACTTAACTACTGAGTCGGGATAGCCACTTGGTTATGCAATGGGGTGAAGTTTAAATTCACTTGGTATCGTTTACTTGAATTTTCCCATTGATGCTTAGCACTGCAATTGGTCAGTCTCTTATTGGCATATGTGCATGCTGTGCGTATTGAGGCGAACGGTATTGGGTTCGAGTCCCAGAGTCAATATCAACTCTGAGATGCAGGTACATCGAGCTGATGAATCCCAGGTAGGACAAAACGCGCGTCCTAGGTTTTTCTGCTAGCTACTATACATCCTCGCCAAACAACAAACGTTAATGATTCGTACCATATAATGTTGTACTACAACCTATTTAACGTGTGAAAGGTGATCAAGAAGAAGTTCTAGACTTTTGAGTTAAGTTATTTTTTAGTCATCATTGTACGTATTATTTTAATTTGGAGTCCAGTAGTCGATTAGTTATGGATATAATATCCTTGAATTTATCGGTAATCAATATTAATTAAAGGTCCGTGTAATACAAATTTACTCTTCATTAAATAGTACTGTAAAACATAAAATGTATATCCTAACTCATTCGCTTAATGTATATACGGTAATAAAATGGCATATATTCTACAGAATCATTATGAATTTGACTTGACAACAAATCTATACTAAGAATAACTTATATCAAATACATTTACGAGTAATACATTTAAAAGGAAATACCGAATGAATATAATCCCTTCAATAAAAATCATGTAAAAGTCATTTATTATCTCTCAACAACAACAAAAAAACAGGACCTACTTGGTGCTGAAATTTTTGTTCTTGCTGAAGCAGTTCCAGCTATATTTGCTGCTAAACACTGCCATGTACTCAAATCTTCAGCTTGCAAAGCTGCAATATGAAGTGTTGTCTCTAGTTCATTTATTGAAATTTGAATACGACCATCTGATGTTCCAGTGAATAACCTAAAATATAATTATTGAATAGATTTATTTCCATGAATTATTGCTTGATAAATTATAATACATCTTTTACAATTGATGAACTGGTAAATGCGAATTCAGTGAAAGCTATATACATTGCCCCCAAATGCCCTGGTACGACCGAGAGTGAAAAGAGTCAACTCTCCCTCTCCAAATGCTCTCACATGGCCACGTGCATACAACCACTGACAGGGAAATCCTACTCACTGCCTTCTCGCAGCATTACTGTTGTTTACGAAATTGAGAGGATGAAAAGAGAATGTCCGGCGCTTTAACTGAGTTGGTGGATACAAAGGATTCACCTAGGGGAGTCGGAAAACCCTGATTCCAAGCAAATGATTTCCATGTGCTCCAGGATCCTGAGGGAACGAATGGTGTATGAACCTTTTTTTGGTCACTATCTACCACGGGACTGCATCGCTGGACGTTGCTCCACTGCCTTATGAATCGGACCTTTATGTGGAAGGCTGTGGGTGTGTCTCCCTAATAAAACCACCTGCTTTGGTTTTGGCACCCGGGCAGTATCCCATCCCTCACACAAATCGAATGATTTATGTGGCTTATATCTATTTGGTGCCTTCTTGTACCAATGTTTATGTGCTTAAATACTAAATAATAACATACTTCAAGAAACAGTTTACAAAGAACCCAAGTCGATATCTACCTAGTTATCTAATCTTTTCGTACAATAATATGAATCTAGATTTAAAAGTAACACATTTGGTTTTTTAAACTGAAGATTACCGGGGTACATTTTTTTCTGTTTCTGTTTGACTGAATTCAATTCGATCGGGATGTTAATATGGGAATTTTTATTGAACAAACTTAATAATTACAAATCAAAACTTAGCTAATTCTCTTATTGAGATAATTCTTACATCAAAGGGTAATGAACTTGCTAATTCAATGGTAAGATTATACATTATTAGTTGCTGAGCTACATTATCCACTATTACATAATACAAATGATGATACCAATCTTCCCAGTGTGTTTGTCGAAGTCACGAGGATGCATAACTCTAGCTATTAATGATATTTCTATTTTTTGATTGGTTGATTTGGTTAAATTTGTAATTTATGATCAAGATCATTGTACATCAGTACTAATGAATATTTACAAAGTAAGGATAAACTTTCTATGTGCTAACATAACAAGCTTATATGTTTCATCTAACCAATGTATTTAATATAGGCCAATAAACTTACTTTCCATCTTTATGCCATGATAGTACTGGTTGTGGTATTCCTTCTGCAACTGCATACAATGTAACTTCTTCATTAAGGGGTGCTGTTAGTTGAGTAGGTGGTTTTTGTATGAACCGAGGAGCCTGTGAAATTGTTTGTGGTTTACCTTCGACATGTATATTAAATCGAAGTTCTGCTTGACCAAATTGATTAATAGCAATACAATTACAGACGCCAGAGTCAATGTTAGGTATGGGTGTGTCTAGAATTAGTGAACATACGTTTGCACGCATGGGGACGATCTAAAATGGTAAGGGTTTAGAAAATGGAAAAGAAGATATAACTATTTGGTTTACAGACATTTAAAAAGTATCAAGATAATTCTTCAATAAACCAATATAAGCTTGAAAATCCATGAAAAATAGGTACTGAGAAGACGCTTCGTTCTTGTTTATTGATTCCCGGAAAATACTCCACATTATTGCATGTGAAGTCATGTGTACTCATCACTGAGATACGACTGGTATAAACAAAGCAGTTGTCCAGTGACTTTCAAGTAGATATCAGGTTTTGATGGAAATCACTTTGAAAATATAACTTGTTCTTTCATGTTAAAAGTACTTATAACATTATTTACCTTGTGCGTTTTATCCATGGTAATCGGACGACCATTAATAAACCATGACACTGTTGGGACTGGTTTCCCGATTACCTCAGCTTCTAAGCGAACAGGTTGACCTTCTTGTAAGTTTAACACACCAGGACAGGTGATTATCGGACCAGCTTCTGTTGGAGACCAAGGAAGGGGACCTCGACAGAATATTGGTGGTTGACCAGTTGGGGCAACGCTTGATAGCGGTACAACGGATAGCTACAAGAAAAAGATTACGACACTTCTTGAATGTTAAGGTATAAGTGAGGACATTTAAGTGCTTAAAAGAGATGTATGGATGTTTTCTAATTATCATAAAAGAAATCAATTATCATTAACAAATTTACTTACGTTAACAATACAATGATCTTCTCCAGCAGGATTTTTCGCTGATGCTACATAAATACCAGAATCAGCTTCAGTAGGTTCTGTAATTTCCAATCCCACTTCACCATTGTCCTGATAAAAAAAGTTCATAATTATATGGGTCTCAATATACAAAAATAATCAATTTTATTGTCAATGTCTATGCATTGGGTACTCTAGTTACTGTTAGAAAGCAAACATGTGACATGTAGTGCTATTCTCTAACTTACGACTAATTATTGTTTTAAAAGTATTTCACATACAATGTATTTATCACTAAGATATAATTTATTGGAAATATGTCAGTCAGTCAGTCAGTCAATCAATCAATCAATCAGTTAGTCAGGCAGTAACAACGTAGAACTTCGTACGTACGTACATCAGTATTGAAAACATGAAATTGTATTGTAACAGGATTTCGATGGAAATTCATCAAATTAATTAATTGTATCAATTAGCATTTATCAACAAGATATATTTGAAATTCAAACAAAATGAAATGAATACTAAATTTTCTAAATCATATAATACCGTTTCATAGTTAATGAACTTACTACTTCAATGGTAAGATTATACATTATTAGTTACTGAGCTACATTATCTACTATTACATCATACAATTGATGATACCAATCATCCCAGTGTGTTTATCGGAGTCACGAAGATGAATAACTTTCGTTTTAAAAATATAACTTCGAAAATAACTATTCTAGCCTGGAGTCTTTCAATCTTTTTACAAATGATTATGTACGAATGAAAAGGGTTAACATAGAATAAATATATCAAAAGATTACTATATTATTTAGGCAGTAGAATATATAAAAACTATACGAATATCATCTTCTAGCTGAACTCTACGTTTACAAACTTTTACTATAAGGAATCTATAAAGATATATCGAATTTCTTAGTTAAGATTATAAAATGATTTTAATTAAGCGACTATTAAAATCCAGGAACTATTCGACAGATGCCTTGTCCTTGTATGGAACTCCTAAGCAGTGAGCACCCATAACCACCCCCACCAGAGATCAGATCAAAAGCATTCGGCTTCATGTGCAAACGCTTACCTTCTAGACCGCTGGTTCAAGTATCCAACTCCTGAAGACGGGGTGTGCATATATATTTCTGAATAGTCTCATGGTAAGTTGATGAAGTAAAGTATGAGTCAGTGACCTACTAGTTGAACATAAAACTACCTCTTAGAAATTAGTCCAATCTGTGAAGATTAAGATACTGTGACTTTGAATGAGAAGTTGGTAAAAAATAATGAAAGGTTTCGTGATCAAATTAGAAACAATTTGTTATCCTATCTGTCAATGTTATTAACAGTTATTTGCTTCCACCTTTAAGTTGAATATATCAGTAGGTGGAAATCACTAACTACCGAGTGATTAATGCTAATGGATTGTTTTTAAAGTTGATAAGCCTACTGGAATTAATCAATAAACTGTTAATTAACCTGAATACATAATAACATTGAATTTTATGAAAAAAAAATGAAAACAATTGATACTTACTAATACATGATAATGTATCCTTTCATTTGAATACAATGGTTTCCCATTTTTAAGCCATTGTACGCTTGGTTTGGGCTGACCATAAACTCTGCCATGTATATGCAGTGGGATCTTCTCATTTATTTTAAGTTCACTAGGAAATCGTTCAATGAAATTTGGTGGAATCATTTCTGGTTGTATAAATATTGTTTGTTGTTGATATGTATGCGATAAATCGGTGATATCCATTGATGGATGACTTAATTTCAATTCATATTCAGTATGAACAACTGGTTCTGGTAGAACAGATCTGAAAGTTAATTTATATATATTGAGATTATGAATTTATCAATGATAGACCACCAATGAAAACCTGGAAGCAATGAACGACCATTTCTTCCTAGTATAGGATGACTCAATAATGCGGTGATTATTAAGTTTTTGATTGAGATCATAAACCGACTGATGTTAGATCACCATTGAAAACCTGGAAGAATTAGACGGCCGTTTCACCCTATTGTGGGACTCCTCACCAGTGCTCATCCCCGATCCCACTCGCGGAATTCGAACCCAGAGCCTTTAGTCTAGCGCGCGAATGCTTAACGTCTAAACCACTGAGTCGGCATCTAACGGTGTTAATATTTAACCTCAAGCAATCCACGAAATTGAGCGATCATTTTCCATGGTACTGAGGTAGATACCTGTCTCTAATGAACATAGATTAGCTCCACTGGTCACGGTTTCTCACTAGAGCTCTGAGAATTTCTTCATGAAGCCAGTCACCAGTGAGCACATGGTAATCATCAGTATGGGATTGTGGAGATTATAAAGTCTTCGCTTAAGTGATTTTTTAAAACTTCCTGTATTTACTAATTATCAAATACGCCTTAATAAGGATATTAATGAATTATTCAGTCAATAGGTAACTCAGATATTTTAAACGGAACCTACTGATTGATATAATTACTTTTTTACTTCTCACAATTTTTTTATTGAATGAAGAGATCGAAATAAATTTATAATATAAGATTTGGTGTATTCAAAACTCTCAAAAAAACTCACATAGGTTCTTCACAAATTATTTGAAGACATTTTGAACATGAACCAGCTGGATTTGTAGCTGTCACTAACCATTCTCCTTGATCATTTGGTTGAATTTGTTGAATAATTAGTCTTGTAATCCCTGTATTTGGTATATTTTGAATGAATTGATTTGGATTACTATAAACAATCATGCCATTATGATACCAATTCAATGAATTCAATGGTAAACCTTTAACTTCTACTTCTAATATCAATTCTTGATCAGGTTGAACTCTTATTGGAGATTCTGGGAATTTAATAAACTCCGGTGGTTGAATAGTTGGTTTTTTTGTGTCACTTATAGCTTTTATTTTAAACAAAATAAAATCATTATTAAGCATAAATCTATATAGCAAAGTAGATTGTAATAAACTTATAAATAACAAAAAAAAGTAGCTATTCTGTTAAAAAACCAATCAGGATTGCGATCGACAGAACAGGCTGCCAATTATATGTAAGGATATTCAGATAGATCATATCTATTTGAAATTTGTTCTCATAGTTTTGTTCAGAAAGACTCTGAAAGCATTACGATTAAACTGTCCATCTTAGTCAGTCAGTCAGCTACAACGTAGGACCAGGCACATATATGCATCGGTCCAAGTTGCCATACTTCATCAGCACAACAAGATGAACACCAAATTCATAGAAGTAGTTAATTCAGTGGTAATATATAAAAGAAAGATTGCATATAAGGAGATAGTACAGGAAGAAAGAATTAGTTCGTAGAAAGAGAGGTATGAAGCAATTTTAATCTCATAGTTTAGTGGAAGACAGAGAGTGTATACCATAACGCGATTGTGATCAATTTCGAGCCATTATACCCAGTCTCCAACCATTGGTTACGATGGTAATGCGGACCCCAACCAAGTAGTCTGTATCTACTAACATGGCTCAGACTAGAGGTTAATGACTTCAAGCATTGATGCCATGTTTTGGTTTGACCGCCCCTCACTTTCTTCTAACCAAATGAGGTAATGATTTATTATTCGACTAAACTGAAGCCCACACATTGAATGAGCAGTGAAATATATAAATGATCACTTGGATTCTTAGAATTAATATTAAAACAAAGCTTCTTGTCATTTTGGTTAGTTCTAATTCATACTGATTTTTAAAAAAATTTGGCTATCAGATTAACAATTCACAAAGTGTAAAGATTTAAATATGGGAACTTAATGATTTACTTTTTGTTATAACACTTATATTAGACATAACTTCTGCTTGACCCGCTATATTTTCTGCTATACATGTGTAAAGACCAGAATCTTCTGAGAATAGTTCATTCATAATTAAATGTCCTGTCATTATTACTGGATGAGGCTGTAATTCATTCACATCAGACACTGGTGGTCCAACTTGAGTTTGTTGATGATCTGGGCTATCAACTAATGGTTTTCCATTTAGGTACCATTTAATGAATGGTATTGGATTGCCACAAGCTTCAGCTGTTAAAACTAATCGTTCACCTTCATATATTTCTATTTCTGGACTGAAGGTCTAATATGAAAAAGATGTATGTTAGAAAAGACAATAATTATTGTAAATGTCATGATAATATACGAGATGAATTAAGATAGCATGGAGTTTTATTACAACATTTTTTTAGATATTCAACATGATTTCTTGAAGAATTCACTAAAGTACATCAAAAGTATTAGTAAGATTAAAATTAGTCTTTGATACAAGTTCATTTGTGGTGTTTATATCTAGCTAAAATTCATCTTAGTTTCTTATGTATAAATTAATGTCATGGAAATGGATTTAGATATTTCATTTGAACACATTGAGTATTCTGTCATATTATATTAGTCTGATAAACGTTATTTGGACAGAATTAAAGCAGTAGTAACTATGACTGAAATGAAAAAAGTCTGAGTTTTGGTGTAGGTTTGATGACAATTTTGTATCTTTATATTAGCTGTGTTAAAATCATGTTGCGTTAGGAAATGTATTACACATCCTGTGATATCAAGGTGCACAAGAAACATGTACATTTAGATGCTAATAAAATTAACTTATCTGTTAACTTCGTAGGTCATAATAAACAACTATCAAGTAATACGAAGAGAATTACTGCTCACTATGTTATACTGACCGAATTGAAGGTGTAGTGTCTGTTATTATGTTAAGCCCATATACCTTATTCTAACTTTCGGACAACCCAATCTATTCATTCTACTTCAGTCACATTCTGACCTTGCCAATTATTCGCTTAGCAATCTTGACTGTCTTTATATGAGCGCGTAGGTGTGTGTACACTTCTGATTCCATTACTTATCACATGTCTGTAACTTAATTTTGTGTGCCTATAAATATTGATTAACGAACGCTTAACTAAAGAAGAGTTGGTTTACCAGCCATCTCCACCGCGCGTCATTTTTGCTTCCCTTTCTTCTCTTCGCATTGTTTCCCCGTTCGTTTGTCTGGACCAACGATTATACAAAATATATGTATCCAAAGTTCCATTCTCGTTATTTGACTTATTTAATTCCGTTATTAACTAACACGATTTAAGTCAATGATTATATACGAGAATAGGCGACGTATATATTTCAATCACAATCATTCATACGATCAAATTGGAGTCAGATCTCGGGCTACTAAAAAAGTAAGATTGTCGAAACCTTAGCGTTATTCGAGTGTGAGATTCATCAGCCTCTCAACTATTATACTAGATTGCTACTTAATGAATACATTCATCAATTTGTAACAAATATATATATATATATATATATATATATATATATATATATATTGAAGTGAATCACAAATATCTGATTAATAATCAAATATTCATAATTGACGTACTTTTGTGAAATATGGCTTCTCTGGATACGGTCGAGATTCTGGGGATGGTATTTGAACTTGTTTTAGACCTTCTACTTGTACTGTCAACTGGCTTAGACATAACTTATCTACTTCAGGAGGATAAGGTCTTTCTGGTTCTGTAAAACAATTAGAAATAAAAGAATATTGGTTAATAACAGATAATTGTCTTTAAGTTATAACCATAGACCTTTGAAGGATAGCTAATATGTTGGGTTATTCATGTTTTAGATATTTCAAGGTATGCATAATATTGGTGTACTAGTTGACTCAATGCAATACATACCATTATAGACTTGTCATCTATAACTAAACCCAATAATTAAAAGTTAAACCCATTCAAATTATTGATGACTATTTAAATAAAATCGATAGTTTAGTAGTGTACAATATACAAATCGATATTGAAGACTGTATTAAATCAATTATTTCTGTAATGCATACTACTTATTTTGGCAGATACAAGTAGTATGTAGCACTAGTCGGAAGTTGAATGCCTGGCAGTAAAAGGTTGTAATGAAGAGAACAGGAAGGACATATGAGAGTAATCAAAATAACAACCGAATTAGAGGAATAATGCAGTATATAAAGGACAACGCAATGATGTTCAAATAACGTATTTAATGTATGATTTTCATAATTTACTAAGCCACTGTGTGACAGCTATTTTATAAAGCTTAATATTACTTAAGAGCATACAAAGGACTTGCAAATAATCATCATTTCAAAGTCATATTATCTACTTAACTTTTATTCACATTAATACATAACAACTTACCTAAAACAGTTAACAAACCAGAAGAAATACATTTTCCAGCTGGATTCTCAGCAATTACAGCATAACGACCAGAATTTTCAAAGAATGCTTCAGGTATATTGAGTGCATAAATACCATTACCTTCACATTCAAGTATATAGTTTGGAGAACTTGTAATTTCATGACCATCACGAGTCCTGTAATATTTAAAAGAATTAATTTTGTAAATAATGTATTATGTTACATAGAGATTTGATCATTCTGTTCATCGAGAGGGTATAGCATACAACTAAATGATGTATTTTTATTCAATTCTTCAAGTGGTTATTTCTCATTAATCAGATTATAACTCTTCTTTGTAACCAGCTAGTCTCATATGTCGAAAGACAGTTCTTGATGAAAAACCAACGTCTACCAAGGAAATTTTAAGAAGTGAAGAATATGGAATGGTTGTTTTATCTCATAATTAAATTACTTGAAAGTTTATATAAAGTCTATATAATCCCACCTCGCGAGATTCAAACCCAGGATCTACCAGTCACGCACGAATGCCTAACCTCTGAACCACTGAGCCGGCCGGCACCCAACGGTGTTAATGTCTAACTTCAATTAATCCACTAAATTAAGCGACACATCCACCGTTGTCTTCAGTGAGTTACTATCTCACAAGAGGCCCGGTTGAATTCCACTATTTAATGCTTCTCACTAGAACTCCAGGAAATACCTCTTGAAGCCAGTCACTAAAGAGCATATGTTGATTAATATCAGGTGTTTTGTGGATATTGTAGTAATTTCAGTTGGCGAGATCATGAGTCGATTGAATCTGCCGAGGATCACTGTTGAGGAGTCCCACAATAGAAAGAAACGGCTGTCCAGTGCTTCCTGGTTTTCATGATGGTCCAGATTCAACTGACTCATGATCTCAACTACTGAAATTACTACAATATCCACAAAAATCTTTTATGATATTTCATTATTGTTCATTTATGATGAAAATTTGATTAATTTAGAAACGTTTGACCTGGAAATTTCATAGACCAAATAAATCATTTCTGAAAAACTAAACATTGTTTTTATACTAAATAAATGAAATTCAACTTTTTCATCACTTATAAGACTCAATTAATGTAATCATTATTGTTGTATACAAGTTACGTTTGATAAAAAATTAGATTAGAACCAGTATTTTCAGTCAGTGAGAAAATAAGTCAACGTCTGGGGAGAAGCATGGGATACAGTGAACAGCTAATATGAAGCAGGACGATCTGGACTTCGCAGATGACCTGGCTCTTCTATCGCAAACGCAACAACAAATGCAAGAGAAGACGACCAGTGTTGCAGCAGCCTCAGCTGCAATAGGTCTCAATATACACAAATAGAAAAGCAAAATTCTCTGGTAAAACACAGCATGCACCGATCCAATCACAATTGACGGAGAGGATTTGGAAGATATACAGACCTTTACACATTTGAGCAGCATCATCGATGAACACGATGAATCTGATGCAGATGTGAAGGCGCGGATCGGCAAAGCAAGAGCAGAATATTTACAACTGAAGAACATCTGGAACTCAAGACAATTGGCAACCAACACCAAAGTCAGAATTTTCAATACAAATGTGAAGACAGTTCTACTGTATGGGGCGGAAACCTGGAAAACCACGAAAGCCATCACCCAGAAGATACAGGTGTTTATTATTAAAATACTTCGGATCCGTTGACCGGACACTATTAGCAACAACCTACTGTGGGAGAGAACAAATCAGAGCCCAGTGGAGGAAGAAATCAGAAAGAGGCGCTGGAAGTGGATAGAACACACCTTGAGGAACTCAACAAACTGCGTCACAAGACAAGCCCTCATATGGAGTCCTCAAGATTGAAGGAGGAGAGGAGGACCGAAGAACACCTTACGTCGAGAAACTGAGATAAACATGAGAAAAGTGAACAAGAACTGGATGGAACTAGAAAAGAAGGCCCAGGACAGAGTGGGTTGAAGAGTGCTGGTCGGCGGCCTATGCTCCATTGGGAGTAGCAGGTGTAAGTAAGTAAATAAGGGAAAAAAAAGTACATCTCGAATAAAAATGAACAGGTATTTAACAAAATAACTAAAATGTTTACCATATACATTTGAAATAATGTAAATTGTCTTACCATGTAACTGTTGGTGGTGGATATCCATCTACTTTAACAATTAATCGAACTGATTCTCTTTCATATATTACTTGATTTTCAAGTCCTTTAATAAATCTTGGTGTCATTAAACGACCACGTACTATTAAATTTGCAGTACTTTGTGCACGACCTGCAATATTTTCAGCTTCACAAGTATATTCACCTGCATCGTCAGGGAATGCCTTTAATTTTTAAGAAAAAAAGAATTGGAAATGTATTATCTATGTTGGATTGTGGAGATTAAGCTTTTGATTGAGATTATGAATCGATGAATGTTAGACTGTTAGGCTGTTTCGTCCTAGTATGGGATGATTCAGCAGTGTGCATTTTTCATAATTCTTTTTATTCTGTTTTTAGTCTTATTCCTTTTTGTTTCCTTTTCGGTTCTCTACTGTTCAATCTTCTCAGTCCTTTTTTAACAGACATTCCACTCCTGATTGGTGCTACATGCTATTTATATCCATCAACATAAGTAACATACACCACAACACTACTTATTAATACAGAATAAACGAAATGTGACTATCAGTGAAATCCAGGGTGTCAGTTGATGTTCACTCCTGGACTCGAACTTAGTACCGTGCCACTTTGCTACTGAGTCCAACTAACCATTCACTTGTATAGTGGTTGTGAGAATTAATTCAGTTTGAAATGGTTTGGATTATCCCGTTATTAATATTTTTGACTGAAATTTGATCAGTCTTAGTTGACATAGGTACATCCTATGCAGATATAGCCATTATAACACATGTTGATATAGAATAGAAGAACTAATCAAATCTTAGTCAGCATAATCCAAATTGAATTAATACTTTTTGGTTATCATTGATTGTCTAAAGTCGATCAGATAAATAGACGATAATATTCAACAATCTTCCCAAACCAAAGTACCATTTGGATTTTTTATTTATATAAAATCTTTTAGCATAGATATATTTGGTTAGATCTTCGATTAAAATGTTGAACCCAATCAATTAATTGAATATTATGTAACATATTTAAAAAACTAGAAAAAAAATTCATTAATTACAATTAACTTATTTTTCATAATAATGAAAAATAACTTACTTCACTGAGTGTTAATCGTACACGATTATTTGTATAATCTAAACGGAAATCAGGACCATCAGATAATTGACGTCCCGAACGATACCATGATATTTTTGGTTGTGGTGTACCATTTACAAGACCTTCTATAACAACACATGCTCCTTCATCAGCTACAACATTGGCTAGAGGTTTTATAAACTCTGGTGGAATAGGTACTTCAACAATTACATCAACTGGACGGTACTGGAAAAGTACGAATGATAAACAAGAAAATAAATTATCCAGTTTATCCGTATAGAATAAGAATAATTTTATTCAAAAAATATGAGAACATTAGGGAATGAATGTAAAATCAAAATGAAGAAAATATTTTTCAAAAGCTGGTGAGTTAAAAAGTAGAGGAACTTCTTAACTAGATTTTCAAAACGATACATGTGTTCGATTTTTCAGAGAATTAAGTGTAGCAAAAACATACTGATGATTGTATTACGGTTCATTATGATTCTAGTACCATTTTATTTGGGTTCGCCCTCACCAGTGACTAGCTTCAAGATGCAACTCCTAAAGTCTGAGTGAGAAGCTGTAACCAGTAGAGTCCAACTATGTCAGGTATGAGACAGTTTTCTCCCACAGGTAATAGATAAAGGTTACGCAGTACCTTGAAATAATGGAAGTAAGACGCTTAAACGGTTAGATGCCGGCTTAGTGGTTCATAGTATAAGGGTTCGTGTGCGAGGCCGAAAGTCATGGGTTCGATTGCCACATGTGAGGTCGTGGATATGAATTACTGAAGAGTCTCATCCTGGGATAAACAGCTGTTCAAAAACCCTTATTTCGATTAAAATATCTGTGTTTTTACTTATAGATTTAGATACGTTGTAAGGTATAGTTTCCGGTCATTAGGTGTTAATACAAAAGTAGACTTTCAAAATTATTCGATTTAAATAAATCGGATAAGCAGTAGCTTCACAAAGAGTAAGTTAAATCAGTATGTGAAAGCTATAGAACGTAGTGAGTATTCAACAGAGAGGTGTTCTGGGTCAAAAAGTGAAAAACTATTAGTTTCCAGTCACGTGGTACAGCATAATAAAAAGGATTGGCTGAAATCACTAAAATATTTAATACTGAATTCCAACCATATGATTCGATTTTAAGGTACTCCTTGAAGCTTTAGAAATACCAGTCTAGTTAAAACACAATTAAGTGGAAGGATATGACGACCGTTTATCATTTCTTAGTTGATATTAATTTTTTTCAGACTATTATTTGTGATGATCAACTAGTCTTTATTAATAGTTGAATACATGAGTCGATCTTAGCTAGACCACCATTGAAAATCCGGAATTTATGGACGACCGTTTAGTCTTAGTATGGGACTCCTCAGTGATGCGCATCCGGGACTGTCTCCACCCAAAAATTGATGATGGGTTGCGCAAGATCATTGATCGATTAGAGTTAGACATTCATACCATTGGATGTTCCCTCAGCGGTCTAGAGGTTAAGTGTTCGCTCATGCGACTGAAAGTCTTCAGCTCGAGTTGGGTGTGATGGATCGTAGATGCGCGCCACTGAGGAGTCACGTACTAGGACGAAACGGCAGTTCAGTACATTCAGATTTTCAGTGGTGGTCTAGCTTAGATTAACTCATGAATTTGACTATAAAAACTACTACGGTCTCCAAAAATCTTCATTTTGATAGTTTTTATTAATTTGAATATTATTTTTGACTTTTAAAACATCTATAATTCAAGTAGTCGCCCTCTACGAGCACATTAACATCAGAACATTTTTAAAAGTATTTAACGTACCCTAGCGTAGAAATCAGTAATCCATTGACTTTTATGATGTTCAATCTGTGGTACAACCGGAACAACATTCATATTTGTTTCATGTTCAAAAGTCGACTCAAATATTGATGTTAAAGATGGCCTACTTGGTAGATGAGTTGAAATAGCAGTTTCATACTATTAAAATAAAAGAAATAGACAATATAATAGGAATTTTCTCAAAACACATCGATATTATACAGAAATATTATTCTTAAAAGGAACACATGATGTGTAAACTACTGCTCAAAGTATATTGTTTGATTAACTAACTGAGTGTTGCTTCATTTTCTACCAATAACGATAATAAAAAAAGAACAGAAACACCAAAGATTTAGCCTAGATGAAAGTAGAAGAAGTAAAACTGATATGACGGGGAGAAAATAGGCAAAATCGTACTCAATGTGGGTTTTTTCCTAAATTACGTCCGTTTTTTAATTCAAGGCGATGATTACTCAATGCTTTAAGTCACAAGCATTTGAAGCAACGATGGATGGTAGTTAACAGTGGGATTCAGGACGCGCGTTTCATCTTAATTGGGGCTTGTTAGTTGGGTGTACTTGCATCCCTGAGTTGATGTTCACTCTAGAACTCGAACCCATTACCGTTCGCTTCAAACGCCATCGTGTTATCCACTTAGCTACTGAGTCCTGATAAGGACCTGGGATTCTACTACTAGTCACCATCCATCTTTGCTTATACAACATGTTATCATTCTGGGTATTTTTTCACATATGTGATTTCTTCCTGATCAATAAGCAAAATGGGTATCCACGCAATGTAGAAATGAGTGTATATACGACTAGGGTGACCTTCGTATTTTGGAGTTAATGAATCTTCATTTGTACCAGTCTTTGTGTTCTTCTCTCGCTTCGTGTGAATTGCAGTGGTTCCTCGTTTGTTTTTTCAAGTATAAGTAATAAGCAACGCAGATATAACAAGAACCATTCCATATCATAAAACAATATCAATATTCTATCAAACTAATGATAACGGAAATAACTTAGACGAATGACTATAGATTTTTTGAATAGAACAATCACATTATCATGGAAATACTGACCAGATTACATTATTTTATACAACTTCAGTAACATGATAGTTTTACCTTATTTCATTTTATGAATGAAATACTGTATATCATTCCAGTTAAAATAATGTTTATGAGTTAGTCTTGATCAAAATAGAACTTGGCACAAACATTCTTAGTAAATTATAATTTAAACTTTTTCCCTTTCATCAACTAGATGTTCTTGTTTTATTCAATTCACCTCTCAAAACATACTTGATAACTTGATCATATTCCTGTATCAGATAACGTTACATATCCTAATGAATTACGATAAATCCAATCTGAACTAGTGAAGGAATTACTATTATGATTGGGTGAGACTATAATTTATGGACGAACTAATCAGATATAAGATAACGAGTCACGACGCGAAATTCATCCATACATTTGGCTAAATAGAGTTTTGACATTATAGCTGATGTCAGTTCGTGATGAAAATCCTAAATCTAATTTTAAACCCTAACCATCAATTGTAAATGAGAATTCTATCTGCTTTATAACCCGCATTTATTCCTAATCAGTAGGTGTCCAGTCTCAAGATCACTTCAGCGTCGTTCAACAGTCGTCCATAAATTATTGTCTTGCCTTTTTTATGTTATCTTATTTCGAAGATTTGTGTTGAAATGATAGAATTCTGTAAGTAAATATGGAGATTGGACAATTAGTTGAGTTTCTTTTTCTTATAAGAAAGATAACTAAAACTTTTATACAATTATTCACTACATTTTAATTGTGTCGGGTTACAAAGTATACTAATACAAACTTGCAATGTAATTCATATCACAATTTTTTTTGACTAAGATTAACTCTGCAATTGATATATATCATTCTTAGTGTTAAACATCAGTATCTTACTTGTTTTAATTGAGTTTCCATAAGATAAGTTTTTTCATAATGTAATCGACTTTCATAACCACTAATCACTTCAGTCTTTGCTGATAAATCTGTTGACAGTTGTGTTTTGTATTCAGGTACTAGCGGTATTAGTTCCATTTGATGTTCATGTTCACCTTCTGATGTATAACCTTCTTCTAAATGTGGATGACTAGCAACTTTTGTATCTAATTCAGTACGATATTCTGGAACTATTGGTGTAACTTCAAGTTTGATAGGATGTTTAGTTTCAACAGCGTATCCAGGCATCAATTCTGGTTTAGAGGGGACATCAGTGTTCAGTTCAGTTTTATATGAAGTAATCATTGGGATAACATCCAATTTATGTTCATGTTCTTCTTCTGATGAATAACCAGCTTCAAGTATTGGATGACTTGCTATTTGTCGTTCCATTTTTGTATGATATTCCGGTACCATTGGAGTAACTTCAAATGATCGAATATGTTCAGTTTCTGTAGTATAGCCTGGTGTCAGTTCTGGTTTACTATAAATATCAGTTGTTAATTCAGTTTTATAATCAGTATGAGGTACAATAGGTACAACATTCATTTCATATTCACGTTCTTCTTCAGCTGCATAACCTTTTTCTAATGTTGGCCTAGCTGGTAAATTATGTTCTAATGATGTTTGATATTCACGTCTCATTGGTGTAATATGTAATGTACGTTTATGTTCTTTTACTGAACTATAACCAGACATGATATATGGTCTACTTACTAGATTTCTTTCCATACGTGTTTTATAATGACGTACCATTGGTACAACGGACATACTATGTTCATGTTCTTCTTCTGATGAATAACCTGGTGAAAGACGTGGTTGACTAGCAACACGTCGTGAATAACGTGTTTCAATATTTGGTACAATTGGTGTAATTTGTTTTTTATATAAATGTTGTGTACTACTATAATGTTTTACTTGTCCTTGTAATTTTAATTGACTGTCAATAGGTCGTATTATCTAATGAATTAGAAATGAATGTAATATTAGTTTAAGAACTATGATTTAAAGATTATTAATTTTACATGTTATACTTTATAAAATTATTGTTCTCATTAGTGTTATGTTCTGTAGGTTCTTTCTTGCGAAGATCTCCGTGTAGCGACGTAAAATAAATTAATTTGGAAGGTGTCCATCTACCTAAGAACATTGTAGTTTTTTGTTGTTTATAAATGATATACTGATTTTCATATCCTAAACTCACTAATGCTTCAAACATTTGATTGTTTGTTATAAAACAGAGAATCTTTCCATGTTAACAGTTATCTATTAGACGCTCGTGCAGGAAGTCGAAATTTTCGGGCTCGGTCTCGAAAACTGGCTGAATCAAGTATTCAGTTAAGTAAATCCGAAAAGAACTGAAGCACTCACTTACTGCTGTATGAATTAACTGACATAATCGTATTGATCAAGTTTTCATTTTAGCTTAAACGACGTTTATTGTTTGTTTATTGTATGTATGATAAAAATATTTACTTAATAATATTCACAACCTCATATTAATAATTACCATGTGCTCACTAGTGAATAACTTCGTAAGGGAATTCTCGCAGTTCTAATGAGAAGCCGTGACCAGTGGAGCTAATCTATGTCGGGTAGAGACAGGTATCTACCTCAGAACAACGGAAGATCTTCGCTCGGTTTAACGTTAGACAGTAAAACTGTCGGAGGTTAAGCATTCGTGCGCCAGACCAAAGGCCCTGGGTCCGAATCCCTAGCGAGGCGGGATCGTGTATGCACATTGGTGAGGAGTCCCACAATAGGGTGAAACAGCCGTCTAATGCTTCCAGGTTCTCAATGTTGGTCTAACATCAATCGGTTTATGATCTCAATTAAAAACTTAATAATCTCCACAACCACATACTGATAATATTCACTTTGTTCAATATATATTTAGTACAATATAGAGTTCTCTAAGGTCTACTGTATTAACATCGTAGATGTTGGTTTAGTACTGACATACATATTACGTGAACCAATACAGTGATAAGGTAAAGATATTAATTCACAAGAAGTTTTGTATAAAATATCATTTGGTGACAATAAAAAGTAAATTTCTAAGCTCCATACAGATTTATTCACCTTAATGGGTACATTCAAACTGTTACAATGTATTTCAATACTCATAATACATATCCCCATTAGAATTTTGATGTCATCCTACTGTGGAACTATAGAGTTAGGTATTTATGAATACTAAGAAGTTTTAACATACAAAGAAGTATTTAACATATTTGACTACTAATTTTAAACTATCACTAAACAATTTATTTTACCTCTGTTCGACTTAATGATTGTTCTTTGCGTGGTAATGCAAAGGTTAGTTGAATTGGTGGTGTTGGCTGTCTTGGTCTTATTTGTAAATGATGTCTTGTCAAGTAGTATTGTGATGGTGGAGCTGATGTTTCTCTTTGAAATCGTACTGGTGATAAAGGTAATTGAACTGTAGCAAATGATTGTGGTGAAATAATTGGAGCAGTACTTGCTGGTGATGGTGGTAACGATGTTTCACGTGGACATATTTGTCGTGTAACTGTATGCCTTGTTAAACTCATCGTTGATGGAGGTCTTTTAATTATTGTTTGACTATAACCAACAGGACTTATAAATGCTGAACAAGTAACTCTTCCATGGAGATTTTCAGCTATAGCTTGATAACGACCTATTGATCAATAAAGTATTTGATAAAAATAACTTTAAAATTAATAGAAACAGAAGAAGGATATGATTAAGAGACTAATTTTAGTCAACATACAATTCGATTTTCTATTTTCTTCACTAACAAAGATGTCAAACTCGCTACACTTATTATGGAATCTAGGTGTAGGAACTAACATCTACATAACATGTAATAACTTTTTTCAATAGAAACTTTGGATGCTATTTATCTGATTGAGTATAAATGGTAAATGATAAATAGTAAACTGTTTTCACTATTGAAGTAATTCATAATTTTATTATTTTCAAAATTTTCGAATAACAGTGACTCCTTAAATAATGTTTAGTTTACTTTCATTTCTTCAAGATGAAAAGTTATTAGGGAATTTTGGACAGTTTGGCTTAGAAGTTTTGATCACTTGCTTAGTGCAGTACTTTTTATTCTCAATTAAATTTAATGACATAACTAACTCAGAATCTAACAAAATATTTAATAGAAAATGAATACCTTTTAAAGAAAGTAAGTAACATAATGTTTTTGGTTCAGATAATTACCTTCGTACTATATGTATTACACCTTGTATTGGTTTTTTCCTCAGAATACAATATTTTAATGATGTTCATCTAAGCGTATAGGTAAGGAATTTCACAACATGTTTTAGTGAAATGCAACATGAAGGTTTCGCGATAATGAAGTAGATACATTTATATTTTACTCACTTTATGAACCTCAGAATCCAGTGAATTTACATTACAACTATTCGATGACGATTATAGAAACAAATAACATATCCTCTAACCTTTACTTTTTTTTAATGCAGAATTAACTTAGAACATGTTATACACTATTGTTGATGAGATGATCATATCAGATTTCATTGGCCTTTGAAATGTATATCGTATTGATATAACAGTACTAAAAATTTAATTTCAGAAAAGTTTTGGCATGAAAGCTACCTTGTATTGAGAAATGTAAGATTATAATTTATGAACGAACCAATCAGATTTAGGATAACAGGTCTTGGATTTTGGTGCGAAAATCATTCATCGATTTATTTAAATAGACTTTTAGCATTTTAGCTGGAAAACGATAAATCTAATTCTTAACTTAAACCATCAATTCTATATCACAATCCTTCTTCAAACTACTCTGTAATCCTCATTTAACCATCATAAGTAGGTGGACATTCTCAAGGTCATTTTAATGTTACACAAAGGTCATCCATAAATTATAGTCTCACCTTTTTTATATTTAACTCCATAAAAAGTACTGCTGTTGATGAGAAATGTCAGAATATTGCTTAAAACAATATATATGTTTTTATATTTCCGGTAACCCTTTTCATAAAACTTATTCCTAGTGAAATTCTATTAGAAACTAAAAGTATTTCGATATAGTTGATATGTGGTAGATAAAAATGATTATTTCATACGGTTGGTCTAATAAATCACCTTTCACTAAGTTAAAACAAATCAATCTAATACTTATTAACGGGTAAAATTTAACAGAAAATGTTCACTATTAAAGCTAGGCTATAAATCTTTATTTGATACATTGGGTAATTCAACAATTTCGTCTATATTTATCTTGATTTACCAAGTAACTATGTCATTCTATGTTAGTTGGTTTAACTAGTAACCTATAGAGAATAAACAGTAAAAGTATAATAGTATTTAAGAAATATGTTTATATATGACTGACATCCAGCCGAGATAAAATCATAGTTTTATAGAAACAGATAAAAAAAACCTTTATAATAAGTAATAATTAGAATGTAGAATTACCTGCTGATTCTGGTCCTGGTCGTCGAATAATTAAACAATGATCATTTGGACCAGGTCCTTGGCCAATAGTATAACGTTGATCATCTAGTCTGATAATTATTCCATTATGTGTCCAATACACTACTGGTGTTGGAACACCAACTACTGAACATTCAAGTACCACTTCTTCTAAACGTTCTGATTCAATATAAACGTCTCTGAAAATATTTGAAATAAATAAAGAATATAATGTATGAATAGAAATAGATTAATTCAGTATTTATCAACTTTTTACCATTAAATATCTATACAATTTAATAGTTGAATTCATGAGTCGATTTAAACTAGTTGATCATCGAAAACCTGAGAGCATTGCACGACCCATTCGTCCTAGTATGGGACTCATCAGCAGTACGTATCAAAGACCCCACAGAAGGGACTCGAACCCACAACCTTTAGTCTCTCGAGCGAACACTTAACATATAGATGACTGAGCTAGCATCCAATAGTGTTAATGTCTAATTTCAACTAATCCAGTGCTTCCAGGTGTTTTATGTTGTTCTAGCTTAAATCGACTCATGAATTGAACTATTAAATGACTACAATCTCCATAAACCCCCCATACTAATAAAATATTTATATATCAAACTTACTTAAATATTCGTGTAAATTCCGGTGAACTTCCACTCATCACTGGTGAAATTGTTGGCAATAAATCAATAGATGTTCTTATAGATGGAAGTATTTCCATATATACAGTGGTAGAACAACTACCTAATGGATTTGTTGCTACAGCTTCATATACACCAGTTTTATCTTTTTCGACTTTTGGTATATAAAGACGTGCAAAACCAGAATCTTGAAATGTCTAAAAGTGAATACATGAAACTATTAAGAATATTTTTAGGATGAAATAAATCAATCTGTTAACCAATGAAACAATCATAATAACTGAGATGATGGAGAAGATTTATAGCTCAGGTAAAAGTTTGTGCTGATGATGTCGTTCAGATGAATGGTGAATGCTTCACGATCAGACCATCCCGCTTAGAGAACAAAACTCCATCAAACAAAAATGATAATAACTTCTTGTATATAAGGGGATCAGAATTATCGATTGGTGGCGTTAGAACATTATTCTAATCGTCTTGTTCAGTATATTGAATACAAATTTTCAAGTCTATGTTTACACATTAATATACATATATATGATTAATTATATAGGAACTTTCGTTTAAATTTAATTGAATAGTTTCACAGTATTTGGGCACCGAGTTGTTGTGAGACATTAAGAACGAAGAATGTATTTGTAAAATCTCAGTGAATGAATTAGTTTGAAGTAAATCTAACATTCGGCCCGTCAATCTGGTTCAAGCTTTCTTCTCACTCAACGTATGAATACACACAATCTGTTATCCTAACACACTTTCGTTTCACATCACATGTGTCTTACATACTAAAGCAAATACCTACTTTAAACATTTTTAACGTTGATTGAATGATCTATTCAGTATACAGTGAACCGGAGGACCATGTACCTATTGATAATCAATAATTTTGATGTTTGATTATAATTCCTTGAAATAGTTTGGCTCAGATTGCCAGGCAAAACGTTGGATTTTACAAATACATATGATTAATTAGTTAAGCTTACCATAATAGGAAAAGTTTATAAATTAGTTAGTGAGGTTATGGATATCCATCCATTCAGGTGGTCGGTATTTGTGTTACGTATGCTTAATCACTAGCTTTCTCGATGGACAATGTTTGGTAGTTCAGTAGCAGATCGGAAGAAACATATAAAGTAGCCAAACTAAGACTTACCGACAATTCATGAGATTATTAAATATTGGCCTGAAGCTGAATGAAATATTCATTTAGATAACCTTATAACGATATACTTTACAGTCTATTGTTTCCCTGACATAAATGGCCAATAGAAACACTTAATTTTCTGATTTCACTTGTCTTTCATCTTACTTGCCTAATGTAGTTTCGGTCCATTCCCTGTCGATTCTAGAGTTTTCTACTTCAACCTGACAATTAGAGGAACAATCAGAAAAATAATGCGTTTTATACTTCAAAACAGACTAACTATTCTAACCTGAAAATTGGTTGAGGATTGTGGTTGTTTACCATCTTTAAGCCATACTATGGAAGGTAGTGGCCTTCCAGTGAATTGACATGTTAATTCCACTGATCCACCCTCTACAACAGATAAACTTGGCGGTAATGGTTTTACTAATGTCGGTTCACTATCAGTTGGTTGTTCATCTTCACAAATCGCTAAAATGTAAGCATAGAAATAAATGTAAGAGTTATATGCATTGTTTTTAGAGGTATGTGTTTATATTACATATATACTTGTTTTCATTAAACTATTCCGTTATTATCAATATGAAATCCAGATTTAGGCTATTGTACTATATGAAAGTCGATGATATTATGGGATTTTGTTTGTCATTGTAAATGGTTTAGGTACAATCTATTAGTCAAAGTAATACTCTATTTTTTTAAAAGATTGTTCTTTTTGAATTAAAGTCAGTCAGAGCTCTGGATAGTAGTTTTTCTATTCATTATTCATCAGAATCACTTCTCTAACTGACGGTAGTTCGTAATAAGTAGTGGATTCAAATGGAAGTAATCTCCACAACTCACTCAACTTAACAGATAACCCTGTCATCAATCGAAAAGTAAATAGTACTAAGTACGTTACATTATGTTAATGGATATAGTTCTGATTGAAATCATGCATCGGTCATTAATAGACCAAAATCGAAGGCCTGGAAGCACTGAATAACCATTTCGTCCAAGTACGGGACTACTCATTAGCGCATATCCATGATCCCGTACACGGTATTCAAATCAAAGACCTTCGGTCAAGCGCGCAAACCCTTAACATCTAGACTACCAAGCCGGCATCATGTGCTCGCTATTGACTAGCTTGGAGAGGTAGCTCTCGCAGTTCTAGTTGGAAACCGTGACCAGTAGAGTTAATCCGTGTTGGATGTGAGGCATTTACACACCTAGTTTTTCAGTGGTGGTTTAACATTGCTCGTTTCATGATCTCAATCATAACTTAACAATCTCTACAACCCTATAGATATAGTTTCCCTTGAAAACGATAGATATCTTTACCTAGTTACGTTACACTGACAGCGAGTATAGTGGTATTTTTCATCGGTTATTCTTTGTAAGGTGACTAGGAACAATTTATAACAGAAATTTAAGAAATTTCAATTTCAAAATAGTCATCTTATAACTATATCTAAGATGAGTTTGATTTCATCTTCTACTTCAATTGTGGATATTAAAACGTGATCGTGTAATATGTGTCTAAATGTAAGCACAAATTCAGCTATTCATTCAAAAATATTCTATTTCTAGGTAAATAAATTAGTGTTTATTTAATGTTCATTCCTTCTAGGTAGTATGAAACTTAATATTGAAATTAGAATTAAATTATCATTTATGGACGATATTTAAGCGACACCAAAGTGACTTTGAGAGTGTCTACCTACTTAGTAGGTCTAAATGTAGGTTATAAAGCAGTTTAAAGAAAAATTACAATGAATGACAGTTGATTGTAAGGGTAAGTAATTAGATTTAGGGATTTTATCACGAACTGACATCAGCTATAATGCTAAAACGTTATTTGGACAAATGGGTGAGTAAATTCAAGATTGGTTTATGCATAAATTATAGTCTCAGCCTTTTATCGGTTAAATGAAGTAAACTGAATACTAAACTAAACTTTGATTCTTAAAAATATTCAACTCACGTTCAACATCCATTCTACATGAACTAAATGCTTTTCCATATGAATTTTCAGCAACACATGTATATTCACCTTGATCATCAAGAAATACATCATAAAAGATTAGACAGTGATATTGTCCAATCTCTTTAGTTATATATGAATTAGATCTAGGTAATGGATTACCATTTTTAAGCCAAGTAACCTTTAAAATTAGAAAATAGTAAACATAATGAAATATTTAAAAAATGAATTCATTTCAGTAATATGATTCAGAAAAATGTTAACGATTCCATGATGTTAATTTATAAAAATAAGTATATTAATTCACTAGATAAATATTTTATAGTGTGTGCTACTGATATCGACAGATATATGAGTAGTATATATCATTAATCAAAAGTGGAATGCCTGGTGGCAGAAAGTTGTAAAGATCGAAAACACCAGTACAAGAACAAAGGAATATCATTAAGCGATCGGCTATTTTTTTAAATTGTTTTTTCACCCCTGTAAAAAAGTTTTTTCATCCCATTTTCCAAAATTTTTCATCACGTTTCGTCCAATTAAATTGCTAGTTTTAAATTCGTTATAATAGGTTACTTATGTCTTGAAATTGTTATAAAATATCAGTACTTCTCGACAAAGTACATTTTAATCATCATGATGGAGGAGAGTAACGTGATATGTACAAGCGCTGTTGTTTCCCACGTTGTCACAGAAACGGAGGACGTATTTTTGACTACATTGTTTCTCGTTGCGTTCCAATCAGTTGAAGCGTAAAAGTCCGCTATCAGAACTTATGAAAGATATACGTAATGTCATTATGTGGTGAGAGATTCTCATTTGGACAAAGATCAGAAATCGTATATTAAATTTGTATGTTGGCGAACTGGACGTAGAAGATCTAGCGGTTTGTCACAGCCGATTAGACGATGAAGGTAATTTGATTAGTGTTACTACATTTTTTTTGCACGAAGAGTGATTAGTATGGAAATGAAAGAATAATAAAGTCTGAGATATTTTACAAAGGAAGTATTTACTATATATGATTCTCAGATTTTATCAAGAGATTCTGTAACCCTACATTTAATCGATCCAATTTTATGTTCTTTTTCTCTATAGTGCTATGTGATATCTGCTATTTTGTAACCTTAATTTTCACCAGTCGTGGATGCGCACTGCTGAGGAGTCTCACAGTAGGACGAAACGGCCGTCCAAAGCTTCCAGGTTTTCCATTGTGGTCTGACTTTAACTGACTCATGATCTTAATCATTGAAATTATATATTTATTAACAAATGAATGAATCATTCTCATAATATTTTGACCATATGCTTTATGATCAAAGTAACAATCTATTTATATATTCTGTTGAAAGATGATTATCCCTATCAAAGTGTAAAGATTTTTCTAGACAATAAAATTAATAGTAATTAAATGAACTTAATCGAGCTGTTATAATACAATCAAAGTGTAGGTATAATTATCAATGTGGTAATATAGCAATCCTAAATTTCTTTTTAAAGATAGGATTGAATGTATGCTCTAAATTATGATGAGATATAAGAATAGTATATGGATTATAAATGATCGTTCTTAATTGACATGATTAATCACGATAGTTCTGAATAACTCTGTATCCTTAATAAACTTATATTGTATTGTTCAAAATACAAATAGATATGATAACATCATAGACAACATTACGTTGTATGATAAGTGTCGATATCATGTGTCAGAGTAAACATCAACACAAAATAGGGTTAATTGATCTACCAAGGATCTTGTGGGGCCCCTTGTTTTATCATCATTTAGATCGGACGATGTTGTCGAAGGGTTCTCCACTTTAGTAGCCCGTGTTTTGACTCCGATTTGATCGTATGAATGTTTTTTATCGCCTATCCTCGTATATAATCATTGACTTAAATCGCGTTAGTCAGTAACGGAATTAAATAAGTGTGGTGTTTGAATGAACTAATGACTCCTTTGTACTTGTTGAATGCCTGATTTCGAATTCTAAATACAATACATTCGTTCGTGCTTATCTAGTAGTTCTTGATCCACTCACGTGATTTCTGGTATTATTAGTTCATACTATAATTCAAATACTTCTAATTATCATAATAAGTCAAATACGAGAATGGACTTTTGCATACATATATTTTGTATAATCGTTGATCCAGACAAACGAACGGGGAAACAATGCGAAGAGAAGAAAGCGAAGCAAAAATGACGCGCGGTGGAGATGGCTGGTAAACCAACTCTTCTTTAGTTAAGCGTTCGTTAATCAATATTTATAGGCACACAAAATTAAGTTACAGACATGTGATGAGTAGTGGGATAAGAAGTGTACACATGCCTACGCACTCATATAAATCAGTCAAGATTGCTAAGCGAATAATTGGCAAGGTCAGAATGTGACTGAAGTAGAATGAATAGATTGGGTTGTCCGAAAGCTAGAATAAGGTATATGGGCTCAAATAATAATAGACACTACAATCTAACAAGATAAAGGGTTTGTATTAAATGTAAATGTCAGTAACAGTTTCATTATCTGAATGTTTACACAGATTTTATTGTTGATATACTGTTGTGAAATACTTTGTATAAATAATTTTAAATAAAGTCTACTATTAATATAAGGCTTCAGTCGTTGGTACTGGGTACTGTGAGAGTCACAGAAGGTAATATTTATTAATGAAGATTGATACTTATAGTTAGTAGAATAAAGACATAAATGTTAGTAATAATCTTGGAGAGTAATGTATATAAATCTCGCTACAAATCAGTCTAAACTTAAAAGACAAATATCAGAAGTGTTACACTGCTCATTTTATATCAGCCGAGATGGTTAAATTCCGTAAATAAACTCTCTACAACGTTATGATTTCTTTTTTTCCATAAATGGAATATTTGGTTGAAGTTATCCTCTACCTTACTATGTTTCCTAAATGTGTCATATCTAGGACTTTCAGCGTTTCATTATTCATAACCATATACTCTATATAAAACAAAGAAACGAACACTTTACAGAAGATAAAAATATACTTTATTTCAATCAAAAATCTGAAATGTCATTTGTCACGAAACTATTTTTATTTCCCTCCTAATAGAAGCATTTTATAACTCGATCGATTATTAGATCTTTTTCTATAACTTTACATAAGACAAGATCTCACAGAAACATTTTTTTCCTACAACTTATACTGATATTTCGAATTAAGTCGATAAAATCAAATGAATCAAAAGAGCTATTTCATTGAAATGATTTCTGATGGGTTATAAACATTCAGCTAACCATTAACCAATTAATGATTATTATTATTCAATTGTTATTTAGAACCTTTACATTTTTGCCCTTTTTTCCTTTATATCTGTCAAGTGGACAATTATCTGTCATAATTCTGACCTGTAAAGTATTTTCCACAATTTACTCTTCTCTAACTCCCTGATTATTGAGCAACCTCATTTGATATTTTAAATGTCGAATCACTTTATAGTGCACTCTTTTATATACTTCTATAGAGATGTATATAAATGCTAAACAACTTTAAATATGAATATACAGCTGAAGTAAATGATTTCATTGAAAAGAAATATTTTCTTTTCTCAATCCTCTTTTCTTTTTGTTCACACCATATAACTATTCGTGAAATGTGACCATTTACAAACATACTACTGATTTTTCAACAGTAGCTTATTAAAGTTCCTTAAAAAGGAATTGAGTTTCACGAACCAGTATTTACTTAAAATCAAGCGATGATGTTAGACCACCAGTAAAAACCTGGAAGGGTTGAACAACGGATCGGTTCAGAATTTAAATGAAACTTCGAAAATCTCTACAACCATTAATTGAAAATTCATCAAATTATTTTCCGGTAATCAACTTGTCAGATTGATTCTTATTCTCATGAGTTAAAGATTTAAAATATTGTACCAAATATCTTCCCAATGTTATTTAGGACTACAATTGATCAGTCTCTTGTTGGCACATGTGCACACTGTTCTGATCGCCTTGATATAGCCTTAAGTCACAGGCTTTTTTAAGCAGAGATGGATAGTGGCTAGCAGTGGAATTCAGGACGCTTGTTTCATCCTATTTGGGACTCGTCAGCTGGATGTACCTGCATTTCAGAGTTGATGTTCACTCAGAGATTCAAACTCATTACTGTTCGCTTTAAACGCCATCGCATTATTCACTTGTTTAAAAAATCCATAGTGAACGATATAAAGAAGTAATGAATATTTTACCTGCGGTGCAGGAATCCCAGTAATTTGACATTCTAATTTGATTTTTTCCGATTCATTCACTCCAGCATTTTGTAGTGGTAGAATAAACTGTGGTGGTCTGCCATAATCTGATACTGGACGTACTCCTGTGGCATTTGTTTGTATTCTTCAGATATTTTTATGAAAAATTAAAAAAAAATCAGACATGATTGTTGTTAGATTAGTCATGAAAGCAAACATGAAGTAAATAGTGTTTAATGTGTGAATACTTCGAAACGCATCATTTAATCAAGGTACTTGACTCTTAATCAGTAAGCTAAAAATTTGTGATCAACTTTTCCTAATAAAATCTGGTTAGTCTGGTAGTATCATCAGTTCTTATAAATATGACATAAAGTTTATGATACTAACTTATAGTACGTTGACCCAATTGGCAGTTATTTGGTTTTAGACAAAACGCTATCACATTATTTAGTCATGAGCTAAGAACGCATAATAAGTCGCAGACTTTTGAAAAAAGCATAAATAAAGGTATCTTATCAACCATTAAGATTTTATCCATTCAATCTTTCATATCAGTATTGAAATTTTAAGTTATAGTAACAAAGTTCACTCACCTTAAAGGTACAGAGGCTGTTGTTGTAGGCGGTACTGAAACAGCTCTTTGAGTATATTTTGGATAGGCTCCTTTAACTGCACTAACTGGAATCACTTGTTCTTCTGTGACTCTAGTAGGTGATTGAACTATTCGTGGTATTTTAACTGGTTCAAATACTTCATGTAAATCAGACTGTAAATCCCTTCTACGTCGTGGAGCTGTTGGTCGTAGTGTCACTTGTGACGGTAATAAAGATTCTCTTGTATCTATTGGTTGAACAGTAACATTACAATATGTAGTAGCTGAGCCTGCTGCATTACGAACTGTACAAGTATACTTTCCGTCTTCTAAATCAGAAACCTAAATAAATGAAGCACGAGATAAAGATCATAAAAACATCCCTTCAGATCCTGAACGGATTTTAATAATCTACTTTTGAATTCTTTGAATGAAGATCTAAAATCATCTCGATATAAATATTCTACCATTAAATCACAAGACAAAGGAATATTCATTAATAAGTACTTACTTTATGGAAGATTTGAAAAGAGTTACAATTTTGTTCTCTTAGTTCAACTTGGATAACGTAGTTACACTAATGTTAAAGATGACCACTGAGACGTACTACTTTAATAAGTGACAAATCAAACTAGCTCTGAACTTGATCCTTGTTCTTTCTATCATTCTTAAATCAGATATACTTTGATCCGTGGAATAAGTCATGCCTCCTGAAGGTTATGGTGTACGTAGCAATAATTCTTTTTGTAAAAGTAGTATTGATTGACAATGATTACAAAGGAGATAAGAAGTATTTTGTTTTTGCTGATGTATTTTTAAATGAAAGTAAGGATGTATTAAAGTAAAACCTGTGTCTTTTAGATAGAACACACATCGTAACTTATGTCACTTATCACAAAAGATACAGAGCATCGCTAAATAGGTAGATATCTGTAATCCTATATAAACTGAACACTTTGTTGGCGACCATTCATCAGCTGATTCATATAGTTAGACAAGTATTATTTAAATAGGAGTAATTTAATAATGAGATATATACATAATCTTTCAATGAAATCAAGGTGAATGTTTTACTTATAGTTTTCTTGAAAAAAAATTATTAGTGTTATGTGCTACGGATATTGATATAAATATAAGTAGTATATATCATCAGTCAAAAGTAAAATACCTGGATGCAGAGGGTTAAGAAGATCAAAGAAGAGAGAACAAGAACAGTAAATGATTCCTGTGGAAATGAAGGAACAGTCGAATTTGATACAATTGAATGTCATTTTACAAATTAAGTATTTACCGTATGAATATCAAATTTTACTAAGTTTTTCCGTAATTTGGTGTTTGAATAAATCCGACTGTCCCCACTTGTGTTTTCCTTCACTACACTATGACTTAGGGTTACGTGAAAGATGAGGTCTTCTTTTAACCAGGAAGATTATAGTATATAGTGCTGATTATAATAAAACCTTGAGATTATTTCAGTGTATGCCATGATGTAGACACTAGAAAACGTATTCAATGAAGTCATGTAAAGGTCAATCAGTTTAATCTGTAAGATCTTTCAAACAGTAACAGTGAATTATAAGACTAGAAATGTTTCAGGAAGCATCGGACTCCTGAATGTTCGAGATATGTCACTAAATATGCTTATATTTACCAAATAAAATTAAGCAAGGTTATGTGATGTAATGTTGAATAACTAAGAGTTTATACATCATCCCAATGTAAATTTTGTAAGATGTTATTCTCTGACTATAATAAAATCTCTTTAGTTCACCTTTACAACAATATTTGGAGATTATTTCATTAAAAAATGAGGGAATAGTAGTTCAAAATTTGTTTAATTATGATTAAAACTTACCATAAGAAGATGTAAACTGATCATATTATTTAATTCCATTGTAATACGTCGACGACCCACCTCTCCTTGAATTGGCACATCATTATGATACCATTCTACTTCAACTGGAAGTTCACTCTTTAATGTAGATAAATATTTGGAAAAATGATCTCAATTAAATGTTATCGTTCTTTTTTTACTGTAATTCAATTAACATTACACACTAGTCATTTAAACGTTAACTATTTTGTTTCATTTTTACATACAACCCCAGATTAATGTGTCTTTACCTCAAAAAAGGTTTGTTTTTTGTTAAACTTAAATATCGAGTCTTAAAGTGAACATTAAAATTGGGATGAAGATACACTCAACTGACGAGTCGTAAATAGGACAAAACGCGCGTCTTGGATTCCACTGCTAATCACCATCTATATTTGATTATAAACTTAGATATATGTTTAAAATAATAATATTGATATATGACTATAGAATATAATGAGAAATTACTGAAGAGAATATTCGGCGAGATTATAATTTATGAACGAACCAATCACATTTAGGGTAACATGTCTTGGATTTCAGTGCGAAATTTTTTATCCATTTGGCTAAATAGCATCTTGGCATTTTATCTTATGTCAGTTCGTGATGAAATCCCTAAATCTAATCCTTATTCCTAACCATTAACTGTAAATCACAATCCTTATCCTTCATACAGGTTTAAAACCCTCGTTTAGCCCTAGTCAGTTGGTGGACTTTCTCAAGGCCACTTTAGCGTCCCTCAAAGGTCATTCGTAAATTATGGTCTCACCTCCTCGGAAATACTAATATCAGGTAGAACAAGAGAAGTTTACTCGAATACACTGATCATAGAAATACCGAAAGATGAATTCACCTTTTTTCAATCATATATTAAATACTACCTGTATGTAATCAATAAATAATCGTATAAACAAGCTGAAGAACACTAACTAAAGGTTACTTTATATTAATTAATGTATAAGCAAAGATAGATAGTGGCCTTCAATGGAATCCATGACACATGTTTCGTCCTATTTGAAACTCATCAGCTGAATTTACCTGTGCAAATTCAACTATTCAACATTTTGAATGGAAAAGTAAATTATTTATTTTCTGGTTACAAGTGTTCTACAAAACAGATACATATTTCTAAGAGAATAATTATACAGAGAATGTTAAATAATGCTGATCATTTAGGATAGTTGTTCTTATATATCATGTTCTTGCTTAGAAATGGTTTAGCGCCGTACATTGGTGAGAGGAACTATGAGTCAATATTAGTGTCTGGACAAAATCGAAGATTATTTGCATAACCGTAAATGTTGGATATAGGCTTAGTGGTCTACAGGTTAAGGGTTCGCATATGAGACCGACGGTTCTGCGTTTGATTTGGGTGTAGAGGATTGTGGATGTGCATCATTGAGTCATCCTATACTATGACGAAGCGGTCGTTCAGTGCATCCACTTTTTCAACGATTGTTTAACATTGATCGGTCCATGATCTCAATAGACAGATCTAATGGCAATTTTCGCCGTATATCATTTTGATTAAAAAAGTGGCAATTAACACAGAATTTATATTGAATAGGTCATATATCTTAGGTTGCAAATTTCTTAAAATGATCATTTAATTATTTACTGAATATGGTAATATTTCGATCTATCTTATAGTAAATAGTCATTAAGTTTAAATACATTAGAAGTAAAGAGGACTGTCCACCTCTATGACAGGATTAAAATTTCACAATGATTGACTTGAAATGATGTCCACTAATGGATTCCAGTCTCGAAATCACAATCTGCTTAATACAATTGTGATTAATGTATTTTGTTCTTTACAACTTATTTCATATGGGCTGTTAAAAATAACTTATTTGATTGGTTAGGTGTTGACTGCCAAATTCAGTTACTCTAAACACGGTGCAGTCGTTATTCTCATATGGGATTCAAAATAATCAGTATGTATCTGGATTAGTCAGTTTCGGAAATGTGAAACTAACAAAACGTTCTGATAAGAATGTAGGTATCATTACCAAAGTTTGACTTGATCATTTCGAATAAATTCAGCATTGGATAGATTGTAATATCCTAATGAGTAGAAAAATTATACTTTCTGATGTTTCGTGGCTCAGTGTAAACCACTTTTTCAGAGTAAATAAATAACCAAATTAAAATTAATCCAAGTAGTACAAAGAAACAATATAAGAATATTATGTGCGATCAATAAAAAAACAAGTCTGAACAAGTCAATGTCATGTCATTTCGGTCAAGGTGATTTATAAGCGATATGTATGTATATATATATATGTACAAGGCTAGGGATGAAGAAATGTGACCGTCATGGTGACAAAGGATAGAGTTTAATTTGAATGTACGTTAAGAGTGTGAAATATGAATATGAGATGTGGTATCTTGGATAGATAATCCAAGTCGGATGTATAGTAAGACCTTCTTTACTATCGAAAGCAGTATAATTGAGCATTATATGGAATGCTCCAGCTATTCTCTGTTTTTTGTAATTGGAAAAATCTTTTTGTAATAATTCACTTGGTATTATTTTACTTAAAACTTCCCATTGATGTTTAGGGGTGCAATTGATCAGTCTCTTATTGGCATATGTGTATACTGTGCGTATTACCTCGATATTGCCTTAATTTACAAGCATTATAAGCAAAGATAACGCGATGGCATTAGAAGCGAGCGGTACTGGGTCCTAGTCCCAGAGTGAACATCAACTCTGAGATACAGGTACATTCAGCTGACGAGTCCCAAATAGGACGAAACGCGCTTTGTCCTGGATTCCACTGCTAGCCACTATCCATCTTTGCTTTTTGTAATATTTTGGTGTTTTTGAAATCGATCTGGTGGTTGTTAAAATGGCGTGAACTACTATTTGCCAGTATTATTAGTTGGTTTCTTTGTGTACCTAATATGTTATTTGGTTCGAGTTAAGATTTCACAAGATGATTCTCTAATATAGAAAGCATCACAACCTACACATCCTAATTTATAGACACAGTTCTTTGTTGACATAAAGGGGAGTTTTTCTTTCAAGTAAACTAAAGTAATATACTTTAATTCTGTGTTGTTGATGAGAAGTATTAATCACCCGAATACAATGGAGAATGAACTAATAATTCACCAAAGACAGAGTGGTGATTGGAACGTATTGTAAATTGATTAATGTTGAAATATAAACCTGTAAAAGTTAACTAATCAGCTTAAGTATAATGTGTTCGTCATAAAACCCTGAAAGACATAGTTTCAATCGTTATCTGAGTTATGGAAACCTCATACTAGGAAGAAAAAGACGTCCAATATCTCTGCATTTCTAATGGTTCAATGCATGATGTTAGTCTGTGATAAAAATTACTTACAAACGACATACAATCTTTATAATATCACCTAAATTAGATAAATACTTAACAATATTCTACGTCTATTAAATTATAAGTGATAATTTATTCTTTCAAAATATATATCTTTATCTCATATTTCTCACCTTATACTGAACAGTTAATTTACATCTATCACCAACTTTAAGATTAACATTTTGTAATGGTTGAATAATTATTGGTGGTTTAGCTGGATTTATATCCACTTGACAAGTGGTTGAACATTCTCCATAAGGATTAGTAGCACGACATAAATATAATCCAGAATGATTCATCATTCGACATTGTGGAATCTGTTATCAAAAAAAAAAACATTAGGATATATATAAATTAGAACAATTGACTATTTAAATTAAACATGTACAACACTATTAGTTGACGTTGAATCAATCGTATCAAGTTTGTATTTTGGAAAATGTATCTAAATTTTGAAGTACTTCATTCACAATGAAATATAAGGGATATGTTACAGAATGTTCGTTCTATTACTACTACTAATACTACTTTCAAAGGATATAGAAGCGGTAAGACACTTCCTTCAGGCAACCAGCACCTGTTGCTATAGCTCATTCTTTCAACGAAATAAAGATACCAGGGTAGGTCAGCTGTAAAAGAAGAGTATGAAGCAGAAACATTAAAAACTAATCATAAAATGGTCGTGTGAGAACGACTACAGGCAGTTGTTTTCGGGCTATGTAGTCACACTATTAGGCTTTCAGGATCGATATCAACCCAGTTTGAAGTTGTTTTAATCATTGATTTGGATCACATTTATGCGAAGTTTTTATTTTTCTTCTAAACAATATCATCATGAAACACTTCAAGGAAAAATCACAACAACCACAATATCAACATATTAAGCTACAATTATTCTCCATCATCTTAGGAACAAGTATCTATCCGTTGTTTGCGCAACAGAGAAGGGATAACCACCGTTTAACCTCCAAGTTCCATGATAATTCACTGAAGGGATGGTCAATTATCCACTTAAATAAATCTACTTTGATTTCGAAATACAAGTTAACATTGATCAGTCAACTATATTATTAAAACAAAACAAAACAAATTAATATGTATATTCTTACCCTTAATATTCCTGATCCAGCTAATTGAGTAATTTTAAAATCAGGATTTTGATCAATTAATTGACCATTTCTATACCATGATAAAATTGGTACAGGTAAACCAACTGCTTGACAATCTAATACCAATTCACTAGTTTCATCTATACACATAGATTTCAGATGTCTATAAGTGAAGTAAACATTAATATTGTAATTATTATTTCATTATATACAGAGTGTTTATTAGTAAAAGTTCTACTATTAATATGAACAATATGATGTGTATATTCTAAATACTTGAGATATATATACTCCAAATGAAAGTGACAATTAGTTAATGAAGAACATCAATAGAACTGAATAAAATTTCATATTTTAGATAATATCAAGAGGGTAGCATAAGAGCTAGAGTTCTCATTCTTCTCTTTCTTCTTCTATATCGTATTTCAGAATGGAAGTTCATGAATGTTTAGATATTAAATTGTATAGCTGACTAAATTGTTAAGATAGTTTATTAGAAAAGAAAACGTATCAGAGGACTTTCTCAATGTCCGTTGATCGGATACCATTAGAAAACAGCCAACTGTAGGAGAAAACAAACTAAATTCCAGTTGAATAGGAGATTAGGAAAAGATGTTAGAATTGGATAGGATATATATTGAGGAAATTACTAAACTGGATCACGAAGCAAGCGATAACTTGGAATTCTGAATAGAAACGGAAAAGAGGAAGACCAGGGAACCCATTGCAATGAAAATTGAATGCAGACATAGAAAGAATGAATAGCAACTCGAAACAGGTGGAAAAGAATGCCCAGGACAGTGTTGGATGGAGAATGGTGGTGAGCGGTCTCTGTTCTCTTTCTCTTATCTTCGATCTTCTTAACCTTCTACTTCCAGGCATATCACTTTCGACTGATGGCATATACTACTTATGTTTCTTGACATCAGTAGCATACACCACATTACCACTAATCATGATTTGATTGTTTTGAAAAAGGTTTTAATAATGTACATTACGGTAGGTTGTAAATGTTTACAAAAATAGGTATATAGAGTGTGGAATTCATAAAAGCATCTTAGAATTTTAAATAAAACAGCAAAGTAGATTGATGACATCCCAGAATTGATAGAAAATAAGTAATTCAAAATATTAGTTCTACTGCCATTTGTTATAATCGGCAATAAATAAATGAATACAGTTATAACAACAGATCTTGGTATGATTGTTCATAAGTGTACATAACTAACAGTTAGATTAATGTTAATTCGGGTATTAGATCAGGGCCTAAGCTATCATGTACGTTTGATAACCATCCTATCTAACTCATGAAATAACATAGAACCTTATTAAAGTCACTCTGATTAAAGTGTTTTGTATCTATCTTGTAATCTAGGTATCCAATCTATTTATCAGTATGAGATTGTGAACATTGTTGAGTTTTTGATCGAGATCATGAATGGATTAATGTTAGACCACTGTTGAAAACCTGGAAGCACTGGATGGCTGTTTCATTCTTATATGGGACTTCTCAACGATCCACCACGCCAAAATCAAACCCAGGACCTTAGGCTGTTTGCGAATCCCAAACCCGTAGACCTCTGAGTTGGTATCCAACAGTGTTATTATCTGATTTCAACCAATTCACAATATTGTGTGACCATCTTGCATTAACACGGTAGAACTCTTCTGTTCACGACTTCTCAGTAGAACTTCAGGAAATCCATATTGATGTTAATCACTAGTGAACACAAGATAATTATCTGTATGACGCTGTGGAGATTGTTGAGTTTTTGTAAGAAACAAGCATCTATGTTCCATTTTTTTAATGCTTTTATTCCAAACCCCTTAGGTGTTAGTTTTTTCAAACTAATAATAAGTATATACAAATTACAATCAATCAGTTAAGATTAAAATACTTCACTTGAGTATCAGCTGTATGTTTTTGGTAAAATTATCATAAATTCATCACACAAAAATTCTCGTTTTCAATACTGATATACTTCCATGAAGGAGTCAAAGAATCAGAAGACAATGTCATTGAACTATTCATTGCCAATCATAAAGTAATTGTCAATCATATATTTCAGTATCATTGATCACATCACTTGGTAATTTTTGTAATATATTTTAGTCATTACACTATCTGATATTAATGATTCCACCAAATAGCTGATTATATGTTTAGTAACCTTAACCTGATATATTGTTGAATGGATGTAATCATTACTTATCACTGCTTATAATTGACGAAAGAAAATTTTGAATTATCCAATTTATCTAATGCATCAGTGATCACTAATGACGACTGAAGTTTGTTCATGACCCAAACAGATTACTTGTTAAAAGATTTAGGAACTGTCTACGAACGTAATAATTAGTATATATATATATATATATATATATATATATATATATGGTGTGTGTTACTTATGTCAACAGATATAAGTAATATGTAATACGAATCGGAAGTGTGAACTTCAGCAGCAGAAGGATATAAAGATCAGGTTGAAGAGAAAACAGAAACGAAAATAGAAAGAAATTTTGGTGTGGAAGAATCATATAGAATACGAAGAACAAATGATGGAATTTCACAAGTGATTTATTCAATGTATGGTTCTCATATTTTAGCAAGAGATTCTCACTTGTGTTCCTATTCATGACATGTGTTATTTAAAACATATACCATAGTTTATGAGAATCCAATGTTTTATTGATTAATAACTGGATAATAACACCCTAACTGTCATGTGTCCAGTTAAATAAAATAAAAAGAGATCTTACTTGATAAATTCAGGTGGATCACCAAGTTCACGAGTAGGTTTTTGTTCTCGTACATTTCTAGTAGGTTGAACTAAACTTTCATTGACTGGTATTGGACTTATTGTATCTATGATTGTTAACGTACATTTTGTCTCAGCTTTACCATATGGTGTACTAATATAACATGTGAATATAGCATTATCTTCATTTAAAGTTTCAGCTATTTTCAAACTTGCTGTGTTCTCTGTTAAATTGATTTCATAGTCTGGAGTAACTACAGGTATTCCATCTTTGTACCAAGTTACTTGTAATTGATTAGTATCATACGGGTTAGCATCTATAAAAATGAAAGAATTTAAACAGTGATTTAATCATGAATGATGTACTTAATTTTTTGTTTTATCCTACTAAAGATTTAGATCTTAATCATTTATCAGATGAGTAGTTATGATAACTGTATCTAAGGCTTCATTACCAAGCTTCTAATCTTTTATGCTTATGTAAGACTGAAATGAAGGATTACAATCATTCGTTATGGATATTATCTACTCAGTTCTTTATTCTTTTTATAGTAGGGACGAAATTATATCCGTTGATTACGTGAAACGATAACTCGGGATACTGGCTTGACATTCAACAGACTGAATAAGCTCTCTTCCTTAATCTTTCCTTGATTAAATTAGAACCCTTTATTTATCTAGCCTTATTGGTGATTAGTAATTTTCTCGTGTCAAAATACTCATGATTTATTAATTACCAAAGTTGGGAATTATTCTTATGATTTTATTCTTCAATTACTAATGCCTAATTAAAGCTTTGTGGAATTCATTACAATCCTTGTAGACATGACGGCCATCGGTTAGGCAGACATTTAAATCCTCACTATCCAATAATCCTACATTAGAATAAAATAGTTAGCTAACACTTCCTAATCAATAATTGTTCTCCAGCAGATGTTACTTAACGATGAAAATGTTGGCTCAGTGGTCTACAAGTGAAAGATTTGCATATAAGACCGAAAGGTTCTGGGTTTGAATTGGGTGTGTGGGATTGTGGATGCGCATTGCTGGGGAGTCTCATACTACAACGAAACAGCCATTGGCTGTACAGTGTTTCCTGGTTTTCAATAGTGGTCTAACATTGATCCACAGTTTTGATATTGTATTCATATAAATCATGATATTATAATCAACTTCAAACAAGGTACGTTATAAGTTTAATCCTTATGTTTACTATTATTAGATTATAATTAGTTGAGGACAAGTCATGGCATAAATAAATAAACGATTGTTATCTTTTAAAGGTATCAATGATAAGGTTGAACTTGATAGTTTCAAATAAATTGAACCACTTCTCTGAAGAAGTGACTTACATTAAGTCACTAAACGTCAGAGATACAAGATTTTTATTTTTGCTTTAAATGGAGATTTAACAAAATATAGTTATCAGAAGAGGGGTTTTATGGAGAATTTTAGTAATTTGATAGCTGCATTCATAAGTCAATTAAAGCTAGACCATTATGATAAACTTGGACACTCTGGAAGGCCGATTCGTCCTGGTATGGGACTCCTCAGTTGTACGCATTTACGTTACCGTACACGGGATTCGAACCGAGGACCTATCGATCTTGTGCACGAACGTCTAACCTCTACACCACTGAGCTAACCGGCATCCAGTGGTATTAATGTCTAACTCTAACCAATCCACGAATTTGCGCCACCATCTTCTATTGTCTTCAGTGAGTTACTATCTCACAACAGACCCAGTTGAACTCCACTATTCACGGGTTCTCACTAGAACTCCAGGAAATACCTCTTGAAGCCAATCACTAGTAAGCGGGGTTTTGCGGACATTTCAGTAATTTAATACTAAGACAAAATGACCATTCAATGCTTACAAGTTTATCATTGCTGATCTAGTTTTAATTAACTCATGAATTCAATGAATAAAAACTAATTAATTTTTTGTTTTGTTTTTGAAATAATTACTTACCTGGTGGAAGACCAGAATCAAATATTGTCTCCATAATTATCTTTTTACCTTCTTCTATAGTTATATTTTCTAATGGTTTAATAATTATTGGTGGTTTCGCTTTTATTGGCATTGTAAGTGTAGTGGCTTTCATTTGATCATCATATACATGTGTAGGTTGTAAACGTTGTAAATTAATAGATTGTTCTGTTCTTATACGAATTTCATCTGATAATTGATTTAAATTATTAATAGACGATTGAAACTCATTTACAATAGGTTGGATAAATTGTTTTGCTTCCATAGCTTAAAGAATAAGTCAAAATAAAGCAAGGGAGAGAATGAGATTAGGGTTATCAATATAGGATAGTAAAGTAATACTATGAGAAATGAACAACTTTCATAATTCATAGTAAAAAGAGATATATGAATATTGTTGAAAGCATGCTTGAATGATACGTGATGTATGATAATTGCAATGTAACTAATCGTTAGTGTACTGTATTGTATGAAAGTTTCTTAGTAATTTATTCTTCGACTATCAGTTTACAATAGTATAGTACACTACTACTCGAGTCAAAACTTATGGCGAACTTTCATTTGCTTTTACAACCTCAAGTGATGTCCGTCAAGGCTGTTCACTTTCTCCATTTTTTTGACTTCATCATAGATCTACTGATGGAAATAATGCTCTCGTCGACTGAATTTTCAGGCGTTGATCTCCTACCAGGAGGTCCACTTATCGACTTAGAATACGTAGATGATATACTCCTGTTTGGTGAAGACGCTGATAAAATACTGAGCCCTTTGGTAGCACTGAGTAAAAATGCCAGAATATTTGTGATACGCTTCTCCCCCTCTAAATGCAAGTTGTTGCTTCAGGATTGGCCTGTGTCAACACCTCAACTAAGGACAGGGAGTAAAGTAGTAGAACGAGTTGACAACTTCGCCTATCTTGAAGTATGATCAGCCCTAATGGGTTGATGTCTGACGTAATCTCTGCACGAATTCGAAAATCTTGTTTGGTTTTTGCCAACTTATGTCATCTATGGCGAAGGCAAAATATTCGTCTATCAATTAAAGGACGAGTATACTGCGAGGCAGTTCGTTCTGTTTTATTTTACGGCTGCGAAACGTGTAAAAAATACACGTAAGCGACTAGTATTTGACCACAGATGCCTTAGAAATATTGCTGGCATCTGTTGGGATCACCGCGTAGGTAATAGTGAGGTTAGACGCAGGGTATTAGGGAATGATGGTAAATCAGTTGATGTGGTTGGGCCACGTGTTGCGTATGCCTGAGCACCGATTACCATGACGCACAATGCTGACTAGTGTTGAGGATAGTTAAAAAAAAGTTAGTGGCAGCCAAACCAAAACGTGGCATCAGTGCTTGAAGTCATTAACTTCTAGTCTGAGCCATGTTAGTGGATGAAGATTACACGGTTGTGGTCTGCGTGACTATTGTAACCAATGGATGGAGACTCTGTGTGATATGGTTCACAATCGATCACAATGGCGTAGGTGCATACTCTCTCTGTCTTCCCTTAAACTAAAAGATTAAAATCGCTTCATGTGTTTCTTTCTACGAACTAATTCTTTCTTCCCGTACTATGTTTTTATATGCAATCTTTCCTTTATATATCACCATTGTAGTGAACAGAAAACAGGTGGGGACAATCAAATACATCTAACAACCATATAGTAAATGCTCAATTTGCAAAATGTCCATCAATTGTCTCAAAAGACTGAGACTTCCTTTGTAAATGCATTTTCATACAAATCGCGTTCTGTCTTCATTCTTTACTGTTCGATCTTCTCGTCATTCTGCTGCCAGACATTCTGTTCAGCACACACGTCATATACTACTTATGTCTGCATAAGTAGCACACACCACACCATCACTGAATTAACTACTTTTATGAATTTGGTGTTCATCTGGTTGTGCTAATGATGTATGGCAACTTGAACCGGTGCACACGTGTTCCTGGTCCTACGTGTAGCTAACTTTTGCAAAGGAAGAGTTTACAGTATTCTTCTCAGATTCTATTATGAAATTCTATAATTTTGTGTTGAAACACATTCGATTGTGCTTATTTGTGTTTTCGTTCACTACAATCTCACTTCTGTAAAATATTGATAATCCGTCATTCATTTATCTTAACAATAACAAGCACTTCAAAGTAATTTCATTGATCTTCAACTTCATTTCTTCTATTTAGTGTTACCTAGTGTCTTATTTCTGTTTGTTCTGGTTATTCCTTTATTACTTACCATATTCATCTGGATATTCAGTTATTCTTTAAAGAATTTAAGTTAGAAGTGAAAATTATTTTCTAAATAAACACATAATCTAGATGATATACTTTCATTAACAAAAAAAATGAGCAAACTTACGACGTGGATATTGAATAGATAATTGTTCCAAGACTGGTATATGTGTATCAGCTAGTACTCGTCCTCTATTAATTTGTTCTGATATATCAAAACGTATCTCTTCAATCTGATAACGATTTTCTGAAGAAATTTCTGGTAGTTGATTTTTAACACGATTTAAATTAAATGTTATCTGTGATAAAGCTTTCTGGGCTGTATCTACTGCATTTAATAAGCGTAGAGTTAAATTAATTTCAGTACGACATCGTACAGTTTCTTGTGTGAATGTTGTTAAACGTGTTTCAAGTTGTTCATGACGTTTTGAAACATTTAACAAATCAATATTTGTTCCAGTATATTCTGTTGGTGATGGTTCACCTTGAATTAATTGTAATTTTATATCAGGTGCACTAGAACGTATTCGACTATGTAAAACCTGAGTAAGTAGATTATGCAGAAAATGTGATTAAAAAATTTATGTAGATACTTATATCAGTTATTTATTATTAAATCCAGCTTTTCATATTAAGGTAATGAGGATTTTATTTATGGTATAGCATTGTTTGATAGTGGAAAAGATTTGTAGTTCAGATGGATGATTTTGATGAAGTTTTCCTTTCTGAGCTGGATGGTTTAACCATGGAGCTTTCTACCTTAAGTTTGTGCTGATGATGTCGTTGCGAAGAAGGATGAAAGCTCCACGACCAAACCATCCAGATCAGAGAACAAAACTCCATTAAAATTATTTGATAGATTATTTAACTGCGTTCTAACATCTCCAGCTACACCAAAGATTAATAGTAGCCTAAATTTATATCATGATTTACAAACTTCAGGTCGTACAAGACTTTATATAACTTATTTTTAGCTAAACTTTAATCAATGCAATATATAATGATTTCACAGTGAGTAAACCATATATTAATATATGTTGGAAACTGTTACCCTTATTCTGAAAACAACATAATATTGTTTATAAGCAAAGGTAAATAGTGGCTAGCAGTGGAATTCACGATGCACGTTTCGTCCTATAAAGTTTGTAACTTCAGGCAATATCGAGGCAGTCCGCATAAGATGCACATATTCCAACATGAGACTGATCTATTACAGGCCAAAATAATCATGGAAAGATACAAGTAAGCAACATCAAGTAAATAATTCCGTTTACTTTTCAATGTCTTATTCTAATATTAATTAATCGTATATCAAAATTGAATTTCTATCTACCATTAGTGACTTCACTTCTGTTTAAAGTAATCATAGAAACATAATAAAATTTTTAGAATTCGATCATTTAATTCAGATAATAAGATACTATTAAAAACTAACAAAATATTATTTTTGATTGAGATCATGAACTAATTGATGTTAGACTACCATTGAAAACCTGGAATCACTAGACGGCCGTTTCTTTCTATTGTGGAACTCCTCAGCAGTGCTCATTCACGATCCCGCTAGCGGGATTCGAACCCAGGGCCTTCAGTCTCGCACGTGAACGCTTAACCTCGCGGTGTTAATGTCTAACCTTAACCAATCCTCGAAATTGAGCGACCATCTTCCATTGTACTTGTCTCTACTGGACATGGATTAGACTTCACTGGTCACGGCTTCTCTCTAGAACTCCGAGAATTCCCTCATGAAGCTAGTCACTGGTGAGCACATGGTGTAATATAAATCGGTTCATGATATCAATCAAAAACTTAACAATCTCTATAACCCCATACTGAAAATATTATTTATTATCTAATCATATATACTTACTGGTATCGTAGCCTCAATTTGACTAAGATCTCTATCAGCAATTTGAACTTGTGATAATGGTGCAGTTAATGAAACCATTCCCATAATCTGTTGTAATTTCCTTTCAGCTGAAATAATTTCTGCTTCTATCTCCTTGAAAATACATAATATATACATGATAAAGCATTTAAGTCTTGTTAAATAACTAATTACAAAATAGATTATCGTATAGAAGATGATTCATGTTTTACTATATTGCTGAATAAAGTGCACAAATATATAAATGAAAAATATTTCTAAAATAATTTCACAGTTGAATTTATGAGTAGATGTAAGCTAGACCATCATTGAAAACCTGGAAACACTCTACGACCGATGGCTGTTTCAACCTAATATGAGACTCCTCAGCAGTGCTCATCTACAATCTCACATACTCAACTTGAACCCAGGACCTTCAGTTTCGTGAGCGATCTCTTAACTTGTAGACGAGTGAGACGGCATCCAATGTCTAACTCCAATCAATCCACGATATCGAGCGACCATCTTCGGTGGGTAACTGCTTTACACTCGACACTGACTTGACTTTACTGGTCACAGCTCCTCACTAGAACTCGGAGAATTATCTCTCAAGGCTGGTGATTAGTAAGCATATGATAATTATTAGTATGATGAGAATGTTAAGTTTTCATTGTTTGTTTTATTTTATTTAAATTATACGTTTTATAATGCACTTTCATAGCACTCACTCTTAATTTCACCCTATTATCCATAAACTCTGAGAATTCCAACAGTAAACACTTTCTATCAAGTCTTAAGTTGTCATTGACATACTGATTGTAACTCATAGTTTAAAGAGAAAAATGCTTTTCTATCTTTAAAACACTATTTTTTATACATATCTGTAATGATAACAGTTTTCAATGACAAATATTGGATTAAACATAATAGACAATGACTTTCAATATGTATGTATGAGTATAATTCAGTAAAGTTTTAAAAATAAAACAAGCCACCCAAACTGGTGGCCACAATGCATCTTGGTTGGTAGGATTCGATCTGCACTGACAAGGACCTGACATACATGATATTGATCACCACCCAGTGATCAATCAGTTGTAAATGTTGATGAATCGTTTATTGGTGAATCTTTAATATTTAACACTTAAATAATAACAATAGAACTGTGCTCTTATCATCAATTAAATCATAAGCTAATTTTATTATTGATTCAAAGCATGGTTACGTTTGCAAAAGTAATAGCTTATAACATCATTTAAATTATTATTAGATGAAGATTTGTAGCTCAGTTGGATGATTTGCGTGGCGTTTTGTTGTTGGAGCTGTATGGTGTGGTCGTGGAACTTTCATCGTTCTTCCGGACAATATCATCAGTACAAAATTCAGGGTAGGATTGAAGTGTTCACATATGAATCCCAGCTTGTCCTGTCGACCTCAACTTTGATTGGTCACTGCTTAACTTAAACCTGAAATTGTCTACATTATTTTGATTGTATCTTCCATTGATTTGATTCTTGGTCTTATATTTGTCCACGATTATTCTGTTTGGTTAGTAGTTTTCATAGATTTCAGTGTGTTTGTTGACTGCTGATTGACCGGAGTGCCAAGCCCCCAAAATCCCTTCTGCCCAAGATCTCAACATTTTACCAGACGAACTTGTGTACACAGCTGTCCACATGCATGGATATAGGCAGAATACGGAGTGACCTCTGAGGGCTAATTGATCTTCACACAGCAGAAGATAAGGGGGGGTGTCCACTTTAGCCAATGGTGCGCATCCGAACGTTAAGGTTTAATAATTAAGTCACGCTATATATATTTAGCAACGTTAACCGTAGTGAACGCGAACACGGTTGGAGGCAATCGATATAGAACTTGTTAGTAAAATCTAACAACCATATAATAAATGCTCAATTTGCAAAATGTTCATCAATTGTCTCAAAATGACTCAGACTTTATTCTTCTTGCATTTTCATACAAATTACATTCTGTCTTCATTCTCCACTGTTCGATCTTCTTGTCTCTTTGCTGCCAGACATCATATACTACTTATGTCTACATGAGTAGCACACACCACGACTAGAATACTCTCCGAAAGTTTTCCAATAAAAACGCTAAATAAACAACTTAGATCGAAATAACTTTACCTCAATAGTTGTTAACTGTCCAAAATGTGTTCCACGTCGTTCCAATTGTATACTTCTTGATGTCCATACTTTATCCCATGCCTTCCATCTTGTTTCTAAACCAGCTAAACGTAAACACATTTCTGAACGTAAACGTTTTCCCATAGTTGATAATGGTAGACCAGAAGTGAATTTATTCGGAACTTCAATAAATCTCCAGCTTTGATTATTATAGTCATGATCATCCGGTTGTGCACCAATCATAGAGCCTAATTGTTGAGCTTCTGTTTTTAAATTCAATGTTAAATGATCGATTTCATTGCGTTCATTATGATGAATCCTTAAAGCTTCTGCAAGTTCATGTGGTTGACTTGGTAATGGTGTTCTGGACATACGTGAAAGTGATGATGTTATCGATTCATCCAACTATATTATCACAAAAATGTAATAGAAATAGCGTCTATACAGTTAACTATACATTTTTAATGAGTAAATCAACTCATAATTAACAGACTATTGATTGAATTCTTCAATGTATTCACAAATGCTTAGAAAGTTATGATAAATGATGTAACAGAAAACAAATATTAGTTGTTGTTTAATTCTCTATTTAGTAGAAATATATTTGGATTGACGATAGTCTCCATTAAAAGCTGATATTCTTAACAGTATTAGTAATGGTTAGAAATCTCTGAAAAGTTGTTTTATATGTTCATTTATAAGTAACTTTGAAATGAACTTCGATGGGACTATTATTTATGGACGAACCAATCACGTATAAGATAACAGGTCCCGGATTTTGGCCCAAAATTCATTCATCCATTTAGATAAATAGAGTTTTCGCATTATAACTGATGTCAGTTCGTGATGAAAACCCTAAATCTAATCCTTAACTTTAACCATCAACTATAAATCATATTTTTAATTCCTCAAACATGTTTATAACTCTCATATTATCCTGGTGATTAAGTGAACATTCTCAAGGTCACTAAGGCTTCGCTCAAAGGTCATCCATAAATTATAATGTAACCTAAACTTCTGAAGTTTCAGTGCAAAATCTTAACTAACAATATCTAGTCATGTTGGGATTGAAAAAAAGTCATAAATGGTCATCAATATTTAACACGAATTAACTGTAGTTTTATTTATGAACCGTTTAACTCTGAATCAATAGCCTTAAATTAAACTTTACTCTATGAGATTCTGATCTTTTGAGTTCAGTTTTTCATAGACACTATTGTGATATATTAATCTACAGTTCTTTAGTTATTATTATATAATGATATTCATTTAATAATATGATATAACTTACACGATGAGCTGTTTCTGTAAATATATTCCATTGTTCTTGAGCAAGTTTATATTGATCCCATAATTGTTGACAATTATCCCATGAATCACGTAATTGATTTAAACGTTTATTATTCAATTCTAATTGAACTTGACAAAAATGAACTGTTTCAGTTATTTGCAAATCTTGATCAGCTCTTTGAGTAATCTATATGAGAAGAAGATCAAATGAATAAATATTCGCTAAAAAAGTTTCATAAAAATATTATTAGATTGTTTACTGTATAGTTATTTAATATACCTTTGTGGGTGAGGGTAATTTTACATTGGTTTTCAGGAGAACCAGATACCATCCAGGCTTAAAATTTATAACCCGAGCAGTACAGCTCAAACCCGCTTCACAGGAGAGCCAGACACCAAATAGGCTTTAATGCTACAATCTGTATAGTACTGTGGTGTATGCTACTTATGTAGACATAAGTAGTATATGACGCGAGTTTTAAACTTAATGTCTGGCAGCAGAAAAGGGGGAAAGATCAAGAAAGGAAGAGCGGAAACACAGTGGAATTTGTATGGAAACTCATGAACAATGAAATGTCAGACAATCGATTGATGTTTGCAACAGGAACATTCCACTTTGATATGATGGATTGTTATTTTGCAAACTAACGATCCACTATATGGTTGTTACATTTTATTAATATGTGCTGAAATTTTTTGTCGAATACATTCGATAGTCCTCATTGGTATCCTTGTTCACTACAGTACAACTCAATACTGTAGCGCAACCACATGGGTACCAAGCACTCAGATGAACTATTCACACCACTCATATACACGTTCACATCACATGTATAGTTATTCCGATCAACGACCACGTGAATCAATTATGCACAGCACGAACAGGCCAAAGTTGACCTATTCTGTTTACACGATAGTCAAATTCATTTATGTTTGCAATGGCAATGTGCCCTACCATGTCCCAATGACAATGGCCCTTCAGAACACTGAATAACAACCATCAGTATGAATGTAATCGTTTCACTGACATACGGCATCATTATTTCAAGATTCTTCCTAGGTATATATTAGGCATTTATAACATGCTAATAATTTTAACAGTTGAATTCATGTGTCACTCTATGCTAAACCACCATTGAAAACTTGGAAGCACTAGACGGATGTTTCGTCCTACTATGGGTTTCCTCAGTAGTGCATACCCACGACCTCACACGACAAATTCGAATCCAGGACTCGATAAACTACTCACATCTAGGTGCTAAGCTGTATTATTACAATCATTACCTCATTTACCTCCTGTCTGAATACATATTTTACTAAAATACTCCTAGGAATATTCCATGTGGATTGTGTATCTCCTTATTGTTTTTTTTTTATAGAAAAGACACTACAAAAGTAAGGCAAAAAAAAACTCTGCTTTGATCCAAATGATTGTTTTGTTTTACTTACATGATTGATAAATTGACGAATGATTATTTGTTCTTCTTCTAAACTACTTGTAATCCTATTTAATTCACGTCGAATTCGTTCAGCTATTTGTTGTGTATCGGCAGTACCAATTGTCCAACTTGGCTGAAAATCTAAATTCGTTGTTGTTAATTTTATATGATCAGCTTCATTCATTTTTTGAATTATTGAATTAAAATGAGTATCATTCTCACGTATATCCTTTAGTAAAGAAGAAAATTGATTAGCTAATTCTAATCGTAATTGAATTATTTGTCTATAACGTGTCCAACAAGATGATAGTTCATTTAAACGATCCTGTAGAAAGAAACCAAAAAACAAAAAAATAGAAACCGAATGATATTTAAATCGCATTTGATGGTTTTATTTTATATGGAGGAAAATCAATTGTTTTTTACTTATAGATATATATATATCAAAATTCATCTCGGATACGGGAAGATGTCCCAATGTAGCTCTACAAGGGTGAGAGGAAAGTAGTTAGGAGCTCTATACTTGGACACCTAATCAACTATAATCATTCTACTGATCCACAGTGTGATTTTAAAGTTGCATATATGATTTGTTCAAATATACCTAGATTTCTTCCTATCCAACTCCTGGAAGTAGCCGAACCTCTTACCACCCATGTGTTCATACTAGAACTATGCGTACAAAATAAGTACATCCTATCGTTATCGTTAACTTGACCATTATTATTATTATTATTATTATTATTATTATTATTATTATTATTATTATTATTATTATTATTACTGCATTTCTCCCTTTACTTATGTCTCATATTCTCATTATTCTATTCATAATTGCTCATGATATCACTTTTTATTTATTTATTTATTTATTTATTTATACATATATAACCTTTAATGACCTTTAATTATTGTAACAAAAGCATTTTAATCATTCACGTTAGAATTTGTTACTAACTTATTAAGGTCACTGTTATTATTCGTATTACGTAATCTATTATTATTATGTTTCTATTACATCATCTCGGGTAATCCCTATTCATATTTCATCACGGAACTAGTAGTTTAAGAAAAAAAATTTCATATAAATATACCAGAAGGGGTATTGTGGAGATTGTAGTAATTTCAATAGTTGAGATCATGGGTCAATTGAAGCTAGACCACCATAGAAAACCTGGAAGCACTGGACGACCGTTTCGTCCTCAGCAGTTCGCATCCACGACCCCGCCTTGCGAGATTCAAATACAGGACCTATCAGTCTTGAAAAGAGATTCCTTTACTGAACTTCATGTTTTAAACTGGTATTGTATTTGAAAGAATAGAATTTTGTTACGATACTGGTCATACCAATCACGTCATGGTGCTAAAACCATGTTAAAATTTTATTAATATTCAATAATTATATGAATAATGTCAATTATTAAGATATACTGGACCTTGGAAACATTTTCGATGACTGGAATATGTCTTAAAAGCTGCAATAAAAGATTTGTTTGGAACATATTTTTTCTAAATTCAATGGACAAGTTTTCATGTTTAGGCAGATAATATTAGCTAGAACAGCCATGAAAGTTTCACAATACAATTGTCCAACTCACTCAATACAACATCAATAACACTTTTATCTTTGGTTAAAAATATCATCATTATCATCAGCAACAACAACAACATCTCAAAATCCTATGTGCATTACAATTATTTTTTATGACGGTACAGGGAACGAGTCAGAATTCTCATTGGATTTTGTGATACCTGAACTCAAATGACAATTGAATTTTCCATTCAGTTATACTGATAGGATTATTTCATATTCATTACTTCTCAATCTGTTAACTGAATATGGTATTGTTAAATAGGCTTTATTTAAAAAACTACAATGTACGATCAATTCGTAAGCACTTCTAAACAAATAAAGTCACAATCAATGAAAAAATGTTCGATTGATAATGATTTAGAGATTACCTGTGAGCTTGATCTACCAGCAGGTGGAGATAGTCGACTAATCGCAATTCTTAATTCTTCTAACTCAGGTTCTCTAGATTGCAGCTCACGTTGAAGACGACGATGTACGTCTTCAAAATCTGCTACTTGTTCAACTGTCGTTCCATACCTTCCATATTCCACAAGCGAACGATGAATCCTTTGACTTAACCACATGCTCAGCTAAAACAAAAATGAACAGAAAAAAATTTTAGTGATACCTTGGCATTGCGACGTCGAACTAATGCGTAGTATTTTTTTTGTACTACTTATAAGTAGTTAAACAATCATTATTTAAATATGGAGTTATTAAAATATGGTCTCATGCTGGTTATATCTAACAATTGTTAATGTAGTCGTAACAATAAAAAAGTAACCAGCTAAAAAGAAATACGTATCACAACCTACTTCATTCAACCGAAATTCTGTTTCTTCACGTTTTTGTACTTTGATATTTAATTCTTTATGTTGATTTAGCAGATCTCGGCATCTACTAATGCCTTCTTCAACTTCACGCATTTTACCAGTAACTGAAGCTGCTGCTATTGTAGTGAGATCCGATTCATCAATGTAAGATTTTGTTGTCACACCAAGTTGTGATCTTAAATTAGATGGTTTAATTTTTTCATTATAACTTGTTCTTAACTCATTCATTGTTTGTTTTAATCCAGGTACTCGTACTTCTAGATCAGTTAATTTATTATAATAAATTTCCTCTAATCCAGTTTGCTGAAGATCTCTTGTTCTTTTCATATCGGATTCAAGTTGATAGATTTGGCTAAGTAACTGAAGGGATAAAAATTGAGAAGAGACAATTTTAGATGAGAAACTTATAAACTATTGTGAAGATTTAAAAAGTTAAACATTCATTATTTCTCTTTTGAGTTCTAATTTGTTACTTGAAAGAAGTTTTCATTCAATACTGTAAGTTCCAGTGATAAACTTTATTTAAAGTGAAAGTGTTTGCAAATTATCCTCTATTACTCAGAAGTAGTACCTAAAGATTGAATCGGTCTAGCTTCTATTGACTCATGATCTCAACTATTGCAATTACTAAAATCTCCACAAATTCCCTTCTGATATTAATCAGCATATGTACGCTGGTGACTAGCTTCAAGATGTATATCCTAAAGTTCCAGTGAGAAGCAGTAACCAGTGAAGTTCAACCAGGTCAGTTGTGAGACAGTAACTCACTGATGACAATGGTGGATGTGTCGCTCGATTTCCTGGGTTAATTGAAGTTAGACATTAACACCGTTGAATGCCGATCGGTTCAGTGGTGTAGAGGTTAAGCGTTCGCACGGGACTGGCAGGTCCTGTGTTTGAATCTTTCGGGGCAGGGTCGTGGATGCGCACTGCTGAAGCTACCCATACAAGGACGGAACGGCCATCCAGTGCTTCCATGGTGATCTAGCTTTAATTGACTCATGATATCAACTATTGAAATAATAATAATATAACTAATCATTTCAAACTCACCACATTGATTTCACTATAATAAATCACACTAGTATGCAATTGACGTCTTCGATTTTCAATTCGATCTAAAAATTCCCAGATATAAGATTCTGTAGTTCTTAATCGTGTAATTAATTCAGAATATGCACCATGTGTAACACGCCATGTATCAGAATCATGAATACTTTTTAATTCATTTTCATTATCTACATCCATACTTAATGATGTAGAATGGATTCCTAATTCTTGTTCTTGTGCACGTAATATTTCAGATACACTTTTTTCACGTTTTCTACGCCAAGAATCGGTAGTTGTTGCTTGATGAAGATTTTGAGTTAAATGTGAATGAGCACTTTGTAAATCACGTACTTCATCCGTTAATGTCATTAGTCTATCTAAATTAGTTTGACATTCCGATAAACTTGTTCCAACTTGTATGTCTGAAAAACGAGGTTCACCAGTCTAGAATAAAAAAGATAATAAAAATGGATTAATTGTATTGTAAATGATCTATTTTTTATTAATTCTCATTTGTACATTGTTATAAGCAACTATGTGTAATTGCTGACTAATATGTGTGAAATGATGTATGCTTTCATTTATAGCTACCATTTCATTCAATAAGAACATACTCATCAGATAAGTAATCATGAAAAAAAATATTATTACTGAAAGTGATTATTTAAAACAATTCTCAGAGTTCTAGTGAGAAGCCGCGACCAGTGGAGCTAACCTGTGTTGGGTAGAGACAGGTACCTAACTCAGCACAATAGAATATAGTCGCGCGAATTCTCCAATTGTTTAATATTAGACATTAACACCGTTGAATGCTGGTCGGCTCAGTGTTTCAGTGTTAAGCGTTCGCTCACGAGACTGAAGGATGTGAGTTCGAATCTCGTGAAGTGAGATCGTGGATGCGCACTGGTGAGGAGTCCCACAATAGGACGTAACGGCTGTCCAGTGCTTCTAATTTTTAATGGTAGTCTAACATCAATTGGTTCATGATCTCAATCAAAAACTTAATAATCGCCCTAACCCTAGACTGATGAAACAATAATGCCGGTTATACAATCCATTCTTACAGTCATCTTTGTTAAGATAAGTAATGAATACCTAGTAAAAGTATATACTTTTAAAAGTATATTAGATCTTGGAGGATTAATTAAAAATATTTACCTTTACAAACCAATCAACAATACGTTCCAATTCTGCTTCCATAGTGACAACAGTTAACCTTAAATGAAGTAGATTATCACGACGATTCCAAATATCTTCTGCATGTCTTCTAGTCATTCCAGCTTTTGATGTAATTGCAGCTACATGTTCACGTGCTTCAACACTTGCATGTCTAGGACCGGTGTTTGATGTAGATGATGAACTGCCAGTTTGACTTGACATACGACCAAGTAATTCTAATAAATTATTAGCTGAATTCAGGAGATTATGAGATGGTTCTAGTAAACCAGTACGCTTTAAATTTTCATGTTCCTATTATCAGTGATAAATTGAAAATTTAATAGTAAATTTAAATAACAAAAGATATTCTATTATATTGTCATATACAACGGATATGTATATGTGTAGTGAATGAGAACACAAGTGGGGAAAATCGAATGTAACTGAATACAAAATTACCGAACTTCTTAGTAAATTCTGAGAGTCATACCGTAAATACTTCATTTGCAAACTGTTAACCAATTATCTCAAAATTCTTTGATCTTTCGTTTTCACATCAATCATTCTCCTTTCTCGTTCTTTTTTCTTTGATCTTATTAACTTTCTGCCATCAGGCATTTCACTTTCGATTGATGATATATACTACTTATATTTGTCAACATCAGTAGCACACACCATAAATGTACAATAGTGTTGGACAGTTTCATTGATATTAATATAAATTATAAATTCTGTACTTAATCCAATTCATTTAGTTAAACATTCATAAAGTATATCATAGATTTTCTTATCTTTACTCTTTTGTTCAATTTAGACATAATTTCCATTATGGAATGAAATTAGGTTAAGTAATAGAAAAAGCTGAAGGTCCTGTTTTATATCTCATATTTCATGAGAGTAAAAGATCATAGTTTATAAGATTAATATAAAACAATTATCTAAATCTGTTAGTAATGTTTTAGTCCTCAAGTAAAACCATTAACTTGCTTGTGGTATTTATATTTTTAGAAATTTGAATCTTGGTGTTTTTAAGTCTATTTGCCCATTGCAGAAGACGTCCTTTAATGTAAATGTGATTAAAGATGATATTTTTGTTGTCCAGTGGATAGTTATGATTCCGCCTGGAGCCCCTCTGAGACTAATGCTGGTCCCACGCCGAGGGCTTAGCATAGCGTTAACGATCCCATCCGGTAAGAAAATAACTCGCTAAAAAACGCAAACTAGAAAAAAAAACAATTCAAACCATTTAAACTCTGCCTTGAGAGTTAGAAAATCTTCATTTAGAAGAGTTATAACGTCTCATGATGAAAGCCGAGTTCCTACGTAAGACACGAGGCTGATACCCTTTCTGGCAACCAAAAGAACAATTAATTTAGGTACATTTAATCTTTTTTACAATGTTGGATACCTAGAGAGTCATCCAAGTTACTGTAAAAATGAAAAGACACAACCGGGAATTGCTTGTAATTAGAACACCCTTAACTCAAAACAACTGCCAACCAACACTAAAGTTAGAATTTTCAATACAAATTGGGGGACAGAAACTTGGAGAACTACGAAATCCATCGTCCAGTAGATACAAGTGTTTATTAACAGTTGTGTACGCAAAATACTACAAATTCGTTGGTCAGACACTATCAGTAAAATCTACTATGAGAGAGAACAAATAAGATTCTAGCGTAGGAAGAAATCAGAAAGAAGCGCTGGAAGTGGATAAGAAAGACTTTGAGGAAAGCATACAACTATGCCACAAGGCAAGCCTTCACTTATAATCCTCAAGACCAAAAGAGAATAGGAAGACGAAAAAAACACATTAAGCCGAGTAAGGAAGACAGACATGAGTAGAATGAAAAACAATGGGATAGAACTAGAAAGGAAGGCCCAGAACAGAGTGGGTTGAATAATGCTGATCGGCGGCCTATACTCCATTAGGAGTAACAGGCGTAAGTAAGTAAGTAGATGGATCTTTATGCAATGATAGTGATCATAGATATATTTCATAATCTTTTTCTTTCAGATCTCTACAAAATAAATCTTAACCAATTTATTTTCCAGATTAACCCAAGTTAGGAAATAAAGAGAAATTTCCATATTCAAATTTAAAAATTAAACCTTATTTCAAAATTACCTCTTTAAAACATCATCACTCTTTTAACAAAATCAAATGAATCATTGATGAAGAAACAAAAAATATGTCAACATTAGTGTTTCAAAGAAGAAAAAAAAATAAAGAAGATTGTGAATCATCATGGTAACATCACGTTCTATTTGTAAAATAACATTTTTTTTTAAATTTACAGTCAAAAAAGTGCTTGAATAGTATTGTTGTTAACGTATACACAGTCACAGTATACACAGTTCTAGTTATTTTGTTTTGTTTTGTAAGGTAAATTTGTTTACAGATTTTTTTAGGTTGTTAACAGAAAAAATAAACAGAAGGAGAATAACCATAATTTGTTCATATTCTTGAAATAAGTAGTATAATAAGGGTTGTTATTTACTGACACCATAGTTATTATTATTGTTATTACGGTATGACTTTAATTTATGGACGACCTTTGAGCAACGCTAAAATGACATTGGAATGTCCACCTACTTACTTACTTATGCCTGTAATCTCTCGTGGAGAAGCATAAGCCGCCCATCAGCACTCTCCTACCAACGTTGTTCTGGCCCATCTTTTCTAGTTGCTATTCATCCTTTTCATATCTGCATTGAATTCTCGACACAGTGTGTTCTTTGGACTTCCGCTTTTCCACCTACCGATCAGGGTTATATATTAGTTTGAGAAACTAGGATTAAGATTTATTATTGAATGTTACGCTTAGGAATTAGATTTTATGTTTTCACCATGAACTGACATCAGCTATAATACTAAAATGATATTTAGCCAAATGAGTGAATGAATTTCGCGCCAAAATCCAAGACCTGCTAAGTTATATCTGACTGGTTCGTCCATAATTTATAGTCCTGCCACAAATATATTGTGATGTGTGCTACTGATGTCAACAGATATAAGTAGTATGCATCATCAGTTGGAAATGGAATGCCTGGAGGCAGAAGGTTGACAAAATCAAAGAGAACCAAAACAGATAGTGGAAATGAAGGGACAACAAAATCTAAGACAATTGATGTGTAGTTTGCAAATGAAGTATTTACTGTATGGTTCTCAGATATTCTGTAATATTGTATTAAAATATATTTGATGGTTCCCACTGATGTTGTCGTATACAACAATATTACTACGAATCAAATAAGCAAGGACAGTCTTAATTCATCAACTTACTTCAATTAAACGACGAACCGAACTGATATCATGACCCCAACTACCAGTAATGCATAAGTGTTCAACTCTTTCAGCTTGTTGAATTACATTGTCAGCTGAATTAAAGCATTCCATAGCTAAATCTAATAATCTTCCACGTTGAGTTAATATACCCAGTAAATCTCGCCAAGCACGATTTAACGATTCAGCCATTGCTGCATATACTTGACTTTGGTTATCTGAAGTTTGTTGTGTGACCAAATCATCAGCTTTTGATAAAAGTTCTGATATTTGTTCTTGTTTCGACTGTAAAAAACAATACAACACTCATATAGAAATTATGGAATGAAGAAATTAAATAAATGCTAACATTGTTAACTTGCCCGTTTTGTTAGCTTAGCGACCTGTTGGATGATTTGAGATAGTAGACAGGAAACTCTGACCCAGATTTCATGCAATTTGGCACTTGTTACAAAGGTACTGACTACGTTTAACCTCTTAACATTACGACATCATACATACAATGTCGAGTCACATAGACTAGTGGTCACGTTGAAACTTAATCGAGAGAATTCAACTAGTATTACAAAAGACTAAACAAACATGACATCAGTGATTACCTAATGGTCAGTCAATCGTAGTTCAGCGACCTTCTGGAGTATGTGGATTTTTTTAATATGATATTCAGTCAACCAGCCTATACAAACTAAAAGTCAAGAGTTATTAGCTTTTATTATTAAATTAAACAATGGATAGTTAATCGCTTATGATAGAGATATTGATTATGATCAAAGATATAAAGCTTTCCATTGAAAAGCCAACTTGAATTTTGGTAAAGTTCTATCACGTTGAGCGATTATTTCTTTTACTTTCCTTAGTAGGTACTTCAGATGACTTACTAATAAAAACTTTTTGTTTTTAATGTAAGACACTTCATGAATATTGCTCAGTATCGGGGAATTGGCTGAAGTTAGAAATATGAAACTAGAAATGTATATTGTACTTGTGACAAAACTTATGTTCAATAATTTCTTCAGTTTGGGAATTAGTGGACAAGTCCCAAATAGGACGAAACGCGCCTTAAAATGGATTACACAGCTAACCATTATCCATCTTTGATTAAAATGCATATGAATTAAGGCAATATCGAGGCAATATTCACAGTATGCACATATGTCAATAACAGACTGTTCAGTTTCAGACCAAAGTAGATAACGCGATGATGTTTCAAGATCAATGTACTAGGTTCGAGTCCCAGAGTAAACATCAACACTAAGATGCAGGTAAATCCAGTTGACGAGTCCCAAATAGGACGAAAAGCGCATCAAACTGGTTTCCACTACTAGTCACTATCTATCGATTACAAGAAAAAATATTGAATATTTTCCTTGGAATATTCTTAATCGACTTATCTTGATCAATACATCGTTTCAGTTTTTTTTCTTCCAATAAACAGAATTTTGGAAGAACACAGTTGTTGTTTTTGTTGTTAATACTGTTGCTGTTTTCTTTATTTTTATTTCTATTTTCCTAGTTATAATTGACAGAATATATACCATTTTCATTCTTGTCTTAACTATGCTATTGTATTACATCTATGAAAAAGTTGAATGGATGGTTAACTGGTACAAAAAAAAAGAAACTAAATTACTACAAATACTACTAACATAACTACTAACATTAAGAAAACAATTTATTTGAAACTTAAACTATATTGTTATTTATTATAGAATGAATCATAAGTCACTCATTTCATGTGTTGTTTTATTCGATTGTTATAAAGAAACATTCAAAATGTTAATTAAATACGTTAGGGTATCAAATATATAATGTAGATATTGATAGATTAGGGGAGATTATAATTTATGGATGAACCAATCAGGTATAAGATTATAGGTCTCGAATTTTGACGCAAAATTCACTCATCCATTTGACTATATAGATTCATGGCATTATAGTTGATATTAGTTCATGATGAAAACCCTAAACCTAATTCATAACTTTAACCATCAATTGTAAATTATAATTCTAATTTCTCACACAGGTTTATAATCCTCATTTGGTCCTAGTTATTAGTTGGGCCAGTCTAGCGTCGCTCGAAAGTCATCCATAAATTATAGTCTCAGCATAGATTCTCTTCTTATACATATGTAAAATAGGTCCTGGGTTTGAATCTCGCGAGGAGCGGGATCGTGGATGCACACTGCTGAGGAGTCCCATACTAGGACGAAACGGCCGTCCAGTGCTTCAAGGTTTTCCATGGTGATCTAGCTTCAATCGACTCATGATTTCAACCAGTGAAATCTCTAAAGTCTCCACAAAACCCCTTCTGATAATAATAATCATCTGCTCACTAGTGACTGAATTTAAGAGACACTCCTGGAGTTCTAGTGAGAAGCCGTGACCAGTGGAGTTCAACCAGGTCTGCTGTGAGATATCAGCTCACTGAAGATAATGGTGTACGGTGACGCCACTTCGTGGATTGGTTAAAGTTAGAAGTTATCACCGTTGGATGCCAGCTTAGTGGTCTAGACTGATAGATCCTGGGTCCGAACCTCGCGAGGGGCGGGGTCGTGGATGCTCACTGCAAAGGAGTCTCACACTAGGACGAAATGGCCGTCCAGTGCTTCCAGGTTTTCCATGGTGGTCTGGCTTCAATTGACTCATGATTTCAACCAGTGAAATTTCTAAAATTTCCACACAACCCCTTCTGATAATAATATGTAAAATTGTTTTATTAATCAGTATGGGGTTATGAAGATCGTTAAGTTTAGATTGATATCATGAATGTCTTATTAATCCTATTATGATAGATCACATTAGATTTTATAACAATTTAATGATGTCTTTATTTGACATTATCAATGAATTTGATCTAAAAAATGATGATTAATGCCCAGTGTATTAAGCTTCTATTTTATAGTGAGTTTAGCTTTTGAATTATTTTTTCCAGTCAACGGATTTTAGCGAGTTAGTTTTCTACGGGATGAGGTTACTAACCTTATGCCCAACTCTCCTTCTTTATCTGGGCTTGGGACCGGTAGTAGCCCCAAAGGGGCTCCGGGTGGAGACAAAAATGAGGAAAATGTACAACAATTGGATAGAAATGAAAAGGAAGGTCCAGGACGGAGTGGGTTGGAGAATGTCGGTCGGCGACCTATGCTCCATTAAGGGTAACAGGCATAAGTAAGTAAGTGAGGAAACTGTTAAGCTTTGTAAAGAACTTTTCATTACTCTACAATTTGATTTGATTGTTTTTAGATAGTAGATCAGGTGAATGAAGGGTGTACAAGTTATATAGAGTAATTTTAATAGTTATAATCATGAGTGAATTGAAGCTAGACCATCATGGAAAACCTGGAAGCATTGGATGGTGGTCTAGCTTCAATTGACTCACGATCTTAACCACTAAAATTACTATAATATTCACAAAACCCCTTCTATGTAGAGTAGTAAATAGTTTTTTTAAACTGATTCATAACAATTGTGTAGAAACATTCCCTCTTAAGATCTTTGGGTTGATACGAGGTGGTTATTACCAGTATTTCCGCTTACCAATTAATCCATCATGTATCATGATCATTCTCTCATATTTTTTAAGTGCATTGATTATCGTTATTAGATGGTTTAGCTACAAAATTTAAGAATGTATCCATGAAGATTAGTTCATCAATGACTGGTTATTTTTAACTTACTAATAATGAATTATAAAATGTAATTGTTCTTCAACAAAACACTGATCCTCTATATATTGAGGCTTTCAATGATAGTTTGTTTTTGGTTACTAATTCTAGTTATAGCTCGTAAAACGATTGCGCAAGGCTATCTAGGTCGGAAATCGATGTATATATTTTCGCATTGCATAACTGGATACTCAACACAATAAATGTTGTAGAAATATGTTATATCCCGGATAGAATACTGAGTGGTAACTGTCGGAATCTATATCTGGACTAATACTATACGTACATCTTTATCATATGATTGTTAAGTAACTAAACTAAACATATTCATGTTCCTCTTATTATAAGCTTTATTTTGACCTATGAACTATTATTATACGATTTACCATTCTTGAGTTATGCCCAGACTATCAATTACTATCTCCCATATTCACAGCCACTTTTGGCAAAAACTTGTACAAATGTTATTTTCTATTTTATGGTACGATGTAGTCTGTTTGGTTGGTATATATACCCAGTATGTTTGAAATAAATAATTCAAATCGTGGAGGCTGAGATTAGTGTTCTGAACTTAACAGGCCGTCCTAGGCGGGAAACAGGATCAATAAAGACTCTAGACTGCTCGTACGGATTTTATACGTCATTGGTCCAGTCTAAAATTCACTGTTCTCTAATTGACGGTATCATTACGTTATACATTTTTAAGGACACAGGGCACAAGTTATAACAAAATGGTTCTCATTTATTTTATCTGTATTGTAATTTCATTCACAAATGATGGGTATTCTTGATTTAATTTTGAGATCATTTATTTATCTATATCCTAAGATCATTGAATACATTTCTTAAATTAATAAATTAATAAATAGAACTGGATCTCTCTATTGAGTAATTTATTAAAATAAATATCAATTTGTAACTGTGATCTATATGGCTATATGGCTATGTAGAGATGAAGGTCTCATATGTGGCTAGAGGTACGCCATTGAAATTGTGGATGGTTTGACATTGCTTTGGCAAGTTTCGCTGATTATTCATGCTGGTTAACCGATTTCATTCATACTGGTGGTTAATATTCAGTGTTCTAAAGGGCCATTGTCATTGGGACATGGTAGGGCATATTGCCATTGGCAACATTAATGAGCTTGACTGTCGTGTAAGCGGAATGGGTCAACTTTGACCTATTCGTGCTGTGCATAATTGATTCACGGGATTATTGATCGGAACAACTATACATGTGATATGAATGGTGCGAATGGTCCACCAGAGTGCTTGGTACCTGTGTGGTTACGCCACAGGATTTAGCTGTGCTATTCAGATTGTAGCGTTAAAGCCTATTTGGTGTCTGGCTCTCCTGTGGAGCGGGATTGAGCTGTACTGTTCGTATTATAAAATTTAAACCTGGGCGGTGTCCGGCTCTCCTGTACTGCTTGGGTTGTCTCATGAAAGTCTGTATGGTGTCTGGTTCTCCTGAAAACTAATGTAAAATTACCGTGACCCACAAGGGTATATTATATTATATAACTGTGATCTAGATTCATTAAATGATAGTCTATTATTAATGGCCTTATACTTAATCCTTCTAAATATCAAACTGTTAATTTTAGCTTGAGACATGAGTGTATTAGTACATTTTTTTGGAATCCCATAAAGTTTACACTATTAGAAATTCCATAATAATAAAAAATAGTATGTCTATGGTCATTTATTTTTGTGTAAGTTTTTCTACAGATCTCTCTTCGGTTTGGGCACGTGGGCAGTATCTCAGCCCTCACATAAATCGAATGATTTGTGTAGGGCATATCGAGTTGGTGCCTCCGTGTATCTATGTCTATGTGTTTACATAATAATAATAATAATAATAACAATAATAATAATAATCTATCTACCGATCGCTTTTATTCTTTTCATATTTTATTGATATCAAAGAAAGTTTTCCGTTTAACTTATTATATAAGGTGACTATATGCTTTTGGCATTATTCTATATTTACTTTAATGATTTATAAATATTTGTTCCTCATAATTGATTCCCGAGTAGTTGAGAAAAGATTTGACTATATTACAAATTAAGCTCAAAGCACTTAACAGTGTATATGTATAGTGAATCTTTTAAGGTCATTATGAATATGGTTATGGTTAAACATTTAAAATCTTACAAACCTCTTGATAAATGTTTTTTTTTTTATTAGATATTAATCATTCACTTCATTTAGATTTTTCTCTTGGTATATCTTCTGTTAAAATGAAATACTAATACATTAGAATTCATGAATATATATACAAAAGTATAAAAGCTCTACAATATTATATCTAATAAATATACATTGTGGAGAATAGGTTGTAAGAACTAACCTAGTTAAAAAAAAAAAAGAAACTTGTACTCTTAAATATATTACTGATTTAAAGTGACATAAATTCTTATCCTAATAAGAGAAGTATTTCAGTTGATTTCAGATAGTCTATTTACATATTTCATGTATACATATATGAAATTCTATTTATAGTTTTTGTGAAACTTACTGAAGTATTTTGTATTGAGAATTCCATATTGTACTAAACATATAATATTGAATATAGTCATAGGTAATCATAGTGAAGGGCAACAATAATCAAACTATAGAATTTATGAAATAAGTACCATTGTACCACTTATGGTTTCCTTTCTAGATAGTTTGATGCATCCTTTTCTTTCAAGTCTGACTCCTATAACTTGTACGTCAACATATATATAATATCACTATTGATGATCATTTTCAGGAATTCTCATGAGTTACTTGACTTCAGTCAAATGCTCAAGATATTTCAAAGAATTTAAATCACAACTAAAAACAAATCATTCTAAACAGATATAGGTGGTGGCTAGCAGTGGAATCCAAAATGAATGTTTCATCTTATTGTGAGTTGATGTGTTAATGTTTACTCCGAGATTCGAGTCCAGTATCGTTCGCTTCAAACGATATTACTGAATCCAGATAACCACTAGCTTTTGTATTATAAGCGGATATGACTTAAGGCAATATCAAGGTATTCCGAACAGGATGCATTTATGTCAATAACAGACTGATTAATTGCAGTCAATTGGAAAAATTAAAAAACCAGTACAAAAATGAATTAATAACAACAAATCAATTATCTCTATTTATTACATTAGAAATCAACCGTCAATTTTATAAGAAACTGTCTACGCTTCTACACCAATAGCTTATCTGGGTTGAGGGTGTATATATATATATGTCTATTCCAATGACAATAAGATCAACAAAATAGAATTTTAATTCACTTGATATTGTTTTACTTGAATCTTCCCATTGATGTTTAGGACTACAATTGATCAGTCTCTCATATTGGCATATGTGCATACTGTGCGTATTGCCTCGATATTGCCTTAATTTAAAATATTTGCTTATAATGGTTGTAAATTAAAAAAATAGAATTTTATTCTATTTTTCTCAAAATGACTTACCGCTAATTTGGTACATAAATGTTGATGTATTTCATGTAATGAACGAGCTTCATCAGCATTTCCACCAATATCATAAAGATCTGGCTCCATACGTTGAATTCGAACACGTATCCAACTTCCACACTTTAACAAAGACAAAGAAAATGAAATAATTTAGTCATACATTTAGTAATGATGTTTCATTGAATCATTTTGTTTCACAGTACATAAATATTCTGACTTGAATCTTACAGAACATTGTATCATCATTCTTAGTACAACAAGCCAGGGTAAAATCGTGATAAACTGATGTTATTCTTGTTGTTTTATTTTGCGAAATATAAAATTTAAGAAGCTAGACGGCCGACTCATTCTATTACAGGACTTCTCAGCAGTGCTTATTCATGGTCACGCGGAGGGTATTTGAACCCAATGCCTTCTACTTCGCACGCTAACGCCCAACCTCTATACCATGGGTCCGGTTCCGAAATAAGTCAACTTCTAACTTTAATCAATCTATGATGGTGCGCAACCATTCATCCATTGACTGAGGTAAATATCTGTCTCACATCCTATGTGTATTGAACTCTACTGATCACGGCTTCTCATTATAACATCAAGAGTTACAACTTGTAGGTAGTCACTAGTGAAGACATGATTGTAATCAGCAAGGGGATTTGTGGTGATTATAGTATTTTCAGGATTGAAATTGCAAGTTCATTTAAGTTCAGTACTTCCGGGATTTCAATGCTGGTCTGGCTTCAAATAACTCATGAGTTCAAGTGTAAAAATACTACAGTCTCCACAAATACCTATACTAATGATAATAGTATAAACAACGTGATCTAATTTTATATTCAATTCCTAAAATATTGAAGTGGATATATAATGACCAATGGATAACCAGGATTATTATCAATGGATTCTTCTACTTTTAAAAAGTAGTGTTTGTAAAATAAGTACCATTCATTAAAGGATGACATTTCAGGTTGTTGACATAATAAATTTCGACCGTACACTGTACAAAAACATTCGTGATAATAGGCTATATTTTCTTACTTATAAGAGTTTAAAGAGATGAACAACACTATAGAAAGTTAATGAACTTAATTACATGACGTTTATTTTAAAATGTAACAAGGGATGGTGATAGGCTATAACTGAATGAGTATTTCATTAAAAACTTTCAAAAAACGGCGCCCCAACACTATCCTTTAAGTGTTTTAGTAACGATTACATTATGTTTATATAAGGTTCCATCTGCATTTTGTTGTTATCTATGCCAAGAAACATATTACTTGCGTTTGGGATCAGTTAACAAGAAACTATTGAAAATCCTCATCAACCTTTTGTCAATTACTTTCAACGTTAAGAAAGCTAACAACGTTGGACGGCCTGCTTGAATATCTGGGCTACCTGTTCCTGCCATCTAGATATTTCAACAAGTTCTTTTAACACATCATTATGCCTATTTGTCTCATAACCTATTCAGATGCGTTTGTGAAATGTTTACGACATTTCGCTGTACAAGTTACAAAACAACTCAATCAGAGACATTATGGTTGCTAGCAATATACATCGAAAAGAATGTACATTATTCAGATGTCAATTCCTAAACTGTTAACATTTAATTGGCGATCACTCAGTATTTATCGTCAGGATTGATCAATAAATAAGAAAAGGAAACTTGTTGAAATACTTTGTGTTGAGAATTCTATATTGTACCAAAAATATAATATTGAATAAGGCTAATAATAATAAATAAATAAAATATATTTGTATTTGCAACCAATTAGATGAGACTGAGACGTATTTCCATTATCTCTTTTACACATCAAGAAGATTTGTGTATGGTTTTGAAGAAATTAATCCTTCCTTAGTATTTCAGGCAGTATCATTGGGCTCAAACATTCAGTTTGAACCAATGAGTTACACACAGAGTATGATATCATGTAACCTGTAAATTATAGATTGTTTAGATTAGTATGTTAAAAAATATTTCGTTTATACTGTATTTAATAGACACATCTGAGTTTTAAGGAATGTAAATGATATGTTCGGTATCTACTAAATATCAAGCTATTGGATTATTTAGAGCTACTGTATTGTTCAGTCTGAGATTCATTGTAACTTGTTCGGAAATGTAAACATGCACTCTTCTCTCTGTGTGCTTTCAAACTTAGTTTTGACTATTACAATAACAGATATTGAATCATTTGAGATAACTGATCCTGGACTACTACTTTGAGTAAGAAGATTTATCGTTCTAAACTAAAATAATCATAATACTAGGATTAGCAATCATAATGTTTTACTCTATAATTGAAATCAAGTTTTGGATATCTCAGATGTTGTTAAGTGATTGAAATGAAATCAGAATTCACTTGAATTATAAGCTAAACTATCTCATAAATTAGGGACAACAGATTTAAATGAACACCAGATGTCGTTAAACCGTTATAGTTCGTGACTTTAAACAAACAATTCCGAAGGCATAACTGGGATATACGACAACGTAATTTTCAAAACTCACTAAAAATGGAACCAAACAAGCATGATATTATCAGCATGGAGTTGTAAAGATTATTGAGTTTTAATTCTTTGCATCTTGACAGCTGCCTTGAAAGTTTTTTAAAGTTCTCTTTATTTAAGTACTGACATATTTCAAACAAATGTAACTATTTTACTGGTTAAATTCATCAGTCAATTAAGGCAAGACTACCATGGAAAACCTGGAAACACTGGACGGCCGTACTGCCCTGATAGGGGACTCTTAAGCAGTGTGCACAAACGAACCCGATCGTGAGATTACAATCCAGGAAATACCGGTCTCACGCGCAAACGCCAAACTTCTAGACCACTGAGCCGACATCCAACAGTGTTAATGCCAATGTTCACTTCAACCAATCCACGAAATTGAACCACCATGCATCATTGTCTTCAGTGAGTTACTATCTCACAACAGACCCGGTCGAATTTCACTGGTCACGGCTTCTCACCAGGAAATACCTTTTACATGCGCACTAATAAAGAGTCCCATACTCAGATGAAACGGCCGTCCAATGTTTCCAGGTTTTCCATAGTGGTCTGGCATCAACTCATGAATTCTACTATTAAATTACTAAAATCTTCATAAAACCCTTCTCTGATTGAAATGTAACTATGATAAAATGGTGTCAAAAAATACCTTCAATAGTTTGAATGCCAAACTAATTAAACATTTAACGACTTTCTCACTGTTCATGACTAATTGTTTGGATGAGACTATAATTTATGGAAGAACCAATCAGATTTACGATGACAGGTCATGGATTTCGGCGCGAAATTCACTCATCCAATAGTTTATATAGCATTTTGGCATTTTAGCTGATATCATTTCGTGATGAAAACCTTAAACCTAATTCCTAACCCTAACCATCAATTGTAAATCATAATCCTTACTCTTTACACAGGTTTATAACTCTCATTTAGCCCTAGTAAGTAGGTGGAAATTCTCAAATCCACTTTGACCTGCTTAAAAGTCGTTCATAAATTATAGCCTCACCATTGTATACCACAATTTTAGCAAAAATATAAACCACATAGGTAAGCAATAAATATACTCTGTAATGAATTTTCAACTTTTTTCACAGATTTAAATTCCAAGTAATGACTTAAAAAATCAGGCGCACATTTTCTACCCCTCTACAATCTCGTTAATCATATGTATTGTAGTAAATGAGGGCAAAAGTGGGAACAACCAAACATCTTAGTGAAATGTGAGAGCCATACAGTGAATACTTTATTTGCAAAATGTCAATCAATTGTCTCAGACTTGACTGATTCTTCCTTTCCACCTCAATCACCCTCTGTTCTTGTTCTCTTTTCTTTGATCTTGTTAACCTTCTACCTCCAGACATTACATTACATATTACTTATATCCGTCGAGATCAGTAGCACATACTACAGTATTACATTTTGTTCCTTTTTGTTGTAATATATGAATACTTAACATACATCTCTCAGTCTTATACACAACTTAATCCCTCTTACAATGGAAATTACAATTTTCAAACCATACAACGAACATCATTATTTGTAGACAACTGAGTTACAATCTATTCACTTTATAATCAGACAAATTTCTTGACCCATGCCACATTTATGACTTCAGTAGTTCTTAAAATAACTTTAATACGAAAATTGTCACAAACGTAAAATATCAGTAAACTAACACAAGAAATAGTGATAAATTCACTTGGTATTGTTTGTTGAAATCTTCCCATTGATATTTAGGACTGAGATTGATCCGTCTCTTATTTATTGGAATATGTGCATACTGTGCGTATCGTGTCCTGGATTCCACTGCTAGCCACTATCCATTTAGCCGTATAAATAATGATAGTTTTAAATTTTAATCATACACTTAATTATCTATTTTTATTTATTCCTATAATTTGTCAAAATTTCAAAATAGTTAAATGTAATTTGAGCTAAAGTCTTTTGCGGCGGGGGTGTTGTTTACGAAATCAAGAGGACGAAAAGTGAATATCCACCACTTTAAATGGGTTGTTGGATACGGAGAGTCCAGCTAGGGGAGTTGGAAAACCATGATTCCAAACCAATGGTACACATTGGCTCCACTATCCTGAAGGACTGCTTCTCCGTACGTTGTTCCATTGCCTTGGGTATCAAACTTTTAGGTCGAAAGCTCCGAGTGTGGCCCCCTAAGAAAACTACCTTTTTTGGTTTGGGCACCTGGACAGTATTCCAGTCGTCACACAAATCGACTGATTTATGTGGCACATATCTATTTGGTGCTTTCTTATACCAATGTTTATGTGTTTAAATGAATCAATAAATAATAAAACTAATGTAATTCCAATCAACATGAATAACAATAGAAAACTTACACGTAATACAGCAAGTACAATACGTGCATTACCAGCTTGTAATGCAACTGTACTAATTGTTGTTGTTGTTGGATAACCATCAGAGAAATCAGATGAATCACAGGAACTTGCTTTATCTGACATAATTTTATTATTATTATTATTAATGTATTTATTAAATTTATTGGAATGAAATCAATTGTAATTTAATTATTATAAATACTGCTTCTAGATAGATTGAATTAAACGAAAATAAACTTGATGTATTGTATTGGACATAATGTGCTCAAATGATGTTACCGTTCAGTTTAAATAAAATACCAACGTATACATATACACTAACATATATATATATATATATATATATATATATTTATATGGTAGAAGAGATATTTAGGGAAAGAAAAATAAAGGGGAGTACTTTGTGAAAAAAACACTCGGCTATTACAATAACTAATCGTACACTAAATGAATATGAATTATATATCGATGGGTAAATGTAAATATTGGAGAATAGACTAGTTCACTTGTGTATATGTATATTTAGATTAATATATGTATATATATATATAAGGTTGGTATTATTATTATTATTATTGATTTGTTTTCCACTGTTCTTTGATGTTCTTCAAAGAAATTTTGTTGAATAGGATTCTTCGAAAATTTTATATCATACAGAAATTATGAATGTTTTTTTTTCAAAATAAGAATACGTACTATTCAACAGATTTTTACCGAGTTTACTAATTCAATATAAACAATCCTCATGTTTTATAATGATTGGGATTATTGTCTATCCTACCTATCAGTGATATTTTTTTTGTAACCAGTCAAATATGTACAGACTCTAGCGTACACATGAACATACGCACACATACACACACAGATATACAAGCAAGTGTGTACACTCTGATTTCCAATACACCATTTTTTTACCCATTTACATAAACATCAATTGTTTATTTTAATCATTTCTTAAACACTTGAATATTATTGGTTGAAATAACACACTTATAATATTACCTTAATTCCAATTCTGTTTCATACATATTCTATTATCAATAGGTGCATATTATTTAGACTGTTAAAACAAAATAATTGGTTAAATAAAGAAAACCGCCCACAATTATGTTGTAGCAGTACATTGACACTTTTGTACTTGGACCCTTATATATAACCATCGGTATTTGTTGATATACAGATGTATACATTTTTGTGTATCACTAATATTATGAAATATTTCCCAAAATAGAAGTTAAACAAAATCAATAAAATTTTATTGATCTATTTGGCATGGATTATGTGATATTTTTTTCTTTCTTAAAAGGATAATAAGGGAAATTAGTTCATTTTTCCACATTAAGAATAAGGAATTAAGTTTATCTTTTGCATGATATATATAGTTGGGGATAAATATAATAATTGTATTATCAGGAGTTTTGTGCAGATTTTCGTAATTTTGATAGTAAAATTCATGAGTCAATTAAACTTAGATCACCATGGAAAACCTGGAAACACTAGATGACCATTTTGTCTTAGTATGGAACTCCTCAGCAGTACGTATCTCAAAAGTATTTCTTGGAGTTCTAGTGAGAAGCAGAGATCTGTGGAATTCAACCGGGTCTGTTGTGAGATAGTAACTCACTGAAGACAATGATGGATGGTGGTTCAATTTCGTGAATTGGTTGAAGTGAACATTGGCATTAACACTGTTGGATGTCGGCTCAGTGGTCTAGAAGTTTGGCGTTTGCGCGTGAGACCGGTATTTCCTGGATTGTAATCTCACGATCGGGTTCGTTTGTGCACACTGCTTAAGAGTCCCCTACTAGGGCAGTACGGCCGTCCAGTGTTTCCAGGTTTTTCATAGTGGTCTACCATTAATTGGCTCATGAATTCAAATATTAATAATCACATATCTAAACAAAATTACTACTCATAATTTTACATCATTATCTATGAAAAGTTACTAGAGTTATAAAGTTGAAACCATGGGTTATTTATTCATTGATAAGGTAGAACCTGAGCAATTCAAGTCGTAAAATTTCATGTCGACAAATGAACAAAGTTTGACAAGATTAAAACTATAGAACAAGTGAACTAATGTTACCAAAGTTAGTAAAGAATAAAATTTGGAAATCAAAATGCGTGAAAATGTATTGAGATTTAACACTTAAAAAAGACGTAGTTCAGTGAAGGGATCTATTTTCAACGAATTTAGTATCAAGCTGTACAATCGTATATATATGAAAATTTTTTTGTTAAACTACTAGTTCCGTGAGGAAATGTGAACAGGGATTAACCAAGATGATGTAATAGAAACGTAATAATAATAGATCACATAATACGAATAATAACGATGGCCTTAATAAGTTAGTAACGAATTCTAACGTGAATGTGATAAGATGATTAAAATGCTGATATGTCCTGGGTTCGAATCCCGCGGGGGGCGGGATCGTGGATGCGCACTGCTGAGGAGTTCCATACTAGGACGAAACGGCCGTCCAGTGCTTCCAGGTTTTCCATGGTGATCTAGCTTCAATCGATTCATGATTTCAACCATTGAAATTACCAATTCTCCAAAAAACCCCTTCTAGTAAAATGCTTTTGTTACAATAATTAAAGGTCATTAAAGGTCATAGAGGTGTAAAATGTAAATAAAGTGATACCATGATCAATTATGGATAAAATAACGAGAATATAAGACATAAGTAAGGGGAAAATGCAGTAATAACAATAATATTAATTAAGAGCAAGGTAACTATAACGATAGGGTGTACTTATTTTGTACGCATAGTTCTATCTTGAGATCACGGATGGTAAAAGCTTCGGTTATTTTTAGGAGTTTGATACAAAGAAATCTTGGTATATTTGAACAAATCATATATACAACCTTAAAATCACACTGTGGATCAGTAGAATGATTATAGTTGATTATGTGTCCAAGTATAGAGCTCCTAACTACTTTTCTCTCATCCTTGTAAAACCAAACTGGGACGTGTTCCTGTATCTGAGTTGAAAGCGAGCGATGGCTACGGCTAATGTACCTTGCTCCAAAAGAGCAAGTTAACTGGTAAATGGACATGGAGTCGACCAGACACAGAAAATAAGTTTCTACTAGTGAAGGTTATTCGCACTTTTGCCGCATCAAATGTTCTTTTAATCGCTGTCATTAAACTATTTTTGATTAAGTCAGATGTTCGATCACCCTTAAATTCGGAACTTACAGAAATATTTTTCCTTGGGACGGAACAATCAGATTTCTTGTCGCAACTACTTCTTTTCATATTCTTCTCCATGAAACGATCTGGATAGCCATTTTTCGTTAAATTTTTCGTGAGGAATGATAGTTCTTCATCAATCCATTCCGTACTGCATATCCGATGTATTCGATTACTTAAAGAATGAGTGATTAATAGATCAATTGTGGGACTCAAAACTCCTGAGTTCGGTTTCTGCTAAATTCATAGGTAATTACTATTGAGAAGTCCCAGATTAAAACGAAATAATAGTTCAATGCATTGTACTTTTCAACTATTTTCTAACGTACGTCATACAGTGCTATCGAAATAAATTGCACTCGATTGTTGGTGTATACATACTAAAAAAGAATTTCAAATGTTTTATGTTAAAATTGGCCAATAAATTAAATCGTGAAGCCGGATTTTCTTATTATTGTATTCTCAATAGCGTTTATGAATCAAACATCAAACAAATTAATTCAAGGAGGAACTAATGTATTCAAATGTTTTGATGTTTCCCTTCATTGATTTATATTTTCGTCAAGATCAGAGGGAAATTATCACAGTTACCTTTATTGCTGAAATGCTGTGATGCTCACCAAGAAATTAAAGTCATGATAAAGCTATATGAATTCAAACTTAGACAATGGAATATTCAGTCGAAGGATGATATAAACTGAAATATGATAAAACAGTGGGAATTCTCAACAAAATCATTGTCATTATCTACTATGTTTGAATTAAGTAACTTTATTGTTAGATTGTAGTTGGAGGTAGTCAACGGGAAACCCTGAACCCGGGTTTCGAGCTACTCGTCACTCATCAGTAAGGTGTACCTGTAATCTTGAGGGAACCGGTGCTTCCTGACGGATGTTGAGTCACCTGGACTAGCGGCGATATTGCAACTTGGTCGATAGCATTCGATCTGCACTAAGAAGGACTTGACAGACATGGAATTGATCACCACCAGTGACCAATCAATTGTAATTTTATTGTTATATAATATCAAATTTTAGGCATAGGATCAGGGAGATTGTTAATTTTTTATTAGGTTCATGAACGTAGGTCCTGGGTTCGAGTCTCATATGCGAAGTCATGAATGAGCATTACTGAGAAGTCTCATACTAGAACGAAACAATTATTCAGTGCTTTCAAGTTTCCAATAGTGATTTAAACATTGATCCGTTTATGGTTTCAATATAAAATATCAAATTTATTAAAATATGGTTGATCTATATTTTACTGTTTCAAGAGATTGACGTTGAAAAGGTAGAATAGAAATAAAAACAACCATAAATTATTTATTTCCATCTATTGACTTTAAAATATTTGCGTAGGCAATTTCAATTCTTGTAAATTTTTATTACATTTTTTGTATTGTCACATTAAATAACTAATACTAACCTCTCTTCCTTATTTTGAAATGACATTTCAGAGGAATTTAACCGATATTGTTTTTTTTTTCTATATGAAATTAATGACTGTAAATGATTAACAAAAATGTCACCTTAGTGTTCTAATCATTGTCAATGATAAATTCTGTTGGTAGACATTCTATTCCTGACTGGCATTATATACTACTTATGTCGATATAAGTAATACACACTATAGTTCTTGTTTGCACCATACATTCAATCATACCATTAATGTGAAGTTCCATTTTCTTTTTCAGAAAAAAAAGCTTCAATTGAATTACCAGAAGTCTAAATGAGTGAGCACAAATATGTTTTCATTATTTAGATTTATCATTTGTGTGATTATATGAGAAAAAGGTTAAATCAGAAATTATCACTTAAATTAAAATGGTTACATAACTAGAAAATTTTCGATTCAATGATGAGTAACTGATATACTTGAACAATTAGATATATCAGTGAAAGACTAATGAATAAATGAGAGATAGTG